GGCTTTCCTCTTCCTCCTGCTGATGTATAACAGCCTTGTGGAGTTTCTTCTGCTCCTTCTTACTGAGCGCATCCTCGGGCCATTCATCCCCAACGGCATCGCGGGCAACTGGTTCCGACTCCGGCTCCCATGATACGAAGCTCTCGTACCCTTCCGCTTCAGCCTTAGCAGCCTTCCCGCGTTTCTTCTGCTTCTTCTTGCTCTGCTTTGGCTCTGAAAAATCGTCGTCCAGCTGGGGGATAGATCTAGGTTCCGAAGTCGACTTCTCGACAACGGGCTCCGGCACACCGATGTCATCACTCTGGGCCTCGGAAGGCTTCTTCTTGCGTTTGTTTTTCTTGTCCTTCTTGTTGGAAAACGCATCCCAGTTGTCCGACGGCGCCTCCATTTCCGAGGCAGGCGTCTCCGCGGCCTCGCCGATGACGAAGCCGGACTCGGAGGCTCTGGGAACAGAGTGTCCGGTCTCTGCGAACGGTCGCTGGTGATCAGAGCCCGGAGGTGAACTGCGCCGGCTGTAGGTAGGATCGTCGATGACAATGTTGGGGTCGAAGCCGGAACTTTGCAACCCGGCCGCTAGGGTGGCCGTGAAGTCCAGGTCATCGACAAAGGAACCAGGTATCTCCGAATTCCTCGGGCTCTGCGGCTTCGGTCCGGGCTCCGGAGGAGTATCGTTGCGGTTGTCGTCGTTGTCCAGCGCTCTCGAGCTGCTGGAGGGCGCTTCCGGCTCGGTCATAGGGGCGTGATCAGCTGGTGGCGATCTCGACCGCCGCTCCGTCTTCTCTTCCCCAGTCTTTGGTTCCGAGGATTCACCGTCCTTGGCAACCGCAGTCACAGCGCCAGCTCCTACGAGAGCCATTGCGAGCGCGCCCCAACCGGTGGATTTTTTTGCGGGAACAGATCGGGGCTTCACATCCGCCTTGACTGAAGTTTCCGGGGTGGACCTCTCATGAGAATGATGCGCATCCTCTCCCACATTATGCTCTCGCTCTCCATCCTTCTCGGCCGCGCCCGCAGACTTGGGCTCAGAGACAGGACCTTCTGGAGCCTCAATGATTTCGTCCTTTGGACCGATCATCACCGACGGGCCAGGTGCTTCCTCTTCAGACTTCTCTTGAACAGGTTTTGGCGCTGCCTTGGCCGCCTTGGCCGCCCGCTTCTCCGGAGCAGGCGAGGGCACCGGGGTCGGCCGGACGATGTTCAGCATCGGACGCTCCCGCTCGCAAGACGGATCCCTGGACGTGAACTGGGGCGTCACATCCGGTCCTGACCTGAGGCCCTCGGGAGCGCGGAACCTGTACAGATGCTTCGGCTCGATGACGTGGTCGATGCGGACGTCGGCATTCGGTGCATCGTACGAGCTCTTCTTCGGGCGCTTCGTCATCTCGGGAGGCGTCACGATGCGGGTCACTGGCTCTTCTTCGTCCGCCCATTTCCCCACGACGGAGGGATCGGGTGAGACGCTGCGCGATCGGATTTCCTCTTCCTTCATCTTCCGGGCCATTCGCTTCTCTCGGTAATGCTGGTCGGCCGCTTCCTGAACGGGGTCTCGGACAGGCTCTTTCTCCCGCGTGTGATGTTCGACTGGCGAGGCATCCTGGGAGATCGCGGCGGGCTCTGCCGAGGAGGCTGAACGCTCCACCTTCTCCCGCCGCCGCTCCGACTCGGCCACTTCGATCTCGAACGAGTCTCTCCGGCTCAGGCGCTGCTCGCCAGCGACGAGTGAGCGGGTTTCGGGGACAGCGTGGTCGCCCTCCTTGTCGTCGTCGTCGGCGAATTTTGGCTCGCGGAGAACCTTGTAAACCATGGGAGTCAGGGGCCGCTTTGGGGTGGTGTTAGCTGGGGTCGGGAAAGCATCGTCGTCAACCTGGTACTGAAAGGGGTCGATTGGCACCTTCGAAGAATCAGCCCCAGACTCTCCAACTGCTCGATACTCCTCCTGAGCGCTGCCGGGCTGGCCGGGTCTCTTCAAGTCCCGGTGTTCGTCCCTGCGTGCGTCTCTATGGTCAGCCGCCCCGCCTTCCTCCTTCCGGTTCCGGTCTCGTTTTTCCCTGCCGCTATCGACAGGCGCCTGCTGCGCCTCCCGCTCGCGAAGCCTCTTGGCAGCCTTCTCCTTCTCATACTCAAGCTCAGCCTTAAGCCTCGCAAGCTCCCGCCTCACCTCCTCCCGCCGCTCCTTCTCCTCCCGGCTAGGCTCCTTGCCACCTCTGTCGTCGACAACCGTCACGCCCTCCCGTCTAGACCGGCGCGGCCGCTGCGCGGCATCGCGCACCTCATCATCCTTGCGGCCATCATCGCCGCGCGTCTCGCGTCGCTCATCGGGAGCCGGGACCGCGTCCCATCTCCGCCGCGTCTCGGGTTCGCGACGGCCCTGCTCCCCCTCGGCGCGGCGGCTCGCCTCGGTAACGGCCGCAACGGCCTCGGCGAAACCCACCCTGCCGGACCTCCGGCGAGAAGGACGGGCGCTCCGGTCCTGATGGTGATGGGAAAGGCCATCCAGGGGGGTCTTCTCCTCCAGGACGCGGGTGGACACGGGGGCAATGGGCTTGGGTGCCTGGATGGGGACGTGGTCTGGGCGCGATCGGGCGATCGGGGGCTCCGGGGCGCCGGAGATGACGGATGCCGGGACAGTTACGAACTTGTTTGGGTCTGATGTCGGCTCGGCGATGACGCGCTGCATCGGCCGCACGTCTATGGAGGCGCTTCTTGGTTGCGGGATTGGCTCGTCAAAGCGGGATGACGGTTGAGGGGGCTGGTATCTGGTTGGACGGAAGCCACATGGTGTGTTGACGAACCCGCGAAGGGAGTTGATGGGCCCAAACAAGTCGGGATCAACAGCGGAGTTCTTCCAAGTCGGGGATCTGACTTCTCCGGATGGCTTCGGGGGGGCCACAGGAGGAGCAGGCCTGCTGCCACTTGGCAGATGGGGGTGTGAGAACTGGGCCGAGCCGTATGCCAGGCCGGGGTCGAAGTCGCCGCTAGAGTCGTCGGATGACTCCCAGGCCGACTCCCAATCAGACTCATCTCCTGATCCGTTGGGCCGGTGAGGTCTCGAGGAACCAATCCCGCGGTCCATGTTACCACTCGAGTTTTGGCGACGGAACTGGCTAACGGTCTGAGCCATCCCGGCGAGTCGTGATGGCCGCGGCCTACCGGCCCGCTCGAGGTCCCTCACGTTCTCGACCTTAGCGTAGGCGGAGAGCTGGCGTCCCAGCTCGAGTATCTCCTCGTCCGTCTGGGCTCGGCGGAGGGCCGGGTGTCCATCGGGCCCAAGCGGGGGTTGGTCGGCGGAGCGGCGAGTCGCCGCCGCAGCAGCGGGTCGGGAACTGGGCTCATTGCCCTTGGGTATGTATCCCGTCCCGTAGGCGAGATCGCTGTCCACGGACGAGGACGAGGAATTCTTGGACCGAAAGGCGGCGCGGCGCTTCTTGCGGGAGCTCGTTCGCGACCGGGCACTCGAGGCGGTGAAGAAGGAACGCAGGCCGAAGGAGCGGCTCTTGCCCGAGATGTTCAACAAGGACGACGAGGTCGAGGATGTGGACGAAGTGGTCGACTCCGGGTTTGAATCAAGGGAGAGCCGCGATGGCATGGCGGCGGAAGTGGAGGCGACAGTCATTTCCTCTCTGGAATGCCGCCTCCCCGCGCGACGACGGCGGGAGCTTTCAGGGCTCCGTCGCCGAGGTTCACGCATCATAGTAGTCGCAGTAATGAATCACGGCCCATACATTGATGTTGTTTAAGGGGGTTTGTAGTAAGAAGAGCTGGTTATGGCGGAGGGACCAAATAAGGCTGTAATTCTGTATGTTGTTTTGATTTCAATACACACACAGGTGATGAGGCTGGGAAAACCCACTAATTACCAACAAAGCTATCCTCAGCTACCTCCATCCTTGCAACTATTGGTACTATGTAAGCGCCGGCCGCTCTTCAAGGCACCCGACCAGGGCCAAGGGTCGGGACGAAGGAGGGCTAGGGAAACACCGAGGCTTGTGTGGGTCCCGGTCGTGCTGAGGTGGCTCCACACAAACCCCGGGAACGACGAAGGCGGAAACGTCATCTGCGTACAGTGATTGGGCGAACTTGCTGTTATTAAAATCAGACGAACACACCAAAACTAACAACATCTACCGTAGTACATCCGTAGACAGTCAGTAACTGAGCGTGCGGAGGAAAGTTCGCTATAGAATCAGTGAATGTAGAAACATATTGATCAACTACCCATTGACCATATTGCCAAAACCTCGATCATCGGATCGCCCAGATGCCATCCTTCCAGTGATATCCCCTGCTTTTTCCCCGAGTTGTCCCGTGCCGCAACCTTTTTCCTAAGTCGCCAACGCCTATGGCTTTTATTATGAGGTTGTCTCCGCGGGCAGGGCGAAAGGGATGCTTCTTCACTTATGTAGCATCATACCTAAATGAACATCAATTACTCAATAGAATCTCAGTGGGGCTCCTTTTAGGCCATGCCCAGGGCCATATTATTACTTTTATACCCTGATTACTCTAGTTGCATGCAGTGCTTCTTCTAGTATCCCTCACGTGGGAAAACTCGTGCGTTGTGTTGGATAGCGGGTTTATGTTGCGTGGCAGGTTGTTAGTAGTGTTATAGGGTCGTGCCTCTCGCCAAGTCGGGGCCGAACCGGGCCCGGTCCTGGTCTAGGAGAGTGGTGGGTCAGGTTCGTTCCGTTCCCTTGTTGCCTGGCAACCGCTTCCGGATCCGTTGTCCCGCCGTGCGCCGCGGCATCGCGTGGTTGCCGGTTTTGTTCAGAATCGCCTCACTTTCTGTCCACCTCCCTTCTCTGTCCCTGGGCCCGGACCCACTTTGGCTGGACTATATATCACCTTCTTCCGAATTCTCTTCCCTCGATTCTTCTTTTCCAACCACCCTCGTTGCGTACGCCGCGTTACTAATCTGCTACGGCTTTGATATCGAGTGCTCACGCCTGTGGCTTTTGTAAGCCAAATCGCTCCGACGATTTTGCTGGGTTTGTAATTATCACATGGCTTATAACGTGTTTTTGGTGGCTTCCTTGGGGGCTCCTCGCAACCACCACGCCTTGTTTGTCGAGACGGACCCTGTCTCTAGAGGCGGCATACTCCTTAATGTAACGGGGAATATTCAGAATGGAATGCAGTTCGAGGAGAGATCAACCAATAAGCCCGAGGAGTCAGCCGGTTTTGTCGACCAGTCACCTCTCGGTTGGGTTGCCGCTGGGGACCTCGATCGCATGCGCAGTATCTGCGAAAGAAACCCTCCACCGAAGAAGCAGTTCAACGGCCCAAAGCGACTTTACCCCAAGGAACGCCTGCGGCGCTGCCAAGAGTGGACGAACGAGACAATTGACGCGTTGACCAACAACCGTGTGCTACAGTCATTTGCCATGGCAACGACAGAGACCCCTGCCGAGGAGGAATACTAGACTTGGAGCGAAGACTACGAGAACTGGTATCATATGCACGAAAGATGGCCGCTGCGAGTAGTCTATAAAGAAGACCCGTAGAACAAGAAGGGAAAGGGAAAGTGGAAGGGTAAGGGGGGGTTTAGGTGGCCTTGGACTCCCGTTCCAAATTCGACGTGGGCACAAGGATATTATGGCTATGGGATGAATACCTTTCCTTAAGAACACCAGCGACGTATTCGTGCCAATCATCACGCCAGTCGCCACAGGCAAACATCGCTATCGCGTACTCCCAATAACTCGGATACCACCCAGCCGATTCCCAGTCAACCAGGACCAAGTTGCTGTCGTCCCCGACAAGGCTATTTTTTCGCTGGGAATCTCCGTGGGTAAACACGGATGCGTGGTCGTGAAGGGCGAGTGGGGAAGACACGACGGTAAAACCTAGCTTTGGATAAGATGACGCCGAGCGGCCACGACTTACCTGACATAAATCCTCATCACTGGCTTTGTCCATGCTTGTTGGTAGGGAAGATTACGGCGAGCTAGACGAGTCGATCTAGGCCGAAGGATGTGGAGTTCTAGCTTGACGCATTGCCTCGGAAAGATTCATCATCCGCCCCAAGTAGACAGAAGGAAGACAGCGAGAGAGCCAAACCAGGGCCCAGTAGAAGCAATGGAGGATGCTATATCTCGGTCTATGTTACTACTTTCAGACAGGTGCTACCTTGCGCGACAGGCATCTTGCACAACCTCACTAACAACCATGCAACGGACCGTAGCTGTTACGCAGGCATAGCCACCTACCCTAAGCAGCTTGCACCGTACGATATTCGAGCGCGAAACCCCGTGCGAGTTCACCCGACTTGGAAGGGGTTCTGTACGATAGTAGCGGTCACGGGAGCCATGTGGTTTGAGGAAATTGCTTTTTATGCTTGTCCGAAACCCCCTTGTTCCGGGACTTCTCTATTGGCTCACCAACAGGTATCATCCTTCCAGTGATATCTCCCTGCTTTCTCCCCGAGGTGTCCCGTTTCGTAACCTTTTTTCCCAAGTCGCCAACGCCTGTGGTTTTTGTACGCCGAATCGCTTCGACGATTTTGCTGGGTATCTATCTGAGAACACCGTTTTGTTTGCGTTTTCTTCCCCCAAGCGGAAAAAAAAGACCTTGTCCGGCGCCAGCCTCCCCGGTAATGATAGAAACTGCAGATATATGAGCGATCGTCCTCGGTATATTAGTGAATGTAGGGCAGAAGAAACTGACCAAGTGCGATCAAACCGCGACAGCTTGGAATGATAGATACCTTGCCCTAACCGTGCCATTTCATCCCCATGCTGGGGTCTGCGAAAGTAGTGAAATTGATCTCGCCGGTCTGCGGATCGGGAGGGAACAACGTATTGATTGTATCCTAACAGGTGCGACAGACCGGGTCAGCAAAACACGGGCAGGAACCGACGGTTGTAACAAGCAAGAAGGAGAAGACTAACCCAGTCGATGTTCTCCATGGGGTTCGAAGACCCCGCCATACCAAGGTTGCCATGCTGCTGAGGATGGCCGACGACGCTGCCACCATCGCTGCTGTTCTCGGAGCCGTCAAGGTTGCGCGGCGGCAAACCCCAGAGCGCCTCGCCGTTGGAGACGCCAGCGAAGACGACGTTTGGCGGGGGACCGGGCGGAGACGACATCATCTGGGGTTGCATGGGTGGGCCGCCTTGCATCATCGGCATCCCCGCCGTCGAAGGCATTCCAGGCTCGGTCTTCAGACCGGGGATCGACATCTGCTGTTGTTGAGCGTTCATTTGAGACATCGGGGGCCCCGGCATGTTTGGAGGCTGAGGCCCGTCTGATTTGATCGCTTGCTTGCCGGGGACGGCCCGGGTGATCGTAGTTGGACCACGCATCTTGCGCATGCTCTGGTAGACGCCCGTCTTTCCCATGATCTCCGTCAGGATCGTCCTCCCCTTCTGCTCACGCGGCATGTTGGGATCTAGGTGGAACACGTAGTCGAGGCATCTCCAGATGCGATCGGCCTCCTTGTTATTGGGTCGGTAATATATCTCCGTGGCGAGGAGGAGAGCGATCTGGAACTGTTGGTACGCTCCAATGTACCAGGCCCAGTCCTGGAAGAGGGGATTCGTCTCCAGCTGGATGGCGGACTCTATGATCATGATGCCACTCATGACCAGCACGCTGATGAGATTCTGGGGCATGGGGTTCGTAGTATTCGAGTGATATGGGTGCAGAACCATGGCGTGCAACCGATAAATAAGTAGATGCATGACTCCTTTCGCATACCGCTGGATGGGGATGTGGTCATTCAGGAAGCGATCATACTTCTCAAACATGCGCTTGCGGAAGTTCTCGATCTTGGTCAGCACGGCCGTCAGCGTCGTCTTCCGCGTTTCCAACTTCCTCCGGTCGGTCCAGATGATCCGCATCATCTCGTTGATCTCAAATCTCATGAGGGGAAGAAGGGTCGACGTCCAATGCTCGGCCGGCTCCGGCGGCACGGTTACGTACGGCGCAAGTTCGTCCTCTTCACAGTTGATGGGCAGCTTGGTATCATAGTCCTCTCGCCTGATGGCAGGCCGCGGCCCTTGTGCCTCGCAGGTCCGAATATCCAGGAAGCAGAGCTGATGCCACAACAGACGACGGACGTGGGTTTCGAGAGGGGTGAGGCCGTATGCCTCCCCGTCACGGTGCAACCCCATGCACTCGGACATGCGCACGGCAGCACCCACGAGGACCGAGTGGGAGCGAGAGACCTCGGCCCTACAGAGGGGAATCTGCTTGAGTGTGAGCCTCTACACACACAAGTTTCAGGGGACGCGCTCCGAAACATAAAGTTCGGCTTACCATATACATGATGAAAGCCTGCATCGTCTCTATGTTTGTCGTACGAAGGAAGTTTGCCTTGCTGAGCGCCGTCTCCGTCCCAACTTTCATCCTTTCAACCATGTTAACCTTGTTGACGCCAAACTCCCGTCCGATTCGATCCTCGTCCATGCTAACCGTGGCGCTAAACCAGGCGGCAAACACGACAGCCTGGATCGATGGGCGTGGCTCGACGCCCTGGTCAAAATCATCCCAGAACTGGGCGTATTGTCTCTCGAACGAGGGACGATGGACGCATCTCGCAATAGGGTGGACAGCATCAAAGTACCGCTGCAGGAGATAGTGCCCGGCGTCTCTGTTGGGGATGAAGGCCAGTATAGATGGCGTCTCGATGACCTGGCCGAAGAAGAAACCACTCGTGGGTGGGATATACGAATCAGTCGGTTTCAAAAAGTCAGGCACGGATCTTTCTGAGCCAGCGGCTTCGGACATGGTCTCCTCAGGACGACCGCCGTAGCCCATGGAGGGCGGCGGTGTCGCGCCCGATAGGCCTGCTTGGATCTGTCTCGCGGTTAATATACGACCGGCTATCCTGCTAGGGTGTCTGTTGGTTGGTCTGTTGGTTGGTCTGGCCTGTGGAGAATGACGTCCAAAGGCGCCCCCAAATTCATGTGCAATGGAGTGCATGCATACACACCTCTTCAGAGATCCGTGGCCGGTTAAGGCCTCCTATTCGTTCGGTAATGCGCATCTTTCCAACCTGGATCCCAAGGTCGATGATGTCGTCTGCAGCCTCCAGATCGTCCCCGTACGTATCGTACGTAAGGTCCAGGGCCACCATTGGCGTGATCTCGAGGTCGCGCTCCTCGTCAACGTCCCCCTCGACGTCGTCGGCGATGATCCTCTGCTGGTAGGCAGCGCGCGATGTCGACTTTGCGACATCTCGCTCGAGTTGCCGCTCCAGGGAGCCGACCTTCTCCTTGATCTCGGTCAGCCTGAGTTGGCTGGCCTCGTCAAGCTTGGATCCCAGGTAGACGCAGTCCCGGGAGAACTTTAGGCAGTTGGTGCAGGTCTGGGACTTGTTGCACTTGAGCTTCCGGCGGCGGCACTCGAGACAGGAGGTGATCATGCGCATGCGCCTACGGATGGGCTTGGGGTTTGGCCCTGTAGGTGGTGGCGTTGGTGTTGTCTGCTGCTGAGACGACCCGGGATTCAGGCCTGGGGGTCCGCCGCCCGCTCCAACGACGGAGTTGGTCCTCACCGAGGCGGGCCGTGTGGTCCCATCCAGGCCGAGCCCCCCCAGGCCACTCATGTTGCTGGCAGGGGCACCAACAGCACGCGGATGGGGCGGGGGAGGGACATGGTGTTGGGCCGCCTGGCCCGGTTGGCCCGGTTGTCTGGAAGGATGCCGGTGGGGGTTGGTAAAGCCGGATGAACTACTGTTGCTGTTGCCTTCCATTGGGGGCGGGCACCCACCAGGGCCACTTCCTCCAACGGTTTCAGCGTGGCACGATCAGATGAACCAGGTCAGTGGCACACCATTCCTCGCTCGCCAACCTGCTTAGAACCGACGGTTGGTGGGGCAGGGCGAGAGAAGCTGGCGCACGGCAGCAGGGCTGCTCTAAGCCTGGGACTGGGTAGAGACGGTGAACTGTCGAATAGGATCCCTTAGGGAGGCACTCGTTGGGGCACAGGTTGCCGCTGTTTCGCGAGTTTGAGCGCAGATCAACGCACGTATGGATCGTATGGCTGGGACCGGTGGGTGAGCCTTTGGCCACTACGGACGTAAAAAAATAAGAATGTCTGCGAGACGAAGCTGGCGTCTGGTTTGACCGCCTTTCCAAGTATATAACTGCCCAAGGGGGGTTGCACTCGGACAGCGAAGACGCACACGGCTACCTGGGCAGCATGGCTCCGTGGCAGTGGCGCGCCCCGGGCTGAGATAGTGCCGCATCCTGTGTGTACTACGCAGTAGCGTGCGTGGTTAGCTCTCCTGCGGAGTGTAGGCACGCCCTCGGGGCAGACAGGCGGGGGATTTTCAATTCGCTGGCTTGTGGAACCCACAAACTGGCTGCGGGGTCCAGACGATGGATTATGCGAGTGCGAGCCTGAAGGGGAAAGGAGTAGCAATTGAAGGCACCTCCGGGTGGTTCAACATGTGTAAAATGATTAGAGACCAGTGACAAAGGAGCCCCAAGAAGATACCTGGATAACTTTAAAGTGCCACCTTCCCAGTCTCATAAGCACCGTACCTCAGGCAGGTGGGCCCTGTACTTGTACATGCTTGAAGATCGCTCTCTGTTCCGCACGCTCATCAACATGGTCCTCACCCATTGACTATCGGGACAGCCGGCAGCAAAAGTATAAATCATCGGGTGTGTGCTAGCTCTTGGTTAGGTACCTTTGGGGTGCCTTCCCAGAACCACCGTCCATCTGTCTACGTCGTAAGCTGGACATGCAGGAAATGCCGAAGGCGCACCGAGAGGATCTATGGATGGCCGATGGCGATCTCAACGCCACTTTCCAACTGCCAAACATGGATAGTATTGTATTTTTTTCCGCCCGCGTTATTGAAAAGCAAAGACGATAGAGAAGGACTCAGCTAGAGAGGGCCGGCAGCGGCCGGTGACACTTGCATATATTGTAGGAGGAGGTTGGGAGCTAGCGAGACATTTCAAGGGGCCAAGAGTTCTAGCTTGCTTCGATGCGATGCAAACGTATCCATATCCGTACACACACCCCTTGTAGCTGCGTCTGAAATGTGTGTGTCAGTTGGCAAGCACCCCAAATGTATCCACAAGGCGAAAATGTCTCTTCCGATCTTGGGACATGGCACGGAATGCAACATCCTGGGGAGCATCCTCCGGAGATGTCGGCGAAGAGTGCAATCACGCCCGTCTCGGATCGGAATGTTTTGAAGGCAGCCGGCAGCCATTGTGTAACTGCGTTGTTTCGTCTGTGCTTCCTGGCCTATCCATCACCTTCCCTAATGAGCAACCCTGCAGCCAGACCATTGGATTCTTGCTGATACGAGGCTTCCATGCCAACATTTGCGCGTAACTTCTGTGACAAGGCCATGGATTCCAATCTACATTGGGGCTAGAAGCTACCTAGAAGTATCAACATGGAATGGAACCAGGTCCCCTCCCCGTAGGCACTGGCCAGCCCGGGCGCGAACTCTGGTTCATGCACTCGGGGTTCCTGCCGTGAAACTAGCGCAGGGCTGCTGTCTCTCTCATACGTAACGCCAGGTGCCGCCATTGCTGTAGTAAGAGCCCGCACTCACCCGCCATCTGCCCACCACACTGCCTCTCGACAATCCGCAAGAACCACTGCAGACGTGCCGTCCTCGCCGGGCGCCCCTCGGCCAAGTCTCTCGAGACGACGTGGTAGAGCGCCTGGAGGACGGACGGGGGCACATTCTTCGTATACTTCTCCAGAAACACGACACACTGTGAAACATGCCGGTAAGCCACCCGGTTCCCCAGATGGGCTGCATAGGCAAACCTCACAGCAAGGCTCGCCACAATTGCGGCGCTTTCCTCTCCGTAGCTGCAACGCTGCTTGGTCCGCCGCGGCTCGTGTTTCCTCCCCATGTCCTCATAGAATTTAATGCCTAGGATCTTCCACAGCCTGGCTGGGCTGACGGCTGGGTCCATGAGCATTGCGTCGAGATACTTCCACCACGTGCGGGGGTTCCAATCCGACCCGCCTGGCCCGGATTGACTACTGACATATGCGTCGTGAAGCCCAATGGCCACCTTGTGATCGTCGGATGCGGTAGCAAGCCTCTCGAGCAGGCGTACGGGCAGCCGCTCGAGTTCCCCAAGCTTTTCAAACGAGCTAGGCAGTTCCGCCAGCCGCCCAACCTGCTTCAGGAATTTGCACAGGCCGTCAATGAGCCACCTCCGATCCTTCTCCTCGAGAGACAGGGCGTATGTGAGTGCTGCGAAGCCAGCAGAATCGTGTCCAGCGCACAAACGTTCGACGAGATGCTCAAATCGTTGAGGACTCGTCAGCCTTCCCCGGCTAGCCCAGTGGGAAATTAGAAGCCGGCATATCTCGGTGTTGGTCAACAAGACCGGGTGTACCGTTGGCTCGCTGCAAAGGATTTTGTGCGCCTCGAGCAGGGCGTCTTGGCTGATACGAGGCAATCGAGATAAGACCGAAAGCCAGTTATACCGCAGTTGGTGGCACGCCTCAGGAGAAAGAAGGGGCCGGTTCGACAAGCGTTGATTCGCGGCAGCAAACAACCGCCGCTTAGGGTCCATCCCTGATAATGCTCTGGAAACCGCCTGGACTTGTCTTTGATGTGAAGAAATGGCGTTGGTGGCAGAATTAATTGCGTCGCGACACGTCTGGTGGACCTCGTTGGCTCGTTGGAGCAGACATTTTGCAAGTTCCGTGTTGTTTGCGGTCGAGTCCATTGCCTCAGCTAGGATGGCTTGGAAACGGTCATTCGCTTCTGTTGCAGTTTGCAAGGAGCGCGCAACCAAAGAAGAATCCCAATTATCCGTGCCTGACCATGATGTGTAGAAAGTGTCGAGAACAGACAGAACCCCGTTTGACAATTTTCCATGGTAGCCGGTGGGAAGAGTATCCATAGTAAGTTCGAAGAGCTTGCACAGGTCATCGTTGGCTGGCAGCTTAGCCATCTGTGCCAACAACTTGGCCCAGAAGGAACTGCCGAAGTCGGACGGTACCAGCACTCTCGACGTCTTAATACCATTGATAACGGCGGAGCAGAGGGCGATGGAGAGGACTGATGTGTCGGGCACATTCCCAGACCGTGCGTCTAGGGCTTCGAACAGGGCTTGGAGTGCATTATCCAACTCGTCGCTTGCTACCTGTCCGAGAGATATTTGTTTCTCTAGTCGTTTGCATAGCTCCCTGTACTCCGGGGCCATAGCGTTAGGTGAGACTGCGAGGATGGACACTCGAAAAGAATCCAATTCTGCCAAGATCGAAGGGGCTTGCACAGATGTCGTGTTACGGCTTCGTGTAGGCTGTGGCGCTTGTTCTTCGAGATCCGTAGGCGCCCATTCCCTCAACCAAGCAGGCAAGGCACGTTCAGGCTTCTCGCCTGTAGCGGGCAGGCGCGTCGGAGGTTCCCAATGCCATTTGGAGAGATCCATCGAGTTCTGAAGGGCCCATGCTGGAAGCGAGGGCGTCGATTGAACGACATTTAGATCCCCCATCTGACGCTTTCCCAGTCGACGCCTGCTCTCGAGCGGCCCTGGGACGTTGCCAGTCTTTCGCCTCAGCTGCTTAGAGACCAAGCAGTAGCGGTCAAAAGTGCTCGCCAATAAAGCGTCTGTTACCCAGATACCATCTCGCGATGACAAAATCGGGTGCTGGAGGACTCGGCAGCATTGTGACGCTGGTCGTGGAGGCATCCCGAGGCGTGAGGAGGTGGCAGGCAGGATGCCCCTTTCGTATGAAGGCAGTTGTCCTGCTATATGGGCGTCATTAGAAGGTATGCGGTTGATTAATGTCGTCGTGTGGTCGGATTGGGTCGCAGGGACAGGCTTTGCCCATCGATTGTCCCAATTGACTTGGCAAACGTGTAGCTATGATCGAGTTCTATCGAGTTCACGATGTTGAGGTCGGGTTTTGAGGGTCCAATTAAAAGGCATTGGATTCAAAGCTGGGCAACGAGCTAAAGATTGTGGCTGAGGATCAAGGTCTCAAGTGTGGCTTCAACCAGCGGGGTCCGTCCAAACATATGCCTCGGCACATGCTCGTCCAATTGCCCCGGCTGCGATCAAGCTCCAAAAGATGGCTTCCAAACAGCGTCTCCTACAAACCACCAACATGAATTCAGGCGACTTCCAACCTCCAGACCGATAAGATGGCCCCAAGAAGGAATGCGCAGTCGACGGCAGCCGAAATATCGTTGGTGCATTTGAAGAATTGTCTTGCGAACCTGCCTTCAACGCTCGTTTCCTTGCTCGTAAATGTGAATACTGTAAGTCCCTTCCCCCTATTTTCCTGTCGCCCTGGTCCTAGGCATTGACATGTGGTTCAGCCGGCCCAAAATGTCGTTGTCGAGCTTAACTACCGCCCTCCAGTCTCCCCGGAGAGCCCAAACTCCAAGGGTGCGTCGAGTCAGAAGTCGGTCTTTCTCGGTTGGACGGGAATGCCCAGCAAGCGAAGAGTAGCACCGCTGGTCGGCCGTGATGGAATCAATGGTTCAAGAGGAAACTTGGGCAACCGGGACAAGGAAGTCCCTCTTGTGGAAATCGACGCGACCCTGGCAGCTACGTTGGGGATTCAGGATGGACAGAAGGTCATGGCTATCATTCATCTCGATCCGCCCATGGCGCACACGGTCAATATCGAGCCTCTCACGCCGGAAGACTGGGAGATCATCGAGCTGCACGCCACATTCCTGGAAATCAACATGCTCTCCCAGATACGTGCCCTGCCTAACCCGGCATACGTGCCTGGGCCAGGGATTAAAGCTAGCCCGCATCCATTAACGCTTCACCTCTCGCCGACCTCAACAGCCAATGTCAAGATCCTCTCGCTCGAGCCACCGCTACCTTCTGACTCGCCATTTGCGAAGATTGCTCCCGACGCCGAAGTCATTGTTGCGCCGAAGACGAGGACAAAGCCGTCAAGGAGTAACCGCGATAGCAAGAGTGTAGCCAGCACATCGAGGAAAAGCTACAAAAGCAATACGAGTACCGTGAGGAATAAGAGCGCACGGGAGGAACGCAAGGCAACCTTGTTTTTGAGAGGGGTTACCAAGACAGTCTGTCAAGAATGGTTCGACAGCGAGGATGCAGGTGATGATCTGAGCGTCTGGGTGGATCGCGATATCCGCTTCTCCCAAGAGTTCAAAGGCTTGAACTGGGTCACTGTGAGTGTACTGAGGCCGGTAGGCTTGGAAGAGCCGATTGAACCGCAAAATCAACAGCAAAATTTGGAGACAGACGGGCCGAAACCTTGTCGGAAAGTGGTCGCCCGACTTCGGCCATGGGATGAGCCGCCGAACGGCCAGGCCGTAGCCCTGTCAGCGCCGCTGTGCGCGGCTTTGGCTTGTCAGGGAATGGTCGGTGGAGTGGTCAAACTAGAGCCAGCTCCCGAGCAGCTTCCTCGCAAGCCCCTCCTGGACTCTGATGGGACATCGCGGGATACTATTCGACGCCTGAAAATCTACCCCTTTATAGCACAAGACGCGGTCTCCTCCGCTGGACTGAAGTTTGGCGGCGAGTCCAAGACTGAGCGGGAAGAAGCTGCGAAGCGAATCCAGCACATATACGGCGCGAACTCCCGAGGACTGCTATACGGCCCACTCACGGATGGTCAGGTTCTAGGAGTGCATGACGGCCTGGAATACCGTCGCGGATGGGAGGGCGGGATCGTGAAATTCGACCCGCCGGTTCCATCGTCCACGCAGACTTCGAGCAAGGATGTAGTCAGTTGGATCCTTGGCTCAGATTGGCATCTTCCAGTGGAGGTTCAACCACCAATCGCTTGGCCCGCTCCCTCTGGCCCGGGTATGCCGATGCCACCGCATCCTCCGGCCGACTCGGTGCTTGTCGGCATTGATTCTCTTCTTCAAGAGCTCGAGTCTCACCTTGCTCACATGTCTTCCGTCCTCTTAACGGGGGGGCTTGGATCTGGCAAAACGTCGGTGGCACAAGCGGTTGCACACAAACTTCGAGTCGATCAGCTCTGTCACACTACGTACTTCCCGTGCACGATGCTCGTCAACGATGAAAGCAGGATCTCTACCATCAAGAACACCCTAACCCGCCTCTTTATGGCGGCGAGTTGGGGGGCCAGGCTTGGGGGCCGGTCGATCGTGATCTTAGACGACCTTGACAGACTCTGTCCAGCAGAGACGGAACTGCAGGTCGGGAACGAGAATGGCCGCAGCCGACAGATCAGCGAGGCCATCTCCTCTATTGTGAGACAGCACTGTGGGAAAGACCAGAACGTTGTCCTCTTGGCCACATGCCAGGGAAAGGACTCGCTCCATAATGTTTTAGTTGGTGGGCATGTAGTTCGGGAGATTGTCGACCTGCACGCTCCAGACAAGGAGGTTCGGAGGCGGATCATGGAAGCCATTACCAAGCAGAATTCCGTCGCGCCCTTGGAGCCGAGACCAGCACAGTCTGTCAGTAGCCGTCCAACCACTGCAGACGGAACATCAACCGGCGATGACGGGGATGCGTGGATGGACGGCTCAAGCCAATCGAAAGACCCGAAATCCCCGACACCTGCTGCGGGATTCCTGATCGATACAGACCTAGATTTCCTGGATGTTGCGGGCCAGACCGATGGGTACATGCCCGGAGACATCAAGTCGCTCGTTGCAAGAGCCCGCAACGAGGCCCTAATACGCACGGTCGGGGACGTTGACTTCGGCCAAGATTTGCCTGTGCAGCTTGGTCGCGCCGATTTTGATAAAGCCCTGGTGGGGTTTACCCCAGCTTCGTTGCGAAATGTCACTCTTCAGAGTTCGACTACTACCTTCGATTCGATAGGTGGTCTACAAGAGACGCGAAAGGTTCTGCTGGAGACATTGCAATACCCCACCAAATACGCGCCAATCTTTGCCCAATGCCCCTTAAGGCTGCGGTCTGGACTTCTACTCTACGGGTATCCCGGATGCGGCAAGACTTTGCTCGCCAGCGCGGTAGCGGGGGAATGCGGCCTCAACTTCATCAGCGTAAAGGGCCCGGAGATCCTGAACAAATACATCGGCGCGTCCGAGAAGAGCGTACGAGACCTGTTTGAGCGCGCCCAAGCGGCAAGGCCTTGCGTCCTTTTCTTCGACGAGTTCGATTCCATCGCGCCCAAGCGAGGCCATGATTCTACAGGCGTCACGGATCGGGTAGTCAATCAGCTCCTCACTCAGATGGATGGCGCGGAGGGGCTGTCCGGAGTCTACGTCTTGGCGGCTACGTCCCGGCCGGATCTCATCGATCCGGCACTGCTGCGGCCCGGACGTCTAGATAAGTCGCTCCTCTGTGACTTCCCGGGCCTCGAAGATCGCATCGACATACTCAAGGCGCTCGCCAAGACGGCCAGGGTCAGCGACGAGGTCCTCGATTCGGAGGACGATCTGGTCGAGCTCGGCCGGCGAACGGAAGGCTTCACCGGCGCCGACCTCCAAGCCCTGGTCTCGAACGCGCAGCTAGAGGCCATCCACGACGCCCTGAGCCACCACGACGCCGCGGACGGGGCGGGGGATCCCAACGGCCGCCGGTACAAGGCCAAGAAGCCCGCCGACGGCGCCCCGGCTCGCAACTTCGTCCAGTTCAGATACGGCCAGGAGGAGTCCAAGGCCGATGCCCAGCGCCGCGCCAGGTCGGGGGCGAGCCGGTCGTCGGAGCTCGCCGAACAGGCCGCCATCTCGGCGAAGCTGGAGGGCATCAAGCTCGCGCGCAAGAGGGCAAAGCAGGGCCATGCTGAGACCGCAGGTGGTCGCGGAGCCTCCTCTGAGAAGGGGCAGCAGGAGAAGCAGCAAAACAGAAAGGTCGTGATCGGCTGGAAGCACCTGGCCGCGGCGCTGGAGGACACGAGGGCCAGCATCAGCGCGGACGAGAGGAGGCGGCTGGGGAGGATATATCACGAGTTCGTCGTCGGGAGGAGCGGGGAGATGAGGGATGGGCAGGGGAGCATGGAGATAGGGGGGAGGAGCAGTCTCATGTGATTACCGAGGCAAGTTACGTTCAGCGACTTGTAGTGTAGAAAGCAGTTGAGGATTAGGAAGATAATATTCTCCTTCGTTGTAGTAACCCTGATATGCCTTTGAGACTTGCTTCCTGCTCGAGATTCGTAATTTGTATTTCTATGTACAAGAAGCTCTACTTCTTGCCCAGCTTGATCAACCACGCTTCTCGGACATCGGGCATTGTAGATTGAAGAAACCTTCAAGTCAGTGATCCATAAGTACCGACTACACACTGACCGATTAAATGATCTACAAGCCATTTTTTGAGAAATCAACAGCCACCGACAGTTGCCAGAGCGCCAAGTTTGTGTGACAAGGGTCTTGTCGGAGATCCCCCAGCCTCGCGATTTTTCAGTTTCTTGCGGTGAGGGGGCTGGCAGTGGGCTCCCAAGCTGCAGCTTCGTCCAATCCGCAGCGATCTTCGCAATGCAGAGACATCTCTTCCAAATGGACAAATCGCAAGCAGATTAGCAAATCGGCCTTATCGCGAAGCTTCACTTTCAAGTTGCGCAAGGCTGCTCCTCTGCAGTTGTCGACACTGATCCAATTCCCATCTTCGACGAAGTCTTGCTGCTTCTGCTGCTTCTGCTGCTGCTGCAAGGTCTAAATCGCCGAAAACGACAACGGCAAGATGGGTCTGCTCGACGACGCCGCCTCGGTCGTCTCAGGCCGCACCTCGCACTCGCACCATGGCTCGAAGCACCACAAGCATCGCCACCACAAGTCGCGCTCCCCCTCTCCCAGCAGGCACCGTCATTCACACTCCCACTCGCAGTCGCACTCGCAGTCGCACGGCATCGCCTCCATCTTCGGCGGCGGCGACAACCACAAGCACAACAGCAGCCGGGCTTCCTTCTTCAGCCTGCCCAGCGCAAGCAGGAGCAGCTTCTTCGGCTTCAGTGAGTCTCTTTCCTCCCCTCCCCCAAACCCATCAAGTCCATCCTCCAGAAGACTAACCCCCCCCCCTCCAGGCCGACCCTCCTACTACAAGCGCTCTTCCCGGCCCAACTTCGTCCACCGGGCCTACCGGCGCCTGAAGCGCCTCCTCCGCGACCTGGTGCACTACGCCAAGCGGCACCCGGCCAAGGTCTTCGTGCTAGTACTAATGCCGCTAATCACGGGCGGCGCGCTGACGGCCCTACTCGCCCGCTTCGGCCTCCGCCTGCCCGCGGGCCTCGAGCGCCTGCTCGGCCTCGCCGCCCGCGCCGGGTCCGCCGCCTCGGGCCCGTCGGGCCTCGTCGGTGAGGCCGTGCGCCTGGCCGGCGGGGCCGCCGCCGCGGGGTTCGGAACGGCGTCGGCGAGCATCGAGAGGGGGAGGGATGGGGGGTTGCAGTGGGAGAGGAAGAGGGTGGAGAGGGATGGATATGGGTATGGGTATGGGGGTGGAGGAGGGGGAGGGGGAGGGAGAGGGGCCGGGTGGGGGGATAGCCTGATGGGGGTTGCTAAGATGTTCATCTAGGTCCGGGATGGGCTAACATAAAGGGGAGATCGATTGACTGTGGTTATGTTTTTTGTTTTGTGTGGTGTGCATTTCTTTCATTCGGCGCTCCCGGAGACTGGTTTCATAGTTTCTGATACTGATCCTCCCTGGGGGAGATATGACTTGTGTGCACAATGTAGGTTATCTAGAGACAGAATCTGAGACAAAATTATCCAGAAACCGGATACAATCAACGCAATAACTGAACCGTTAGAAAATGGCAAGATTTGTCGTAACTCTTAACTTGTCAGGAAAGAATGCATTATTAAAAACCGATACTAGTCTACCAGTGCAATACAATAAAACAGGGGCGTCAGCCTTTTTTCTATGATCCTTAGACTTGGGCTTGGGTATCTTCAGACTCTCGCAATCAACCACTTTCACCAACAGAACAATACTTGGACGACAGCACTCTCAGACTTCGACTCTAGTTTGGGCAACTAACGCTCATTTCCCTTTCCGCCTTTTGGAACCCCCACTCGGCACGGGCTTGCGTTTCGTGGGAGAACCGGTCGCTGGGGCCTTCTTCGGGCCTCGTTGGCTAGAATGCTCGCGGTCAGATTCTCTCTGGCGCCGCGGCTCCGCTTCCGGCTCCGGCTCGGGCGGATCCTCGACGATGATGACGTCGTCTCGGCGCCGGCCTCTCTTGCTGCGCGTGTCTGCCCCACCGACGCCGGGCCGAGCTCCTTGACGGGGGCTGCCTTTCGGGCTCTGCTCCCCGTCGTCCTCGCTTGCCGTCTCGTCGCTAGACTCTTCGGGGCTCATCCGCCTGCTTGCGCCAGTAGAAGTCGTCTCACGAGGAAATGCACCCGGTCCCGGGCCATACATATAGACACCCCTGTCCCCGGCTGACCCCGAACCATGACGGCGTGGAGCTGCAGGCCTGGAATTATAGCTGGGTACCCGAGAGCCCCCGGTCATATAGAGGAATGGGTCAACGCCAGCCTGTGATTGGCGTGAGCCAGGACGCAAGCCCGGAGGCCAATCCTCCTCGTGTGAAGGGGGGCCCATAGAGCGGGGTCCAACCGCGGGATCAGAGGCGTGACGGGTAGAAGGATGGAAATCCGGGGGCTGCACGTAGGAGTATCGAAAGGGAGAGGAGGCCCGGGAGCGATCCACATTTGGATTGCGACTGGGTGGCCGCTGAGACGACGATGTTCCGGAACGAGGCCGAGTGCGAGAACCCGACGGAGGCGGGAAGTAACCCATTGGCGGGTAGTTTGTATGCTCCTGGTCCGCACCAAAGGCTCCTGGGGGTTCAGGACCAGAAAGAGAAGTTGGCTCGAGATGTGAGAGAGGAACGGCGATTCGTGGCTCCTTCTCCTTCCGTTTTCTCCGGCTGTTTTCCGCGTTTAGGCGCTCTCTTCTCCGCTCCAGCGCCGCCAGTTCCCCCTTGCTCAGCTTCACGTCTTTCTTGCCTTTGGCTTGGGCCCGCCGTATCCGAGCCAGCGCGGCTTCCACCAGAGCCTCTTCTTTATCCCTCAGTGCCAGTTGTACCTGATCGTCATCATCGCCACCATCGTCCAAGTCTGAGTCCTGTTCCGAGTCGTCGTCCTCCGAAGTGCCATCGTCCTCGTCCTCGCCCTGTTGATGAACATAACTCCTGCGAGACCGAATACTACCACCGTCGCCCAAATCCATACCCGTAAAACGAAGCGGATCGCTAGCGAACCTTGCATTACCCGATGAAGAAGCCAACCCAACGCCCTGTGTATCAGTGTCCTCCTCACTATCCAATTCCTCCACGAGGCGCTGCCGCGTATTCCACACATCACGAACGCTGCCGTCCTCAAATGCGCCATTCCTCCGCCGCACGCGCCTCGATGGTCTTCCCCAAGGGGGCGCATATTTGGGAGCTCGCGGCCGACCACCTAGACCGCCTCCCCGGAAAAAGCCTCGTCGATAGGCTTATCCATCATGGAGGCGTGGCCGAGGATGACCACGCCGCTGGCGCCGATGAGCCACAGGACGGTGGTCAAAGGCGAAGAAATCAGGGCGATCGGGATCGCAATGACGTAGAGTGCCGTGTAGAGCTGCGATGTTGTGAAGCGGTGGCTGCCAATCTCGAGGTCGCGGCCCTCGAGCTTCCCGATCATCCACATGCCGACGACGACAAAGATGATGTCGAACAGCAGCCTTGGGTTGGTGAGGAGAGCGTAGATGCAGAGCATGACGAATACCACGGCATAGTTGCTGGAGAAGTAGGAAAGGTTGTAATTGACGCGCGACTGGGCCTCGGAAAAGTTGACAGGCTTGGACAGGCGCTTGAAATCGAAGAACTCGGAGAAGGGACGTAGGTTGGAGAACCTGTTGGCAATGGATCCGGAGCGCATGCTGGCAAGACGGTCCTGGAGGTTCAGGCGAGAAGCCAGAACGTCGAGGGGGATCTGTATACGGGCCATTTTGGATGCTTTTGAGGTTTGGCAGGAAGCTGGAGGTGGTAGAGGAGCGGGCAACGCGTAAGGTGGGCCTTGTTTAGGTAGCTGTAGAAAGGGCGGAACAGAAGTTAGAAATCTGGCAACGGAGTCAAAAAGTAACTTTACCGGAGAAAGAGTGAATGGAAATTAGGCTCTTTGAGGAGCAATTGGGCGCGATCAGGGAGAAAGGCTGGCTTACAGAGTGGGTGTGACTTTGAATATAGGTTCAGAGCTCTGAAAGATGCTGTTGCAGGGCGTGTCCTCTGTGAAATCTGGCGAAGTGCTGGTCGTGAAAAGACTTTGAATTGATTTGCTTCGTTGCCAGGGGTAGATCTGATGAACGTATCCGCTAACCCCGATAAGTTGGGATCACCTCGGACAATCCCCCTGGATGTCTTATCTCGGGTCAGTCAGACCCCACTCTAATCACTCCCTCAGCTGGTCCTCCCTTCCGACGACCACTGACGAGTCATGGGAAGGCTGGCCACGATGATAGAAATACTCAATGCCGGTAAGATGTTGTTGGAAGGTTGAGGGAGCAAGGGGTTGTCAAGTTAGAAAAGGAGAATTGGTAAGCTTTAAAGGGCAGAGGGGGAGTCCGTGTCTGCTTCCTTTTCACTTGGTCACCGCAGTTAGGTTGTGGAGAATGGCTGGCCGGAAGCAAGGCAGGTGCACGCTGGTCCGCATCAGAGCTAGCCAAGTCATCATCAGGCCTTTCATTGCTTCCAAAGGAATTCTGACCGCTGCCCGAACCCATAATACCAACTATATTAGACCCAGCGGAGATGCTTGGTTGGCCAGTTCCCGCCCGACACTATGGCCCGCGATATCTTTCTCTTTGCGAGCTGCAACTCGGACTGGACGGCAGCGAGACAGCCCAAACTCGCATTGTAAATGTCTGGTCCCTCCTGCCTGCAGTAGTAGTACTGGGCGTCTTTCTCTGCATCTCACCGGATCGCGGCATATCGAACTCCGTCCCAGCCTCTCTGACAGTGAATCCCAGTTGGCAAAAGAGTTATGTATTGCTTGGCATTTCATGGTCAACCATGGACAGCCTTCTTCAATGAATACGGTGCAAAGTTAAGGTGGGTTGTTAGGAGGAGGCCTAATCAAAGTTGTCGAGATGAGAATTGTTTTTCAGTGTCTCTCAATCATCTTCAAGCGAAACTCATGGTATACTCGGTTTCTGCTTTATCAGAAGCCTCGACTTGGATCGGGTCTGGGAGGGAACGCAACATCAGCACTAATTAAGTCACAAAGGCCACTAGGATAGATGAGGTTCCCATCGAGTTATAAATAACATATCGTAAAGAAAGTAAAATTCAAGTTTCACCTCGTTAAATTGGTAAAAGGATAATCAATTAAACTGACAAGGGAGCTAGCCCATTGCCAGCTGGCCTCAGTAGTTTCACGCTGCTGCGGCGCAACCCCTTGCTCCACCCCCAACTTCGCAAGGCTCAACGCCTTCGGGGAAAAAAAATAAGGGAAAAAAGAGAAAACGAACTTTCCTGGTACGAGACCGGGCATGCAACCATGAGGTTCTCAGCTCTCTCAATTGGCCTCTTGGCCCTCCTGACGCCTCTTACCTCTGCGTGGTCAAAAGAAGGCAAGCATCTCTCGCCCAGCATCTGCTCTCACAACGCAGGAAGCAGCCTCCCCTGTGTACACATTTCGCTAACCTCCCCAATCCAGATAGTGAGATTTTCCGCCTGCGCGACGAGGTCGCCACGCATGAAGGGCCCGATGTCACGTTCTACGACTTCCTAGGCGTCCCGCCGAGCGCCAGCCAAGACGACATCAGCAAGGCCTACCGCAAGAAGTCGCGGTCGCTGCACCCGGACAAGGTCAGACAGCAGCTGGCGGCAGAGCGCACACGGGCGTCCAAGGCCAAGGCCCGGGAGAAGGCCAAGAAGGACCCCAAGAAGGGCTCCAACGTCGTCAAGCAGCCGTCCTCCTCGGAGCTCAAGGCCGCCATCAAGGTCGCCTCGGACCGCCAGGCGCGGCTGTCCATCGTCACCAACATCCTCCGCGGGTCCGGCCGCGCCCGCTATGACCACTTCCTCGCCAATGGCTTCCCGGCCTGGAAGGGCACGGGCTACTACTACAACCGCTACCGCCCGGGCCTCGGCACCGTCATGGCTGGCGTCTTCCTGTTCGCCGGCGGCGCCGCCCACTACCTGGCTCTGTACATGGGCTGGAAGCGCCAGCGCGAGTTCGTCGAGCGCTACATCCGCTTCGCCCGGCACGCCGCCTGGGGCGAGAACCTGGGCATCAATATCCCGGGGGTAGACGACCAACCCGGCGCCGCGGCCGCCCCTCCGCCTCCCCCGCCCCCCGTTTACGAGGACGAGAACGGCCGCGCCATCGCCGTCAACCGCAAGATGCGCAGGCTACAGGAGCGCGACGCCAAGAGGGAGGCCGCCAAGGACGCGCAGGGGTCCGGCGGCCGGCGCGGCAAGAAGGGCGGCGCCGGTGCGTCGCCGTCGGGTCGCGGGTCCGGCTCGGCCACTCCCCAGACCCTGCCGCAGCAGGGGGCCGGGCCGACGGGCGCCAAGAAGCGCGTCGTCGCCGAGAACGGAAAGGTGCTGGTCGTCGACTCGCTCGGCGACGTGTACCTCGAGCAGGAGGACGAGGACGGCAGAGTGGGCGAGTTCCTTCTTGACGTGAGTTTTCTCGAGACACGCTCCCCCCCACCCAACTTCCCCCGGTAACGACAAGACCCCACTAACAACTCACCCCTCCTCGCAGCCCGACCAACTCGCCCGCCCGACAATCAGCGACACAGCCCTCGTCCGCCTGCCCATCTGGGCCTACCGCCTGACCGTCGGCCGCCTCTTCCCCAAGCGCGACGGCGGCGACGAGGCCGATGGCGACGACAATGACAATCGCAATAGCGGTGACGAGTCCCGGAGGCAGGTTCCGGACGAGAACGACGACGACGAGGAGGACGATGGCGCCTCCTCCGAGCCGGGCAAGCACACGCCGAGCACGGGCTCGACGGAGGATTTCGAGCTGTTGGAGAAGTCGGTCGGCGACCTGGCCGAGGACAAGGCCAAGGCGACGGGCGCCAGCCAGAAGCAGGGCAAGGCGGGGAAGCGGAAGGCGAAGAAGAGGTGAAGATCCTTTTTTTGAAGCGATGGAGCGGCGGGATATCTCAGTGTTCCGAGTATTTCATGGGCGGAGTGGCTGGGCTTAAAGTAGTAGACAAAACATCCTTATGCGGGAGGTATTCAAAGTGTCTGGAGGACGGGGTATATATTATATATGTGTTTATCATAAAGAGGTCACTCATCGCAAATCACGCTTCGTCTTATTCAAGGCACAGCTTGCTGTTTGAGCCAAAGTGTTGGTATTGCTGAGGGGTCTGACTATCAGGCAGCGTTTGAGAGTACGCTGCTTAGGTGTATGGGTCGCCATGGCGGCCCACTCCACAAGACAGGCCGACGGGACATTCTCATTTACCTACCGTGGGATCAGGGGGTTTACTGGGGAGGGTAATGAGAGAGAGGGGACATATTCTTGATGCGTTGAAAGGGGTTTGGGGTTGCTGGAACGGAATCAAAAGCACAGGCAGGGGTCGACTTACCTGCACGATCCAAGTAGTTAGAAGATAGAAAAGCCTCTAGGAAAGTCGTAGTTAGCCCAACCACACAGTTTGACCCTCATAAGGGGATATAAGGGATGGGTGTGCGACGAGTAAGGATGCCTATGAACCGGAACTCCGACTGCCTGAAAGTCAACAACCCAATGCCATGCCAATGAAAAACAAGACGGCTGCCGTCGAGCCGGTGATGCGAATACAACCTCATTATCCCCCTGCCACCCTGCCAGTCCATCCATCCATCCCTTGGTCTCAGGTGTCGCCTGTCTGCCAAGCGATAGCAACCCTTATATCACGATGGAAGTAGCATAAGTACCTATCTAGGGTATCGATAGAGCTATTCAGAACATCTCTTCGTCGCGGGTCTGCATCATCCTCCCATACTGGTCTTCCATATGCGCCTGTCGGATCCAATCGACAGTTGCGTTGGCTGCCTTATAGACCGGGTCTGTGGCGTGGCTGTATGTCGGGCCTCCCACGGCGGTGCCGAAATGCTGGTAGACGTCCTTCGGGCGTTCCATTGCTGCGGCATAGGCACGCCGAGCTGATTCCTCGTACTCCCGTCTCGCCATCTCCTCGTAGCCCGTGGCCATGTATGGCTCCGTCACGTCGTGCTGGCCTTGAGTCGAAATCCAACGGCCATCGCCGGCTTGGATGGGCGTCAGTGGGGTACCGTCCAGGCTCATGATCTGTTCCGCCTGCTTCCCTTGTTCGTTGCGCACATAGCGCATCTGGGCAAGGGATTCCTCTTGTTCGACGGTTGTGAAACTCCAGGCAAGCGTCGGGTTGTCGTTGCTGTTAGTCGGCGGGAAAATGCGCCACAGCTCGATCAACCGAAGTTGCTGGGGCTCGGCGACGGACTTGAAGAGCTGCAGCTGGGAGACCGATAGGCAAGAAGGGTCCACTCCATTGTTCTGCAAGACCGTCTCCACGACGGTGTGCTCGCGCTGTGGTGGCTCCGAGGCTGGCCTGGGAGAAAGCTGTGAATGCTCCGCTGATGGACGAGCCAGGTGGCTTGAATGGTTATAGTGCTGCGAGACGTAGACAATTTTAGACTCCTCCCTGGGCGGTTGGGCCGGCTCCAAGGTCAAGTTCTTGGAGAATAAAGCCGCAAGGTCCTCGTGGGCCTGCATAGTGGGCTGAACGGCAATCATGAGTTGGTCTGGGACTCGCTGTTAGTAGTTGGTTTTTGACTAGAAGTTTGTTGCGATGATACCTAGCTGCAGTTAGATGCAGGCAGAAACGTTTGCAGGTGTTGGCCTAGTCGGAAACCGTTCCCCTTCGTCACAGGAGATATGGTAGCGAATGGCGTATAATGTCAGCGGGGCAAGAGCGACAACAAGAGTCGATGGAGTGGTTGTTGTAAGTGACAGGGAAACAACTCGGTTTATATTGACTATGCTATGTACTGGTAGTTGAATAAGCTCTTGGGTAAAGCAACAAAAGGAAGGAAGTATATCGAGAGAAGAAAGAGAGGTTAAATTTGCAGATGGTTGGGGGTGGGGAGGGGGGACCGATTCCGGCTTTGTTCCAGGAGGGTCAGCCGGTGGAATCGAGTCAGAGAGGCAAATGATCACGAGGGGGTCGTCACGCGTGTGCGGTTAGCTTATTTTTCGGATACGTTTACAGCTGGAGGGCTGGAGCGAGGCGTGAAAGGAGAGAGATGAAGGAGTCGTGGAAATTGGTATTTAAAGGCATCAATCTTTATACTTTATAGGAGGGGTGTGGTCTAGGCAGGGCAGGCTATTGGAGCCTGATTCCCTGGCATACCGTGTAAGGAAAATGCAACAGTAGCTGCTGTAACTAAGGCAGGTACTAATGACAATTTCCTGTCGTCACCGCTCATCAACCCATCATAGAAGTTGAGGTCCCTCGCCCCTTCTTCATCCTGCCCCCTTGCAAAGAAATAGAGACACCGACACCTAATCTGTCGTCGATGATTACGTCGTTCCTTCCAGACTCTATTCTAGCTCTACTTGTGGTGAACACTCCCATGATACTCACCAGCCCCTTTTCAAACTCTGCGGGGTTTCGTTGGGCACCTAGTAGGCCGGCATGAAACGGCCCTATACTAGGTAGATGCGGTTCATCTCAAGATCCCTGCCCAATGAAGCGGTGACACGAGGTCATTTACTGAGAGGTAGGAACGTAGTCTTGCCAGAGCTCACATAGATAAGTAATTTGCAAAGAAAGTTAAGTTCAACTTTAGCTCGCGAATCGAGCGCTGTCTTTTCTATCATTGCAACCCTCATTCAATACAGCAAAGGTTTATAGCACATAGTGGTGGGAAGCGGTGGGAAGTGGTTGTTCGACAGGCTCCAGTGGAACAGATGGCGGGGCTTGCAGATGCACTGGAGCTCCCCACATGGCGCATGACTGGGATGTGTTGGTGTCCGGAGTCCGGGCCCTCGGTGGTCCAAGCTTCTAAAGCCACAGGTTTAGCGCCACATGATGACGTTGACCGGCATGGAACCTCCAGCTCTGCGCTTAGAGGGTACGTACGTCGTACAGTAGCTGACAACCACAGCTCACGCGGCTGCCCGGTTTGTCGCCTTATGGGCCAGGCTATATCTCTCCTTCGCTCCAATATTCTTCAAACTTTGGCCCCAGTCCACAAGAAACTCGAAGCCGCTGCTTGTCACCGAGAAAGCAAATATCAAGATGTCTTCAACTGGAGCCCCACCCAACTACTGTGTGTCCCCAGACCTCGATCCTTAGACTGGTTAGGCGCATTGTCTAACTCTTGCCACAGATGCTATCCTCGAGGTCTCGGAGACCGCTACGGTATCTCAGATCCGCGATGCCTATAAACGGTAAGACACACCCCCTCCCACCACTCTCAATGCTAGACCCCCGCACTAACAACACCTTCCCCCACCTTGCGCAGAGCCGCCCTGAAGACGCACCCCGACCGGGTCCCCGCCGAATCGCCCGAGCGAGCGTCGCGCACGCGCAAGTTCCAGCTTGTCAACGACGCCTATTACACCCTCTCCGACAACGGCCGCCGGCGCGAGTATGACGCCCAGCGCAGGATGTTCGGCGGCGGCGGGTCGTCGTCCACCGCGCCGGGCGCATTCCCAGACGCCTTCGCCGAGGAGGACGCGGAAACTCCCAGCGCGACCGCCGGCGCCGGCGCCGGCCAGAACGCGTACTCCTGGGCGTGGAACTTCTTCACCGGCCGGGGAGCCGAGGGTCGGGACCGGCAGGAGGCCGAGAACGAGCAGTTCGGCGACGTGTTTGAGGAAATGCTCCGCGAAGAGGGCATGGCCGATCCGGGCACGGGGCGGCCGACGAGTAAGTTCTGGGGCGTCATCGGTGGCATGAGCGGGGGTGCGTTGGGTTTCATCGTCGCGAACGTGCCTGGGCTGCTGGCTGGTGCCGTGGCGGGTAATAGGCTTGGGGCGATCAGGGACGCGAAGGGGAAGAGTGTTTATTCTGTCTTTCAGGTAAGGTTCCACATCCCGGCCTCTCTGGGTACCCCTCCGAACCAAGGTTCGACTACCTGGGGAAGGGTAAAAAATTGCCACGGTGGCTGACAGTGCTATATAGGAGCTGCCCCAGGACGACAGGGCAAGGCTTCTTAGCCAGTTGGCAGCAAAGGTGTTCAGTAATGTGGTTGGAATCTAGGTTTTCTTGGGCCTCATTTGGGGTACTATTGGCAGAGAAGTCGGTGGCTTGCCATGGTCAGGCTCCTGAGATTCTAGATTCTAGATTCTACTGGGCGGACGAGTATATGAATATGTTCTGTCAAGTCATAGCAGGCGGTGCAGACGATATTTTCACCAAGGACGGGACGGGGTTTCCTTAAAAAGGCGTCAAGCGACGGACTGGAGGGGCTGGCGCAGAGTAATATATCTTTGGGGGGTCTCTGACAAATCTTCAAATGCAGTACTTCAATTAATAGACCAGTTCCTAGTTCCCGCTAGAGTAAGAGTTGACAAACGCGCTGGAGATCATCTCGTGGGAAGCCATATTTCTCACCATAAGGGCTGCAGTTGGTGCAGCTCTCAAGTTCGAGATATGCTTGAGGTGCTAGCTAGCAAGGGGTCAAGACAGCAAACAACACAATGCCAGCCTCATTGATTACTGTCCAGCTGACGGCTATTTGTGATATTTCGCCAACCCCAGGCCACCCTGCTTTCATATATCTAGGATTTGTTGCGGCTAGAAGTATCTGTGGAAGAAGAGGATACATCCTAGCGCGATTGACTGCAGGTAGGGTACCTGGTCCGCAAGGAAGACGGAGAGGGCGGATGTTTGGCGAGTCGCAGAACCCATGGAAAGTGGTAACACACGTTAAAGATAAAGCTCGACATCTGTACCTAATCACCTATGACCCCAGGGCTAAGGAGCTCCTGGTCGAAGATGTTCTGTACTCGAGAAACGACTTCGTTCGCTTCTCCGAGGATGACAGCCAATTTGTCTTTCCGCCAGGAGTGCACACCTCGCCGTACAAATCTCCAGGAGATCTCCTGTATGAAAGCGGAGAACCGGCCGGTTATTAAATTATTCTAAACTGTGGAACACAGCATGTTTTTATCTCAAAGCCTCTGTTTTGAAGACGGAGTCCTCATTGTTGACTTTGAAAAGGGGGTGCAAGGGGCAAAGTGCGGGTTGTGGCTGAAAATAGAAATGTGGCTGGGCTCTTTTTCTGCCTCAGGAACCTTGTTGCGCGCCACAGCTACAGCAACCTCTGGCAACGCGCAGCTCCCCGTTGCCTGAACTTCTGAAGCTCACTTTACTTCCTCCCACGCCATCAAACCCCGTCGAGCTCTCCAACCACAAGTTCCGTGCCTTCTCAGATCCTCTTCAATTTCCCCCACAATCACTGCATAATACGATGGTAAGCTCCAAGCGCCCAATCCCTCGTCGTCTCACTGCCTTTTGAAGCTCACATTGACTGACCTTGTTTTAAACAGACGTCGATAGGAACAGGCTACGATCTTGCCAACTCCATCTTCTCGCCCGACGGCCGCAATTTCCAGGTAGAATACGCAGTCAAGGCAGTGGAGAATGGGGGCACCTCTGTCGGCATCCGGTGTAAGAACGGCGTCGTTCTCGCCGTCGAGAAGATCATCGCATCAAAACTGCTGAAGGCCGGAGCGAACAAGCGGATTGCCACGGTAGACAGGCATCTCGGTGTTGTACGTTCTGACATGTCCATTCTGGGAGCACACGGCCCATGATACGACGGACCAATTACTGACTTCGTCCCCGCCAACCAAAATAGGTGTACTCCGGCATGGTTCCCGATGGCCGACACTTTGTCGACCGCGCCCGCGACGAGGCGCGGTCGTGGCGCGATAACTTCAAGACCCCGATCGGTACGGCCGACCTCGCGAGTAGGATGGGCGGCTACATGCAGGCCTACACGCTGTACCAGTCTGTGCGACCGTTCGGCATCACGGCCATCGTCGGGGGCTTCGACAGCGAGCTGGAGACGCCGGTGGACGGGGAGGTCGGGCGGGGCCCGTCGGTCGGCGCGGGCGGCAAGTTGGAGGGCCAGAAGCACGGCGGGCCGTTCCTGTATATGATCGAGCCGTCGGGCCTGTACTGGGGCTACTACGGCGCCGCGACGGGCAAGGGCCGCCAGGCGGCTAAGGCGGAGCTGGAGAAGCTGGACCTCGCCGCCGGCGAGCTGTCGCTGGAGCAGGCCGTCAAGGAGGCGGCGCGCATCATCTACGTCGCCCACGACGACAACAAGGACAAGGAGTTCGAGCTCGAGATGAGCTGGGTCAGCGACGCCGCCGGCCCGACCAAGGGCCGGCACGAGGAGGTGCCCAGGGCCCTGAGGGAGGAGGCCGAGAGGCTGGCGAAGAAGGCGCTCGAGGGAGACGATGACGATGACGAGGGGAAGAAGGACGATGACAAGATGGAGGATTGAGGCGGAGATACTCAGTGAATGGAAGAAAGGGCCGAAAAGCGGGCGACGAGTGTACTTGTATCATCATGGCGGCCACGGATGGGTTTTACGAAGGGAAGATCCATAGAAAGTAATTGCCATTTGGACCGCGGACGGATTGCCAGGTCCTTTCTATGCAGAGATTCGCGAGGTACCGTGCTTGCTGCTAACCTATCTACTTCATTGCATGTCTCGCTCCGGTTTAGAAAGAGTATGGAAGTATTCTATGGAATTGCACGTTACAATTTGGGCGGAGAACCCTGGTGCAAATATGGATGCATATCTCGACATTCGCAAACAGATTCTAAACCGCTCCCTAGGTACCCACTACCGCTAGCTAGCTACCAAGCTATTCCTTGCCTTGTGCCGCCATGTTTGAAGCATGGCCTTGGCACCAGTTGAGCCAGTCCGCGAAGAACGAAGGCTGCATCTTGACTTCCCCGCGGTACCAGTTGAGCTGGGACTGGGCATAGAGCTGGAAGACCTCCTCGGCCCGGCCGGTCGAGGCGCAGAGGACCGAGGCCACGGCAAGGCTTGCGGACGAGGCCGCCCTCGCGAAGAGGTGGGACGGATCCTTGGACGCGTCGGCGTGAATGTCGCGCAGGAGAGCCATCAGGGCGTCGGCGTCGAGTTCGTTGGAATCCTGGTTGGCCCTGGATTTCTTGAGACCCTTCGCGAAGGTGAGGACGATGTCGCAGGCCTTGTTGGCGAGCGGCTTGGTCGTCGTCATCCGGACCAGCTGCAATAACGGTAGGAGGATTTGGAAGACAAGCGGGTTCGAGGTGGCTGCCTCCTTCTTGATGAAGATGGCGAGCAAGTCGAGGACCCGGTGTTTGAAGTTGATGATCGACTCTTTGGCATCCTTTTTGTCCTTTTTCTTGCTCGACGTCTTCGCTCGTTGCTTGAAGATCTCCACGAGTTTGTCGTCAAGCTCCATCATCTCCGAGTCGCTCATGTCGGAATCATCGCTTGACTCGGCCTCCGCATCCTTGTCTAGACGGTGGCTCTTCAGCACTTCAGCCAAGGCATCATCCAACCCGTCCAATTCATCCTTGGCACCTTCTCCCTGAACGGACTCGGCCCCTTCACTACCACTGTCACTTTCATTGTCGCTGGCATCGGATTCTGGGTCCGAGGGGGCATCCTCGAGGTCCACAATCTCCACATCCGAATCGAGAGACTCGTGGTCGCTGCCTTCTGGTTCGCTACCCTCGGCGCCGTCCATGTCTTCGTCCTCAGTGCTAAAAAGGGTCTGTTGTCCCTTTGCATTCTCATCCGCCGTAAGCGGGTCTGTGAGAAGTTGGATTGCCTGGGCTGAGAGCACGGGGGTGAATGCCTCGAACACTTGTTGAGAGAGTTGCCTCATCAGAGAGGACGGCTGGGCAACCATGGAGAGCAGGATCTCAACGAGGAACTCGGACGCGCCCTCGTCCTCGTCGAATGCCTTGCCTTTCAGTTTATCGTAGCACTGCTCGAGATCTGCTAGCGTCTCCAGCGCATCCGGGTCTTCGTTGTACAGCTGCAGGACACCCACGGCGTGTAGCAAGGCCAATCCATGGTATGGGCCTCTGAGATCTGCTCCAACGTCCTCACAGTCAAGCAGGTCTCTGAGTCGCTCCAGCGCTCGAACGAGCTCCGATTCGATCTCCCCATCCATCCCCACGTCCGCTTCGATCAACAAGACCGCGTTGCAGAGGTGAGAAAAGTCTTCGGGCCGCCTGACGAACTTCGCAAAGGCGGACGTCAATCTGTTACGCAGCAGATCTCGGGTCTTCTGGTCCGACAAAGCCGCATCGGCCTTGGAGTAGGTAATTCTTGCTAGTTCCTGAAGAGCTAATGCCGGGACATAAATATCATGGTCGTCATCCGTCTTTCCAGGCTCGGTTGCAAGGCTCGCCAGCTTGAAGAGATAGTTGCCATAAGCCTGCACGAACAACGGCAGCTCTAGATTGTTCATGTTCTTGATAAGGTCGAGGACAGCCTCGACATTTGTCGTGGTGGTGTATTGAAGTAGTTTCTCTACTGTCTTGGTGTTCGTCCGTTGGTCGAAGTTGTAGGCGCCATGACTACCAAGGAGTTTCTTCAAGACCGGCTCAAGGATCGAAGGTTCTTCCTGGACGGTAGTCTCGATTGTCTTCAGAGCCTTCAGTGCAGCCCGATGGAGGTAGCGATCCTCTTTCGACGCCTGATTGATCAGACAAGCCATGAAGTTCTTGCTGAATACGGTGTCCACGATAAATGGGGAGCCTGAACCGCCTTCGATCATCTTTTGGAAGATCATGAAACCAGAAAACTTCTGGCCGTCGGAGGCACTCTTGGAGAAGAAGCTTTCTACTACCCAGTCAGCATTTGAGGAAGACCAACAACGAGGCAGGTACACGGGGACTCACCGTCAACGACTCTGTTCCAAAACAGCCTGAAATTCTCAGCGAGATCAGAATCGGCGGTTGAGGGCTTTGCAAAGTGTGACAGAATAACATCCCACACCCAGTGGAGCTGCGCAGTCCAGTTGCTCTGCTTCTGCTTCCGACCAGTGGCATCCTGTGACTGTGACTCCTCCCTACCACTATCCTTCAGCGCTGCAGGCAAGTCTCCGAAGGCTTTCGGCGAGAGAGGGTTACGCCACGGCTTTGAGGGCACCTTCATGTCTGGAAAGCGGTCCAGGGCAACTATATAGATGCCGACCCCTTCCGGAGTCTTGGACAGACCCTCGTCAGACAGCTTCTGGAGTGTATTTTCGGCCAGCTTTTGTTTCATTTGTCCTATGGCCTGAGCAATGATCCAGCCACACTGGGGTCGAAGCCACGCCTTCTTGTTGGCGAGCTTCAGCAGGAGGTCAACGACTGAAAGCCATCTCGTCTTGTCGCCGAACAGGATGCCGGCACTGACGAAACACTCGATTCCGAAAAGTTGGCCAAAGTAATGGTCCCTCTCTTGCTGGCCAGGGACATTGCCGCCAGCATGCGTTCTCGCGACCAAGACATGCAAGACTTCGTCGAACGTCAGTCCAGGATATCGCAGGTTTGCCAGGTCGTCCTTCCCGAAGAGCTGTCTCAGGATCTCGGTAATGGCGAGGCTGAAGCCAATGCGCGACGCATTCCTGCCGCTTGCGAGGCCGCGGAAAAGCCGGGTGTCTAGGTGACGTTGGAGGACCGGACCGGGCACGCCTTCTCCGCCAAACAAGCCGGACACAATGGCATCCGCGGCATTGATGCGGTCGGAGCTGTCCTCGCTACCAAGGAGCTCGTATACGTGCGCTTCCCGTTTGCGTTCGTCGGAGGTGGGGCGTTCCACGAAGGGTGACTTGTCTAGGCTCTTGGGGGCTTTGTTTGATGTGGGCTTGGCCGAACCATTCTTTGAGTCGGGGATTTTCTTGGGCCGCTTCGTTGTCGGCTGGCTCGGAGCAGCCGAGTCTTTGGCAGCGCGCTTTCTCTTGCTACCCATGTTCGGAAACAATTTGCAATTGCTTGCGACCTGGACTTGGCCAAGAAACAGAGAGGCCTCGCTCTCAGGCACATAGATTGTAAATTTTTGGATTCGACTATTCTGCCATGCACCACCGCCTTCGCATCCCCACTATCTCGCCTTGGATTGGCCGTGGCAGAATGCGGGGGGAAGCTCCCCGATTCCCCAAAATTCGTAGCTATAACGCCCTGTGCTATTGGGTAGGAAGAGACTATCGGTATGCTATGCTATGTCTTGTCAATCTTAACGTTTAAGCTAGATTTCGAGCAGGCTTGGAATGAGTTCCGTCCTTTTGTCTAGATGTAGGTTGGCAACTATTGAGACTGTGGTCCTCATGGTTAACCGTTAGCTTGCCCACGAGTCGGCCCGGCCCAGTAGAAACCTAAGTATCTACGGATGCTACCGTCCCCTGCTTTGTAGCTACCTACCCTTTCGACTCCTTGGCTCAACCTTGGATCATTCCAGGACGATTAGTTCAAGGTTAGTAGCGACAACTGTCTGTCTGCCGCTGCGGGGAAATGTCATGTCGCTGCTCCAAGTCTCCTATTGTGTTACAGTGCAGGGGACTGCAATGCAGCCACAAGCGATGCATTACAGCACAGAGCTTGGGGCGGCACATGGGCACACGTGCCTCTCCGAGTTGATGAATTAAAAGTTCCGATTAGTTTAATCCAATCCAATCTCAATCTCAACAAAGATCGGCGGACAGGCCGATCACTTGGGGCCAGCCCCTTTCAGGAAATTCCGTCCGGTCTTTTCAAGTGGTACGAAATATCTCCGGATACGCATACGGATACTGCATCCTTCGTGTCTAGACCTTCTGCCTGTCGACTACCTACCGTATCTCCTTGACCGATTCAGTTATGTGCTCCTCCTACACTACAAGTCAAACCACAAAAACTGGCGACTACAACGCAAACCGAGGTATTAGCCACTCCCATGTTTAGTCGGCCCTCGTAATAAGTCACCCACGCGATAAGATTTAGTTCCTCCCAGGAACGAAGATCACCTAGTTCCTTTAGGAACGGCCCTGCCCCAAGTGCTCTCAACCTTGAGCTTGTCGTAGCTTGGGTTCAGACCTGGATCGGGAGTCGGGCCACCTGACTACCTACACATTGGCCTGGCTCGCCTGGCGTAACGTTGCGCCACCGACGGGATTTGGAGATTTGGATCAACAGTCGAAGACAAGCCTCTCCAACCCATCGTCACAGACGAAGGATGGAGGATAGAAGAGGGTAAGTTGGTAACCCCGGTGAACTTTGATCGAAACTTTGGGTAACATAGATTTATAATCGCCCTGCAGCTCACCGTCACTGCCGGAGTCTTATTATTGATCGACTCACTTATACCTGCCCCTTGCAGAGGTTAATTTACGGAGCCGGATGAGCCTCAACGTCTCCCATTGAGGCCTTCACCTCTATATATCCCCATTTCCCAGACCCTGTCCGCCTTGCTGCTGGATCTGCCTTTGAACGGATTCCCCCCTCCCCGTTTCTGTGCGTCTCTACGCCGCCCGCCAACATCATGTTTTCCCACTTCGCTTCCTCCCTCCTACTTCTCTCTCTGATCCTCCTTGGTCCTGTTTCCGCGATATGGCCTGCTCCGCAAATCTTCACCAAGGGCCAATCAGTCTTGTATCTACACCAGAACCTCGAAATCACGTATAATGGCGGATTTGTATGCTGGTCTTCTTCTCCCGACAACCCCTGCCCCCCGGATGATTTGAGTACTAAGAGCGAACTGTTTCAACAGCTCCCCTACACCTACGGATTTACTCCATATGACAGCTTTGATAGCAAGCAGCGCGTACAGGCCGCGGTCTCGAGGACCCTCGACTCTATCTTCTCGAGCGACTTTGTCCCCTGGATGCTGCGTAAGCGAAACCGACTTTCCGACTCCGAGCCCAAGCTTCTCGAGGGCCAGAACTGGGTAAAAACCCTCCAGATCATCCAAACCGAGGAAGACTCGCCGAGCTCATTCAAGCCCCTCGGCGGTGCCGTCGACGAGTCGTACAACCTGACCCTGAGCGCGAAGGGCCATGGCAAGCTCACCGCTGTGTCGTCGACCGGTGTGCTCCGAGGTCTGGAGACCTTTGGCCAGCTCTTTTATAAACACTCGGGCGGCCCGTTCTGGTACACGTCATCCGTTCCCCTTGACATCCAGGATTACCCAAAGTTTCCCCATCGCGGCATCCTTATGGACGTTGCCAGGAACTGGTTCCCCGTCGAGGACATTCTCCGGACCATCGATGCGATGAGCTGGAGCAAGATGAACAGACTGCACATCCACATCACTGATTCGCAGTCCTGGCCGCTCGACATCCCCGCTCTGCCCGAGCTCTCCAAGAAAGGCGCTTATCGGCCAGATATGACGTATTCGCCCGCCGATATCAAGCACATCCAGACGTACGCCATTCAACGTGCCGTTGAGGTCATCCTCGAGATTGACATGCCCGGGCATATCGGGTCTGTGGCTGAGTCGCAGCCCGAGCTAATCACAGCATACGATGCGTTCCCCTACTACTGGTGGTGCGCCGAGCCACCGTGCGGAGCCTTCAAGCTGAACGACACGGGCGTGGATAACTTCCTCGAGACCATGTTCGACGACTTGTTGCCAAGGCTTGAACCTTACTCGTCCTACTTCCACACTGGTGGTGATGAGCTGAATGCCAACGACTCGATGCTGGACCCCGGCGTCAGATCCAACGACACCGAGGTGCTGCAGCCCCTACTCCAGAAATTCATCGACGCCCAGCATAAACGCGTGAGGAAGGCCGGCCTGGTTCCCATGGTGTGGGAGGAGATCCCGATCGACTGGGGCGTCGATATTGGCAAAGACACCGTCGTGCAGGCGTGGCTGGGCGAGGATTCTGTGAAGAATCTGACGAGCCGCGGGTTTCAGGTCATTGATAGCAACTACAACTACTGGGTGAGTCTCACCACCCTCCCCATACCCCAGACATAGGAACGGGGCCAAGGCTGACTGACACTGGATATAGTACCTGGACTGCGGCAGAGGCCAGTGGATCAACTTTGACAATGGCTTGGCCTTCGAGTCGAACTTCCCATTCAACGACTGGTGCGACCCGGCGAAGGGCTGGAAACTGGTCTATTCGCACGACCCGACTGCCAACCTCGACGAGGAGCAGGCAAAACTGGTGCTCGGCGGCGAGGTGGCAGCCTGGAGCGAGACGATCGACACGGTAAACCTCGACCAGATCCTCTGGCCGCGGGCTAGCGCGGCAGGCGAGGTGTTGTGGTCAGGCAGGCGGGATTTGTCGGGCCAGAACCGGAGCCAGCTGGAGGCGGCACCTCGACTGGAAGAGCTGAGGGCGCGCATGGTCGCGCGCGGAGTGGGTGCCTCTCCGGTGACCATGATATGGTGCACCCAAGCCAACAACGGGACCGAGTGCTCTTATCCCATGTGATGGGCGGATATACTGCATAGTAGAGGGAGCGACGTTGTGCATGATGTTCGTGGATATACCAAACTAACAACCATGGGGCGCAGAATTCGGCTTGTATGTACATAGTTATGCAGCCATTTGCTAACAAGGCAGAATAGGCATAATAGGCATATTGAGATGATGATTTCAACCACGACTCGATTGATTGGTCTGATGCTCCATGAATGCCTGCGGGGTCCAACGGCGCCAGATCTGCCAGATGGGGGTCAACCAGGGTGCTCCTCCGCATCTGTACATCACATTGTAGCTTGCGGTCGGGCTGCCGAGGAAGCATGTGAAAGCTGCCAAACAGTCGATTTCGAGTCTGCTACCATGGCAGGAGACTGTCAATTGCCCCTAAAGAACAGTAAATCGAGCCTCTAACCAGCTTACTGACCTTGATGAACGACTTCCAAGACTCACCGCGGCGCTTTTGACATCGCTGACAGCACAGAATCCTCCTAAAAAATTTACATAAAAAAGTCCGACCTCGGCACCCGCCTTTTAGGGCGAGTTAATTCCAAGCTTTCTTCTAAATAGAGCCCTTCCCCGCAGGAATAACCCCTGGCATGTTGCGTAATGGGGAGGGGGGGTAGGATCCGATGATGTTCACTGGACAGTCGCGCCATCCCCAGAGGGATCTGGCTCCTAACTACCTATGCACCTTGCTTGGGCCTCTCGGCTTCCCAACCCGCACTGAAGGGTTCGTGTTGGTAAAGCCGCACTGGGCCGGAATGAAGGGGCGATCCGGCGATGCAGGGCAGGCGCAAGGGCCTTCTTAAACACGCGATATCTCGCCCATGCAGTCAAGCTTCTGGTTCTTCATTCCTATCGCTTTCAATGAACCTTGGCAGATGTAACGGAGTGACTATACGATTAGTCCAGGGAGTAGCTTAGACTGGGACTTTCCCGTATTATACTTGTCTCTTTGAGGACGACGTTCTAGTCTCTTGCCCATCATCTATTTGTGGTAGCATATCTGCCTCCCTACCTTCAACTACCATCTGACCACTTGTCTCTCACCGGCCTCTCTCCAGAAAAGGAAGGAGACGGGCATGATCGAGGAGTTGCTGGGGCGCGTCTCCTTGAAGACGGCCCTCCTGGTCCTGATATCCGGATATGTGTTCTTCAAAGTATGCATGCGTATCGAGGAGAACATCAGGCTGAAGCGTCTTGGTTCTCGCGGCACAACGATCCCGACGTACCTTCCCTTTGGTAAGCTCCTCCTCTTGGGCTGTCACTTGCCCAGAAAGGAAGCCCCAGGACCGGAACAGCCCGACTAATCCGCTCCCCCCCTCACAGCCCTCGACCTCGTCTGGCGCACCGTCCGGTCAACGATGGCGCACAAGAACCTGGAGATGTGGCAGTCGACCTTTGCGTCCATCGGCGGGTGGACGGGCGAGGTGCGCACGATTGGGCGGCGGATGATCCTGACGGCCGACCCGGAGAACATCAAGGCGATCCTGGCGACGCAGTTCGGCGACTACGGCAAGGGCGAGCCCTTCCACGAGGAGTGGAAGGACTTCCTCGGCGACAGCATCTTCACCACCGACGGCGACCTCTGGCACTCGAGCCGCCAGCTGATCCGGCCGCAGTTCGTCAAGGACCGCGTCAGCGACCTGCAGTGCTTCGAGACACACATCAAGACGCTGTTCCGGGCCATCGCCAACGGCGGCGCCCTGAACGGCGAGGACCAGGACGTCGACATGGAGGCCGGGAACGGGAGGGTGCTGGACATCAGCGACCTGTTCTTCAGGTACACCCTCGACGTCGCCACCGACTTTTTGCTGGGGAAGGACGTCAAGTCGATGGCGTAAGTTGCCATATTTCATAACGTCTAGTGTACGGTATGACGGCCGCTGCTGACCCTCATCATCTAGCAACCCCCGCCACGAGTTCGCGGAATCCTTCAGCGAGGTGCAGCGCGTGCAGAACCTCATCACGCGCCTCGGCCCCCTCAGCGGTCTGGTGCCGCGGGGCTCGTTCCGGCGGGGCCTGCGGGTGATCAACGAGTTCGTCAACCAGTACATCCAGCGGGCTCTGCGGCTATCGCCGGAGGAGCTAGCGTCCAAGGCCAAGGGCGACATGGGCTACACGTTCCTGCACGCGCTAGCCGGGTTCACGCATGACCGCAAGGTCCTGCGCGACCAGATCGTCGCCGTCCTGCTGGCGGGCCGCGACACGACGGCCTCGACGCTGAGCTGGGCCGTGTACGAGCTGTCGCGCAACCCGGCCGCCGTGGCCCGCCTGCGCCGCGAGATCCTCGACGTCGTGGGCGCCGACCGCACGCCCACGTACGCGGACCTCAAGGGGATGAGGTACCTGCAGAACGTCCTCAACGAGACCCTCCGCCTATACCCCTCGGTGCCGTTCAACGTCCGCCTCGCCCTGCGCGACACGACGCTCCCGCGCGGCGGCGGGCCGGACGGCACCGAGCCGCTCGCCGTGCTCAAGGACACGCCCGTCGGCTACAGCACGCTGGTGATGCAGCGGCGGGCGGACCTGTACCCGGCGGCGGGCGGCGGCGGCGGCGGGCCGGACGGCCTCGCGGACCCGGGCGTCTTCAGCCCCGAGCGCTGGTTCGCCTGGCAGCCGCGGCCGTGGCAGTACATACCCTTCAACGGTGGGCCGCGCATCTGCATCGGGCAGCAGTTCGCCCTGACCGAGATGGGCTACGTGCTCGTCCGCCTCTTCCAGCGCTTCGACCGCGTCGAGTCGCACATGGCCGGGGTCGACGGCGGGAAGCCCACGCTCAAGGCAGAAATTGTGCTGCAGCCCGGCGACGGCGTGAGGGTCGCCTTCTGGGAGCCTGCGAAGGGGACCGAGGGCGGCGGCGGCGTCTAATTCTCACTTGCTGGCCGGTTGGGTTTGGGGTTCCGGGTGTGAGGTCTGTCTGGATTGGGGGTAAGGAGAAAAGAAGGTCATTCCTGCCGGGGAGGGGATGATGATTAGGTCCTCGACGGTTCCTCTCTACCTTGGGACGTGACTCTCTTCGCATGGGTTATATGAGAATGAGGTCGGTGGGGAATATTGTATCCCCGAAAACATGGTATGAAATTGTCAGGCTGCTGTTGTCGGTACTTGTATGTTGATAGGTTGATAATATCAGCTGTCCCCTTCACGTGTGAACATGTAAACACCACCCGACACACAGCTTTTAACATGGAAGGCAACACGGTGCTTCGTATCGCCACTCTTCACAAACGGACATGCAATTATGAATTAGAACGTAGCATTTGCAACTTATTTCGAATTCAAATTCGATTCCCCTAATCATAAAACAAGGCCAACTCCAACTCCGATAATGCTGGGGAAATTCAGGGGCAGATGCTTCCCCCTTACGGACATGGTTCAACTACTTCAAACGATAGCTATGCCGTATCGCATCGGCAAATCTACGAATAGCCTCCGTCATGTTCTCCGGGGTCGCTGCCGCATACGTGGCCCGGAAGAACATCTCTGTCAGGGCCCTGTCGTGCTCGGCCCTGAACCACGAACCTCGGCCCACGAGGACGCCTTTCTCGATGCAGAGACTGAAGATCTCTTCTTCAATGTCGAGGATGCTGCGATGAGACGCATCGGGGTGAAGGTTGTGGTTGACCTTTAGCCAGTGCTGCGACGGTATTCAAATCAGCTCAGGTGCCACGTAGAAGAAGAGCGAGCAAATCACAAAAACGGGAGGGAAGTCTTACAAACATGCCGGCAGCTGGAGGGTTCCAGCTCACAATCTCTCGAGGAAGGTACTTCTCGCAAGCGGCCAAGATGACGTCCCTCCGCTTCGTGTATTCCAGCCGCAGGTTCATGAGCCATTTCAGGTATCCTTCGTGGCCCCAACTCTCATCCAGCATCTTGTATAAGATGATCTGGGAGAAGCCGCTCGGGCCCTGGTTGCACGCCTCGCTGTGCCTTATATACCTCTCAATAATCTGCTCCGACGCCGTGACCCAGCCGAGTCGAGAGCCCGGGACCACGACCTTGGAAAAGGAATCCATCCGCAGGACTCTCCCGTCCACGTCCATGCTCAACAGCGACGGGACGAGCGACTCCAGGAACTCCTCCACCGACGCCGGCGGAGGCGTAACAGGCGAGCCTCGTCCCGCATACGGCTGCATCTGGAGGAAATAGTACGGCTCGTCCTCGATGATGTACACGTCGTGCTGCTGCGCGACCGCGTAGATGTCCCTGCGCCGCCTCTCGCCCTGCGTTGCGCCCGTTGGGTTTTGACCCGAGGGCACGGTATAGAGCACGTGCGGTTTCCGCGCACCGCGCGCTTGCACGTCCCACCGGGCCAAGATCTCGTCCATGCTCTCGGGGATCAGGCCCTGTTCGTCCATTTTGATGCCGAACACCTTGATCCCCAGAGGTGCGGCCGTCTCGAGTGCTGTGGAGAAGCTGTACTCCTCGGTGAGCATCGAGTCACCCCGTTGCCGGTCGAGAAACATCCTGTAGGCCTGTTCCAGGGCACCCGTGCTGCCGACCGTGAGGCAGGATCGCCAGTCGGCGTAGGGCGGGTTGCAGACCAACTCGGTGTGCTCCGTTACCCAGCGCATGAGCTGTGCGGAACCAGTAGCTTGGCCGTAGTTGAGGGCGATAGACAGGTCATAGACTCCGTCCTCGCTCTCGGCAACATCGTACTTGCCGATGTGGACTTCCTCGCCAGAGCCCCGTGCCTCGGCCTCGGAGAAGTGAGGTACCGTGGGAATCTTCATGCTGATCGACTGAAAGGGAAAGTACTCGGCACAAGGCAGACCACCTCCGAGGGAAATGAGGCCTGGCTTCTTCAGGTGTTTGGCGGCCTGCTTGAGAACGCATGGTTGCCGGGCCGCGCTCTCGGAACTCAGGATGTCTGATCAATCCGTGTTAGTGAGTATAGGTAGGGCTGTGTAGCAAAATAATGCTATGGCACCTACGATCCCATCGTCTGGCCTTTGGTTTGCCCGTCGACTACGAAGCAAGTTCAGTTAGCCAGGAGTATCTCAAGGGATGGGGGTAAGTAAGAAACCATCCGTACCGGGCCCTTGAACATGTCACTGTCAGAGACAGCCGCCGTTCCAGCAACCAGCTTCCCGGCCTTTGCGCGCCTCTCCAAGATGTCATTGATAGTGACACGTGTGCGGACATTCTTCGGAGGGGTTATCTCAGTATTGGATGGCTTTGCGTGGAACAACCTCCTGCTAAGAGACCTAGTGCTTGGTTGATATCGTGAACTTCGCGCCAGGCGCTGAAGAGCTGTTTGGCCAGCCACAGTCTTCATTCTTGCTAGCCACGATGTACGAGATAGATTCAAATATTATTCAAGGCATAGGAACGTAGGATACGAGTTTCCACAGGAAATTCGTTGTATCCCGGAGGTCAAACAAGGGATTGTGACTCAAGCTGCCTCCTTTTAGGGGATAAGCCAGGCTTGATAATGGATGGATAGGCGGGGCGGTTGAGGGGTCCTGCCCGCAGCTAACCGCTTGTAACCCCAGCACAAATCGGTCATGGGATCATCCCCTAGACAACTCGAGATAGCGTCTAGTGCTTCAGTGAGAGGGGACATTGTCCATCCAGCCCACTGTTGATATGCTTGGAGATGGCGGCCATTGAGAGGTAGAGCACACTCACAGATACCTATACTTACAGATGCCTCCCCACAGTTTGATGGGAGACAGTTCCCCGAGAATCCTTGCCAGTGATGCATCCAAGTTGTGAAACTCCAGAGTTGTTTTTGGTGATACTTGCATTGAAATATTCATCCCTGTTGATTGATCCTGGTGACCGATAGGTAGTCGCTCCCAGTGATCCAAGTGCTCCTGTCGGGCAATGGATATCTAGGGATATATATATATATATATTTAAAGTAGAGCACTGAGAGGTTCCATGCCGTGCGCCTCACTGCTTATATGCCGTGTTTTATGATCATTAAATCTGGGTTTGAGGGTTTGACATCATCCTCACCAAGATGAGAGGGCATGTTGCAGCCACCACGGGCGGTGGGGGTCTAGAATGGAAGCTAGACGGCCAATGGGAAACCAGTTTAGCGCCACTAGCCCCCACCAGCCACTTGAGTTCTGGGATTTCCAAGCTGCGCAGCAGCCCAACCTCCTGGAAAACCGACGATTTGACGACGCGTTGGCTTGCCATTCGCCAATTATCCAATTATGCACTCCATACTTGCTGTAGGTCATCTCCGACGTAGACCTGTGACGATGGTCGGAGGTTGGTAGATATTCTCTCTCTTTTGGCATTTACCCTTTAAGAATGATAAAGGCGTTCATGCACCGTCTTACCGAGTCCCAAGATCCGCTTCATTTAGCGTTACATCCCGTTCCCTGTATCTGCTCGTTGTCTTAAAAACTAGAACTCTGTATTATTACAGGGCACTAGAGGGGGAACTGTCTCAACTTGCAATCTTGCTTCTTCTCTCTAGTCGTCTGCTTGCTCAACTCCGACAGTATCAGCATGGTACGTTCAAGATCATGGAGAGCTGCCGCGGCAGCAGTTCTACTGATGACGACTACGGTATCGGCACAGACCTGGTCGTCATGTAACCCACTATACTCCAGTAAGTTGCTGCTTCGACGACGTCCAAGCTTGCATGAGCTAACCCTCGCCAGCCGATTGCCCCCCAGATGCGGCACTGGGCATGTCGATCCACGTCGACTTCACCCAAGGATCGGTCAATTCCTTCGTTGCGAGCGGCGGAACGCCCAAATACGACTCGGCCGGCGTCGAGTTCACGGTCGCGAACCCGGGCGACGCGCCGCAGCTCACGAGCCTGTTCTACATCATGTTTGGCCGGGTCGAGTTCACGATGAAATCCGCGCCGGGAGCCGGCATCGTCAGCTCGCTCGTCCTGCAGTCCGACGACCTGGACGAGATAGACATGGAGTGGCTCGGGGCGGATGGCGCCCAGGTCCAGACCAACTACTTCGGCAAAGGCCAGACCACGTCGTACAACCGCGGCGAGTTCAACCCGGCAGCCAACAACCAGGGCGGCTTCATCAAGTACACCATCGACTGGACCCCCGACCGCATCGTGTGGTCCGTCGGGGGCACCGTGATACGGACTCTCCAGTACAACGACGCCGACGGCCAATACCCCCAGACGCCGATGCAAGTCAAGTTCGGTTCCTGGGCGGGTGGCGACCCGTCAAACCCCCCCGGCACGATCGAGTGGGCCCAAGGGCCGACGGACTACTCAAAGGGCCCATTCACCATGACCGTCCAGTCCGTCTCCATAACCGACTACTCGACAGGCGAATCGTACAAGTACGGCGACACCTCGGGCACCTGGGAGTCGATCATCGCCAACGGCGGCGCCGTCAACGGCAACCCGGACAAGGGGGGCGGCGGGCCGACCGTGACCGCCAGCGCCGCCAGCCCGACGGGCCTCTCGCCGACCGTCCCCGCCGGCGGCATCGGCAGGGGCGACACCGCCACCCAGACCGGCTGGCCCTGGGTCAAGGCGTCCGGCACGGCCCCGCCCAACGCCATCCCCAGCGGCTGGAGGATGACCCCCGACGGCAAGATCGTCCCCATCAACGGCGGCCCCGGTCCCGCCGCCGGAGCCCCGAACTTGCTGCTCGCCGCGTCACCGCTCGCCGTCGGGATCCTCGGCGCCGTCGTCGGCTGCTGGCTTTTGTGATGTCATGGGCTGGTCGCAGGGGGCGGGGCCCAAAAACACACAATGGGATATGTAAAGGAGGACTGTACATGATTTTTGCATTGCGTTTGGAGGACCAGGCTTTTTTCTTCTTCTTATTCCCTTTCCTCTTGGCAGGGCTTGTAGAGTTATACCCTCCTGTGCACGGATAGAACAGCTCACAGCAGCAGGCGTTGGGAGGTAGTTCGCGGCGAACGGGCTAGGATGCAAATAGATGGATAGATTTGAGATGTCACGACTCCCACGGAGGTTGACGTCGGATGATGATTCGGAGAACGGCAGGCGGACGGATGGATAGGTATATAATAATCACGAGTCCGCTGTTGTCATGCACTCACCCGAGCAAATAATTGACTCCAACAATAAAGTCGCAGTCACCAATAGTTACGTCCCGGAATAGGGTCAGTGTCGACCATGACCATCTGAGAGGATTAAGTACAATGTTCTATTTCTACACATCTACGTACGAGCCTAGGTAGGTACCCCGAGCGATTTCTACCACTCTATTGCTCCTTCTTCGACGGCTTCTCCGTCGACTGAACCGCGGCACTCTGGATGAAGAGCTGTCTTTCCACAAACTTCAAGAACTCGTCGATGAGTCTGGACAGAAAACACATAAGTCAGCGCTGAAATGGTTTTCGGTTGAGTTTTTTTTTGGGGGGGAGGAATATATGGTGGAGACTTACATGACGGGAGCACTGATGATGATCACTGCCTTCCACTCCAACCAGTTGAGTGGTAGGATCGAGAACAGGGTCTGGAGAATGGGAGTGTAGAGCAGTGCGAAGTGGAGAGCCATCGACAGGCCGATGGCGTAGACGAGCATCATGTTCTCCCAGAGTGGGAGTGTCAGGAGGGATTCGCTGGAGGAAAGGGCATTCATGGCGTTGAACATCTCGATGACGACGAGGATCGAGAGCGAGACGGTCGAGGCCGACTTGGCCATGTCGTTGGTGAACATCTGGCAGCCGATCTCGGGGAACTGGGTCGAGCAGCGGTGGAAGTGGCTGAGCTGCCAGAAGCTGATCTGCGGGCCCTCGGGGTTGTACATGAACCACCAAGCGTAGCCGCCCACGGTCGCGAGACCGACATAGATTCCGATGACCATGTAGCGGAAGAACAGCCAGCCGCCGATAAGAGGTTCGTCGCGCTTCCTCGGCTGGCGTCTCATGATGTCGTGATCGGGCGGGTTGAAAGACAGCGCAGTGGCGGGGAGACCATCCGTGACGAGGTTGACCCATAGGAGCTGGACCGGAATCAGAGCTTCGGGCATCCCCAGGGCTGCCGTCAGGAAGATGGACACGACCTCGCCGATATTGGACGAGATGAGATAGCGGATGAACTGCTGGGTGTTGTTGTAGATGGACCGGCCCTCTTCGATAGCGGACTCGATGGTGGCGAAGTTGTTGTCTGTGAGGACCATGTCGGCGGCGAGCTTGGAGACGTCAGTGCCCGAGCCCATGGCGACGCCAATGTCGGCCTTCTTGAGGGCTGGGGCATCGTTGACGCCATCGCCAGTCATGGCAACGACCTCTCCAAGAGACTGCAGGAGATCCACCATCTTCGACTTGTGGCTTGGCTCGACGCGAGAAAACAGGGAAGCCTTCTTGGCGGCCTCGAGCTGTTCGCTCGGGCTCAGATTGTCGAATTCACGACCCGTGTAGCTCTTTCCGGTCAGATCCTCGTACTCTCCAAACACGCCGATTTGGCGGCAGATGCTCTCTGCTGTATTCCGGTTATCTCCGGTGATGACAATGACACGGATACCGGCGTCCTTGCACTTCTTGATGGATTCTGGGACCTCGGGGCGCGGGGGATCGAGCATTCCAACCAGTCCAAGCAGGGTGAGGTTCTGTTCCAGCTCCGCGTACTCGGCAGTCGACTTGGCCGTGTGAAGCAGCGGGTTGCCCGAAACATCATCCAGTCTAGCCAAGGCGATAACCCGGAGGCCACGGTTGCCGTAATCGACGATTTCCTTCGTGATAAGTCCGGAGAGCTTGCTATTCAGGGGAATCCTCTTTCCATTCGGACCCAGAAGGGTATGCGTACAACGCTCGATGATAGACTCCGGGGCACCCTTGACCAGCAGTTTTTGCTCTTTCCCATTCTGGACTAGAACGGACATGCTCTTGCGGTCCCGTGAGAACTCGTAGGTGGCAAGCCGGTTGTACTTGTTCTCATACCAGGCGCTGGCGTAGTGAACCCGATCTTCGGGGTGGCAGTCCTGGGGCGCGCAAGGGCCAACCTTCTCGACGAGTACCCGTAGAGCACCCTCCGTAGGCTCACCCACGTTTGAGTACGTGCCGGTCCTGGAGTCATAGGCAAGCCTGGCATCGTTGCAGAGAGCTGCGACCTCGGTCATCTGGAGGATAGTCGCGGAATTCTGAGCAAGGTCTTGAATGACCTTGCCCTTGAGTTTGATGTCGCCCCTGGGCTCAAAGGTAGTTCCATCGACGTCGAGCTCCTCGAGATCCGTGCCGTCCTCGTTGATATAGACAACCTTGTTGACACTCATCTGGTTTGTGGTCAAAGTGCCCGTCTTGTCAGAGCAGATGACGCTACAGCTCCCAAGAGTTTCCACAGAGGGCAGGCTCCGTACGACAGCGTTTTTAGCAGCCATCTTCCGAGTCCCCAGTGCCAGGCATGTTGTGATGACGACGGCGAGACCTTCCGGGATTGCCGCAACGCCCAAGGAGACGGCAATTTTAAGGTAGTAGATGGCACCTTTGGTCCAGTTGCCATGGCTGGGGTCGTTGAAGTGGGGAATGTTGATGAGCCAGACAAGAATGCAGATAACCGTGATCACCTTGGCCAGAGAGTCTCCAAAGTCGTTGAGCTTCTGCTTCAGGGGTGTCGGCTCTGAGATCTGGGCGGTGATGCTCTCGTGGATATCGCCGATGGCAGTTCTGCTCCCAGTCAGGGCCACAATAGCCTTGGCACGACCAGTCACCACAGTTGTTCCGGAGAAGAGCATGTTGACCTGATCCTGCAGGACTGCCTTTTCATCTCTGACAACAGCCTTGTGATCCTTGCCAACACTCTCGCTTTCTCCTGTCAGGATAGCTTGGTCAACAGCAAAACTGTTGCTTTCAATCGAGAGGAGCCTGCAATCCGCAGGCACCCGGTCACCAACAGAGATGGTGATAATGTCGCCTGGGACTAGCTCGTCGGCCTTGACTCGCGAGACATGTCCACCACTTCGCACCACATTTGCCTCATTTGCCGAGTATTCCTGCAGCGCAGCAATGGCTTTCTCAGCACTGCTTTCCTGGGACACGCCGACAATTGCGTTCAGTATGAGGATTGAGAGGATGACGGCCGGGTCGACGAAGGCACTCCATCCTTGCTCCTGCTCAAACAGGGCCAGAACGAGGGAGATTGCGGCTGAGCCGAGGAGGATGAGGACTAGTTGGTCTTTGAATTGCTCGAGGATGAGCTCCCACAGGGGAGTAGGCGGCTCGTCGGGGATTGCTGAGGGGGGGATGAGCTACTTCCTTGACTAACGACAAGAGCACAATAACTTACAGTTGGGGCCATGCTTGGCTCTTGAAGCAAGAACCTGTTCATCTGTCAAGCCCTTGATTGCGTCCACCCGAAGGCTGGCAAGGACCTGGTCTGTAGATTGCGCATAGGCATTCTCCATATTCAACAGCGTCACCCGCGTGGGCTGAAGGTGGGGTTGAAATCTAAGAACCCGGAGATATAGGTCGTAGCCGAGCCGAGAAATCTAGAGAATAGAGACTCTTTTCCGTATCATGGGTTTAGAAAGTAGAGAAATGAATGCCTCATTGAACTGAAGAAATTCGACAGAGGACAATGTGCAATGGGAAAGAAAACGAAAGAAAAAATTGAGTGAGAACTAGGCAGAGGTGGCGGTTGAAGAAGTCAATCCACCAGCGTTTTAGCTATCGCTCTACGTGTCTTCATCCGAGAAGTCACTAGGTGGGCTAGCCTCGTCTCCAACCAGTTTTGCCGCTTTGTGCCTGGCGTGTGCCTGACCTCGTTCGGCATCTCGCGGTTGGATCCCACGTGCACAGACTCGCGGCACTACAGTTCCCGGAAATAGTTAAAGCCGATGCCGGTCTTACTTGAAGACCGCTCCGGCGGCCGACCCGCATAAGCCATAATCCTTCAGTCTAGGTAGGTACATCACAACCAGCTCCAGCCGGGCATATAATCGATTCCATATGTTCTTGTATTTTAATTATCAGGGCTTCAACCGAATCAACTAATAAGAGGAAGATCAGGTAGTCCTAGGCATTTGTTACCACTTCCATTACATAGTGTCTTTTTCCATTTTACCTTGCCCTGCCGTCCAAGCAACCCACCCAAGCAAGTATCGAAAAGGAAGAAGAGGGAAAGGGAAACGAGGAAAAGGAAGGCTATAAAAAGATTTCCGTGGCTATGATCGATAGCAAGGAGATAATCCAAGTCAGTGGAAGATGCTGCCAGGCCATAATAATGAGGAGAGAGCAGGAATGCCTTGAATCGGCTTCGATAACTGGACCCCATCTTTAAACTATCTTCAATCCGCCCTTGGTGCCGCCATAGCCACGCCTCCTCCTCCGAGATAAAAACAAAAGAAAGAGAGCACGAGAGAGAAAATGGAAAAGGGAACAGAAAATTAGGGCGGAAAATGGGGTTAAGCGGGCGTCGTCTCTCGGCTCGCAACCTTGGCGTCCCTCTTGCTCAAGAAGCTCCTTCTCAGTCCGGACTTTGGGCTCTCCGTGGTCGGTGCAAGTGTCTCGGTAGGCTTGAAGGAGCTATTGATGAGCACACTGCCACTGCCGACCGTGACCTCCTTCCCCTGCCCCGAATTCGACTCGTCCACAAAGTATAATCCTTCACCGAGGTCTTCATCGCTCTTGAAGGTGTGGCTCTCCTTAGCTTCGACCTTGAACGGAGACTCGGGCGAGCATAAGATCTTGAAGGTCTCGTCGAACTTGAACACTCCGTCGTGCGCCTTATGGTGCTTGGTCTTGCCCACTATCTTCGACCTGCCATCCTTAACCTGACTGAGAACGACGTACACGTCTGATGAGGACGGGAACCCCGATGCCGAGACGATAGAGAAGCTCGCTGTGCCCGACGACGCCCCCGAAACTAGAGCACTGCGCACGGAGGAACCGCCCACACTCTTTGTGCGAGAATGTTCCATGACGCGTCCGTTCGCGGGCCCTGGAGGTGTCGACTCTCCCGGCAAGGTCGGATCGATAACTGCAGCGGCGCCAAGTCCCGCGGAGCGCTTGAGTCCCATGCCGGGGGCAGTAGGGTCGGCGCCATTAGTGGTGATTGTAGGTATGTCGGCGGAGCTTGTGGTCGGAGTCAAGCCGCCATTGTCTTTGTCCTTGTCCAGCAGGCTCGTGAAGCCACGCTTGATGAACGAGGCGCCTTTGCCAACCCCATGGCCCATGACCCCGGCAACGGCCACTCCTCCCTTGATGGGAGCACCCGCAACGCCAGTGACAATCTTTCCCGGCGTCGCGAATGTTCCCGAAAAGGTTGATGTGCCTTGCCCAGCTCGTGTGACATAATCCGGGCGAAATAGGAGACGTATTCTGAGGTTACCAGACTTGCCGTCGAGGGGAAGTCTCACTTCATGTGCCTTGAATGGTTCTATTGCCGCGAGATCGATGCCCGTGCTCCCCAGACGGTCTGGTTTGTCGGCAAAATCCCAATCCCAGACAGTAGCCTTGAAGTGGGCGCCCGTTCGAGAGTGCACTTGCACTTCGAAGAACTCGTTCCAGGCCGGTTGCAGGGTCCGTTTTTGGACCTTTGTCTTGAACACGTCTTGCCCGTCGAGTTCAAATTTGACATAGGGATCGCTCTTTCCGTTGGAATCGGCAGCCGGGAGATCCTGGGCATCCAAGACATCGACCCGGAGGTTGCCCATGTTGTTGATGCTCTCGCTTGGGTCAAGCTGCATCTTGACGGGGATATACTTGAGGCTGACCTTGACCCACGAAATCTTCCCCTCATCGTCCTTCATCTTGAGTACTGTCGGGTTGTTCTACACAGGACTAGTTAGTTCCGACATTCGAGACTCGAGTGTGTCTCAACTTACCAGGCATTGCTTGAGGGTGTCCAGGGTGTTGCCCGTCAGTCGAGCTAATGTGTGCTCCCGGTCGCCTCCTTCCCCGTGATCCTCATTCCTCTCACGGACTTGGAGGGTCAACCTGGAGAAGTCGAGTTCTCGGATGAAACAATCGCCGATTTCGTCGAACGTGTGGCTCTTGCCCCTCGCGGTCGTCGAAGTGTATGATGGGTATGCCATGTCATCGACAAACACGTGGATCCGCGTGTTCGCCTTTGGTACTTCTGCCTCCATGAGTCTAAAAATCACAAGCCCAGATTCGTATTTTAGGAGTTCCTGGGGCGTTAGATGGATCTTCGGGGGGTGCTTCTCATCGCGAGACCTGCGCGTAGACGTCATGGATACGGGGCTGAGTGGTGTCTTCGGTGAGGCTGCAAGGTTCAGGTCACTATCGCGGCCGTTCTTGTCTTCCGGGGGGTGAGGAACCTCGAGAGACTTCTTGGGCGCGGAAGATGGCGCTTCCTCCTCGTCTTCCGGATCGGCGATGTTCAGGGTAGGGTAGAAGGCCACGGTGTAGTTCAGAGTGCCCTTCTCAATGCCTTTACCGTGAAGCCGAAGGCCGTCCTGGCGCAGTGTCTTCTCGTCGTGTACGAGGTGCTCTCCGGACTCGTCTTGGAGGATATAATCGCCAGCAAAGAGCTCCACCAAGCCCAAGCTGCGATCGTGTCCAACCTTCTCGGCATCCATCACCTCCAGCTGCAACCGGTCTCGAGCAGAATGAACCGGCACGTAAAGGACCTCGTCCCATTCCGGGTTGAGGTTGTTTCGGAACGTCACAGTACGGCCCCTCTCAAGGCCCGAGAGAAGGACCCGCACATATGGATCGGACTTGCCAATAGTTTCGAAGTTTCGCAACTCTTTAGCACTCTTTAGGTGTAGCCGGATGACTCCGATGGGTGTGACGTAGCCTCCTGTGCCTCCCATGATGCGTGAGATGGCCACTGGTTTCCATTGCGCCTGCATCTTCACACGGCCTGTCTTGGCCCCGGCGAGATTATACCAGTCCTGGCCCTTCTCCACGAGATCAAGCATGTCATCAAGCTTGATCTGATAGTTTCCAAGAACCTGGTCGCCGGTAATGTCACGGTCGTCCTTGACAGCCACGCCGAGCTTGGCACGCTTGCGATCCGTGATGAGGATCTCTTTGGAACCGTTATCCCATATAGGGTTGTTTGTCCGCTTGAGCTTCTTGGTGGTATGTACCTCTTTGCCATTCAAGAGCAGGGCGGCATATGGATTGAGGAGGCCGACCAGGCTCTTGGTGCCATCCAGGTCCTTGGCCTGCTCGACCGTGAATCTGAGAATACCGGTGTTGGACTCGGGTGGCGGCTCGTCCCTGCCGTCCTGGAGCTTCTTGGTTTCCAGAACTGGGAAGAAACGAATGTCGCACAACAAGACGCCTCGGGCCTTGCCAGCTGAGAGTATCTCCAGGTGCTCGTTCTCGTATTCGTTGATCTCCTCGAGATTCTCGAGAGGGAAAGAAGCGATGCCTAGCTCTTTGTCCTTCCTGAAGTCATTGAAGTCGATGACTTCGACGTCGAGAGAGTCGGTGAACGAAGTGACAATGACATAGTGCGTCTCATTCCATCGAGGATTATGCGTGTCCCTGATCACCTTCGTCTGGGCAAGCGGCTGCCTTCTGTTCAGCGTGACAACAGCATAAGGATCGACGGAGCCGGAGAGTTTGTCGGGATTTTTCAAGCCCCGAGCCCCATGGAGTGTGATGGCCACGACACCGATGGCCTGGTCAACAGGAGTGCCGGCAAGCATCTTCGCGACCTCAATCGGGAAGACGTTAGGGGCGTACATCATCGGCGCGAGGTTGCCATGAATCTGCTCGAGGATGAACCTCTCGAGGCCAGGGATGAAGTTGATGTCGAATCCGAAAGTCTCGCCGCCGAGAGGCTTGCAGACGTAGTCGATAGTGGGCTTCTCGAGGAAGCACATCTCGACCTTTTCAACATGAGGGAAGGGGATTTGCAGCTTCACCTTGAGTCGCATTATGCCAGAGAAGGCCATGTCTTCGACAATCACGTCAAGGCCCTTGCTGATCATGGCCTTGCCGACTCGGATCTCCAGAACGACCTTGGGGTTCACCTTGTTCTTAATCTGGCGAGTGGTCAGATCGGCAGTGTCGTTGGGCGTGAAGCTAAACTTCCAGTCCATCATGACGATATCGTCTTCCGCTTTTGGGTATGTCCTGACGTGCTCCATCCTAGGCGGCTTAGAGCCGAGGGTGAAGGTCTTGAGCTTCAAGCTGTCCAAGAAGGCGGGCGTTGCCCCGCTCAGGACCTGATCGACCGCGTTTACCACCGTCTGTGCAAGCACGGGCTGATATATAGGCCAGAACTTGAGCATGAAGGAGTTGATCCATTCCAGAGATTCAGTATCTGTCTCTATCTTCTTGACTGCCAGCTCACGCACGACATCGTCGCGGAAGTTCCGTCGCACTCGCCGGATAGAGGTCCTGTAGTAGGTCGAGCAGACTGCCATGAGGATGAAGACCCAGGAAATACCGCCGCCGAGGACAGCCACCAACCAGGACGAAAGGCAGGCAAAGATGATGATGGCGGCATTGTGATACCAATCTGCATGAAGTTCGGAATGAGCAAAGCTCTCTCGCATTGGTACTTTAGGAAAAGGGGAGGGGGGGTTGGTTTCTCAGCTTACCTCCATAGAGCTTGTCTGGAAGAACGCCCTCGAGCCAGGTGGCGTGGTCCAGCAAGCTCTCTCCCGCTTGCGTGGACTCAGTCGGCCAGCCGAATCTTGGGGCCCAGCCAGTGGTATCCTCTCCCATCACAAATCCGTTTTCGTTGGGGACTGCTTCATCCTCGACCGGTTTCCCGTCGGGACCTTTAGCCACCTCAATTACGCCTGCCTTAGAGGGGCTAGGGAGATCGTAGGTGGGCTTGGAGTCATTGTCGAGGTCGGTCGCGATAGCTATGCCCTTGGGCCTTTTGCTATGGAAGCCCCGGGGGACCGCCTGTGTCGGGTTAGTCGCACGGAAAACAGCGCGGAGCAAGGAGTACTTTAACATACAGCTTTGACTTTGGCCTTCTTGGCTTCCGGGCTGTCGTCAGGATCGAAGTTAAACGCGACGACTCCTGCATTCTTGCTTTCCTCGACAATGGTCTTTTGGGCGTCATCAGCCGTGACAGAGCTGGCGGGATCGCGCGAAGCTTCCATTGCGCCCTGCTGCTTGAGCTCATTTGCTGCTTGGGCAGTCGCCATGTTGCCGGTCAGTTTTGCCGCGTAGGCAGCTGGGTTCGCCGAGGTTCGCCAATTGATATAGACCCGGAAATGATGGCTGGAAAGGCAGGTTGTTTATCGAAGGAACCGAGGGTCGTGAGGTACGAGGAATTGGGGAGGGGGGCTGGGTGGGCGGTTAACTTTGGCCACAAGCAGGTTAATGGAGCAGAAAGGATATCTCGAGTTCGGCCCGTATCCGTGGCTGCTGAAGAAATGGATCAAATGAGATTAGCCACACAGGCAGGGACACCGAAGAGACGGTTAGCTTTAGAAAGAATGACGGGATATGGACCGGCCAGAGAGCTACTATCGAGCCACCGAGGACCAAACAGGTGAAGAACCAGACACGTCTGTCGAGGAAGCTTGTTCTCGCAACTTGGCGTGATTTACAGCCAGCTGGGGCCAGAGGACGCTACGTCAGATCGCCGGGCTTGGGAAGCCAGGGCGGGGGATTAGCCTAGCCTTTTTGGGCCTAGAATCAACTAGTCCCAGCCGGACAAGGATCTCGGAAAAGGTCAGAGGCAACCTCAGAATCAGCGCTGCAATGCTCCGTGCAGATCGAAAGGTACCTCCTGGAAAGGTACCTATTCTGTCTACACACTTGTTACAGGCCGACTCCCCCACCCAAAGTCGTCCAATATTCCGACTCTTATTGCACCTTCTCATCTTCCATCCTGAGTTTTAGTTTCATACCGAGATTCTCGGCCATTCTTGCCCGAATCTCGAGAGTATACAGGCTCCGCCAACCCGTGGCCACCGACTACAGTTAGATTCTTGCACGATAAAACTTACCTTGTGTAAGAAAATGTTGTCGCTTATACACCCCCTTGAGGGAAGCGAACCCCATCGCTCAGACACAAGAACTAGAAAGTCAATGGCGATGGACAGCTTCCAGCGTCGTCTAGGCTTGTTCGCTCATTGACCTGTGGCAGACTCACCAGTTGCTGGCTTCGACAACAGTTAGATATAATTCATTCACGGGGATTTGAGGAGCTGTAAGAATCGTTGAGTCCGCTTGCAATAAGACTAGAATCTGCAATGGATGACACTCCCAGACTGTGTCTACATCTCGAGTCGTCGGCGAGTCAGCCTTTTTTGCCAACATGTTGAACAAGAGTTTCAGTTTGGCCGTTTCCATACCTACGCAGGGGATTGGATACTCGATTCGTTGGCTTTCCTTATCCTCGAGATGGAGAGTTGTAGGTGCCTATCGGAACGCCGACTCGTAGCAATGTCAACGGGGGTCAACAGGAACGGCAGCAGTGACGGCAACAATGATAGCAAGAGTGGCAGCAACAGTAACGGGGTACTCAATTCGAAGATGTGTACCTATCTCCATGCCTGGTGCGACAATGGGTTCTTCGTGCTCGCTCCTGGTGGGTTGGCCAGAGACAATAGTTTGACAACTGCTTCGTGATCGAGACGTAATCACTTCAACGTTGCCGCCCCGGTTTTATACATGTCTCGTGCTGCCATGCTGCCAGGCATTTTCGCTGCGCCGAAGAAGCATGGAGGGCTTAGTGCTGAGTTTCGAAGTTCCGGAGGATGATATAAGTGGTGATGGAATTGGTTCGGCCAAAAGTAGTTGACTTTCCTGTCAACAAGAGGAGCCCAGTGGAACAGAGGGGTGGACACGGCCACGCGATTCCGCCCTTGACGGGCCTACCAAGTCTCATCCCTCTTCCACGATACGCGGTATTGATTCCTGCATGTGCTTCAGCGCCTCATCCTGCTTGGTTTTTGCTTCCCCAGCCGCGGCATTGGCTGGTTCGAGGTCATCAACAGGAGCAGTGATCGTAATGGCAACGCAACAGCTGGTCCTTCCTTCCTCAGTTCATACCTTAGATAGGTTAGGTAGGTAGGTAGGTATTTTGCGACCTGATCTGGCGCAAGAGTAATGACCGTATCTCGTCAAAGCCAGAGATTCCAGATGTTAACCAGACTTTTAGCCTTTTACTGATGCATGTGGACAGATTGCCATCGTTCCAGGCTGTATGGGCGGATAGGTAGGTAGGTTGGAGGTATGTCAGGTACCTACTTGGTATGTACCTTACCTTGGCTGGCCAGCCGAGCTTGTCCAGCCTCCAGGTTGCATCATCACACACTATCAACGCAGGCCAACTGCGCTAGCCGATCACACACCAGATTCAGGTGTCCCGCGCCTGCGGATCCTTGAAGCAAATCTTTCCCATCGGCCAACCCGTCCGGGTCAAGCTCGGTTAACAGGGAAGTCGAGCAAATCAAGATCTGCCGATTCCACAGTACCCTATTTCTCGATAGGATACCATCTTGGCGATCGTGAGGTCCCTTTGAGCTCTCCAGAAGCCATGTGTTTGGAGACCAGGACGACCCACGCTCATATTTTGCGCATTACTGTATCTTAGGTACCTAGGTACCTAGGTTCATGGAAGGTGGGGGAATCATCATGGGGCTAGGTCCTTCCGTAGGTATTCGTCCCGGTTTTGAGAGCTTGTGATTACGCATGGCTGAGAGTTAGCCAGGCACCACCGCAGTGGGGATCCGAAAATCTTGGACCGGCCCGCTATGAGCTGTTGCTGCCGCCTATGGAATAGATTGTGATAGCATTGTGAGCCGTCCCAAGGCAGAGGGACCTTGAAGCCACCTGCTATGTATGCACTCCTAGCTTCCACGTACTGGCTGGTTCCGTACCTCTAGGTACCTTACCGGGCTACTTACGTGTAGCGATGCACCAGCTGCAGTCCTTGAAGGTGGCGGCCACTGGGGGAAGCCTTGAAGGCCCTAAACAGACAACAAGTGGCTGATACTCTCACCGCTAGTTGTGTTCCTTATCACAGATATCCAATGGCTTCCATGTGTGGAATCTCAGAGTTCTCTTGTAGTCCTGGGAGGTTGTGACTTGTAGCGCATTGTGGAAGAGCCGGCAAGTTCACTCGCCACACTATTTGTCAGCCTCTCAACTTCGATGTGGCGTCATTAGCCAATAACAACACCCAATCAAACTAGCCCTCAGCCTTGCCTCTAACAACCTATCAATTTTCGCCTCACCACCCAAGACTTGCACCAGCGTCTTCCCATTGCAAACTGACAAAACCCAGCCGATCTGCTTCGATCGCCATTGAAGGAAGCAGGAAATCGCGAATTTTACACCGAACCCATCCCTAGAAACAAAGCTACAAAAATCCAATAGCTCGCGCAACTCTCGGGTCTCCAACCACCATCCGCTTCCCAAGATGGCCAACTTTCTCGCCTCCATCTTCGGCACCGAGCAGGACAAGGTCAACTGCTCCTTCTACTACAAGATCGGTGCGTGCCGGCACGGCGACCGCTGCAGCCGCAAGCACGTCAAGCCGTCGTACTCGCAGACGATCCTGATGCCGAACCTATACCAGAACCCGGCCTTCGACCCCAAGAACCGCATGAACGCGTCGCAGCTGCAGAACCACTTTGACGCCTTCTACGAGGACATCTGGTGCGAGATGTGCAAGTACGGCGAGGTCGAGGAGCTCGTCGTCTGCGACAACAACAACGACCACCTGATCGGCAACGTTTACGCCCGCTTCAAGTACGAGGACTCGGCCCAGAAAGCCTGCGACGAGCTCAACAGCCGCTGGTACGCCGCCCGCCCCATCTACTGCGAGCTCAGCCCCGTCACGGACTTCCGCGAGGCCTGCTGCCGCCTCAACTCGGGCGAGGGCTGCGTCCGCGGCGGCTTCTGCAACTTCATCCACCGCAAGAACCCCGGCCCCGAGCTCGACAGGGAGCTCGAGCTCAGCACCAAGAAGTGGCTCAAGATGAGGCCGCAGGAGCGCAGCCCCACCCGCTCCCCAAGCCCAGAGCCCACGAGGAGGCGCTATTAGGGGAGCGACCGATTTGAAGAGGGGGGAAGGCATGCTGGAGGAAAAGGGGGGGCAAGGGGGTCCTCCTTGCCAGGGGAGCAAAACAACCACGAGAAGCCCCTTTTGGGGCTCAAAGAGAGGGCTCCTGCAAACATGTATTGTTAGGGCGTGGGGGGGAGGCACGATGACTCTGGACCAAGAGTCAATGGCGTTGGTGGCGAAGTTTGGTTCTGCTGCTAGTAATTCGGTATCTATTCGCCAGTTCTCACTTATGTGTATTTAAGGAGTAATGCCACAAGCTTTATCTCCCAATATCGGGAGGTCAGGATTTGCTGGAGATGCAGTTGATGTCTCTGCTTGTTTATTCTTAGGGGTTGAAGCTATAAAAATGCTTTTAACTGATTATGCGTTTCATGGTATCGCCATACCACGAGGATGAGTCTAAAATGGTATCATTCCTACCCAACCGGGGCACTCGGTATATCTGTCTTTCCCAGAAAGAGCACAGCCAAAGTCTTCCTGTGGCATGTGATTATTCTGCGCGGGGCGGACACGCTTGTAGGATCACCCTATTCTAGGGCATCCACAAACTCGTCATGCGACTCTTCAGTGTCGCCCCGCTTGAGGCTCCGCGGAAGATTCTTTTTCAAATCCTCGTGGAAATCGAGGAGGACCCCGTCCGGAGCCGGCGATCCAGTAGCAGAGAGCATCGATTGGATTTCGGCGGTGCTCTGGTGGCGCGAGTCAATCTTTGGTTCTATCTCGGTCGTCGACTTCGCCGCGGTTTGTGACGTGGGCGGGGCGTCGTCATTTTGGCCAAAATCGATCAGGTCGTCTTGCTGGCCGGCTTGAGAGTCTCGCGAACTCGGTCCCGCACTCGAACCCCTCGGTGGTATGGCGTTCCTTGTGTGTGGCTTCTGCCCTTTGACTACAGGGTATATAGCCATTATCTGCTCCGCCTGTTTTTCAGGGGTCGACCCGTCGCTGGACTTTTGTTAGCCCCCTTTCAAAGTAAATAAAGGGAATCGAGTTCATGAACATTTGAGCATTGATGATCCATTCGAGGTCCTCTTCGCCCTCGTCCCTACCACCAGGGCCGCCCTTTACCCTTCTGAATAGGCGCGGGTGCCATTCCACGCCCTCGTTTGCTCTCTTCGCAGCTTCTTCGCGTTGCATGTCTTCGATTTTCGTTTTCTCATCGGTCGCTAGCTCGTGGTTCCGCTCCTTTATTGCTTGGACAGTCTTGGCCCACAACTTTTGCGACTCCCGTTCCTCCTGCTCCTCGATCGGGCGAGCCGAAGGGGGGCTTGGCGCCGAGCGACGCGCATTGAAGAACATCTCCTTGTGTCCCGTCTGCTTGGGTGTCAGCGGTTTCCCTGGCAAAACCACTGGGGGATGCTCACCTTCAAGTTCTTGACAAACATCTCGTCGCTCCATAGGCCAGATAGTTCGAACAAGAGCTCGCCAGTCTGCTCGTTCCTGATGTTGCCGCCAATTGCATTGTACGTGCCGCCAACCCAGCCTTTCGTTTTGAAATCAATGTCCGCAATCAGTCCTAATTCGGGGCACCGAACGACGCTGTGATCTCCCAGCTCATACTTCATTTTCCCAAAGAGAATGCCCCTCGCGTACATGTTAGGCTGGGTGAGAATGCTGGGAGTCTGTTAATTCTCGACCTCACAAAAGCTGCATTTCGATTCACCCACTATCGTTCGCCCTTGGCTGGGTCTTCGCCCCTATTGAGTAGCGTCAGGATGGCCGTTCCCTCCATCATGCTGGCCGCTGAGTTGCCCAGAAATTTGCTTCTAGGTTTGAGGGTCCCGTCGACCCTGATGTGGTGGTCAGGCACCATGTAGAAGTAGCTCGACTTGGGAGGATGGTGTGACGTCTGCTCGGAGATATAGTAGGCCCTGGTCTTGTCTGGCAAGTCCCAATAGCAGGAGAAGATCTCGCCTAGAATAGGATTCAGCGGTTTCTTGACACCTCTATATAACATTAGCCACGTCTTGTTTATGCCAGCGAACCCGATATCAACTTACGGGGGACGGATATGCCAGCCACTCAAATAGAATTTGACCACAGAAACGAATCGCTGGACGGGGTCTTCGACTTGAGGTATAGGAAGAAGCATTTCGGGATGGCACATGAAGCTGCAGAGAGCATGTCAGCTTTCCGCACGAGCGGGCGACTAGGCACCTAATTTTTTGGTTCTATTCAGGGTTGCCCTACTTGGTTATCCGTTCCAGCATGCTGCGTGGTTCTAGGATGAAGGTAGGTAGAACAACCCGGCTGAGGTCGGCACCGGGACGGAGTTGGGATATGATGTGCATGAGCACTAGAAGCACTGGTTAGAGCTATGAAGTATTCGGGGCTTTCACGACAAAACTACGGACCATTGCCCTGCTCCGGCTCGATTACGAGGGTATCATCTTCGGCAGTGTCGGCTTGACCGGCATCGCCGGAGGATCGGCTACCTAACCACAATGCAAGGCATTAGTTTGGTCGACTGAGAAAGACTTTTGAAATGTCGTCTCGAACTGAATGGCACTCGACGTCATATGCCAAGTCGTGGGATCGAGACTAGAAAGGAGCTGGGTGCCGGGATACAGAGACATACTGGCATTCGAGATTGTTCGTCGACGCCCGGGAACGAGGCCCATCATCGTCAGCGAACCGCGCAGCGTGGCGGTGGGCGGTGAGAGTGGTGGGGGTGGAATGATGATGAAAATTAAGTTCGGCCAAAAGCTTGAAATGTCGAGAGGGTTTGGACGGAGGCTCGGATAATAAAAACCTCAAAGCAGAGAACCCGCCCTATAAATATTGATAAGGGTGCCAAGTCGGAGTCCCTAGGCTTCCATGAGTCCGATGGATGTTAGATGTGATTCAGAGGTGTCATGTAGAGAGTGGGACTCAGAGTCTAAGACCAGGGCCTTAGGAGAGGGCGGCATTTGCCATAGTATTTTTTTGCAAAGGTGCGTAAGGTAGGTAGGCAGATAAGTAATTTGGTAGATGCTTAGGAGGTTCTCTATTGTGAGGGGCAGCTCCTAATCAGGCGGGGTTCATGGAGGGGGAAGAATGACGTTGGCTTGCCTAGAGCTGCCCGGCTAGAGGCACGTAGAGGTACCTAGGTGCTTGGTACAGTACGGAGGTACCTCTACCTTCCATCTCGCCACTCTTCCTGTCCTCGGTACTAGGCATCCAGAAGACAGGCAGCAGACCATTGGGCCAAAAAGCTGCCAATAGAGCCCAGCCGTATTCAATTAAGACCAACTTGGATCAATTCAGCTATTCCATGTTGCTAACGATGAATGGATGATGCCGTGTCGGGCGAGATGTCGATAGCTAAGTGCCCGCGACAAGAGCTCCCCGTACTAGGCACTTGAACCCATATTTCTTGCGCCGCGGTGGGATGGGACCTCCTCGGGTATAGTATACATAGGTAGGTGCAGGGAGTTGGCTGCTCAATGTTGTTCCGCTCCTATGTAATATTCGACGATCTGAACTGACAGTTTCGTGACACGTAGTATCTACAAATGAAAGTAATCAACAAAGCCAGGCTTCTGGTCTTCTCAAATGCAGTTAACCGAGCGAAGTCCAACGAAGAGACTCTCCCTCCAGTAAGACGAGACGAACGAGGAAGGAATGGAATTGTAGACGGGAGAAGAAACTAACGGTCCCTTCAAGTGGTATCTGAATCATGATGTCCGCGTGCGCAAGATTTGCCCACGGCGTCATCTTTTATCGCTGGAAGGCACAGGAAGAATGCCACAAAAGGCAATTGGGAACGTGATGGTCGGGTACTAAAATCCATGGATGGATGGGAGAGAAACAGCCCAGTTCCCCACGTTCCAGTGGTGACAGAGGTGCCAGCCCCACTACGGGGTGCCTCCTGGCCGCCGTAGTGGGCGCCTAACTTCTACTGCGGAGCATGGAAGTGCCAACTGGTGCCCGAATGACGAAGTTCAGTTTCCAGCCTCGTGCCTCCTTGCTATGGACCCTGAAACGTTAGTTGCCGAGATCTTCAAGACTACGGCCCGTGGGTACGGTGCCTGACGACAACAACAGCTAATTTTCAGAAACGCGAATTCCCGAGAGGAAGTTCGACTGGCTGAGCCGGGAGGGTGGATTTCCTGTCTCTCCACGCTCTTTTCTTCCTGCAACCGATTCCATTATACCAGGAACGCAGGGGAGTTGTAACCCCCCACCTTCAGAACATCCGACGACAGCCCTGTCAGCCCTCAATAATCCCCGCGATATTCGATATTCCACCAATTTTGTGCTCTTCGACAACACCTTGCTTGCATCCCGCTCCATAAGGTGTAGCTGCCCGCTTTCTCGGCTTCCTTTCCTTCTGGCTGGTTTGTAGGTGTAGGTCGGCCACAGGTGCAGTCGTCCTCTCCCTGTCCCCGCCCCTACTTCCTCCCTTCACGGCCGCCCTTGTATATCTTCCAAACACGAAATACACTCTAATACTGGTTTGTCTAGGGCCTCATGAAGCTCCATACCTGTTCTGCCTATGACCGATTGAAAGCATGGAGAACGAGCCGCCTGCCATCTTCACGCAGGATGACGGCCGGTCTACCAAGAGGGGTCGAATCATGGGGAAGCTGTTCGGCCGCGATCGAAAGGCATCAAATGAGGAGGCTTCGGGCCGTAACGTGAACGATTTCCTCCGCGGACCAGCTGATAAAGCCCCCGCCTCCCAGCGGCTCCCTGTTCTCACAAAGCTCGACACGAGCACTGTTACTCGATATCCCAATGCCCTCAGTGTCATCGACACCACCCTACAGGGGCTTTCTCTCCGACAGCGCTCGCATAGTCCTCGAACGCGCAACAAGAAAGGCTTGGTGGTGAGATTCGTCGACACATTTCCCGAGGTTATTGGCGAGGGCGGTGATGTGTGCGAGATACCTACATTGGATATCAGTAAGAGGAGGAGATTGAGGCCTCCGGCAGTCACCGCCGTTACTGCACCACCTCGTCCCTCAGTTGTGGCTGACAACCCAGCGCGAGCCTTTCCTGAAGCCCAGAAGGCAGACGAATTCGCTCCCCTGCCTCCAAGACGCACGCAAACCGACTACTCGACCATCTCAGATGCGCCGGAGCCCGAGGTACCGGCAGGGAGGAATATATCCACCAAATACCTGGATAGCCCTGTTGTGTCACAAGATGAGAAGAGGAAATCGTTCATCGAGATCCACCAAGCGCAGATGCGGGAGGCAGAGGGGCTGGCTTTTGCCAATGCCGTCCGATCAGCCACCTCCTCATCGTCCCAGACGCGGGAGGGGATAAGACAGTCCCCATTGGACCAGGGAGTTGAATCGTCCCAAACCCCACCAGCTTGGTCCGCGGACCCATCACCGGTTTCCAAGCCCGCTCATCGTCCGGGAACACCTGAAAACCGGACACTGAGACCCACCTTTGAGGAGAGCCCCTCTTCTCTCTACTCCTCGTCCGCCAGCCCTGCCCAGCGTTTTGCCTCGCTCAGGCAGGACAGTCGGTTCTCGGAGAAAGAGAAGGACCCCGAGTCAGCCACAGGAATGCCTTCACTCAACCTACATGATGTGGTGGTTGCTGCAGCAGACGAAGCGATGATCACCTTCGTTGCCCGTACTCGCCATCTGTTTGAGCTCTTCCGCCTGCATTCCGAGACAGTGAGACCGCTCCTGTCTAGCGCACCCGAAGACTTGGCCAGAGCCGGGCTCTGGTGGTTCTTGAGAGGGCGGATGGCCCTCGAGGCCGCTATCAGAGAACGTCCCACGAGCCCCCAGGACCAGCAGCAGAACGAATTCGCAAAGCAGCAGGCGTATGCCGATCTTGCCAAGGGCTACTGGCTCGCCGAGGAAATCATACCCGAGGTTTTAGCAAGCAACCCTAGCTCGGCCGATGCGGGAGAAGTTGACGACGTGCGGAGGACCCTTGTATCCAACCTGCGGAAGTTGGCCGTTTCTATGAAGAGGAACGGCTTTCTCCCTCCCGAAGAAGCCTTCTTGCCGCAGACCATCGACAAGTCCGTCTGGGTCGAATATCCCAGCCTGAGCCGGGACCTCGTTGCACTGCTCTGGGGCACGTCGAGCACCGCCCTCAGCCAGATGCAAAAACCCAGTTCTGGAATGGCCATGCTGGACGCCCTGCCTTTGGGCGATTCCTCGTATTCCTTTTGCTTCGGACGGGTTCATGCCGACGTCTTCCTGGTGGAGCAAGGGGTCGAGTCACAACAGCTCTACCTCCCCTGTTTACTGTCGATAACCCGACCCCAGAAACAATCGAATCTCGTATTTGTCATCGCCAGCCAAAACGGCGCGGTCCAGCTCCGCATCCAGGGGAACAAGAACGCAGGACCCGTGTGGGAAGACGTGCGGTGGCGTTCAGAGTCGTGCAGCCTCAATATTAAGCTGCCGCGAGGGTTTATTCTCGTCGCGCAATGCTCGCAGACAGATTACAGAATGCTCTGGAGCATGTATGAGTTCAATGCGAAAATCCAGACGACCCTGTATCCCAAGCAGGATGAGCAATGCGTCTTCAGGTCGACCGTGAGAGCCTTCCAATACTTCGACAACGACCCCCAGGTACGGCAGTTTCCCAGAGAGTCGGTCCCGAGCTGCGAGGTCGCTCTGTTCGAACGAATCCTGCAAGAGGGTGCTGCAACAGGCCCCCGTTGTTTCCATCGCGGCTACCGAATAGCTGTCGTGACAGGCACCCGAATCAAAACCATTAGCGGTGTCAACCAAGTCTACCTGCCGCAGGTGCCGGTGCAGTTCGGTTTCTTACGCGGAGAGCAGAACGACCCGGCACTGTCTCTCAAGTTTGAAAATGGCCGGCAGAGGGGGAACATGGTCATTTCTTTCAACGATGAGAAGGAGCGGCTACGGATGCATAGTCTGCTCATCGGGACGGCGTTGCACCATGATGAGCACGTCTACTGCGAGGTTTCTCTAAAGGGCGTCCGGTTCTCGGAGCGTCTAGGCGACTCACCAGGTTTGAAGGCCATCTCAGACCTCCCCTGGGAGCGGGCCAGAGTCATCAACGAGGACACGGGGGGTGACCGTCCCTCTTGTGTGCTCGCCGATAAGCTCCGCGTTGTATTCGAGTTCCAGGAAGGTACCATTACCGACCGAGTCAACATTGCCACCGGCGAATTCAAGATGCGCCTCGACGTTCAAAATCCAACCCAATTGGTGGTTTATCGCCAACCGCAGTCAGACCTGACTGTCGCAGTCACCGAGGCAAAGGTCTCTCGCGAACTCCCACAGGGCTTGGCCAGGGCCCTCGAGCTCCTACAACAGACGCCTACTCTCCGGACCTACGTTTTCCCCACCATGGCAGAGCTACATCGCTTCCAGACAGCCGTCACGGGTTTCAATGTCCTCTTCGATGGGATAGCGTCTGCGTTTGCCATTTCTCGGCGGCGCATGGTCGTGCCCATTCACAAGAAGTGGGAGGCTGGCGCCACGCGGATCCAAGTCATCCAGCAGGATGGCGTCACCCAGCTGCTGGCCTTTTTCGAGGACTTCGCCCACGGGAAGTGCATGAGCTTCATGCTCAAGGGCACGGATGTGTTTGAGGCCTTTGGCAAGACGGGGAAGGCGGGCGTCAAGTTTGACGATGCCAAGTTCCCGTTGCCCAAGATGCTTGGGGACGCCGACGACGCTCAGGCGGTGGCGGATGCCGCTTTTGTCTGCCTGGATATGCCTGAACTTCCTGGAGAGCACGACGACATCTCGATCACGTTCGAAAGCGAAGCTGGTACGTTCGCTCCCCACCCCTGTGTTTCTTACCCAAATTAGCCAAGCGGGTCGAGCGCTAACTCTTCCCTTCTCAAGACCGAGATAACCTTATTAAGTGCCTACCGGCGCCGGTCAAGACGTCCAGACTATCGAAGAAGTGAGCCGTCGTCTCTCGCCAGTAGTTGGATGTACGGGATAGGTGGTTAATGCCCACCGAAAACAACTGATCTATGCGTTGGGGGCCGTCTGGACTTTTGCATTCCAGCGTGAGATAGATACCCTCCTATTACTACCATGTAGATGACCCATAAACGAAATGAAGACATATGCATCGACAGCCCACGCAGTCTGCGGAGGGTAGGGATATATGACGTGACAGATCTTGAGAAGGGGGCGAGGAGGAAGGAGGACCGTTGATCAGCTCATAACGTGTTTGCTGACGGGTTGCTCCAAGTCCTCCTTGTCTCGTAACGGCCGTCTCGATTCGCGGCCGATCACTCTGCTAGTGGATCGGAGTATGGGGATCACAAAAGACGGGACCTTCAAATAGCAGCAATATGACCTTTTTGGTGCCGCAAGATATAGAACTAGGTAGGCGATCTTCAACTTGTATATCTAGACTTTGACGCATGTCTGCACCGAGACATACTCGGCGATGGAGGGTGACAGAAAGTGACTCCAAACCAACAAGCTGCCTAAATATCTGTTAGCGTCAGTCGTATGCAGGGGAATCCCAGCCTGCCTCTGGGGGTGTTTGGTGGGGTAGGGATACGGACTGTGGCGCATACCAGGCGACTCCTCTAACGCTCCAACTACAAATACCAACACCAAAACCAAGGAGCCAAGTTCACACATCCATGAAACGAAATAAATCGTGCTCACAGTAAGTGACCCAAGAAAACCAAATCCCCACTTCAGCAATCCATCCCAGTCACAGGGCTCGAAACCTCGGAACATGACAATGGACCCAACCCCAAAGATCCGCGTCCAGTCAAGCAGCAACGCAGCCGACGTCCAGGCGACGTGCGCGTCGGCGGGCCTGACGGCCGCCGAGTTCGCCTCGCTGCGTGACGCCTCGGCGGCGGCCAAGGAGCGCGCGTACTGCCCGTACAGCCGGTTCCGCGTCGGCGCGGCGGTGCTCACCGGCGGGAGCGGGGCCGGGGCCGGGGCCGGGGAGTCCGTCTTCGTGACGGGCGCCAATGTCGAGAATGCGTCGTACCCGGTCGGCACGTGCGCCGAGCGCGTCGCCTTTGGAACGGCCGTCGCCGATGGCCATAGGGTGTTCAGGGCCGTTGCTGTGGCTACGGATCTTGAGACACCGTGTAGCCCATGTGGCATGTGCAGACAGTTGTATGTTCCTTGTCATTAACCGCTGCCTTGCTCCTGGACTCGAGAGGCCGGACCTACCTCCGGCCAGGATGAGAGTGGGTGTGGCCTTCGGGGAAGATCTGACCTCCCCCCCCACCTAGTATACGCGAGTTCTGCGACGTCAACGTACCCATCCTGATGTTCGACAAGAACGCCAACTTCGTCGTCAAGACGGTCCAAGAGGTGCCCTCCCCCGCCCCCCCCAAGTTCCCAGAACCCTTGCCCTTTTCCATTGGTGCTCAACGTGACGCAGCTTCTCCCGCTATCCTTCGGCCCCGAGGCGTTGGACCCCCCGCGTGGTGCCTGAGTGTCGACTCGATTAAGTCTCTCGCCGCTGATTCCGCGCCATCCCGCGTCCTAGCTGTGGCCTATGCTAAGGGAGGGTCTTCCATAGAGGCAACTGGGTTTTAACTCCTGCATTTGTTTTTAGGGCGCAAGAGTGGGTGTAGACCGGGGAGTTGACTAGGGGAGGTAATACCATGGTGATATCATTACTGGCGAACTGTCTGGAAGCGTAATTAGGTCTCCCACGTGTAGTAAGCGTGGGTATTCCCAGGGGCAATGCGTCAGCTAGTTTTTTCAAGGCATGCCAGTAATGCCACCTGTTTCTCGTGACAAAAGGGACATCGTCTACGCAGGTAGTCGTCGCTTGAAAAAATTGGCCTCGTCCCAAGATTCTTAAGGTTAACAAATCAGGCTTGCTTCACCTTCGGCTCACCACGGCTCATGCTGCGCTCACCATGTTACAAACCCGTCAACTTTACGCGACTCTCTCCTAACGGGGCAGGTTTTGGGCCTCTCCCCTCTAGGGGACGAAAAGGGGCCGGATGGAGAGGACCCATTTCTGTCCCCCCCCCCCAAGAAATGGACTCAGAGCTAGCAACCCTATTAACTCTCCGTTTTGAAGCCCTGCGCCCTCATTAGGTACCTAGCTACCCGAGATACGGAGGCAGTTTGATCCGTCCTACTACCTACCGCACGACTGTTCTTCTCCCAGGCGCTGACTACCTAGATAAAAATACAAGTCGATCCATCCTCGTACCTACCGCTCGACTAGGTATCCTCCCTCACATCTCTCTTCTTCCGTACTATTCCACATCTTGCCAGCCGCCAATATCTCTTCTACCTCTACTTTTGACTTCCATACTGTACCTGCTTCTACAATGCCGAGAAAGAAGAGCGCCGCAGAGTTCTTTCGCGGGGAAAAGAGAAGGGCTCAGAGAATTGTACGGCGGGAATACTGTCAGATAGAAGGTCTAGAAGGTGCTGGAACTGACATGCGTAAGACTACCTATGGTTGGAGTAACCCCGGCAGCTCCGGCTCCCCGAAGCCGTGCCAATGGCTAATCCTCGGGACAAGCAGCGACTCGGTAGATACAGCCCGCGCCGTTCCGCCGCCATGGAACAGGAAGCGGGAGCTTGATCGATGTCATCGCGCTAAACTTTGGCAGGAGAAGAGGCGAGGAGTGGGAGGACCTCACGTACTTTGACTTCTTGACCATCATTGACAGCACCCGCTCCCCATGGCGTCGATGCCCTCAGGGGAAGGCTCGTGTACTGAACTATTTCCCCCGGTACAGGTCCCTTCGAGAGCACGATGACTTTGGGGACTTTGCTCGCGTCAAGCTGATGCTCCATCACCCTCACTCTGACCCTGCTGAGCTTCTCACTGTCGAGGGTTCTGTCTGCACTCCCATGCTGAGGCCTTGTGAAGATTCCCATCTAGTGAGCGGCATTGAGGTCTATAGAACCTTCATTGCTAAATACTTAGGGAATTTCTCTGCGGGGATGCGCTATTTGGTAGAAATTGGGAACAGCTATTATTGCTATCACTATTGCTATTGCTGTTGCTATTACTGTTGCTATTACTGTCGCTATTGCTATTATTTTGCTATTGCTAGAAATAACAAGAGCGATAGATAGCGACAGCAAGAGCGGTAGATAGCGACAGCAAGAGCGATAGATAGCAAGAGCGATAGACAGCGACAGCAAGAGCAATAGACAGCGAAGGCAACAGCGATAGATAGCAGTGATAATAGCAGACAGCGACAGCAACAGCACCTGTTGCCAGTTTTCCGCCACCTGGTTGAAATTTTGGCAGGGCTGCTGCCACCTGTGATGCACTCAAATACGCTCCCCCGTACTCAGCTTCCTTGAGAACCGTATTACACGTTCCCTGTAGAACGCGCCTGTCGCCTAATCGACATAACGTCCTATGTTGATCTCAGACGAGACTTTGAGCCGTTTGCCTTTGGGCTCGTAAAGCGCTTCCTCTACTGCTCTCTTCAGGGCGCCTCGATCCATGCTAGAAAGTGAGACCCTCGGAAGGTTTGTAGTAGTTGTTGGCCCTCGACTAGGTTTCGTTTCCAAGTCACCTCAAGTCCCATCTCTGATCGATGACATTCAGAACCTTCGTCCCGTTTTGGCCAATAATCCAGTGTCTATCGCTCTTGCTGTCGCTGTCTATCGCTCTTGCTGTCGCTGTCTATCGCTCTTGCTGCCGCCGTCTATCGCTATTGCCGTCGCCGTCTATCGCTATTGCCACCGCTGTCTGTCGCTATTGCTCTTGCTAGAATTAGCAAGAGCAAAGCAATAGTAATAGTAACGAATAGCACTAGCAGCAGCAATTTGGTAAGCAAGACGATGGCCATGGACAAGTCCCGGATCATCCAGATCTGATCCTTCTGTTTGGCACTGAAGTGCGCCATATGGTCTTCCTTCCAGCTGGCCAGACAAGACTTGAGCGCCAATCCTTCACTCTGTCTAAATTCTTCAAGATGTCGAATACACCAGAAGACAGCAGCAACTCGACAATGACCTCCTTTTACACCCAGGACAAACCGAGCCCCCCCTTCGGACAGGGATATTACCCCTTTGCGTAGAAGAGCAACGTCGTGGTCAGGCGAAGCATTTTCGGTGTGACATGGGTTGTCTGCGATGCTAAGGGATCAGGCGCAAATGCTCGATATGTCCAGTACTTCCCGGGTTGGATAGACTCTTCAACAAGCACGAGCTGAAGCAGTAATTCATTGGGACCATCATGAGTCAGCGCGAATTGGCGAGTAGAATCTCCAACTGGTCATTTCTTGGGCACGGAGCCGCCTCCTTCGATCGTTGAGGTCTGTCGGCGCCCCGCCGGTTGCAGAGATTACTCGGGCCGGGAACTGCCCAATCGGCCTCGACAACGAAGTTGTTAAACGACTTGAGGCCTACATGCAGAATACGAATCCATTTTCCGACAAATTCGAGACGAAGTCCGCAGAGGATGGAGTTTGAGTCCAGAAACTTACCAGCTTCAGCGACCAGCCCTACTTCCAAGCGGCTGACCGTGAATCAATGTGGCCTGTGGAGAGTTTTGTTGGATATTCTAAACTGAAGGGAGCGAAGTCCTGCTAGGAGACAGGGATGAAACAAACCACATGCCTGTAGAGGAAACCGATGCCCACATGTCTCCATCCTCCCAGCCATACGCCATACGCCTATGTCAAGGTACTATGCATGCTGTTTGACCTTTATAAATAAATCGTGTGCAGCATCAACAGCCTGTAGATCGCCCATCACAAACAGCCATTGTATAAACCATCAGCCACTCTGTCACCACGAAACTTCCCAGGGTTAATAACACATCATGTCTAATACCCAAAGCTGTCGTGCTGATGCATAGGACACCGCCCAGGATGTCTTTGCCACCAGGCACCGATGCACTGCCGGTGGAACCGGCAGAGACACTCGAGTCTCGCCATTGGCACGCCAACCTCGAACTCCTCGAGGCAGATGGTGCACTCGGCCGAGTCCACGCAGTCCTTCTCGGTTGCCACGTAAGGGAACATTCCGGTCCTCCTCGGCGCCGCCGGCGGGGACGCCTCTTCTCCGGCGCCGGCGGACCCCGACCCTGTCGGCGTGCCGCTGTACCTGCTGTGCGCGGTGATGCAGATGGTGATGTGCGCCTCGCGCAGGGCCTCAGAGTTGGGGAGGGTCCGCTCGGGGAGTTCGCGGTGGCAGACAGGGCACTCGTCTTCCTCGGCGATTTGGTGTCGAGGTTGGGGGATCGGGGGCAGACTGCGGTCCACCTGCGGCGCGGAAGACGAGGATGGCGCGGCGGCGGCGGCGGCGGCGGTAGACGGGCCGGGACCGCCGAGGTCGAGCAAGGGCTGATGTCTGGACGCCACTCTCTGATCGGTGTAGAGCCTCTGGGCCACGGGTGACTGGGAAGTGAAGTAGGCTGGGGGCGTGCCTGCTAGGATGCGCTGATAGGCGGATGCCGTCGTGTAGGGATTGCTCGGCGGCCGGGTAGAGGAGGAGGAAGCCGTGTTTCCAGACTAGAAGACGGTTTTTATTAGTCAGGACAGTCAACATTACCTAGGTAGGTACCTTAGGTAGTAGGTAGGTTAGGTAGGTAGGTAGTCAACCCAGCTTTGCCTCGGGAGCCAAGGCGGCCAAAACCTACTTACCATGGTGGCACTTCTACTCCTCGTATAAGTATCTGGTGCTGGGGCGGCAGCAAAGTAAGCGCTCCATCTATTAGAAGCGGCACTGCTGCTGCCGGTGCTGCTGGGATGTCGCTGATTGGCACCGCTTTGGGATCTAGAATGGCTCCTCTCTCCGGACGGATTTTGGGTTTGCGGGGGAGTCGTGTTCGGATCTGGGACGCATGGATTGCACAGCCTAACCCTCTCGCCGCCACCAAGGCTGTTGAAGTTGAAGTCGGCGCTACTCCATTCATCCCTAGCGAGGGAGGATACAGGCCTCTGGGGCGGTGCCTGGGGTGTTCCTGGCGGCTGTACAATGTACTGATAAGGTATGGTGATGCGGTGCGGCGAGCACGCATTACAGACCACACGACCACATTTCCTACGCCTGCATTAGTCTCGTGACGGGGGATGCACTGTTACTATGCGAGAGTGCTCGCTCACCTGCAATGGTGTTTCCTAATAAAGATACTGAACTGCGTACGGCATATGGGGCAGTACGTAACCTCAGCATCTGGCTGCCAGCGAGGCAGCATAATCCTCCGAGGCTGAGGCATGGGCTCCGTGTTTCTCGGAGTGGACAATGGCGTCATTACATTGGTTGACGCGATCCCAGGTCCGATGGCCGGACCCGGGGGCACGGAATGAATAACTCCCCTAGGAGAAGGGCCACTGGGCATCATAGAGGCCCCCGTGTTTTGAGATGTCCCCCGTAGGACATGCTCATCGTCGTCCTCTATCACCACTGGACTACCGACCGGGGGGCCTCGCCTTCGTGGTGGTGAGCCGCCGTCGGGCAAGACTATTGGGTTCCCAGCTGTCCCGGAGGCAGCATCTAGTCGTACGCTCGCAGCTGGGCTTTCTGCCGGTGGCGGAGACGGACTTCTGTCCTCCACTACTGGCCCATCGTCGGCCTCCCTGCTCACATCGCTCATTACTATATCGTTGTCCCCGTCTCGAATGTCCTCGTGGTTCTCGGATAAGGCTCGCTCAATCGTGTGAGAGGGGCAGTCGAAGTATCGCGAGCACTCGTAGGTATTGAACCGGTCGGTACGCCACTGGCAAGCAACGTTGCTTGGGCCAGCCTCATCGTATTCAGCGTCAGAAACATCAGACTCGGAGTCACTGCTAAGCTCTATGGGCCGCCGAGTGTGCGAACCCTCATGGCCTGGGGTCGCCATGTTTGGACATGGGAGCGGAATCAAACGTTGAGCCAGGCAAGAGAGATTGGATTAGGTTAAGAGTCGGCCCAGGTCTAGACGCCTAATGCTGCGTTGCGTAGGTACCGCCGTCGGTCGGTAGGTTGTTATTGTTGGTCCGTTGGCCCACATAACATGGGATGGAGCTTCTGGCAGAGTGAGACTCAGTTATTTGCCACAGTCTTGTGTGGAGCTGGGCATTTCAGCCATGTCCTAAGGCGACATGTTTGGATCAGCGATGAGGGGCAGTTGAAGAAGCTCCAAGTCTGAGCGGTGTCATACACGCGACCAAAAGGTTTGTAGGTGCCAAGATGCTTCAGGTTAGGTACTACCTAGGTACCTAACCTACTTGTTAGAAGGTAAGCTACCTTAGGTAGGTAGGTAGCGGATATCTACCTACAGGTGATAATTGCACATCAGGCACCTTACCTACTACTATATAAGTGTCGGGTGGGTTGGAGCCCTGATCTGTCTACTTAGGCACTGCGTATATGTGGTAATCGTACTCCGTCTGTTGTTGCGGCAGGCCGTACTCGAAGAGGCCCCCAACATCTCGCCGGTGGAAGTCAAAGAATAAAACTGCCTCTTCCCCAATCCTAAGCCGTGATGAACCTTCGTCTGCCTGCCAAGTTTCGCCTTCAGCCTTAGTTGCGTTCGCCCACTTGAGTCTTCCCTGCAGGATAGCTCCCGTCCCTTGTACACCGAGAATTACCTACCCCGCGGTCTCCGAAACCATCTAAATATACACGCTGTTGTGGATATATACACTACAAGGCCATGTCTCGTCTTTGGGGGCCAGCCACTGCCGTCGACGCTGTTCCTCAACAGATAGATGGCTTGCTGCCAGCACAGTTATGGCGAACCGGTTAGCCAACCTTATTCACAATGCAGAGCCTCCTGGCCCTAATGGCGCTTCAGTCACGTCTGCGATAAATGAACCACCGGTTCCCCTGCCTGACTCGACATCTTCTGCCGCGCAGACTAGCCCAAGTCACTCGAAGAGCCAGTCCCTGTATCAATGTGCCGAGTGTCTAAGTGAGTACCGTCTCCCAGAAGACGTCAAGTATAAATACCAAATAAAGTACCACCGGGTTTATTGACTCCATGCAGGACGATATTCTCGCCCAGAGCATCTCCACGTACTGTTGCTCACCTGCCCCAGGTGCCCCTGGGCTTAACTGACTCAAAGGCAGAGGCATATTGCGACCCATACTCTGGGGAAGCGCTTTGTGTGCGACGTATGTACATGACATGGGTCCACGCCTCATGTGTCCTGACTCCTGCACTCCTACTTGCTCATCCAAACCCTGGCAGATCTGCTCCAAGGCTTTCGCTCGTGCCGACTTGCTCAAGCGCCACCGCCTGAGCCATCAAGACGACAATGGGACGAAACGTAGGCGAGTCAACTCGTTCCTTGGCCCAGGCCGCGTTGCCCATGCATGCCAGGCTTGCGCCAGAGCCAGGGTCAAGTGCGAGGAGCTCAAACCGCAAGTTCACCTTGGAGAAATGCGCTACGAGTTCCGAGACTGACACACGTTTATAGGTGCTCGCGCTGCAAGAACCGCGGGCTGAATTGCGAGTACCCTTCATCAGAAGACGCTGCAAGGCACCTGCTCCATCTGTCAGAAAGCGCTCGCAATATGGACCCTGGTGTGCACCAAGATGCCAGCCCCGTATCAACATACGATGGCCACCATCCACCGGCAGCAGCTCAGCCAACCATTCCGGGCCCAGCAGGACACCGGCCGCTCTTCCCTGACGCTGCCGACTCTCAGGCGGTGGCGATCCAAAGCTCCATCTCTACGAATACTCCGTGGAAGGAGGAACCACAGTTGCTGACGCCCGAGACGTTGATGCACGGAAGCAACCCGGACTCCTTCCAGCCACCATACCCAAACTCGAACTTGGAAAATATGCACAGAATGCCCTTCTCCGACTTCCTTCGAGATGTGCTGTATCGAGATGAGCTGTATGAGCAATCCTTGGGACACCATGCAAGGTTTGCCGATGCCCAGGGCTTGGCCGTTCTAGACGTCTGCGATGATGGAAATCTGGAGCTGAACGAAGTTGACTTTGGTCTTCTGGATCACTGGAACATCGATGGCATGTCAGACCGCCTTCCAAACGCGCCAGAGCTCCAGTCTAGAACCGAAGAGCCCAGAGCAGACATGGACAGGATGCGGAAACGCCTCGTCCAGATCTGGACCAAATCGCCCTGGCGATGGAATCCCGAAAATACGGACAATGCCTTCCGTGAACAGTCCTATCTTCCATTATCTTCTAATGACGCCGGAGGAGCTCAAGTACAAGAGTACTTTGACCGTGTTGTAAACGAGAAGCTCCATCTAGCTGGCCGCGACAAAATCCTGACCATTGTCCTTGGCACCTGTCGCAACGACAGCATCATGTCTAGAGTCGCATCCTCATTTCCATCCACAGAGGTCATGGACTCGTGGATTCACATCTTCCTTGCTTCCCATCTCTGTCAGGTCTCGACATTCATCCATTACCCTTCGTTCTCCCTAGACAACCAGTGGCCTGAATGGCTGGCTATTGCTGCCTCAGCAGGAGCCGTACTTGCCCCCGTCCCAACCCTACGGCGCTTTGGCTTTGCCCTCCAAGAGGCAGTTCGTGAGTTGATGCATTGGGGGATGCGTCTGCCATGGGATGTTTTGCTAATTGGGCTTGTCTAGGCGTCGCGATTCCCAAATTAGTGAGCTAGCATTTCTCGTAGCCATTAAGCTCTCCATGGCAGATGTTAACCCTCCTCTAGTTCGAAGAGAACAACAGGGCGATAGCCGACATTAGCCCTGTTCAAGCATTGATGTTGGTCCAGGATATTGGGCTCTGGAGTGGCAACCGGCGGAAGATGGAGATCGCTGAGGGCCGTAAGCTGCTGTCCCATAGTTGTCCCATCATTGCCCACCTGTGTGAATGCTAACGAGGCCGCGAAGATTTGATGATACCAATTACTGTCAGCTACAAGTGAGATGTACCGACACTCGAGTAACCCCTGCTGACATGATTGAAGATGATGCGATACCGCGGCAAGTTCCAGGGGTCCCACTACCCCCAGATAATCATAGATGGAGCCGACGAAGGAAAAGTCCTGGAGGAGAAATGGAAGAGGTGGTACGAGCTCGAGTGTTGGAAGAGGTCTGCCCACCCCCTTTTGCTCTGCGAGCCTAGAGATAGATCTCCTAACCAAAACATTCGTTCTAGGCTTGTATTCCATGCCTATCTGAGGGACGCGCAGATCTCCATGACTCAGTTCATCAACCCCTCAATGTCGTACGCTGAATTAACGCTGCCGCTGCCCAGCTCCAAGAAGCTCTGGTTTGCAAAGACGGCTGAGGATTTCAAGACCATGTACCTTGAAATGTGCGCCGGAGAAGGCAAACGGGCACCGTCTCTAACAGATCTGTTCCGTGACGTCGATCTGCTTGTGGCGCCAGCTCATCGTCGACACGTCGACATGCAGCTCGCCTTTTCCATCTACCTCCACGGCTTTTGGTCGCTGATTTGGGAGTATCGACAACTCCGATCCGTTGGCCACTCATCCGGCCTCCTGGCCAACCCCAACATTCTATTGAATTCCCGGCACCAGGAGCTTTATAAAGCACTGCAGCATTTTCCGATGCTCACATCGTATGCCTGCGAGATGCCCTCCGCCCAGGAGAACCTTGTTCTGAACCTCCTCCAGTTGAATCTGCACGTCTCTCTCGACGATCTGCAGCTCTTCTCCGGCAAGGAAGGAGAGGAGCAGGCACGGAGGGTCTACCCCGTGCTGCAAAAATGGTCACAGAGCCCCGAGGCTTGGAGAGCTCTGTTGCACGCCGGGCAGATCCTCCGGCACGCCAAACTCTTTCCCGCGTGCCATCTGAAGGATTTCTATGCCATCGCGGTGCACCACGCAGCGTTGTGTCTGTGGACTCACGGGGTAGTGACAAGGGCGACGGGGTGCAACTCGCAACTCCAGGGCCACGAGCTTGTGCACTTGGACGGCAATGACTCAGATCAGATACACCGCTTCACCGCGTATGGTCACGGCAGGGCCGCGATCCGTGGGCCTGACAAGCGGGACCAAGCCTCTTCACCGGCCGAGTCGCTACTCGAAGACCCGCGAGGCTGCATGGAGATTGCACAGGAGATCCTCCGAGCCAACTTCATCGAGGGGCAGGAGTGCCTGCCGCCAATCAGCGAGAATATCATTCACCTGCTCAAGCAGTTAGGAAATGCGGCCAGGGCAGTTGGGCCCCCGTGACATGGGAAGGAGCCTGCCATGGATATCTCTCTGAAATTGTCACTACATTTCTAGTAGTGATGGGCTGTCTGGGTTAGTGGGGGAAGTCATGAAACTGCCTCCCATGAGCAACTCGGGAATTGTACTATTTTCCTCCGTGTATGTACCTAATTATAACAGATGTAAATATAACCCAGAAAATAATAGCCCATGGCTTGACCACGTTTGGCACATGCCGGTTCCCGGGTTTCTGAAATTCCCGATGCGGGTGCCTGAAAGTGAGGCTGTCAACGCCACGTGGGGTGTTCTGAGGCCACACGCACAGGTCAGCTTCACCTCAGCCCAGCTCTTTCCCCTCTGTCCTGGAATTTGACCATAAAAAGGGTTGTGGTGGCAAATCCGGAAAGAGCAGTTGAGGTAAAGACTTATCTACTCAGTTTTTGATATTCCTGTGACGGATACACGGTAGCATCTCTCGTCTGCTGCCACACAACAACGCGCATACACACGCTTCGGAGTATCCGTGCAGCTTGAGGTAACGCGCCATCGGATTTACGAAATGACGGAGAGCAGCACAGCGGCCATAGCTGCGACGACGGCGCTGGCGACAGTGGCCATCCTCGCGTTTCTGCGCTTCACACTTCGGGCTCCACGTCCAAAAATCTACCGAAGCCCCCTGCGGACAGTTATCCCAACACTCTCCAAAGATGAGCTAGACAAGCTAGAATACTCACCCGACGAGTTCCCCGGCGCAAGGGACGTAGACACTCCCGTAAGTGCCCAAACCCCACGCCCCCCCTTCACCAAACAGCACAGCTGACCCCCCGCGCGCCCGAAGTACGGCTCAATCCGCGTATACGAATGGGGCCCCGAGACGGGGCCTAAGGTCCTCCTGATCCACGGCATCAGCACGACCTGCCAGACGCTCGGCGGGGTCGCGCACGCCCTCGTCCGCCTCCGGCGGTGCCGGGTCCTGCTGTTCGACCTCTTCGGGCGCGGCTTCTCCGACTCCCCCGGGGACCTGCCGCACGACGCCCGCCTGTACGTCTCCCAGGCGCTGCTGGCGCTAGCGTCGTCGCCGCTCGCGTGGACGGGGCCCGGCGCGCGCGTGCGCGTCGTGGGATACTCCATGGGCGCCGCCGTCGCCGTGCACCTCGTGGCGGCCGGGGGCTTGCCCGCCGCGGCGGTGGAGAGCGTCGTGTTGCTCGCCCCCGCGGGGCTGGTCCGCCCGGAGAAGTTTGGCCGCGTCGCGAGCTTCGTGTTCACGTCGGGTGTGGTGCCGGAGCGGATCCTTGCGGCTGTTACTCGCCGGAGGCTGCGGAAGCCTATCGCTGCGGGGGTGAAGCGGCGGAGCAAGGACGCGCCTTCCGGGACCGAGACGCCGGCTGACGGCGACGGCAGCAGCAGCAGCAGGGACGCGACACCGATGACGATGACGACGCCGCCGCAAGACCCCGTCGGCGCGGCCATGACGGAGACGGTGGTGGCGGACGGGGAGGTCTCCACGCGGCTGGAGGAGAGGGTCCTCGCCTACGTGCAGTGGATGGTGACGCACCACGCGGGCTTCGTGCCTGCTTTCATGTCGTGCATCCGGCACGCGCCGCTGACGGGGCAGCACGACGCATACGCGCGCTTGGCGGGGCGGGGGTTCTGCGTGGCGTTTGTGCTGGGCCGCGACGACGAGGTCGTCGGGCCGGAGGACTTCGCCCAGGACGTGATGCCGCTGGTGGGCGGGGAGGAGGGCGTCTTCTGGCAGCGAAGAGTCCTCTGGAAGGTCGTCGGCGGGGGACATGATTTCCCCATGACGCATGAGGGGGAGACGGTCGATGCGATTGAGGAGTTTTGGGGCGGTGTGGCGGGGGGTTGGTAGGGGACGCTGCGTTGAGTTTGCGAGGACGTGGATGGTATATATAGATGGCTGCGGCGTTTGGGGAGTGGGAATACAGGTTGCCCCTGCTGGGGGACAGCATCGTCGGAGCGGATACCCAGTCCCTTTGCTTTGCTTTACTTTGCTGCATTTCATGGTTGGTCGTCTAGAGATGGGGCGTTTAATTCTATACTACATTTGCATGAATCACCGCCCACGCTTCATATTCAGCGAGCAGGGTATTAGAAATGAGGAGCGACCCGACCTATCTACTAGATGAGGACTATGAAGCCGAGTAGAGACATGCTAATTATGACAATAAAGAACCAAAGTTGGGTATTTTGCTGAGCCAAGTGGAGAGAGATAACAGTTACAGCGCATTTTTAAACCTCCCCAAAATATGCACATCGTGTAAATGCAAACAAGAGTTTATGCACACGTGGGAAGGCAATAATATCTAATAAGAATACCGGTGCCGTTTTTAATACAAATTGAGAGGGGATGCAGCGACAGTCTACCTGTCGAGGGCTTGGTTCTGGCACTGAATCGTTCAAACGTCGTCAGTTTGGTTTTCTACAGTCAAACGGAAGGGCCAAAGACAAGCGAGGACAGGAGAACGTACCATGTGCCAATACACGCCCTTCATCCGCAGCAGCTCCGCGTGGCTGCCGCGCTCCACCACCTTGCCCTCGCCGAGGACGTAGATGACGTCGGCCTTCTGGATCGTGGCGAGCCGGTGCGCGACCGCGATAGTTGTCCGGCCCTTGGACACGCGCTCAAAGGCGGCCTGGACGAGCTTCTCGCTCTCTGTGGTGCGCGGAGGGTTAGAAAGGGGAAAAGGGGAAAAGGGGGTTTAACATAGGCAAAAAAAAAAGGGGTTGGGGGGGAATAAAAGCCTACCGGAGTCGAGCGAACTCGTGGCCTCGTCCAGTAGCAGGACGCGGGGATTGCGGATCAGGGCCCGCGCGATGGAGACGCGCTGCTTCTGGCCGCCGCTGAGGTTGACGCCGCGGTTGCCGATGCGCGTGTCGTAGCCGTCCGGGAGGGAGACGATGAAGTCGTGGATGCTGGCGTCCCGGCAGCACTGGTGGAGCCGCTCCTCGGTGATCGTCGAGGGGTCGACGCCGAGGAGGATGTTCTCCCTGAGCGTGCCTGCGGTTTGGGTTAGCTACCCTCTCATTTTTGATGGAGGGCGCGCTGGGGGTACACGTGGGGGAGGGGGGTTTCTGCATACCTTGGAAGAGGGAGGGCTCCTGGGCGACTAGCGATAGGAGCTTCCGGTACTCGTAGATGTTGATCTCGGATATGTCCCTGTCGTTGAGGAGGATGCTGCCCTGTGACACGTCGTAGAACCTCTCCAGCAGGCTGACGATGGAGGTCTTGCCAGACCCCGAGGCGCCGACGAGGGCGGCGAACTGGCCCTTCTCGATGGTGATGTTGAGCCCCCTGAAGATGGACACCTCGCGGGTCGGATACTTGAAGTGGACGTTCCGGAGCTCGATCTTGACGCCGCCGTCCGTGTCGGGCACCTGCTCGGTGGCCGGGACGGCGTCCCTGTTGCGGCTCTCGCGGGCGCCCAGGATGCGGTTCGCGGCCGCCGAGGCCTGGGCCGCGTTGGGGCCCATGCTGAAGTACTGGCCCGCCGACTCGGCGCCCTGGATGACGGCCATGTAGGTGATGAGGAATGCCGTGACCTCGTACTCGCCCGACAGCAGCAGCCGGCCGCCGTACCAGAAGATTAGTGCCTGGCAGCCCAGGGTGACGCTGTCGGATAGGGCGAAGATGATAGTCGTCCAGCGGGCCTTGCGGAACGCCGCTCTGACGTGCCCGTTCAGGAGCTGCTCGTACCTGGTGACGATGCTGTCCTCCATGACGAGCGCGCAGACGGTCCTGAAAGCGCCAATCGACTCGGCGCCAAACTTGGAGCTCTCTTGGAAGACGGCCTCGTTCATGGCGTTGAAGTCGATCTCGTACTTGACGCGGAAGTAGCCCGAGAGCACGCCGAGCGGGATGGTCACGCACAGCGCCACCAGCGCGAGCTTCCAGCCGTTCGCGAACGATATCGCCAGAGCCCCGATGAGGGAGAAGATGCCGATCAGGACCATCATGATGTTGACGCCGAGGAGCTGCTTGAGTGCCGTGGGATCGGAAGAGAGCTACAAATATGGACCTAGAGTGAGTATTCATTGCCAGAAAGACTAACCGAGCTCGTCGGGGAGAGGGAAGAAGAGAGAAGACACGATTTTACTTACCCTTGCCGAGAGCTGACCGATCGAATTATCGTCCTGGTCAAAGTACGATGTCTTCTGGAAAAGCAGAGACTCAAAGTATTCTTGCCTATACGTAGCACAGATTTTATGCTCCACGTTGCCGGTCGCAAATGAAGCGGTGCAATAGCTCAAACCTATACCGATGGCGAGGATGAACCATATGAGCGCCCAGAAGTTTGAGTCGTCAAGGAGTTTCTGGCCGCTCGCTTGGAAGACCACGACGAGCTTGACGGTGTCAGCATCCAAGGACGTGATTAGGGGGAGTCCGTCCACGGCACACGAACCTTTGCAAACAAATAAGCTTGGAGGGGAGTTCCCGCGCCGGCGCAAGTTGCACCAAGGAGAGCGATGACGTAGAACGGGAAGCGCTTCTTCTGTTCAGACAGGAGCTTCCCAAACCCGTTGGCGAGGTTCTTGTCTATCCGCTTCCTGCCCTGTGCTGTGTCTCCGGCTTCCGATTTCGCGGCAGTCTTCTCGCGCTCCAAGACGTCGCCAATGTCTTCATCGGCAAGAGAGTCGTCTTCGGAGTCGCCAAGTGATAGCTTCTGAGCGTGGATGAGACCGTGGTATACACCTACCTCGTTGGAGAGAAGGCTCTCGTGCGTGCCCTGCTCGACCACTTTGCCATTCTGAAGAACACAGATTCGATCCGCGTTCCTAATCGTGGACAGCCGATGGGCGATGGTGATTGTGGTCCGACCTTTCGAGGCTCTCTCCAAGGAAGCCTGGACGATGCGCTCGCCCCGGACGTCGATGGCCGAAGTGGCTTCGTCGAGGATCAGGATCTTCGGCTTCGAGATGATGCTCCTGGCGATAGCAATCCTCTGCCTCTGCCCGCCGCTGAGCTTTGTCCCGGAGTCGCCTACCTGGGTGTCATACCCCTTGGGCAGGCGATCGATGAACTCGTCTGCAAAGCTCTCGACGCAGGCCGTCTTCACAAGTTCTCTCTTTTCCGCTTCGGGTGCGTTTTCCCACTCAGTGCCGATGAGACCTGCAGAAACGTTCGTGAAGATGGTATCGTTGAACAAAAAGGGCTCTTGTTGAACCAGTCCGATCTGGGACCTCCACCACTTGATGTCTATCTCCTCCAACCGGTGGCCAGCCGTAGTAATGGAGCCTTTAAGCTCCACGGGGGGGCCAAAATCTTCGATGTTGACGGGTGCGCTGCCGTCATCCTCTTCGTCAGGTTCCTCTGCCTCTGCCTTCTTGCCTTTCTTGTTCTTCTTCTGCTTCTTCTTCTTCTTCTTGCCCTGGGCTGTCCCCAGGGCAATGGTGTGCTGATCGTGGAGAGTGTACCACGACTGAATCAGGCCAACAATTGTACTCTTTCCCGAACCACTGGGACCGACAATGGCAGTGTTCTTGTTCGCCTCGATACATAGGTTGAGGCCGTCCAGGACCTTCTTCGATGGACGGCTGGGGTAGGCGAAATGGACATCGGTGAAAACGATGTCCTGATCCGCAGAGACATCTGGCTCCTTCAGGTTGCCATACTGGGGTTGCGGAGCGTCAATGACTGTGAAAAATTCAGCTGCCGCGATCATGGCTTTGGACACGGCAATGAGAGGCGTCGCGGTCTGTTGAAGCGAGATGACCATCAACATGACCGACATCAGCACAATGAGCACGTCGCTCACGCTGTCGAGGCGACCGTCGTGGTAGGACTTCGTTCCATACCAAAACGCCAGGGCGAATGCCGAGTACAGGCCGAAGAAGATCAGTCCGAACTGGGCCGCGAAGAAGGGGGAGCCGGCCAGGCCGTGGTGCTTGGCCTTCTCGACCCATTCGGAATATTTCTGGGCAATGCGGTCTTCGGCCCCGCAGGAGGAGACCATCCGAATGCCGCTTAGGGCCTCGGTGGCGATGGAGCTAGCCTTGGTGTCGGCCTTGGTGACATTCGTTTCGCACTTGATGATGAAAGGGAGAAGAACGGCAAGCACTAAGCAGATGAAGACGATGGACGAGGAGGTGACCAAGGTCAAGGCCCAGCTGTGGGTGAACGCGACAATTATAGCAGCGATAATGGTGGCGTTGTATTCCACGTAGATGCCCAGTTTTTCTGAAATACCCAGCTGCAGGGTGTTGGCGGTGGAAGTGATGGTGCTCGCAGCAGCACCGGACGGCATAGAGTCGAGCACATGGATGCTCTGGCGGAAGAGAGATCTCAGATAGTCCAGCCTGATGCCCGCCGACATCCGAATCCCTATCATGCGGAAGGCCAGCTGTGTTCCCCCTGTATTAGCGACCAACCATTCTTGGGCAGGCTCAGGGAGGGCAAAGGTTCCTACTCTGTTGATGTAGTTCAAGCCAAACCGGGCAAGGAAGAGGGCAAATATGTAAAGGGCCCCCTTATTGAGCACCTTCTGGAAGTCTCCCTGGTTCTGCGTCGAGTCTACCGTGGCGAAGTCGTTGAATTCGCCCACCAGCTGGCCGAAGACGATGTTCATCAGGGGCAGGGTGACACCAGCTCCAATGCTGGCAATGACACCAAATCCGATTAAGGCGTAGTCCAATTTCTTCGCGTACGAGAAGACTCTGAAGTAATCCTTCATAGTTGCCTCCCTCTCAGGTCGCGTCTTGGCTTGGATAGCCTTGTCTTCATCCTTTGCGGTCGCAGATGCGGCTGCCCCCGCCTCCGGCTCAGCATCAGCGACGATCGTGACCGCCTGAGGGGTCTCCTCCCCAGCAGCCTTTTCGGCGCCTGAGCTGTCCATCGTGCTTGAGTCCGCAGGTTAGAAGACGCGGAATAAGTACCTAGGCCTTTGATAGCCCGTAAATATGGTGGTGCTAGGCGCGAAGTCCAAGCATGACGGTGGAAAAGAGAGCGAGAAAAGAAGCGCGCGCAGAAAAGGAAAGGAAAAAGAGATGAGCGATGCAATAAATCAGCTATTCAATACAGACGAACAGAAACATCAACGAGGGCAAGAAAGAGATGCTGGGGAGAGAGGGTGACCTCGTCGTACTCGTCGTATCCCTAACGCGTACATCGCAGATCCTGGGGTCGCAGGCAGCAGCAATAATACCTTAACACGCTCAAGCATCAGACTGTGGTGGCTTGCAGAGCGCTAGCTAGGGTGAGATGACAATTCCAATTGGCCTTGTCGAGCGAAGCCTGGGCGCTCAGTACGGGGCGGATCGGGCTTGGCCAGGGGTCATCTCGGGATCGTGATAGATTCCGGGTCCGACAGTGACTAAAATAGACATCTGGATGCCAACTCTTTTACCAATCTAGCTAGATAGCCATTTCTTGGCGTAAGCAACAACCAGGCCCGGGCCCTTTATATATAATCCTCTGCCTCCCAGCCTTCAGGTTCGACTGACCACCATGTCTCAACCGATGCGAGTGGAAGTTGTGGGCGCCGAAATCCACCGAAACCCGGCACATTAACGCGGAGGCAAACGGGGGGGCAGAACCGGCGAGCACGTAGGTCTGCCTGAGACTATTAGGGGGCTCCGGCACTGGTGAGCCCCACTAGATAGCTTCGAGAGGGATGTAAGTCATGGAGTTGGGCATGGCGAACCCCGATAGCGAGCTCTCTACTCAGGCCTACAGAGTAGAGTGCGTCGAAGCACTGCGAAAGAACTGCCTGACCTCCCAATGTGTCATGCCAGGGGGAGCCTGCATGGGTGGAGACGAGGCCGGCCCTGTGGTCGAGGCCAGAGCAACTTGTGAATGGGAAAGATGCACGCAGCACGCAGCTACCTCTAGTGTGTACGTAGTAGTGTATAACGATATTCCGTAGTTCAACAGCAGATGGCATCCCTGCTTGGGATCTTTATTATCGTGGTGTAGATCTCCCCGCCTGGCAGGTTGGCACACCCAAGGCAAGGGGTCCATGGCTTGTCTCATCTGAACACATGCTGTCTGTGCCATCGCATCGTCCGATGTTGGCTGTCAAGAGCGAACATGCTTCCAAGCGTGGTATGGCCGATCATTACGAGCAGCAGGATTTAATCTTGATCCGCTCCCCCAGTTCCAGAGTCGAAGGACTACGGACGACGACGGGCTACACAATAATTATCTGCAGGCAAGGGAAAGGAGTGGTTAGTGAATGTCCGTTGGTTCATGTGTAGATGTGTAATGGTCCATAATGTAACTCCACCAGCCCGCTGTTGGCGAAGCCTTCCCGCCTTGTTAAGCATCACTGGCATCAAGTGCGGGAGGTTAATCTCCCTTGCAAGCAAAGCACTGATAGATACCTACCTACGACCCCTCATCTTCCAGGGAGGCGCCCAGGAGTTCACAGACAGGTCCCCACGGTAACATCGAGGATGGGTGGAGGAAGATTGGCATCAATATTTGGACATTACGTCGCCAGGCTGCCCACCATGATCCGCATGAAACAGAGAAACGGTTTGATTGCACCTCTTTTCCCTCCAGATTGTGACCGCGGTTGCCAGCGACAGGCTTGAGAGGGGGCGAAATGAATGGCGAGAACAGCGGGATATACCTTTTGACAAAGAGAGAGGTCAAGCAGAGGGTAAGGGACAAAAGAAAGAAGAGATGGAAGGGGCACAGACCGTCAGTTGGCAGACACAGACTCGAGAAGGTGCAGAAGAGTCGCATCTGTGCGTGTTTGTGGTAATTCTTCTGGGTGTGTTGTTTCAAGCCTGAGCTCGGCGACTCGAGTACAAGGTACGAAGCCATGGGTCTCTGCAGGGGGTACGAACGTGCAGCTGGTAGAGCTTTTTGCTAACTGCTAGTACCCTGTACTAGTGGGGGCTCCGAAATGGCTGGACGAGTCGGATTGAGACGCCCCTTCTTCCACGTCGATTTCGCCCATCTTCCACCCCATCTCATCCACCCCTGGCCTCAAAAACAGGGTTCAGATTTGCTTTGGCCTCTGAGGGAAAGGTAAAGCTGAGAATAAAAGGCCAAAATATGTGGGCTGGGACGCAAGCAACAGGGTAAGGATGTAATATCAGCGTCCACAGAGAAAAGCCAGCCGGCACCCCCTCCAGAACAGCTTCTTGAAGGTTCCTCTTCTCTGCTCTCTCTCTTCTTCACTGTCTAATGATAATCTGGTGGTTCGCTTGTCTCTCCTTCACAGCACCCTCTGTCGCTCTCTCGCTCTCGCTCTCGGGCTCCATTCCCTCTTTAATCCGTGGCCCATCGTCTTGTCGCCCACAGCCAGGCAGGCCCAGTCAGTCAGACCTGCCTAGACCTTCAGGGAACCACTGAGCGGCTCCAGTTGTCGTCCTGCTCCGTCTCCCGACTTAGACTCGTGCCTCCGTCGCCCTCTGCTCCTGTCTCAAGACGCCTGCATTTGCCGGGCCGTGTTTTGTCAATCATTTGCCGGATATCCTCCTAAACTTACCAGCTTTCAAGAGTTTCGTCTCGCCAATCTGAATCACTCGGGCGAGTTTTTTGGCTTATCAGCCTAATATCCTAATACCCGTTACCACTCCTGACCCAGAACTTGGAGCCTCGGGCCCCTGCACGGTCAGCCTCATCGTCCGCCAACGTCGATCACGAAGCCTTCTACTTCCGTTCCCGAAGAGGTCAATTGGCTTCCCTGGTCTTGGAGAAGGTCTATTGCCGCCGGACAGTAAAAGGCTGTTGTGTCCTACACTCCCCCCATTACATCCGACTTCGACTTGACTAGTCGTCTGTTCTAAACAAAACACCACAATTTACCGAGTTTCTCTTCTTGAAGATCCTTTTAAACCGCGGCACGGCGCATATTGATGGGAAGCACTGATTGAACTGGCCCGGTATCCGACGAGAGAGAGAGTCGCACAGCGAGAGCCAATTCACTCACTCCACACTCGCAATCATCCCAGAATACCCAAGGTGGTCATCGTCGACAACCATGGCGGGCTTGATACCTCTAATGCTGAAGCCTGCGGCGCCGCCAGGCACCCGGACCAGCATCGCATTCCGACCTGGCCACTCTCGCCTGTCCAGCACCGGATCTATTCCAGTCGCAAAGCCCAACCCTCCAAAGCGGCTTTCACAACCGGTTCCGACTCGCCTCCCCGTCTTGCCCTACACCAGAACCGAATGGAGGAAGGCTATCCGGGAGGTCAAGGCCATGCACGTCAGCAGGCGATACCGAGCCTGCGCGACAAGATGTGCCGAGATCCTAGACAACATCAAGGAGACGTCGCAAGTCGAGCCTGCATACCTAATGTACCTCCACTTCTACGCCGCGGCATCCATGGAAATGTGCACAAGGCCACTTCCCCTCACATCACCATACCGGACCGATCTCTTGCGACAGGCCAGCTCCCACTACGAGCAAGCCGCATCGCTAGTCCAGGCTGCCGAGGACTCGGTAGCCGCCAGGACTCGATCCGGCTCCGCAAGCTCGACCCACTCGAGCTGCCACTCCCCATACGGATCCGTCAGCTCGCGCACATGGACGGCCGACACTAGCCTGTCATCTCCAACAAACTCCGTCTGCTCCTTCGATGACCTGGCCACAAAGTCCCAGTCCTCCCCGCACCGGACCCTGAAGCGCATCAAGAAGGTGTCGTTCTCACTACCCAAGGAGGAAGAGACATTCCGCATACCCGAGCCGCTCATCCGCCCCGACTCCCCGACCCTGGGTTTCGACGACGAGTATTTCCACGCCGGCGCCGCCCTCAAGACCCTCCCGGAACCGCCCCGGCCCAAGCTCATCGCGGAGGAACTCCCCCTGGTGCCCGAGGATGGCCCGCTCGGCGTCAACCAAGACGAAGAAGAAGACGACGACGACCCCTTCCCCGTCGAGCGGTCTGTGCACCGCTACAACGAGCACCTGTCCTCCCTCCGCGCCCAGCTCGCGAGCCACTCGGCCCACCTGGCCGCCCTCCTGGCGGGCGGCGGCGGTTCCGCGTCTCCGCCGCCGGCGGAAACGTCGGTCCCGCTCCTCCCGCTCTCTCTCCTCCCGCTGCCGCGGCCGAGGCGGGACAGCATCGGCGTCGACCCGCGCGCCCTCGACAAGCAGGCGCGCATCGACCGCCTCCGCAGGAACGGCTGGCAGCGCAAGCGCTTCGACGCCCGCCGGTACGAGGACCTGTGCGACGCCGTCATGGCTGAGCTGTCCTAGGGGGCTCTGTGCTCCCGGCGCATGTGATGATGTTGGTTGATTTGATGTGTAAACCGACCTTTATGAGAAAAGCCTGTGATTATATAATGTATCCATCCATGGTGTTGCTGAGGTTTTGGACGTTGTTTGCGCGGATAATTCCCCTATAGAATGGGTTGACTGCCTGCCTGCCTTTGGTCTTAGGTGATAACGTCGGGGAGATATGGCGTTCGAGGCGTCAGGCGCTATGCCTTACAAGTTGTATATATATAGTTCTCTAAAACATTGACGGTGTTGTCAAACAGAGGTAGCAACAACCAGTTACCAGTTACGCAACATACCTCTGTGTCGAGTTCCTTGGGAAATGTATGTGCAACCATGACCCAAATCGTTTGGGTGCAGTCGCATTGTATTTTGTACGTCATACCCTATAACGCTCTCTTCCATATTGCGGCGTTCCGGGGAATATCTTGTCAAAACATAGGTACAGTACCCTCGCTATACCCTCCTTATAGACTAGATTAATTAACGCTGCGCCTAGACTTGCCCACCCCGAGAACCCTGAAAGTGAGAAAACAGAATCACGTTTGCGGGAGCCTGTGTTTCGAAACAAACCCCGAATCTGATTTCGGTCAAACCAAACTTGCAATGCTGTCGGGAATTACGCCAAAATAAGATTCTCTGAAAAGGGGTTGGGGGGATTGGATCGCGACCAGGATGCGGCCCACGTACGTACGGTCTGAATTCTGAATTATGAATGTCTGTCCGTTGATGCCTACTCTGAGCCAACCAGCCAGCCGGCCATGTTGGGCAAAGAGTCAATTGGCATCACGCAACTAGGTAGGTATCTGGAAGAAACAAAGCATTGACAAAAATTCTCATCCCAACTATGAAGGAGGGAATATGAAGGAGGGACCACCGGGCTACATTTCCCCTCGCTCTCCAAGCAAAATACCATTTTCAAGCGCTCAGCCCCTCCACCACCAATTCTTTCCGGAACGGCCGGAGGGGGTTCGGAGGGATATGATGATAACAACGATAAAACGACACCAAGACACGCCCGATCATAATCTCCTCACGGGCCAGAAAGACTCTTCCTCTTGGCCTCCTCCTGAAGCTTCTCCGCCTCCTCCGCGACCTTGAGTGTCTGTTCTTGCTCCTTCATCTCGCGGACTTTGGCCAGCACCACCTCTCGGAAGATGGCGCCTTTGATGGCCTTTGATAGCTTGCGCTTGCCACCAGGTGGTGCTGCGCTGCTATCACTTACACTGTCGGTACTGTCAGCCTCTGAATGGGATCTGCGTGACTGGTCGGCAGCTAACGTCGAGTCGTCAGGTAGGTCCGAGTGCTCTGGGTCGTCATCTTCCATCTTAAGAGCTTCGATCCGGTTTGCCAGCTTGACGAGCTCGACGCCGCGGCGGAGGCGAGCCCGTGTGATGTAAGCCTTGATCTCTGGCAGCAAGTTGTGGTCGGTTGCGTTCTCGCCGCTTAGCCAGGAGTGGGCAAGGGCTTGCTGTTGTGGGAGAAAATGTTATAGGCCATTGCACATACTTACTCGCGTGGGAGTATTTGAAGTTGGGGGTCGGGGGTTGGGGAAAGGGAGCTCACCTGGCTCGACCAGCGATTTTCGGGCTTTGGCTGCAGAAGACCCATGATGAAGTCCTTCGCGTCGTTGCTAACATCCTTCCAGTACCGCTCGTGGAATATGACCTGGGCATTACTGCACTCGTCAATGAGATCCTGGAGGTTCTCGGCGCGGAAGGGCGAATAGCCACAGAGCAGGGTGTAGGTGATAACACCCATTGACCACATGTCGACAGGTTTGCCATGACCCTTCTTGAGCATGACTTCGGGTGCGGCATATCCAAAGGATCCCGCCATAGTTGTCAGAACCTCGTCCTTGTTGTCGAGCATTTTGGCAATACCGAAGTCGGCAAGCACCAGGTCCGAGTCATGGGCCTTGGTCAAGTAGAGAAGGTTCTCGGGTTTGAGATCTGGACCGTGTTAGAATCGGAGGAGGGAGGGAGGGCGAGAGAGGGGTGGGGGAGAGAGATAGGCAGAGCGAATGACGAAAGCCGCAAGCATACCTCTGTGGACGACATTGTTTCGGTGGAGATAGTCAACAGCACCAAGTACCTGTTTTATGGTCTGGGACGCATCCTTCTCCGTGAACCTGCCCTGCTCACAAATCCTGTCGAATAGCTCGCCGCCCGTGGCAAGCTCGGTGACGATGTAATATTTGTCCTAGAGACGCATGAGTTCTCCGCCCAGTCCAATGATGCCTCACGGATCAGGGCATGCTTCGAACATACCCGAGACTCGAACCAATCCACAAACTTGACAATGTGGGGATGTTTCAAGCGTTGGAGCATGTCCAACTCATCCATGACCATCATCTCGTTGCCCTTCACATTCTTCTTCAGAATAATCTTGATAGCGACCCGTCCGTTTGGGCCTTCGGCTTCTCTGACGATGCCATAGGTCCCTGCGCCGAGCGTCCTTCCAAAGCGATATCGTGACCTAGGCAAGCTCAAGTAAGCGGCGGAGCAATTGCATGGCAGGGGCAACAAGGCCATACTTCTTGTCGTAGCTCTCGGGCTGGCCGTGAAGGCGGTTGAGCATATTGGAGACTGTTCAGGGGCGAGGTGTCAATAGGGCCAAGACTCGTGGTAAGGATAATTATATACATAAATATATACAAGTAGGAAGAACACCAAAGCAGCGCATCATGGCCTAGCACCATCGCGTGCTGCGTGGGAGGGGATACTTACAGTTCATCTTGCTGAAGCTTGAGGAACGAGAGTGCGGGGTCGATTGAGGGAAGTTCGTACCCCAAGGTAGGTATGTAGGTACCTAGGTTATTGGACAACAGGCGATGTAGGTAGAATGTTCGATAGGAAACAAGAGGAATGCCGAGGGAGCAATATAAGTAGGTAGGTAGGGAGGGAGTTCGGGGTGAGTAGTAGGGTAACGTGAGGTAGCGTAGGCGCAGCCTTGTGATAAGATGAGGGGTTGCGCGCGACTAGGATCTCGATAAGGGGAGCTAGGTGGGATGGAACGCAGCGGGCGCCCGTCGCCTTGGTATACCTTAAGTTGCAGGTTTGCAGGCAGGAAACAATTACCTGTGTCTTGTTTTGTCGCAGGCAGGAGGAGAATGGATGGATTAAAAGGGAAGAACCAGATTTGGGCAGGAGCGAAGGAACGCCTTACCTATTGCTCAACCCCAGCTGCGGCTGGGCTCATTTGGCAATAAGATCTCAGGTGGGCTGTGAAATAGGTGCTAGGAGTGCGACGGATAGCTCAGCCCTCTTATCGTCATCTGAGAAAATAAAAGAGGGGCATGTTGGGGCACCTCGCAGCCAACACTTTACCTATCCAGGCAAGTGGTGGAAACAAAAACCCTCGCACGAGTTACCCTGTTTACTAATAGGTTAAAAGTATCCACTAACAATCTCTTGTGGCTTCCCCCCGAGTATTATTAAGGAATGACCTAGAGAAGTTAGTGAGCTAGGTAACTTTTGCGAGCGTTTTTTCTTCCACCACTTGCCAGGTAGGTACTTAGGTGGATACATATGTGGAATGTATTTAGCTATGAAATGAATCCTGCATCTACCTACACAATAGGCTGTTCCCGCCATTAGCTAGGATAGAGCTGTTCTTCTTGTGCATCCATCTCATCTAGGTTATTCAACAGTAATGGAGGTCTTTCGCCGGGGGCTGTGGCTGATCTTGACAAGTCAAGGTCATCAGAGCGGCCGAACTAGTGTAGTCTGCACTGTGTTAGGTTGATCAGGGACGAGCTGGTTTAAAGGGAGCTGGGGCTGGGCAGGCAATGGTGGAAGGCCTCACTCTGCAGCCTGGCACTTCCTTTAGTTAGGTACTACGTCAGGTAGGTATTGGTAGGTTACTGGCAGGTACTTGAATGTGACCAGGGTGGGTGGTTGCGACTCACACCAGCTGTCCCCCCGCTCTCTCCGATTAGTGGTCTTTGAGCCGCCTTACGCTACTACTTCGCAATACATCCTGTTTACATCCATTAAGGTTATGACACAGGTGCTTTTCCTGATCTACTGCCCAGATTGCTGGGAACTTCGTCCCTTCACAAACCTCATCATCTTGTATTCACATCTAAACTACTAATCCCCCCTCAGTCTCCTCCTGAGACTGGAGAGGACCTGCAAACTTGTGGTAGTATCTGACTCTATGGATTTCCAGTGATTGCCTGGTTTCCATACTTTCTCCCCCACCACAGGCCAACCCCGCCAGAGCCGAGCTTGCAGAGACCGATACCTATCGACAGTGCTTACCTACCTTCCTTCCTACCTACCTACCTACCCACCTACCGTTATCTTCCTACCTAGGTAGCCGGTCCCTATCGATTCTCTCTAAAAATGGCGTTGGGCTTTGCGACAAAGCGTCTTGGCAAGGAACTCCAGAAGGTGAGGGTTGGATTGCTCCATGCAGAAAATGAGAGCTCTGTGGCTGTTATGCACGACTAGCTTGCTGACTTTGTTGGATGCGTAATAGATCCATGGCGGCCTCCCCCCTGGCATAGACCTCGTTTCGGCAAGCGACTTCGACGAGTGGCTGCTGGACATCCGAGTGCTTGACAAGAATCCGCTGTACCAGGATCGGGTCTTCCGACTCAAGTTCAAATTCAGTTCCTCCTACCCCATCGGTACGAACCTCTATTTGCTTTGAACATGTCGTGGGACCATCGCAGACAGACACATGACTAACTTGCCTAGAACCCCCAGAAGTGGTCTTTGTCCAGCTTCCCGACCGCCCCATCCCTATCCACCCTCATATATACTCCAACGGCATCATCTGCCTCGATCTCCTTGGTCAAAAAGGTTGGAGCCCCGTGCAGAATGTCGAGAGTGTATGCATGAGCATCCAGAGCATGTTGACGGGCAACTCCAAGAATGAGCGGCCCCCGGGCGATGAGGAGTTTGTGCGAGGCAATCGATTGAGACCCAGGGATATCGACTTCTACTATCACGATAATAGCGTATAGTCAGGGAGTCTATGGCATCATTTTCCCTCTGTTTGTAGGGGCTTGCAGGATATGGGATCCGGGCGTTAGTTATATGGCTGGGGAATGAGGTTGTTCTGCATCAACAGGAGCTGCGACATGGTTCCAAGTGATTTAATGATGGATGGAGTCGAGGCTTCTTTGTGGTCCATATTCTGATCACTATTTGAACCTCGACCGCCCTTTAGCTACTCTGGTTATGTAGCCAGTTTTCAATGGCCAGGTTTTGGAGCTAACATAATAGAAATCTATCAGACTTGCAGGTTGGAGGATATATTTCCCCAACATCCATCTCGAAGCCATCGTCGATACAAATACAGCTGCTATGACGGACAGACCGTGAGAAAATGCCCGGTTTGAGGACCTGCGCGTTGAGCCGCATTTGGCGTGGTTAAACCTACAGTATGTACAGGTTCCGTCCCTTAATTAAACATGGCCCCCCCTGTGGTAGGGAAGGTGGGGCAGGCTGCCCACGAATTTGGTGACGCGACACCGACCCCAACTCGAAAGCAAAGCTCCACCTGCTGGGCCTCCACAGTCCATCATTTCCCGACACCGAGATCCCTCATGGAGAGCTCCGGCCATTACCATGGCTCCTCATGTGGGATTCGATACCGAACAGATAAGAGACAAGGCTCGTAAGGACTTGCTCTATCTCCTCGAAGGAGTAAGTAAGGACTCCCAATTCCGAGTCCCCAGCTGTCACCTTGCAAGTAGCAGTCATTTGACATGCCACCAGGTCCGTGGAAAGAAGAATCTCGTAATTGAGAAGAGCCTCGCCGGCCCTGTCGGCTTAATAGTCAAAGCCTCTACGCTGAGGGATTATGGAGTCGATAACTTCTTCTTCCTTGAGAACAAGAACGCCGATACTAGCCAGCGAAATGTCGTCTTCATCGCCCGGGGCGAGTGTGCCCAGCATGCTCGGGCTATCGCAGGTCAGCTCAAACTCCCTCCTGCGGACCTGTGTATCCCGCCAGTCAATTCGAGTCTTTCCCTCCCCTCCTCCTCCTAGGCTCGAAAGGTAGGCAGCGTCGACTGTTACTTTTCACTCTTCGTTGTCAGTCAATGAGCCGTATGGCAACCTAGTGGACCTCGCCGAGCCAACACGGAATCCTAGAGCGCACTTTATGTCGCAAGACATGCAGTAGATGCCATCATAACGTGCTGACAGAACCTCAGACCAGATGAAAAAGCTGCAACGCGAAAGCCAAACCGGTCACGAATTCCACATCTTCTGGGTACCCCGTCGCACGTTGTTGTCGGACAAGTTACTTGAGGAATCTGGTGTTCTCGGCGACGCCAACATCGCCGAGCTGCCACTGTATTTCTTCCCTTTGGAAAAGGATGTTCTGTCACTGGAACTGGACGACTCATTTCGGGATCTCTACCTGTCTAAAGACCCAACGCCCACATTCCTTCTCGCCCGTGCTTTAATGGGAATCCAGCAGAAGCACGGCCTCTTTCCCCGAATCATTGGCAAAGGCGACAACGCAAAAAGAGTCGAGGAATTGCTGTCTCGCATGCGACAGGAGCTGCTGGCTGGCGAAGATGCAAACGAGACAGATAAGATTGGGCTGACGCCGAGCACGACAACCGAGAGCCTCATCATCATCGATCGCGAAGTTGACTTTGTCACGCCGTTACTTACACAGTTGACGTATGAGGGTCTGATCGATGAGGTATTCGGCATTCAGCACAATCAGACCGATGTCGACTCGACCGTTGTTGGCGCGCCGGTCCAAGTAGCACCTCAGCCTCCAGCAGCTGCACCAGGAGCGTCGGCGACGTCGGCGGCAACTACGCAGGCAAGGAAGCGCAAAATACAGCTTGATTCGTCAGACAGGTTGTTTGAACAGCTCCGAGACACCAACTTCGCCATTGTCGGGAGCCTCCTTGGCAAGGTTGCTCGCCGTTTAAAGACGGACTTCGACAGCAGGCATAACACGCACACAACAGCCGAACTGAGGGATTTTGTGAATAAGCTGCCAGGGCTGCAAACGGAGAAACAAAGCCTGAACATCCATATCGCGTTGGCTGAAGAAATTAAGAAACAGACCCAATCAGAAGAATTCATCAGGCTCCTCGAGGTGCAACAAAATCTCGTTGCCGGCGCGGATCCATCGTCTCAATTCGACGCGATCGAGGAGCTCATAGCTCGAAATACACCCTTGCCTCAGGTGCTTCGGCTTCTATGTATTTACTCATGCATATCAGGCGGCATCAAGGCAAAGGAATTCGACCTTTTCCGCCGGTTGATTCTGGAGGGTTACGGATATCAGCACCTCCTAACCCTACATGGCTTGGAAAAGCTGCAAATGTTCCTCTCCAGGTCGTCACCACTGGCATCCATGATCCCAATGGCGGGCTCGGCTGGCGCGATAGGGACGAAGACCAATTACACCTACCTCCGAAAGCAGCTCAGATTAATCGTCGACGAAGTCAAAGAACACGATCCGAACGACATCGCTTACGTCTACAGCGGGTATGCCCCCCTCTCGGTCCGCCTCGTACAGTGCATATTGCAGAAACAGTACCTCCTCTCGATGACAAGAGGAAACGGTGTGACAAGCGCATCCAGTGCGACAGCCGGAGGGGCTCAAGGCTGGCGAGGCTTCGACGACGCCGTGAAACACGCCAGGGGCCATACGTTCGACGAGTTCCAGAAGGGCGAGGACAAGGCTGTCAAGGCCCGGGCGCTCCTGTCGGGCGGGGGCGAAAAGAAGACGGTATTCGTCGTATTTGTCGGCGGGATCACATTCACCGAGATCGCGGCGCTTCGGTTCATCGCCAAGAAGGAAGAAGGTACGTAGGAGAGACCTCTAAAAATCAGGTCGAAACATTGGTTGCTGACAATACTGTGGCACAGGTCGAAGAAATATCGTCATCTGCACGACCTCGATTGTCAGTGGGAACAAGATGATGGATGCGGTAATAGAGGCGGAGTCGTTCGGAAGGGGCAATACTCAACCTTAAGGGCCTTGGCTAGGGACTCTGGCGTTGTTGCAATGCATTGTCATGTTGATAAACCAAGGCAAAACCTCGAATATAAGTCACTCGGCCTGTGTGCCTTGTTCAGTACTGTCCCGAAACTCTTTGTTGCCCGTGTAAGACTCGGGGCTCCGGCTGGGCGTAGGATATACCAAGTCAATATCTCGTCCAAGATGTTTCCTGCCATGCGGTTTTAATGACAGCAATTGATATTTCATGAAGAGAAAGAGGGCATAGAACTGAGTCCTACTCTCCAATTCAGCAACCCATTAGGTCGAAGATGACATGACTCGAGACGGTTGGTGAGGGGGTCTCACGTGATCCTCAGCTCAATGCTAGATCCATGCAAACCTGTGTAGGAAGTGTTCCTACAGTCTGAATGGGAGTAGTCGAGGGAGAGAAACATCTTATGTCGTTTAAATGCGCCACATTGGCATTCATCAATCCGATCCTCGATTCAATGGCGGTATTCTAGTATCCCTAGCCATCATTGGGCCGTTTATAAGTCGATTGGGACAGAAATCACTTGCTTGGTGAACTCTGTTATGCCACACCGAGGTACAAATCCAGACTCTCTAAAATCCGTCTCTTATATCGGTCCATGCCCCGTGAGAGATGATAGGAAACCATTTGCTGATCGAGAGAAACAGTTGTCCCGACCTCGCTGGTTTTAAAGTGACAAAAGCCAGACACACGGGACTGATCATAGTTGATAACACGCACGGGCAACGTGGCCATGCTGGGCCTCGGCGACGACCTCATTATCGCTATATGTTCCATCATAACGACTGAAAAGTCGTAGCTAGAGCTTCGGAATCATGGAAGCTAATACACGGATCCGATTGGCACAGGAAACCGAGTGTGGGAAACGGCCGTTGAAGTGCCTGGACTCAGATTTCTCATTCACCTCGTCATACTCCAGTCTAGGCAAACCCCTATCCTCTTCCACGACCATATCCGACGTCGAACTGGCATCTCGGGAGTCTGGGAAGGATCCAAAAATCTGTTTCGAGGACATCGTGCCCGAGATAATAGTCCGAACCGACGGCATGGAAATCGTCGATGAAGGAACGCCGGGGTCGTCAACGCCGGCACAAGAAAGTGTCAGGTATGTCGTACGTCGGTCTTGAAATAGTAGTTCCATTATGCACTCTTATATATTTAACACAACCCTTGAAGAAGACGATGCCATTCCCTCGTTACCTCGACCAACTTCTTCTGTCTCTGACCACGTTATACAGCACCCCGATGCCAAATCCTACCCCGGTCCTGCCACAACTTGATGGGATAACCGAGGATGTCAGGATATCATTTGGATCGCCCATGTCGGCCATGTCAGACCAATCCGAGCTATCGTCTCCGCCGTCTACTCTGTTCAGCAAGGCTACCACCCCCGTTGACACGGACAGCTCGAAAGAGGCTTCAGCCCAGTCAGGCCCACCACCAATACCTATCTGTAGACCTAGCGAGGGCCCGAGACGGAAGTACGATGTTCGCCCTAAAATCTCTGTCCCTTCTGACTTGCAGCCACACGAGTATGCGATGCAGTGCATCGCTGCTGCTGAGTCGTCACGGCTCAACCCCTATGCTCTGCATCAAGAGGAATACCTGATGCTCCGAAACCACATCAGCCATGCCCAGGTAACGACCTACCTCAACATACGAAATGGCATCCTCCGGCTGTTTGTAAGGAATCCACAGATTGCGGTGACCAGAGAGGAAGCCGTTGGCTGTGCCAAGGACACAAGGTGGTTTGATGTCGCCAGTGTATGCTTTGACTGGCTTGTGCGGAGGGGATACATCAATTTCGGCTGCGTCGAGATCAAGCCCTCTCAAGAAACCCAAAACACAGCTTTGCCTGTCAGAGGGAAGCGGAAGAGGGTCGTCGTAATCGGCGCAGGAATGTCTGGCCTGGGCTGTGCGCGGCAGCTTGAGGGTCTATTCGTGCAATATTCTGACAAGTTTCGCGAGCTGGACCAAGAACTACCCGAGGTTGTTGTAGTAGAGGGTAGGAATAGGATTGGGGGAAGAGTCTATTCTCGACCCTTCAAGTCTAAACCGGAGCCTGCTTCCTCCTTTAAAGGAAGCCGATCCACTGCTGAGATGGGCGGCATGATCATTACCGGTTTCGACCGCGGAAATCCCCTGAACATCCTTGTTCGGGGGCAGCTTAGCCTTCCTTATCATTCTCTCCGGTCCGATACCACAATATACGATTCCAACGGCAAACCCGTTGACCCGGTCCGAGATCAGTTGGTGGAGAAACTCTTCAATGACTGCCTGGATCGGGTGAGCGAGTACAAGTTCAAGCAGCCGCCGTCAAAGCTCATCGAGGGTAACCGGGATCTAATGGACGAGGGCCGCGACAGTTCTGCGGAAGTTCACAAGACCATCGCCCATGTTGAGGAGACGACGGCCGCACAGCCGCATGGCCCACCAGTCTCGGAACTCAACATCGCTCCGCAGGTGAACCTAGTCCCGGTCTCTTCAGATCGAGTGACTGGCCGGGTTCTCGTCGAGCCGGGCACCCCCGGTACCCTGAAGGCATCCTATAAGGCCAGGCTGATGGGTTGGCCGCTCAAGAGTGGCGTTGCCGGTGAAGATATCGACCTCGAGTCTGCAACCAGGGAACCGGGCTCAAACCTTGGATCAGTTACGGACGATGTCATTTCCCAGTACAAGGACATTGTGGACCTCAATGCTCAAGATTACAGACTGATCAACTGGCACATTGCCAACTTGGAGTACAGCAACGCTATCAATTATCATCAACTGAGTCTCCAGGGCTGGGATATTGACGCCGGTAATGAATGGGAGGGAAAGCACACCATGGTGGTTGGCGGGTACCAAACCGTACCCAGAGGGCTTATGCATTGCCCTACTCCTCTTAACGTCCGGCAACGGTCCCCAGTCGAGCGAATTCGATACAGCCCGGAGGGGACGGGCCGGGTGCTTGTGGAGTGCGAGGATCAGTTCACAATCGAGGCCGACTACGTCGTTAATACGATCCCCCTGGGTGTGCTGAAGCACGCGAGCGTTGAATTATTCGACCCGCCTCTCCCTCCTTGGAAAATGGATGCCGTCGACCGTCTCGGCTTCGGCGTCCTCAATAAAGTTATTCTTGTCTACAAGAATGCATTTTGGAACGAGGACCGAGACATCTTCGGTGTTCTCAGGAACCCTCCAAATCGCCACAGCTTGGACCAGACGGATTACTCTCCACAGCGAGGGCGATTCTTCCAATGGTTCAACGTCTCCAATACCAGCGGACTGCCCGTCCTCCTCGCCCTGATGGCAGGGGATGCCGGGTTTGACACGGAGAAGACCTGCAATGACGACTTAGTCGCCGAAGCCACCGAGATCCTCCGCAGCGTCTATGGTCCTTCGGTCCCAGACCCGATAGAGACTGTGGTCACGAGATGGGCGTCGGACAAGTTCGCACGCGGCAGCTACTCCTCTGCAGGCCCGGACATGAAAGCCGATGACTACGACGTCATGGCCCGGCCGATCGGCAACCTCTTCTTCGCGGGCGAGCATACGACCGGCACCCACCCGGCCACCGTCCACGGCGCCTACCTCTCGGGTCTCCGGGCCGCGTCGGAGGTGCTCGACGCCATGCTGGGGCCCCTCGAGGTCCCGACACCCCTCATCCTGCCCAAGGGATCATCGGCCGAGTCCCGCAAGCGCAAAGCGCCCGAGACCAAGGACCCGACCAAAGCTCGCCTCGAGGCTTACGAGAACGCTATCTGGGACCACGTCGTGGCCGAGATCGGGCCCCGGCCGCTCAAGCCGGCCAAGCCGGCGATGAACGCGTACCTGTTCTACAGCAAGGCGCACCACGAAGCCGCGCGCAAGAAGTGCGAGGAGGGCCGGCGGCCGGGCAAGGGCAGGCCGAGCGCCAACGAGGTGAGGGTCATGTCGGCCAAGATGTGGCGGGACTGCCCCGCGGAGGAGCGGCGGCCGTTCGAGGCGCTGGCCGAGGAGCACAAGCGAGCGCACGCCGCGGCCGTGGCGGGCTTTGCCGAGAGGGCGGCCGTGTGGGACGGCAAGGCGCTAGGGCTAAGGGCGCGGTACGAGAGGGAGAACCCCAGCGTCCCCGGCCCGGAGGAGGAGGGGGCGCTGGCGGCGGCGGCGGCGGATAGGCGGGCGAGGAGGAGCAAGTTGAAGGTCGAGAGCTATGCTGAGAGCGAGGACAGCGACCGGTGAGGTAGGTCCCTGCCTGCCTACTCTCTTCTGCTGGGGCCCCGGTCATGACGTTTCTGTGTTCGGCCTGTTTTCTTTTCTTTGCTTCATCGTCTTCCTCTCTTGCTATAGGTACTCTCTGTTCGCATACGTTTCCCTACAATGCACAGGACGGCGGCGTCTGGGAATAGGGATCCATTGGCCTTTGTTACTAGTAAGGTGTGGGACTTTTTTTTATTTTGTCTCGGCGAGGGAGGCTGCATGCATAAAGGGACCGCGCCGCCGGGCATCGAGTCAAGGGGGATTAGCTGCATGTCTCCGGGCCGGGTGGGTGCCGTCCACACAGGGGGTTCATCTATCCTAGCCCGATGTCCTCAGTGGATGTGCAGGTGCTGTTCGGTCCCGGACATCGCTGTATATCATACATAGCGCGTATAGAGAGAATAGGCATTGCTGGCTTAATAAGAAGCGTCTTACCTATATGGAGTTATCTCAACCTACTTTTGAGAACGGTTGGATATCCGGGTTTACGACACGCTCCAATACTTCTATGTCATCGCACGAGGCTTGACTTGCAAAGCCGATTTAGTAGAAGATAGATAGCCCTTCTCAAAGAGTCTATTCGAGAGAGAGACTGGTTACACAAGGAGGTCTTTGCTACTTTGATACAAAGGGAAGTCTCTTTCGAAGAGTCCCCTCCATTTCCCTCCCCTCCGGCACTTCCGCGTCCTCGCCAGGTAGGTAGATTTACATGTCCTCCGATGCCGTGGCTCCGGTGATAATTTCAACCAGTTCGCCCGTGATGACGGCTTGGCGTGTTCGGTTGAACAGGATCTGGTTCTTGTTGATCATCTCGCCGGCGTTCTTCGAGGCGTTCTGAAACGGGGTGCAAAGTCAGTCATCAATGATTATGGTGCAGACGATTGACGGTTCGTTACTTACTTCCATGGCATTGCGGCGCGCGGAGATCTCGCAGGCGTGACCCTCGCACAGGGCCCAGTAGAGGGAGTTGGCGAGGGCATATTCCCGGAGGTTGGCAAGGAGCTCCTCATCCACCTCGAAGGCGGAGAAGTTGGCTAGGCGGAGAGGTTAGAAGAGTTGATTCGAAGAACAGGGCATCCCAGGAAGACATACCAGAAGCGGCAATGGCCTCCTCGGAAAATGCCTCAACAACGGTGGGTTCGTAGCTCTGGACATTGAGGAACTTGTTGTAGACGATCTCGATGCTCGAGTATTCATTGGGCAACAAGACGATCTGGTCGGCAATGGCCTGGGCATCAGTGAACTTGGGGAGGTCCTTCCCGATGCCGGCGAAGTTAAGGACGATGTCCTGGGCGTTGGTACGCTGGAGCTGGGCCTTGGACTTCTCGCCGAGGAGGACCAGGTCGAATCTGGGCTCCTCCAACGTCTTGCGGCGGATGAAGCGGCTCAAACCCGAGTGAATGCCGCCGCAGAGACCCTTGTCGGAGCTGCAGACAATCACGAGCTTCTTCTTGTCCTCGCCCTCGAGGGCTTTGGTCTCGGCCGAGTCAAAGACGGCGTTGGACGTCTGGCCGTACACGCGCGAGTCCTGCATCGATCGCTGTGCCCGGTTGAGCTTCGTCGACGCAACAATCTTCATCGTTTTGGTGATCTTCTCGATGTTGCGAATCGACTTCAGCCGGCCCTCGATTTCACGGAGCGTTGCGAAGTTGGCGGCATTGGGGACGACGGCCCTGTTCATCGAATCCAGGTTAGCACAACATAAATCTCCACCCCTTCCGATCATATTTCGCAGGTCCCCTCATATTCCTCGCTTCCCAGGCCATCTTCTCGTCGTTGAACCGCGCCAACGAGAACCCGCGGCCGAATGGAGAAGGCGTAAACGTACCGGGTCTGCAGCGAAGCCCCGGCTCGCAGAGCTGGCCTTGCAGCTCTTGACAGCATCGTAAAAAGATTGCGGCAGGTGGAGAAGGCCCTCAATCTGCTGACCACAATTATTTCGAGGCCAATTGAACCGTGGTGATCAATTGGTGATCTTAGAACTCAATTGAAATGAGAGGTTTGAGCTGGTGTCTCTCCCGGTCCTATTCTTTTCGGCTTTGCCGACAACTTCCTTCCGCCGGTCACGTGTCCAGCGTGTAAGGCTTACCTTACTCGATCGACCCCTGCTGTGGGGCAGGCTAAGTCCAAAGTCAATAACTTCGGGTCCGCCCAGCTTCTTCCTACGAATCTGCCTTTTTCCCTGTCCCTTCCCCATCCACGCTCTCTTTATCTTCAATTTGACGATAGAGGGCGGCCGGCATACTCATAACTCACCCTCCCACCAAGCAATCCGGCCGCTTTCCTTGTGGAACCTTGCGCAAACACCACATTTGCCGCCAGCCGACGCTCCTTCTCAACCTTAACCCAGTCCTTCAACAACCTTTTTTCTTTTTCCCGCCACCCACCCTACTCTCACCATGTCGATGGACAGCTCTGACGACGATATGCCTTTGGCAAGAACGAACGGCCACGGTAAGTGTGTAAAAAGAAGAAGACGATCCTTTCCCCGGGTCTAGTTTCCTCTTGCGGGGATTGCACACAGAGCCTGATTGACGTGTCACTTTCTCTGTCATCGGCTATCCCTGTCTCTCTTTGGGGCTTACATATTCAGGGCTATTGTTCAATGCGAGGTAACTAATTTTTTTTTTCAACAGCCTCGTCCACGTTCAAGGGACGCGCCGCTCCTCCAGGACTCTCAATTCGAAACGGCCCAGTCGACAGCGATCCAATGGACACCGACGACGCTCCAAACGGCACGTCCAAGAGGAAGGCGCGTTCTTCAATGGGCAAATCCGTCAACTATAAAGATGAATCTGAAAGTGACGGGGGCGCCCCATTGGTACGTGAATTTCGCGCGTTGCCGCGTGGCACTTGCTCCGCGAGGTCGTGCGTGTCGCACCACAACTAACCTAGCAACAGGCTAAGCGCCAAAAGTCGAAGCACAAGGAGGAGTCGGATAGCGATGACGAACCCATGGCGAAGAGGAAGAAGAAGCTTCCTCCCTCCGCCAAGGAGACGTCCTTGATTGACTCGTCCGACGATGACCAACCTCTGGGAGCAAAGCTGGCGCAGAAGAAGGCCAGCGTCGAGAAGGCAGCTGCGAAGGAAGCTAAGGCCATCCGAGCCGAGTCAAATGCGAAGAAGGCGGCCGCGAAGCGCGCTTTGAAAGAGGAGTCCGAGGATGAGCCACTCGCGAAGCCCAAAAAGCGACAGTCGAACGGCGTGTCGGCTACTCCGGCGACGAAGCGCAACGGTGTGAAGAAAGCCGAATCGGACTCGGATGAACCCATTGCGAAAAAGGCGAAGAAGATCACGCCCGTTGGGAAGGCTAAGGCTGGTGCCAAGACGGCTACTGCGCCCGTGAAGAAGGCTGCTGCTTCTACACCTAAGCCTAAGAAGCAGGTTAAAAGTGAAGAACCCGAGGATGGTGAAGAGGGAGAAGAGGACGAGGAGCATCGATGGTGGGAGGGGCCGAAGAAGGAGGATGATAGCATCAAGTGGACGACGCTCGAACACAACGGTGTGATCTTTGCCCCTGCCTATGAGCCACTCCCGAAGCACGTCAGGCTTCATTATGACGGCAAGCCGGTGGATCTCCACGTCAACGCTGAGGAGGTAGCGACTTTCTTCGGCTCCATGCTCAACTCTGCTCTGCATGTCGAGAATCCGGTTTTCCAGAAGAACTTCTTCACCGACTTCAAGGACGTCCTCCAGAAAACGGGCGGCGCCAAGGACAACAAAGGCAATAAAGTCGACATCAAGGACTTCTCCAAACTCGATTTCAAGGCCATATATGAGTACTACAAGGCCAAGAGTGACGCCAAGAAGAATCGCCCGAGTTCCGAGAAGAAAGCCGAGAAGGCTGAGAAGGACGCGCTCGAGGCACCGTATATCTTCTGCAAGTGGGATGGCAGGAAGGAGAAAGTCGGTAACTTCCGTGTCGAGCCTCCAGGACTGTTCCGTGGTCGCGGAGAGCATCCCAAGACCGGCAAGGTCAAGAAGCGAGTCATGCCGGAACAGGTCACCATCAACATCGGGAAGGGTGCCAAGGTCCCAGATCCTCCCGCAGGTCACAAGTGGAAGGCCGTGCAGCACGACAACAGGGCGACGTGGTTGGCCATGTGGCAAGAGAACATCAATGGGAACTACAAATACGTCATGCTTTCTGCAAATAGCGCAATCAAAGGGCAGGCCGACCACAAGAAGTTCGAAAAAGCGCGCGATCTCAAGAAGCATATCGACCGCATCCGCACTGATTACTCTAGGGAGCTCAAGAGCGATGTCATGGCAGACCGCCAGAGAGCGACAGCCATGTATTTGATCGACAAGTTCGCCCTGAGAGCCGGCAACGAGAAGGATACCGAAAACGAAGCCGAGACGGTGGGCTGCTGCTCTCTCAAGTTCGAGCATATCACTCTGCGAGAGCCGAACACGGTCGTCTTCGACTTCTTGGGCAAGGACAGCATCCGCTTCTACAACGAGGTCGCTGTGGACCGGCAGGTATTCAGGAATCTGAGAATGTTCAAGAAGCCGCCCAAGGTGGACGGTGATGACATCTTTGACAGATTGAACGTAAGTCTCTCTTCTGAAAAAACGGTGCGCCGTGGTGAGGAAACACGCAAGCTGACAGCAATAGACGTCCCAATTGAACAAGCATCTATCCAGCTATATGGCTGGACTGACTGCCAAGGTCTTCCGTACCTACAATGCCTCGTACACCATGTCCAAGCTCCTCCAAGAACTGCCCTTGGACAAGGCTACCACGGTGGCAGAGAAGATCAAGCTCTATAACGACTGCAACCGGGAGGTCGCCATTCTATGTAACCATAAGCGGACCGTCGGTGCAGCCCACGAGACTCAGATGGAGAAGCTTGGGGATCGCATTAAGGGACTGCGATACCAGAGCTGGCGGACCAAGATGATGATGTTGGATGTCGATCCCAAACAGAAGAAGAAGAAGGGAGCCGAGTACTTCAATCTCGACCAAGACATTGACGAGGCCTGGATCTTGGAGCATCACAAGTTCCTCGTCGAGACTGAACGCACCAAGATCACCAAGAAGTTCCAGAAGGACAACGAGAAGCGGGTCGCTGATGGCGAGGCCGAGCTTCCTGAAAAGGAGCTCAAGGAGCGCCTGAAGGTTGCCACCCAACTCGAGGCCAAGCTCAAGAAAGAGCACAAGACGCGGAAAGTTGAAGCCGAAGGCAAGGGTCCGACCGTTGAGAAATTCGAGGCAGCAGTCCAGAAGCTCGAGGACCGCATCCGTACCCTGGAGCTCCAATCGGCTGACCGTGAGGGTAACAAAGAGGTTGCTCTTGGAACCTCCAAGATTGTAAGTGGCAAGCAATGACTAACATGTTTCGATGCCTTGAGACTAACCGTGACAGAACTACATTGATCCTCGCCTCACTGTGGTCTTCTCGAACAAATTCAACGTCCCCATCGAGAAGCTCTTCTCCAAGACCCTGCGTGACAAGTTCAACTGGGCCATCCACTCGGTTGGAGACGATGCCACATGGGAGTTCTGAGCTGAGACACACTGGCACATTTTCGACGGCCGCATCTGATAGATGGCCGATCGAGCACATATCGGTAGAAGAAAAAGAAGAAAGAAAGAACAATCGCCAACCAAGAACAGCACCAGGCAGGCTATGGCGATACAGCTGCATTTCACGGTCTGTTTTTCCAGCATCGCCAGCGATATAGAAAGAAGATTGATTGGCTTACCCCGAGGAGATCGTCACCGTTTTTAGAGGTAGGTTGGAATGGAGGGAGTACACACGGCCTCCAGGTTGACGAAAGGGCAGTATCAATCGTACAAAAACACTGGAAATACATGATAGAGAGGAAGCGACGACTAGATGAATGAAATCGTTTCAATCGCACATGGACATACCATTGATAGAGCACGTTTTCCGTGGAACAAGCCAACTTCAGGCGAGATTATGACAGAGTACAACTACTACTGGAACAGGGTTCCTTGGAATGATCATCTGGAGATCACAATTGTCGATAGGTTTGTAAGGAATCCACTGTATCTACAACCATTCAACTCTATCGTAGGGGGTGTAGTATATCTATGTAGGTCAAGAACAATGGCATTTTATGTACTTTTGTCGATGACTGCCAGCAGCCCATTTCTTAGTCAATTTGCAATTGAGACAACCCAACTCGTGGGTTGGTGGGAGTGGGGCAAATAAGTATCTACGGATATACGTATTACCGAGGCTAATTGTGAACCTCTGCTACACCCATATTCATCGACATCAACTTCCACTGCAAAGCTCCCCAGCACCGTAGCAAGCTCCATTGACGCACGAGGAGTGGTGTAGAGAGACAACCAAAACGAAGATTAAAGGGTTATCCCCCCAGATCCCTTCCCTCTTCCCGCGTCCGACCTCTCTCCACTCTTTGACCATTCCAGACACAATGGCGACCATCTGTCGCCTCGCCAGCCGCGGCGCCAGACGCCTCAGCCCGCGACAACCCACCCTCCCGCCGGCGTCCCCCATCCGAGCCTTCTCCGCGGCCGCCCTCCGGCGACACGCCGCACCAGCACCACCACCCCTCTCGGCCCAGGAGGGCACGCGCCTCATACCGACGGACGAGACCTTCGGCCTGGGGGTGGACCCGTTCGGCGGCAGGGGTGGCGGGACGGGAGGCGCAGAGGAGGCGGCGAAGGAGCCGCCGGCGGGGGACGACTCGGTCGCGCAGCGCAAGGTGCGGCACTACACGGTCAACTTTGGGCCGCAGCACCCGGCGGCGCACGGCGTGCTGCGGCTGATCCTGGAGCTGACGGGCGAGGAGATTGTGCGGGCGGACCCGCACGTCGGCTTGCTGCACCGCGGCACCGAGAAGCTGTGCGAGTACAAGACGTACCTGCAGGCGCTGCCGTACTTTGACCGCCTCGACTACGTCTCCATGATGACCAACGAGCAGTGCTTCAGTCTCGCCGTCGAGAAGCTGCTCAACATCGAGATCCCTGAGCGGGCGAAGTGGATCAGGACGCTGTTTGGAGAGATCACGAGAGTCCTGAACCACCTCATGAGTGTGCTCTCGCACGCCATGGACGTCGGTGCTCTGACGCCTTTCCTGTGGGGTTTCGAGGAACGAGAGAAGCTGATGGTAAGTTTTTTTTGGGGGGAGGGGTTAAGGGACGGGGGGGATCAATTTTCAACCTAGGCGATCCCTATCTCTCCTTACCTTGCTCATCCTGGAAAGGTCTTCTAAAAGTACATGTGAGCTAACAAAACGCCTATTAGGAATTCTATGAGCGAGTCTCGGGTGCACGCCTCCACGCCGCGTACGTCAGGCCCGGCGGTGTTCACCAAGACATCCCGATCGGCCTTCTCGATGATATCTACCAATGGGCCACGCAGTTTGGCGACCGTATCGATGAGACTGAAGAAATGCTGACGGACAACCGGATCTGGATCAACCGTCTCAAGGGCATCGGCGTCATCTCGGCCGCGGACGCGCTGAACCTGTCCTTTACTGGCGTCATGCTCCGCGGCTCGGGTGTCCCGTGGGATATTCGGAAGAGCGCCCCCTACGACGCGTACGACCAGGTCGAGTTCGACGTGCCGGTCGGCGTGAACGGCGACTGCTACGACAGGTATCTCTGCCGGATGGAGGAATTCCGCCAGTCGCTCCGCATCATCCACCAGTGCCTGAATAAGATGCCCGCCGGCCCTGTGCGAGTCGAGGACTACAAGATCTCGCCCCCTCCGCGTACCGCCATGAAGGAGAACATGGAGGCCCTGATCCACCACTTCCTCCTATACACCAAGGGCTACGCCGTCCCCCCCGGCGACACCTACTCGGCTATCGAGGCGCCAAAGGGTGAGATGGGCGTCTATGTGGTCAGCGACGGGAGCGAGAGGCCGTATCGTGTCCACATCCGGGCGCCGGGCTTTGCCCACTTGGCTGGCTTCGACCACGTCTCCAAGGGACATCTTCTGGCCGATGCCGTTGCCGTTATCGGCACGATGGACTTGGTGTTCGGTAAGTTAAAAAGAAAGGAAAAAGAAAAAAAGACCCGTTTCTAGTGAAATTTCGAGCATGATTCGTCGTCCGGATTGCTAACCTCTTGTGATTTAGGTGAGGTCGACCGGTAACGAAGGGACCAGGTAGATATGGCCAGGTTGCTCGCGATGATGTGTGTTTGAGGGTCAGTCGGTCGGAAGATAAAACTCCATATTAGAGACCCTCATTTCGTTTTGTATCATAGCAAGAAAGAGAAAACGGGAGAGTTTGGAGTGAGAGAAGTTCTCGTGGTCTAATTATGTGCCTCACATTGCCTTCTCCCCGCCCAGCCACAGCCACCACCAATCCCCCCCGGGTTCCAGCAACCTGTCCCGGGATTAATTATCAGATAAAGGCCCATGAGTCAGTGCAAACCCCCAAGATAGTGAGCAAGGGGATGGCCAGAATACTTACTGGGACTTGGAGAATACCCAGCAGTGGGACGACAGACGCGACGAGCAGGGGGTGGGGGAGGATATCAAGACACCTTGCCCGAATAGCCAAATGCCCCTGCCTAAGTAGCTGATTGCCCCTGCCCGAGTACCTAACTGCCCTTGCCCGAATAGTCGAATGCCCCTGCCCGAATAGGTGTGGAAACGAAGCCATTACCGAGTCACCGAGTCACTGCTGAACATCATTTCCCTCAACCACGCCAGGTGACGCTTCAGAGATGGCGGCGATGCGAAGAAGGTCTCACGAGAGCTGCAGGAGCTTGAGGCTTGGCAGACGCAGCTTGCCCTTTGCTTGGATGACGAAAGTCTGGCCAGTCTTAATCAGTCTACCACTCCTGTGGTGCTCAAGTCTTTGGCCCCAATGTCTGTTGTCCTCAAGACCTGCCCGAGCCAGAATGTCGGCGTTGCTGCCCTCAGCTCGTACGAATAGCGTATCCTTGGGCTTGAAACAAGGATCTTTGAGCCAATGCAATTGGACTGTGACTTCGTTCTCTGTCTCAGTGGTTTGAGACACATTGTCAAACCAGAAATGCATGCGGTGGTTGAGGGAAATCATGTTCGGCGTTGACTCAGTGATGGCTTTGTTTCATCCCGTTGTTATTGCCCTTGCTGTCTGTCGCTATTGTCATTGCTGTCTGTCGCTACTGCCGTTGGTGTGTATCGCTGCTGCCGTTTGTGTCTGTCGCTCCTGCCGTTTGTGTCTATCAATATTGCAGTTGCCATTGCCGTTGCCGTCACCATCGCCGTTGCCATCGCTTTCGCTGTCATGCCATCGCTTTCGCTGACATTGTTCGAAACAAGGTCATTTCACGGCTAGATGGGATGACAACAAGGGCACAACTTGTACTTCTTGACATCCATCATGCGGCTTGGCCAGGCTAGACTCCAAGCAGGACATTTCGGTTTCTTCTTCTGGGCTGGACACACAACGACTATAGCCTAGGTACAAGCCCTGCTGCTAGAGGGATGGAACTGCCTATTGAAAAGGATACAAGCACAAATGCTACAAAATGAGTAGCAGTTACGCTGGAATTAGCTAGACACGATATCAAGCAGGAGACTGGCGCTCTTGTTCCCGTCCGAGATACCTAGGCAGTTGTAATGCTGTGATTATGGAAGTGCTCAATCTCAGAAGATGTTACGCTTCTGGATACCTATTTCTTCACGAACTTAGCACCATCATACGCAGCAAGCGCTTTTCTCAAGGATTGCACATTGGCAGCCCAGAGCTTACTCAAGTCTTCTACCGCTCTTCACCTTCCTCCCAGACAAACCAGGCTCATGAGATTTATCCTCACGGATTCCTCGGGGCCCACCCAGCCCCGCCGCTTTAAGGGTGTCACCCTAGGTGAGCAGGGTGAGCTGTACTCATAGGCAAGTGACCATGTTCGGGAGCAATAAGACATGAAGACCGTATAGAGCATCGTATCTCACGAACCATCGGAATAAATAGGACTTAGCACAAAGTAGACATCAACTCAATTCTTGAACAGTCTTGGAATATACACGCCCCTAAACGAGCGCAAGTTATGTATATTTCAGAAACCGAACAAAACATACCCCTTTCCCCTTAAAACGCCAGCACGAAAACCAGAGAATGCTCAAGAATATAAACTCATGACAAGGAGCGTTGCGCACCCCAAAACTAAAGCCAAGTCATCATAGCCATGACCACACCAACAAGATGATTACGCAGCGGCCGGAGCGACGAATCCCAGCTTGGCAAAGAGCGTATCCATGGCAACCCACTGCCTGCCACACTTGTCCAGATACTTGTCAGCTACGGCCTTCACGGTGCCGAACCTGACGCGGTTGTGCTCCGCCAGCGCGACGATCTTCTCCCTGGCCTCGGGGGTGACACTCTCCTCGCCACCGCTCCCAGACGCGCCACCTGCCTTAGCCTTCGCCTTTTCCACATCCCACAGGCTCGCAAAGTACACCAGCTGGTTGTAGATCTCCCTCTCACCGACCTCGTACCTCATCCGCCCGAGGCAGTCGCGGGCCAGGCCCTTGGGCCCCAGGCACCGCGTGCCGTAGACGCTCATCTGCCTCGTGCGCACCCCGCAGCTGGAGTCGTCGCAGACCAGCCAGCCCTCGTAGTAGCGCGCCGTCTGCGCGCGGATGGCCGCCTCGACCTGCGCCACGACCGAGAGCGTCGGCATCACCGCGCCGCAGGACGCACAGGTCACGCCCGAGGGCGTGACGCGGTCCGGCGACGCGAGGAGGCCCTCGAAGCTCGCCGACGTCTTGCAGGCTCGGCAGCGGAGGGACAGCCGCGCGCAGTCGCGGAAACGGACCGCGTCTGGGATCTGGGACTCGAGGGGGTGGACCTCGAGCTCGTTGGAGCCGGAACCGGAGAGGTTGTTGCTATTGTTTGACGCATAGCGGCGGATGTCGAGGCCGAGATTCTCGGCTAGTTGGGCCGTGGACGTGCCAACTATGTTGGCGCAGAGACGTTCGACGGGCGGGAAGATCTGCTTCCCCATGTACCACTCGATATCCGGGGTGAGACCGGAGTCCGCCTTGAGGACGTCTTGGGGGGTGTACGCGCGCTTCGCAGGTGGTTCCGAGGTTTGTTTGCTATCGCCGGTGATGATGTACGAGACAACGTCGCCCTTGCGCATAGTCTTGCCGCGTGCGAGCTCCCGTAGGGCGACCTGCACCTGGGGCATGCTGTCGGCGTTGGGGTACTCCTTGGGCGCCTTGCCGAGCTGTGTGAAAATGATGTACTTTTGCACGGGGATGGACAGCTCGCGCATCTTGCCGGATATATCGCGCAGGTATTCGTGGATACGTTGTACAGACACCTCGGTGTCATCGCCTGAGAGAATCTCGTTGAGGATTCGAGACGAGATCTCCTTGGAGAGGCCACAGTACTCGCGGCGCTTCATATCCAAACCCTTGACTTCCATCTTCTCGACGAACTTGCCGTCAACCTCGACCATATTGATCGCAGCATACTTCTTCTTGGCCTGGAGGAGAATGCGGCGGAAGATGTTGTCGATGTCGATCTCTAGCAGCCTGTACCGTTCGTTGACCGCCTTCTTGAACTCGTGTCCGACCTTGAACGCATCGGCCACGTTATCCACGTTGGCATTGATCATGACCGAGTCCGTGTCTCCGTAGATGACCTGGAGTGACCTGCTCTCTGCGAGCTCTTTCGTGCTCCGAAGAATCTCACGGCCCTTGAAGGTGGTAAGCATGGCCAGGGGCCGGGCATAGAACCGGGACTTGGTATAGCCCAGACAGCCATACATCGAGTTGGCTGTGAGTTTCAAGGCCAGCTGCTTAATATCCCATGTCGCGAGCTCCTCCGGGGTGGCGTTCTTGTCCTTCATGAGACTCTTGACCTGCTTTCTCCGGCTAACGAGAGTAGCAATGAGCCTAGGCAGGATACCTTGACCTTGCTCCTCAGGAACCGCTGGAACTGCGTCATCATCTTCCGACTAACCCGAGTCTTAGCCAGTTGGTCCTTTTACTTGCGGAGGGGGTTACTTACCGAGGATGACCTCTCAACGGTCGTAAAGCAGATGTTGAATTCCTGAATGATGGACGGATACAGTGAGTTGAAATCCATGACAAGGACGAACTTGTCGTACAGCCCCTTTTCGGGCTCGAAGACGAGACCGCCCTTGTACTTGTCCTTCTTCTTGGTGTCACCGTTCGCTGCGTCCTCATTCTCTGCCTCCGCCCGCTGCCTGCCTTTGAAAGTCTGCTTGTCTGGGCAGATGTACTTATTCCGATGGAATTCGTGGAGCAGAATGTACTCGTTTCGCTCAGCACGCGTGCCAGTGAGGGTCCTAGCCCACGAGTTGCCGGCCAAGTTGGTCAGGACTTTTGTCAGGGGCAGGATCTGGACTCTGAGAGCAAGGGCGGTGATGAAGTAGGTATCGGCCTCCATATGGGTGATGTAGTCCATGAGCCCCTTCGGCGTCGTGGCCCACGTCTTCAGGGCAACATCATTATCAACGTCGCGGCGTCGGTTGTCCCCGCCAAGGTAGAGGCTGCACATCTCTGTCAAGCTCCAGGACTGACACTTGTACATTGTCGACTTGCCGGCATCGTTGGCAAGATCGCAGAGGAGACGGCCGGAAATTATCTGGCGCTCCGCGAAGACGTTGCCACCCAGTTTGCCCATCGATGTTGGCCATTGTGAACGTCTGTACCTCCCAAGCCGAGACCACTGGTGTGTCTTCTTTTCCTGGAGGCGGTTCAGCAAGATGCTGTAGTCGACACCTTCCAGTTGGTGGCCAACTATGACGTCGGGGTCAACCAGGTCCATTTGAGCTAAGAAGAAGTTCAAAATCTCCGTCTCTTGCTTCATTACCTTGACCAAGCCCCTCTTCCGTTCTTTAGCCAGTGTCTCGAACCCGAGGGGAAAGGCTGCGCCGTTCGGCCTTATGAGCGTGAATGTGCGGCAGGGCAGTTTCTCGGCCGGAGTGGTGTCACTCAACGAGATATTCTCGTAGATCCGGGCGCTGAGCGCGAGGAGTTCTTGCTTGTTCTCCTTGGCATTGAAGGTCGTTCGCATGGCAATGGTCATCAGGCTCAGCGGAGGCGCGTCGAGGTTGTCCCCTTCGCTCAATGGGGAGACCATATTCGGGTGTTCAACAAGGACTTCCAGCTTGCAATGGGAGGCATTCTTGACGGCGCCGAAGTCTGCGTCTTGGATCTTCAGCCAACAAGGACCCATAATGTTCTTCCAGAGCACAAACTGCTCGAACAGGTTGGTGGTGGTGCCGAAAACGTGGGAAAATGTCTCTCCAGTGATTGCCGAGTCGATCTGCGGCCTGGTGTATGGGTAGAGAAGTTTGAGGTACTGGCCCTCCCTGGGGATACCTGGGAGCTCAAAGGCGTACTTCCGGGTGCAAGCCTTGATCTTGTACATATCCACCTTCATCTTGGTCATGATGGTGTCAACTTCGCCGTAGACGTCCATCATCTCAACCTTCTCGGACGTCTCCTCGCCGTCTTGGAGCCGGTGCTCGCGGGGAAGGAAGTATAGTTTTCGAAGGATGTTGTCGACCTTGACGAAGCAGCTCACGTAGCTTTCGGTCTTCTTGTTCAGAACCTTTCCGAATAGGCAAAGGCTTCCGTTGACTTCCATGTAGTCAGTCCAGAACATGTTAAGGCTCCCATCTTCCTCGATCGCATCCTTGTAGTCAATCTTCCCGACTGTCCTTGGCGTCGCGGGCGAGCCGCTGACGACGTTGAGCTTCTGATTGATGTCGTTCCAAGATGACGAGTCGACGCTGTTTTCTGATGGCTTGGGAGGAGAGGAATTCGCCGGCGAAGGATACGGATCCGGCTTGATGATCTTCTTGATCCGGGAGGCTGATAAGTTCACGCTCGCTGCAGTGATAGCTCCAGCATGGGCGACTTCCATCATATCGTCCTCCTCCTCGTCCTCTGCATGTTCAGCCTTGGACTGTGATTTGCGCTCCGCGGCTTTGGCCGTTGGTGATGATGGTGCTGGATCACTCATCGGTACATCTGCTGAGGTGATTGGTTCCTCATCAAAGATAGGAAGGGATGTATCGTCGGCGGTATACATATCGTCGTCGTGAGGGGTAGGTGGCAGCCTATCATCAACCACCTTCGCCTTCTTTGCCACATGCTGCCTAGGTTCAGGGGCAGGCGAAAGGACACGGACTCTTCGCCGTCGCTCATTGGATCTGTCCCTCTTCTTGGAAGATCGCGGCAGCGGAGTTGGGATGTTTGCGTCGACCTCGTCGAGGAGCCCGGCGATGAACTCGTCGTCCTCTTCTGTCTTGATTACCTGTAGAGAGTCTTAGCTGAGGAGTCCGGACATATGTCGGTTGGGGGGTGCGGCAGCATACCTTCGCCTTGGGCTTGGCTGCGGCAGGACCTCTGGTGAAATACTCGGAGATGTTCCGGTCATTGGCATCTCGTTTCGTTTGGTCCTCGTCTCGGCTTTTCTTAGCTGCTAGAGAGTTAGCGGATATCAATTGGAGCAGAGAGACTTCAACTGATTGACTTACACTGGCGACCTTTACCCTGCGCCATCAACTCATCTTCGCTCTCAGTCTCGTACCTGGTGGGAACACGGTCCCATTCCTCACGACCATCGTCTGCATAGCCTTCGCCATTGTCGTCAACGACGAAGTCATCCTCATTTAGACGGTCGCGAACGATCTTCTTGTATCCGGCCTCGTCAACTTCCTCGTACAAGTCTTGCACATGCTCGACTTCGTAAGTGTCGAACTTCTTCTTGCCAGATTGCCGGAGAGCCCGCAGCTCGGCGAACTTATTCCGCTTGTTAAGAGATTTAGACATGATTATGGAGGCTTTGCAAAAGAATTGACGACCCAGACTTTGTGGGGGGGAAAGAACTAGAGAAGCATCATGGCAATTGGGAGACAGGCGAAGAGGCGAAGTGTTGACAGAGGTGGATAGGAGGCCAAAGTCCTAAATGGGGGAGCTTTAGAAGACCAGGGTTACGCGACGTTGAGCGCGTCCGTAATGGGGGACCGCTTTGGCGACGCGAATCCCTGTCGCGCGAAGTGGAGCCTCGACCGAGCGGGCAACCATGGAACGGGACGGGAATGCATGAAACGGAATAAATATTTTACCGAGGACCCCTGCATCCAATCGATTTAATCCCATGAAATATTCCATCGCTGGACTTGATGCGACGGATTGCGACGGCATCTTGAACAAGAGCTTGGAATCCCTAAAGCGCAATTATGTCGATATGCCGCGCCTGTTGGAGAAGGACATTGGGTGCGCTCTCAAATGCTAATTTGTCAGAAGCGCAGCCCCCTCGGTTTTCTCTCCCGACCGCGACATCTCTACACAGAATCCGACGAACAGTGGCGACTCTGGCTGTTGATCAGAATGCCGACCTGGAGCCGCCTCCTTCCCAAACTGCTACCTCGGAGGCCCCACGGGATCGCTCAGATTCTAAAGCTCTGGAATGGGTGGTGAACAAGCATTTGCAACACCTAAAGGACCCGTTCAAGATCGCTGAGCACGTTCTGAGAACACTGGAGAAGGGCCGGTTCGAGGAGGCAGCTCTGTTAACAAGGAAAGCCAGTCGGGATACGAAAGTAACCGTCAGTTGGAACCACCTGATAGACTACCAGATGCGTAATCAGAGGCTCAATGCCGCGTTGAAGCTATATAACGAGGTACTTCCTTCCGAAACATACGTAGGATCATATTTGAAGCATGAGTTTTAACAATGATACCAGATGAAAAAGCGAGCGCAGTTGCCGGATGCTCGAACATACACCATAATATTCAGGGGCTGTGCCAACTCGACCCATCCCAAGCTGGCCGTCTCCGAGGCGGTTAGGATTTACCACACCATGCTCACAAATGAGAGACTAAAGCCCAACACTATTCACCTCAACGCCGTGCTCGAGGTCTGCGCTCGGGCCGGAGATATCGACACTATGTTCAGCATCCTGCATACTGTGACGAATGGCCTGCGGTCCCCGAACAATCAGACCTATACCATCGTCCTCAACTCGCTCCGTCCCCGGCCCGACCTGGCGCGGCGGTCCGACTTGGCAGAAGAGGAGGTTGAAGAGAACAACAAGATCAGCATCCAGAAGGCAAAGGCAATCTGGGAAGCAGTCATCGCCGACTGGAGGAAAGCAAAGATATTCATCGACGAAGAGCTCGTCTGCTCCATGGGCCGGATACTCCTCACAGGGGATTACCATGATAACAACAACATCCTGCCTCTGTTGGAGCAGACGATGAGGTTGCCACGACTTGATCTTGTCGAAGCGGAACTTGAATCCGGAGACCAATCCAAAAAAGGAGGTGCTCGGGACTCGGCAAAGGACTTGACAGAGCCAATACCAACAACGCCTTCCGGCTACGCCATACCGGGGAAGAATACGCTCTCACTGGTGCTCACATCCCTAGTAGCGACGCGGAAGACCACCCTCGGACCCAAGTACTGGACCCTCATGACGAAGAAGTACGGCATCCAGCCGGATGCCGAGAACTACCACAGGATGCTCAAGCTCCTCCGCGTCGGCAAGGCCAGCACCAAGACCGCCGAGGTCATCGGCCACATGCCGCCGGGGTTCATGGCCGCCAAGACGTTCCGGATCGCCCTCTCCACGTGCGTGGGCGACAACCTAAACCCCAACGCCTTCCGCAACGCCACCTCCATCTTCGACGCCATGGTCTCCAACCTCCGCTACCCGGACGCCCACGCCATGCGCCTCTACCTCCAGGCGGCGCGGGCCAACTACGGCCGCTTCCAGACGACGGACGCGGCCGCCCTCGGCACCAGCGACGACGGCAAGTTCGGCCTGGGCCGCCAGATCATGGCCGCCCTCGACCGCATGTGGCAGCCGTTCCGGATCCTGGCGGGCTCCTTCTCGTACCCGGGGCGGGCGAGCCGGTCACCCGCCGAGGAGTGGGGGCGGTCCGCCGACGAGCGTCGCGAGGCCGTCGCCGTCGCCCGCCGCATGGTCGCCGCCATGGACGCCGTCGTCACCGAGGGCATGGCCGCGCCCGAGATGGTCCGCGTCATGAAGTCGAGGCGCAACGTGCTGAATCGCCACGTCACGAGGTTCTTCGAGAAGGAGCAGAAGATCATGGGGAAGGGGGCCGGCGTGAAGGACGGGGAGGAGGTGGTTGGGCGAGAACGGCCAGAGGCTGAAGAACGGATCTGAGAGAATATATGGTCCTCCTCGTTTGTGCAAAGTCCTCTTTCGGAGGACCCCGTTATAGATATGTAGAAACTGTACCCATTACTGTAACACCATCTTATAGGATACCCAACACGTTCATTTATTTCCCGTGTCTGGATTGTTCGCTCTCGAATGGTTTCGAGTACTCAGTTTACGTTTGCACATCTTTGCTCAGTCTCATCAAGCAAAGGTGGACAATGGTTATATGAAATATGTCGATTCTGCCGCCGCTGGCTGGGTCTAACGCAAAATGATCAAGTCATTTGACGACGATGATGTACAAGGCAACATACCCGCCCATCCTTCCCCCGCGCCCCGGTTTCCCAAGCAAGGTAGTCAAGTCTCTCTACGCCCAGAGGAGTGGTATCCAACCGTTGGCGACCGGCAGAGGATCTACCCCCATCTGGACTAGAAATGGCTTGCTATTTCTGCTTCCACCTCCCACCCTCCCTCCCATCCTGAAAGCCCAACCTCCCATCCGCGTGACATCTGAAGCAGAGCGGTGAAATAAATACCTAGCCAGCGGCAGGCGAAGGGGGTAAAGAAGTAAGAGAAAAAAAGGTCTGCTAATAACAATGGTACAACAAGAAATGACAGTTAAGAAAAATAAAGATAAAAAAAACGGAAAACGAACTTAGCAAAACACTGTCCCCGCAGTTGAGCGTCTGTAATCTCCGTCTTGGAAGAAAGTAAAATAAATGTGCAAGGATGCAACAGGACCATGTCCGTCTCTCACGTGCGATATGGATCTCTGATCTTCTGGGTCAACCTTTAGAAAAGGCGAAACCCAGGATAGGCTCCTCTTAAGAGGAGCACAAGTTTCAGAGGGGGAGGGGGAGATCGTATCTGTTGGCCGAGGTATCTTTGCTCCCCATTCCTCAAGTACTGCTTGCCCATTCTCTCCCCCCAGCCTCTCTTACAATCACACACACACACACACACACATATGGGGAGGCAACTTTGAAAGGATGAAGGAAACTGTATTAGAAAGAAATAGTCGAGCACCCCATATCCCTTGACCCGAAGCAGCGAGAGAAAGAATGCAATGGACTTTTCCCCCAGAGAAGTAATCACACAGGTATGGAAGTGAAGGATGGCCCTAACTCCGTAAAAGAAAAAAAAAGAAACAAGACTCTCTCTGCTGGCTGGCTCTCTCGGTTGAGTCGTCTATGAGGATGTAAGGTATCATGAAGAGAAGGAGATTTTGGCGCAACTTTTATTAGAGCGATTTTGTATACCCGCCGCAAATGCAAATAGAGCAAACCCGCCCGGTCTATGCATGCAAGACACCGTGATGCAAAGGGGAAGACAGTTCAGGTCTACTTCTTCTCGTCGCTGTTGGCCGATGTGTCAGGGGCCACCTTGGACAGGGCCGGCGAGACAGCGGTCGAGGGAGGCGAACCAGGGTGGTCTCCGGTGTTGGCGAGCACTCTGTGACGAAAGTTAGACCGACTCACTACCTACTTGGACATCTTTCATGGGGTTTGAGAGCTTGATAGACTTACCCGAATACATTTGTGTGGGCGACTGAATCTCTCTCGCGTGTCGGGGGAGTGCCGGTGCGAGAAGAAGCACCAGAGTCCTCACCAGCACGGCCGAAAGAGCCTCCGGGAGCCAGTCTGCGGCCGCTGTTGCTTCGTGAGTTGAACATGGAGGTGGGACCGAAGGACACGTTCTGGCTGGAGGACCGGTTCGCGGTGCCCTTGAGTCGACGGAGGTCATCCATTCCGACCTGGTTTGGCACGGGCTGGTTGTATGCCGAGAAGTTTCTCCCGTCTCCACGACCGGTGTGGGATCGGCCACCTGGGGGACCTCGCTGGCTGCTCCTCGCATTCTCGGCTGCCTTCTGCGCAGCTGCTGCCTCGGCCTGGATTCATGTTAAAACGAATTCTCGTGTCGGTCATTGGGGAAGGGGGGGTCATCAAATGGCTAATTAATCCACATACCTCGGCTCGGACTTCTTCGAGAGTCTTGGGGCCCTTGTTGGCCTCCTTGGAGGCCCAGCGAACCCTCCGCAGATCGACGATGTCCATGAGCATGAACTTCAGGCGGCTGGGCAGGTCGGGAAGGTCAATGATACTCTGCATCCGCTGGAAGTAAGCATCCATCATCGGCCGGCCCTTCTCGGTGCTGTCGAGATTGGCACCAATGGTCCTGAGCAGCTTCGTCAGGGACTCGATCTCAGCCTCGTCCGGAATTCCCTGGAATTCGAGCAGCTTGCGGACGCATTCGTGCATGATGCGCTCCGTGAGCATGCCTAGCTTGTAAAGCTCTCCGATGAACTGGACCAGGCCGAGGCCTCGTCGCTTCGCTGCGGCTGCGACGTAGTACTCGTCTGACAACAGGGCGGCTTCGCCAGGCTTCCCATCTTCACCCTCTTCCGGCTTGGGTAGGTCGATCTTCCATCCCCGCTCGAACTCCTCCTGGCATCTGTTGAGCAGATACTTGCGGAACAGGGCACCGCCACTGACCACCACACCTTGCTTGTCCAGGATATTCTCGTCGCGGATCTCGGGGCTCATGGTCTCGAGCATGCGCTTGCAGAACTTGGCGTACATTGACGCCCAGTGGGCCTCGTCCGTGGCCTTCTCGAAGGTAAGCTGGATGACCTGGCGCAGCGTGCGCCCGTCCTGCTCGTTCTTGGACTGCCCGGCGATGGTGAGGATCTGGTCCGAAATCTTGTCGAACTTCTCGGGGGTCATCTTGTTCAGGGCGGCCTTGACCTTGCGCTGCACCATCTCTGGGTCGAGATGCGCAGTAGCAGCAGCAGCAACAGGCGCCTGGGCAGCCTTGTTTCCGATGCTGCTCGGCTTCCAGCCAGTCGCAGAAACAGTGATGGGCTTGAGCTCGACTCCTTGGGTGAGGGGCATGTTCTTAGCATGTTGCCCCGAGCCATAGTCGCCCCGCTTGCTTCCACCACCGCCACCACCACCACGCCTGCTGCCTTGGCGTGGGGAATTGGGAATCCCACCCATGGTCGTGGACGAGGGGCTTCGAGACATGGAGTGCGACCCGGGGAAGGCGCCAGGACGCGCGAAGGAGGCCATGGGGTTGGCCATGGTAGCAGGTCTCGGCATAGCTCCCTGGGACATAGCGAATCGCTGCTCCGACGTTGTACCCGGCGGGAGTGTCTTGTTCGAGATGAACTGACCCATGGGCACACCCTGAGAGGGGAATCCTCCTGGCGTACCCGCCTTGGATCCCTGCCTTCCGGAGCCAGGACCAGCAGCCCGAGCAGATGCTGACCTAGAGCCGTCCGAGTCGCCGATGAGGCTCTTGACTTGTTGGTGGAATTCTACAGAGGGCTGCTCCGTGAAGACCTTCTGGAATTGGAGCAGGAACTGCGCGTCGTACTTGAATGTCTTGCCCTTCCTCGACACAGCCGCATTCAGAGCCGGGTTCGGCGACGAAATGTGGTCAGGATAGATTCGTGGGTCAATCGCCTCGAGGAAGCGAGCAGACCGGAGAGATTGCAGAGCAGCGCTGGGCTGGGGCGGCTCAACTGGCTTGGTGCTGACCACGAGGTTGAGCGCGGCAGGCTTACCTCGAGGCTTGTCGCTACCACCGGTCCGTGGTCCCGAGGCTGAGGAACCCCCGTCGCTGCTGATGGTAAGGCTTGCCAGCTTATCGGACACGCGGCTTGTGGAGGAAGGACCGCTATCCTTCTTGTCCGAGAGCTTGAGGTCCTCAATCTTCTTGGCGAGAAGATCGGCGACTGATTCAGCGTTGCCGCTAGCAGCCTTGGTCTCGTTCTCCTTGCGCTGTCTATCGCGTTCTTCTTCCAAGCGCTCCATCTCCCGTTCCTGTTCGCGGAGCTTTCGATCGTTCTCTTCTGCAGTAGGGACAGGAGCCTGAGCGGCGAGCTTCTTCGCCTCTTCCTGCTCGGCCTTCCTCTTCGCGCTACGCTCGGCTTCCTGCTGCTCGCGCTTGGCATCTGCCTCTTCCATCTCACGGATGATGCGCTCAAGCTCGTCCTCGTCCATGTCGCCCGACTCTCCCGACTTCTCTTCTTTCTTATCTTCCTTCTTCTCGGGAGCAACGGTGGGTGCGGCCTCGGCCTTCACCTTCGCTTCGGCCTCTTCCTGTGCCTTGACCCTCGCCTGCTCGGTGGCCTTGGCTTCCGCCTCGGCCTTCTCACGCTCTTCTGCCTTCAGTCGCTCCTCCTTAGCTTTGTCCTCGACGGAGACCTTCTCAACGGGAGTAGCTGGGACTTCTTCCTCCTTGGCCTTCCCGTCAACTGGGTCCTCGGCGGTCTTCCGGACCTGCTCTCGGAACTCGTTGCGGACCTGCTCAGCAGTCTTGTTCGTGGAGATGCTCTCGACTCGAGTATGAGCGGCTGGCGTGGACGGCTTGGGGGGCGGAGTCGGCGTAGAGGCAATGACCGGCGGGGTCTTTGATTGCTGAATGCTGGGGGCGGGAGATGCCGGGGCTTTGAGCTGCTTCTTCAGATCCACGATCTCGCCTTGCGCGTTCTTGATGATGATCGGTCGGGAGACGGCAGGAGCGGCAACCGCGGGAGGGGTCGCCTGGGCGGCGCGTGGCTGGGGGGTACCCTGGGCGATGACGGGCGTCTGGTTCTGGCCTGTGCTCGATGCTGGTCGCTCGGATATCTGCGAGGAATTGCGCGACATTGGCTGAGCCCCTGGAGGGCCCTGACCGTAAGGTACGCCGGCATACTGAGGGTTGAAGCCGGAAGACGAGGATGGAGGGCCCTGGTTCATATACTGGTGGACCGGCTGTTGGGAGTATTGATAAGGCATGATAGGACGGCCGTAGTTGTCCACGGGCATGTGTTGATAAGGGTTGCCCATCTGCTTCTTGGTTGTTAGCAGCAGCTTCTCAAATTGGCCACCCTCTGGTGACAAGTCAATAGGTCCCTTGAGGAGCGGGTGAAGGGGAGCATTTTGAAAAGGGGGGTAGTCGTAAGGTGCGCGACCGCCTGGACACTCCGGCGGAACGGGGAAGCCGCCGATGTCAGGTTCACACTCCCTTATCGCCTCCCCACGCCGACCGTGCCGCCGCGAGCCGATAGCGGCGGGGCCGTTTCCATTTGTATGCTTCTGCGAAGGGATCATCTGCCGCGGGTTGTTGGAGAATTTCTCCGAGTCCCGGCGAGTGCCCTTCTTCTTGTACTTGTACGGGGGTAGATCATTTGAAAAGAGAGGGGGGTTTACTTGAGGGGGATACATGTGTGGAGGCGGGTAGAACTGTTGGGGAGGCTGCATCGGTACAGCCTGGGACATATTCGGAGTCCCCGGGTGTTGTGGGATCGCGTGCGCTGGAGCAGGACTGGCACGTGGCGGTTGCGGCGAGTTGGGAAATTGAGGCATTCCGCCTCGGCCGCCTTGGTACGAAGGCATGCCACCACGGCCGCCGTTGTGACCCGCGAATCGCTGATTAGGTGTATAACCGAGCGCCTGGTTATTGTACGACGCGTTGAAGTTGCGACCACCGCGACCGCCTTGGCCCTGATAGCCGCCTCGGTTCGGACCCGGTCCACCGTGGCCGCCTATCTCGCTATGAGCGGAAGCCTGCGAGTCTCGTCGTAGATGAGCTCCAGTCTGCTGGGGTCCCATCGCCATGGGGTTCTGTGGTAGAGCGGGTTGCTTCATGTGGCGCTAAGCAAAGAAATATGAAAGTCAGCTCCGAACCACGGATCAAAGGGCCCTGTAAAATAGAGAAGAAAATTTTGGCTGGGAGCGTATCTATATCGAGGAGGGGGAAGGAAAGGTACTCAGATACTTACGTCGCCTTCGCCAGGGAAACTGCCAAATGTCATTTGATTTGGGGGAGGTGCGCCAGATGGAGGCCGTCCTCCGCTGGCAGATGGTTTGGGAATGGGCGAGGGAGAATGTGCGGGAGAGGGAATCCTGGCATTGCCACCCGGGATGGGAATAGGTGCTGTGGCACTCGGCTGTGGGGTGCTGTGAGCAATGGCTGGCGAATCCTTGAATCCGAACTGAATGCTGGCTCTAGAACCTGCGGCAGCGCCACCATTTGCGATGTGGTTCGGGGGAGCGTTTGCGCTGATGGTGACTGAGCTCTTCCGGCTGTGGTCAGATGGGGCTCCGTTAAGATTAGAGCCGTGGACGACAGCTGGGGCAGCAGACACGGGGATGGCCGGGGCAATGTTGGGTCGGCCGCCATTCACTGGCGATGCCGAGGAAGATTTGCCATTCTGGGTTGCGGGCACGGACGAGCCAACCACTAGGGGTGGGTTGGTGCCGGCCGCAATCAGCGGCGTGGGTGTCGATTTCTTCGTCGCACCAGCAGCAGAGGCATATGACGCAGCTGCGGTAGATGAGGAGTTCGACGCCTGGGGTTGGTGCTGTTGACTCGCAGTAGAAGTCATAAGGGGAGCTGTTTGACGCGGGAAGCCCTGTCAGGTGTGATGGTGCAGTAGCGCAGTCCGTGATGCTCTGGCGAGGTTAGGGTGATAGAGGATTGTTTGTCGAATATCAAATCCGAATGAGGGCGCCCGAGACAAAGAGAATGATTGTCTCGTTGAAAACCCGACCGGTGCTGCTGGGGGCAACTCGAATCGGATGGCGACTATCGGCACAGGTCGAATTCAGACTTGAGCAGTCGAAAGACGCGCGCGGGTGATGCAAATGTTGGCGGGTTGACGGGTTGACGCAGAATCTATGATAGGGAAGGAGCGTATTTGTCGCAAAAATGCTCGATCCGACCGAGACACACGGACGATGATGGGCGTGCGAAATGCGTCGCCCAGCAAATAAAAACGAAATCCAGAAGAGTGGAGATGTAATCTCTGGAGAAAGAATTCTCTTGAGAATTACCAAGGGGATAATTAAGAGGTTGGATCCTATCCGTAGGTCGATGGATCCTCTCTAAATGTCTTCTGCTGAAGGGTGAGGTTTTGGGAAAGCAGGGCAGGAAAAAATTCGAAGAGAGAGTTTCTCTTAGGGAACCTAGCCTGGACGTGAATTTTTTTTGGGCGTGCTTGGACAGGGGACAGGCAGAGAGGTGGCTTGTGATTTGTGTGCTGTATCACAATAGGTACGTACCTGCCTTGGCCTCACAGCCCGTAATATGCACCCATTATGTAATCTCCATATAATATGGGTCGCTACGATTCCCTAGTGGAACCTACCTGGGCAACGGGGCAACATTCATGGAAGGTTCTCCTTTACTTAAGTTTGAAAACCTGCATTGTCTGTTGCCCTTATTCACTGCTCCAGTCCCAGCATCTCAGAGTGTGGCTTGCTTAACTACTCCGTATCCTGCTCTGAGAACAATACCAAGTTTGGGTCTCTTCTTTGCCCCGGCCCTTGCACAGTCTAAATTACCTACCTTCAGGATTCGTCTACGGAACGCGTCTCGAGTGTACCTATATGTGGATCAAAACGGCTAGGCAGCTTACCTAAACACACCCGTCTTGGCTTCTCAATATTTTCATCCGAACTTCTTCTAACGTGTTTTAAGTTCCATCCCGGTATTGCCTCTGCCTCTCGTTTGTATTCCGCATTTGCCTCCTCTTTCGGTTCTGTCATTGCCCTTTTGGCCAATTCCCCCAATCTATTTCTCTCCCCTGAAAATTAAGCGTTCAGTCGCTATTGCTTTCTTGTCTTTTGTTTTTGAGTTCGTCAGCTAATACTTCCCGACCTCTTCGGTGATTGCTTCTGAACCTACTTATTGAAGTCACTAAATATACCGTACTCGTACCCTTGAGTCCGCATGGTTGCATCTGACGATCTACTAAACTGACCATGCAAAGTTTCTCGGACGGGTGGCAGCGACATACCCGTGGATGCATGTAAGCTCTGACACCGAGTCCGTCCACGACTGCTGTTGTTATCGATAACGCTTCTCGTCCTGCCGATGTCACTTTACTTGTAGCTAGGTATTTGCAGCCGTTCGGCACCTGCCAGGAAATGACCAGCCCGTTAGAACGCGGCCCATGCCTGCGGAGACACTGTTCTATTTTCCATGCTTTTAGGCAATTCAACTGGGCCGTGGGGTTGCGAGGAGAGAATGGATGGATACGGAGAGAGTGGGTACAGATGGGGTTAGGATTTGGAGAGCAGCCAGCGAGCCAGTCCAGTCGCTGCCTTTGGGCCCTGATGTTTCTTCCTCTCTGAACTGTACGTCACAGTGGACTATCTGGGGCCACTATTCCGGCCCGTCAAGCCCGAATCGCTGCCGTCGGGCAACTATAAGATACTGCGCCACTGCCACACTGTGAGGCGACCCGGTGTCCAGATCTTGGCCTCAACTGACTTTTTTAATTATTGCCCCCCAGGCGGGGAAGCCGAGCTTCTGAACCATGGAAGCTCCCTGCTTCTTGTCTCTGGGGCTTGAAGACAAGGTCGTGTGCTGCCCTGTCAGGTTAGCATATACGTCGGGTGGAGCAACATGATAGGCATGGGAGTCTCCAGCCCGAGACCCGTCCGATTGGTAAGTTGTGGACAATTGATCTCCAAAAACTTATTTACTGTATTTCTGCTCTGGAGCTATGGCACAACGGGTCTCCAAGGTGTGGTTTGTTATTACACTGAGCTACACCTCGATCACGCCGATCCCGACTTTTAAAGGCCCTTCCAGCATACAAACGGTCATCTAATTATGCACTGTAGGTCGGTCATCTTTTTTTGTATTCAGTCGCGTCTAAGTGGGCAGTATGAGAACCCAGCGAGATAAGGGTCCCAACAATATCCCTTTCGATGCATCAGTCCCTGGTGGGACGGTACAATCTCACGGATAACTCCCCAAACGCCATGAACTATGCGTGACTCGGTCTCGGAATCCCAATCAACCCTCCTCCTCAGCCTCGAAGCCCTCCACCGGGGCCTCCGCACCGGCACTAGCATCGGCGCCGTCCTCGTCCTCTTCATCGATCTTCTCCGTGGCACCGTCCTCAGGTTGCGGCATAGCCTGACTCAGGGGTGCCTCGTCGGGCAATCCACGCTCGGCGCGCAGTTGCTTGACCCTCGTGTTGGTCATGTCGAAGACGTATTGCCCGATGTGCTCCACGTTCTCCATGACAGCCTCCCCGGGGACCTCTTTGTCAACCTCCTCAGCCAGGATGCGTTTCGAGGGCCAGAGCTCGCCCGTCACGAGCACGAGCTTGTCCGGCCGCTCAAGCAACAACTCGAAGGCTTCGCGGAGCTCGTAGCAGGCCTCGAAGACCTCGCGTCGGCCCAAGATGTAGAGGCCCAAGCGTGCACGAGAGAGGGCCACGGTGAGGCGACGAATGTCACGTAGATATCCCACCTTCGAGGTACGAGTCAATGATAGGATGATGTCTGAGGCCTTTTGTGAGTAACATTGTTTGTGGAGAGGAAGGTGAGGTAGCGGTCACTTACAGTCATTCTGCTCGCCCTGATACTTGTCGACGGTGGTGACGATCCTTGGCAGGCCAAAGACGGGGTTCTTCGCGCAACGATGCGCCAGGACATCCCTTATCAGGGCCCGCTGTCCGGCATATGTTGCGAGAATGCTGATTTTCGAGGCCGGATAGCCAAGCAAACGCATGTACTGGTAAATCGCCACGGCGTACTCGGCCTCGCCCAGGTTTTGAACAAAGTGAGGCGTCGGTTCCGTCTCTCCTTTGCCTTTATAATCCGGGACATTGATGAACTGGTAGTCGTACTTGAAGCCTGCGTTCGCAGTCAAGAACTCTTGGTGAGTCTCGACATGTGGGAGGTTGCCGAGGTTGGGATACCGCCACTGGTAAAGGCGGGCGATTGACGGCCGAGCACGACCCTGTTGATCCAGAGTGATGGCCGGCACACCGAGACGTACTAGCCTAGAGAATAGCGACTGTTCCAAGTTGGCATACTGCCGAAACGCGAGACTCTGAATGACGGGCGAGTTCTGGAAGTGGTCTCCACACAACACAACCCTCTGCAATGACAGCTGCCCGTCCTTGGGTTTCTGCATGGCCAGAGGGATGAAGTTCTCAATCTCGGTGATCTGGGCGGCCTCTTCCATGACGACATTGTCATATTGGAATCCCAGAGAAGCAATCTCCCCTCTCCTCATGGCAGCGTGAGTAGAGGTCATGGCGATGATACGGGCTTCGTTGGTCAGCAAGTAATTGGCCTTGTCCCTATCGCGTCGCAAGATCTCGAAGGGAAGGACGTCGGCCAGCTCGGAAAATATCTTCGATATATGACGGTGGCAGCCATTCGCAACCTCCACGACCGTCTCGCGGTCTACATCTGGAGGGAAGAGGGGCTGGGGCGCGTCGGCGAAGTAGTAGCGGAACGGGAACGCCTTGATAATGTCCTCCGATGACGAGTCCTCCGACTTCGAAACCTCGGTGAACTTGGCCCAGGCGGGGTCAACGTAGACAGACTTGAAGTAACCCGCCGTTTCTGCAGAATTTCCATGAGCACCAGGAGCACCCATGCTGGCAGCTAGGCGGTTGACTTCCTGCAGGTACCGGTCCCGGTTCTCCAAGAAGGACTCAACCCTCCCAAGCTTGGTGAAACTACCCTCAGTCTCAAGCTCTTCTTCGCCGTGGCCAAGACGCAACAGGTGTCGCTCGTCTATGTCTAGGGCAACAATCTTTGCAAAGAGCTGGTTGAGGGCTTGGTTGCTATGGGCGATAAGCAGTGTCCTCTGCTCGGGGAAGTTGTGATAAATATTGTTGATGATCTGTGTGGCGACATCGGTCTTTCCGGTACCCGGAGGCCCGACGATGACAGTGAGCCCAGGTTGGGATCCTGATACGATAGCCTCAATCTGGGTTGGCGTGAACCGTACGGTATTCAGCTTGGGCACGTCGATCGGATAGGGCCCATTATTTGGCGGATTGTATGTCGACACTTTCAATGTCTCTACCTCGGAGAGAAGTGCCGGCTCTGCATCCCGTCTCCGCTTCTTCGAAGGCTTTGACGAGACTTCTTTGACTTGAGGCTCCACGTTTTCGAGCACGTATGGCGGCCCAAAGCTCCCAGACGCATCTTCACTTGGCTCGACGATTTTGCCTGGGAGGCTTTCGACGAGGTGCTGCCAGTCCAAGAAAGTGTCTCGATAGTCGATTCTCTTAACCCGGTTGGGAAGATGCTTGTACGTTGCTCCCGCCGGATCGCCATATCCCAGGAACACCTCGTGAAGCCAAGGGGCGAGAGGAACGTCGGAAAGAGTGAGACTGCGAATGGATTCGAGAACAGGCTTGAAGTTGTTCTCCCTCCCGCTTCTTCGAACGATGACGTTGATGCCATCGTAAACATTCCCTTGGCCTGACGAAGCGTTCTCCGTGTCTGCCCTATATCGAGTTGCATCAAGCCGCAGTTGAATCCGTCGTGTAGGATTCCGTCCACGGCCATCAAAATACGCTTGGGCATCTCGAACACCGCGGTCCTTGTCATCCATGAGCTGAATGACCTCGGCCGTCCGAACAGATACGAGTCCCATCTTTTGGCCTTCAGCCAAAGGCCCTCCCCCGTTGGTGGCATCGCTGCGCTTGGATGGGTCGACGGCCAAGAGGAAAACAACATCGTTGGGGCGCAACGATTCCCATTCACGTCGAATACCCTCAGACAACTTCCTGACGTCGATCACCACCTCGGCCCGGACCGTAGATGGCTTGTCGTCGCCGACCCGGGGCGGGATGACCTCAAGGATACTGTAATAAATTAGCCAAGTTCATGGATAAATTGATTTGATCCCAAGGACTTACGTTGGCTTGTTAATAGGCAATGCCATCTTGGAGAACCCCTTGAAGGCTGTCTCCCCTGATCTTCTGGCCTCAGGTTGAAGTCTCTTGATCACATCTTCAATATCTCGGCGAATCCCATAGAAAGACTCACATCGGTAAAGGACAAAGGCTCTCCAGAGAAAATCGCCCACTGACAGGTATTGCAAGTTCAGCTTCGGAAGGGCTAGTGGATGCGAACCATCGTAGTGGTCGGTTCTGATCAAGTCATGCTCGAAAAGTGTTTCTTCATCTGGAAGCACACTGAGGTCACGAGCTGTTTCCTGGAAGGTTTTGCGCTTCTCAAAAGTGGACAGAAGCACCTCTAGCAAGAATTTGCGGTCAGGCGATATCTTGACAGAGTCGGGGTAGGACGTTCTGAGATCTAAGAGCTCGGCCAGTTGCGTGATCTCGTCGGCAGCGAGGGGCTCAAGCAGGCCCTCAAGCTCGCCGCGCCTGTCAATCGATGCATAGTTCGCCAAGGCCAACACCGTCAACTTCTCCTTGAAGTGCTTCAATGCTATGCGCTGCAATTTCGAGAGCTTCAAGCAATGCCGGTCGTACGCTTCTGTCCGACTGTGCTGGACCCCTGTATGGTCGTCTATGGCGAAGTACGTATAGTGGGATAAGACGGCAAAGAGAGCTCGCAGAAGATCGTTGTCTTCGTCATTGAATAGGGGAGATAGTGCCAGGGCTGGCAAGACATGGAGATCTTGCAGCAGTGTGTTTATGTATCTCCGTGTTGGCAATTGACTTTGCAAGTCTGTGAGGAACTCCACGATGCGCTCGCAGTAGAGAGCTTGCTCTGCAAATGTGTCAGATGTAAACACCAGTGCTTCTTCATGGGCGCGACTTACCCTCCTTAGCAGGATCTGAGTAGAGTACGTTGAGAAAGTCCAGCACCAGGGTATACAACCACGATCTTTCAAAGCGCAACCGTGCCTTTGTCGCATCATCCGCCGCGTCGTACCGTCTCGCCGATGCTTTCCAGGCCTTCCTCAGGTGCGTATTCGTATCCAGTAACTCGTCTCGCTTCTTCTCAGTCGAGATGTTGTGCCAGATTGAGATCGACACGAGCGGCGCGCACTCCTTTCGGACAATGCCACAATCCAAGCTTTGGAACGCGTGTATGATGAATTGGAGGATATGCGTTCGAATGGTCCAGGATAGGGTACCGTCGAGGCTCAGAGAGAGGACTCGACGGAAGAGACTCGAGAAATCGGTCGGCCGGTCATTGAAAAGCTCTACAGGAGCCGTCAGTATGCTGAGACCGCATGTGGGAATCCAGGCTTAGGCTTACCCCATGTTTCCAGGCGCTCTCTGCGCTTCGCATTGGAAATGAGTACTATCAGCAGAACATGGAAATTGGAAGATTCCTCCCCATAACCGGGCCAAAGGTAGCTTCTACATGTTAGCATGACCTCTATACTGTAGACGGGAATATTTCGATGGTTGTACCTCTCGAGGATCTGAAGGCTCTCTAATGAGAGCAGAGACTTGACCGGGAAGCCCTCCTTCTCAAGCGTGTCCCATATTTCCTGCTTGAGAACGTCGTTCTTGACCTTCACTCTTGTAGCCCGTTTAGAGCTCTTGAGCCAGTGCTGCTTTGCGAGAGTTGCAAACTCGCTGTTGCCCTCTAAATCGCCCGCAGTCGGTCGTCCGGAAGCGCTCTGGGATCGCAATCCAGCGCTGCTCTTCACGCGCTTCGCTGGAGGCATGATGATGATGTTCACTGGGTTCTCTGCTGGCTTCGTCGCGTGTTTCCAGCTCCAGACCCGCGCTTGATGTGAGGCTCCAAATTTTGAACGCAACTTCTTGCCAAGTACCGCAGTAAATGTGGCTGAATGTGGCTGACCATTGACTTTAGCTCGTCACGATTTCTCAGCCTTGCAGATGCCAAGCCCAACGCAAACGGCAGGGTCGTGATCCATTTGGGCCAATGCGATCTCGACCACCCAATTCACCTTTCAACTTTCCAAACTAATATTTCCACCCGTCAAACCTTTGAGTCTCCGTCTTCCAAACATCGCGCATTCCATGGCAACTTCCTCCCTTCCGAACTTTTGAGCTCTCGTGAGAAGGCCATCAAACCAGGCTTACCAAAACCTCAAATCCATCACGATGCCATCACTAGAAGCAGAAAGCTACGGCATTCCAGCCGTTGCAGCTTTTAAGACCCTTCTCGATGAGGTTTTGCAGCGCGCGCGCACCGTCAAACAGTCGTCGTCGATCGAGCCCGCCCTCAACAAGTCCGATTTTGAAGATCTCCAAACCCGACTCTGGGAAGTGTTCTCTCCGGCGGGGGCCGCCACAGCGGAGGAATCGGGCGACAATAAGAGGTCAAGACGATTTGCGATTATTGAGACTGCGGCCCGCGATACCTTGAGCACCTTGATTGTGAGTCGGCAACGAGATCGTCACGGGATTGCAGCGCGCTGACCCGTGTAGGCCACAACGCCCATCGAGTCTCCGGATTTTGTCAAAGTCTGGAACTTCTTCGATATACTGTCGATCCTCTCCGATAGCGGGCAGTGCGAGCCGGCGCTCTTGTTCTGGCTTGTTGAAGAGCTTCTTGACAGCCAGACAATTGCGGGGTGCCGCAAGGTTTTCGACTTCCTTGAGTCACGCCGCGAAAGAATCACGAGCAAACATTTCGACCAGAAGAAGCTCGCTATCCTTCGAACATGCAACGAGCTTCTCCGCCGCCTGTCGCGCGCCGAGGATACTGCGTTTTGCGGGCGGGTGTTTATCTTCCTGTACCAAAGCTTCCCGCTAGGTGACAGGAGCTCGGTGAATCTCCGAGGCGAATACCATGTCGAGAACATCACCACATTCGACCAAGACCTCCCCAAGGAGGAGGGAGAGAATGCAGAAAAAATGGATGTCGACACGCAAACCAGCGACGCCAGGAAGACCCCGGACCCTAAGAGTGCCTCAAAAGCTGTGTCCTTCGATGGCAAGAAGCCGCTGGACCCAGATGCCTTGTACCCGATCTTCTGGTCACTCCAGTCAAGCTTCAGCCAGCCAAAGAAGCTCTTCGACGCCACCCACTTTGCCGAGTTCAAGGTTGGCCTCGAGGCGACCATAAGCACTTTCCGCTCCATCAAGCCCGATCAGGGATCGCGCCCTGTCAAGCAAGAAAAGCAGACAGATGACACCAAGCGCAGTCTGAAGCGGAAGCGCGAGGATGGAGATGGAGATGACGAGCTAGCTAGCACGTTCAATCCGAAGTATCTAACCAGCCGGGATCTCTTCGCACTAGAGGTAGACCACCATTATTCCACTTCCATGGTAGTTTCGCTGACTCGGGTAGATCAACGACCTTTCCTTTAGGAGGCACGTCCTTGTGCAAGCCCTCATCATCATGGACTTCCTGCTTTCTCTTTCTGCCAAGGCGAAGGAGAAGCTGAGCACCACCAAGCCGCCGCATATCAAAGCCGTCATGTATTCCGACCAGCTTTTGAGCGAGGAGGATACGAAATGGGCCTTCGGTATGAAGAAGACCATTGCGGATTATATCCGGCAAGGCACCGAAGGCCCGTACTTCTTCAGAATGGTCGAGACGGTCCTATCCAGAGATAAGCACTGGGTGCGATGGAAGATTGAGAATTGCGTACCGATTGAGAGGCCCCCGGTCTCGCCGAAGGAGTTCAACGAGGCAATGGTGGTTGCGCAGAAGATAACCACCAACAAGCGCCTCCGCCCGACGCCGATGGGATCCCTGTCGTTGGGCTTCTTGTCCGATGGCGTCGAGGACAGCGCCATGCAGAAGCTGAAGTCGGAGGAACGATACGAGCCTCCTGATCTGGTGTCCTTCAAGAGGAAGATCGCCGATGACGACTTCGAGATCGAGATGCCAACAAACAACAAGACCAAGGCTGCCGCTGTAGAGGGCAAGGCTAGTAAAAGCTGGAGGGCTCTGAGGATTGCAAGCAAATACAAGCTTGTGACCTTTGATAAGATCGACAACCCCGAGAAGATCGACCTCATCTTTGAAGAAGATGTGCCACAGGAGATCGAGGAGCCGCAGGATAGCGCGGCGGGGGCCGCAGATCTCCCAGAGGATCGCCGGGCAGTCATCATAGCCGGTCCTCAGGGGTCTGGCAAGTCCTCCCTCATCAAAATGCTTCTTGAGAGGAAGTCGGGGTCGTTTGCAAAAGTGGCAGCGCACATCACGCGCCAGCCAGAGGACGGAGAGAAAAATGGGCATGATTTCCACTTTGTCGATGCCCAAGCCTTCGCCATGCTGCGGGACGGAGATCAACTTCTCGAGTTCACCGACACGGAAGGCGTCAACCACGGAACCAGCCGGAAGGCAGTGGAGGCGATCAGCGATTCTGGCAAAGTCCCGCTGCTGGAAATGGATCGCACAGTAAGTCTCCAGATCCCGGCGCTGGCTGTAAGGCGCTTTTGACTAACCATGTTCCATAGGGCGCACAACAAATAAAAGATAACGGGTACACAGCAAGATTCGTCTTTGTCAAGTCCCCGAATGTTGAGGTCCTCCAAGAGAGGCTGAAAGAAGGTGGTGTGAGCAGCGACAAGATGGAAGAGGTTTTAAAGACTGTGTCAGAGGACACCGCGCATGCGGATTCTGGTGACTTCTATGATGTGGTGATTGTAAACGATGAGTTGGAAGATGCCTACAAAGCTGTGGAGAGCTTTATTTATGGCTCAGCAGCCAGTGGCGATGGAGTCAACGGTGATCCGGCACATCAGGCACCCGGGGCGGATGTACGCATGGATGATACTCCCTCTGGTATGGAGCCTCGGGCAGAGCAGGTGAATGGGGCTCAACCGTGAACGCGTCCTTTAAGGCGCCGGAGCAAGCGGTCTGCGTGGATGTTGCTGCCCTTGATGGAGAGCCTGGGGCAGAGCAGGCTCGCAGTGTAGAGGGAGGGGAAACTACCCCCTGAGGCACCAAGACGTGCCGATGTCACTACTATATGAAAGCCGGCTTTGTATCTCTAAATACTATAGGAGGCAGGCGAGGCATGATACCCGAACTAAGCCCGAGCTAGACCTGCAGACATAACGGGCATTGGGCGGTGTCATTCACATTTCACAAACTGCCGACCTGAAAATATTATGTGACAGCAAGTATATCACATCACCAACTCCATCTTCTCTTAATGACACTCATGAATCAGTTTTACAGGAGCATATAAGCGTCAGCATATCCGTCGTCTAGCCTCAGGCGAGTTGAGTTCCACTAGTCCGCAAGCCACAACGTCGACGATGCACGCAGGTACCAGGATCCCACGGCCTCTACACGTGGGATACAATCACTCTAGTTGGCGCGGCAATAGCTAGCATGGCAAGATTTACACCAGGAACTTCTTTCTACACATTCCACAGGTCCACCAAGTTCCGAATCATACTCCAAAGAAATAAAACGGAGACCAAGCTAATATCAATACGCCAAGCCGGACTATAGACTTCAGGATCCCTTCACGGCTTCCAAACAATCCACGAGCGCCTTGGATTTCTCCTTAATCTCGTCTCCGTAGTCAACACACGCGAGACCCATGATGGGGAGCATGATGGAAGGGTCCATGATCATCATATGCAGAGTCTGCGACCGAGTGGTCACATCGGACATACATTTCAGCGCGGTCTGGGGACCGGGAGCAGCTGTTCGGTGTAACAACGGGGTGTTCAGTCCAAGCCTTTTTTTCCTCGACAAGTAGCGAACAAACAAGCAGACTAGGAAGGGGTGGGAAACAAGACTCACCGCCGTTGCGGTATTCCGGTATCTGCTCGGGGTGCCGCAGCGGCCGGCCGGCCTCAATGTTGTCCAGCTCGCTGACGATGTACCTGGTCCGCTGGACAAAGTCCCACAGGTGGAAGAGCGTCCGATGCGGGTTCGGCGGCTGCATCTGGGGGTGCGCCTGGATGGCCTGCACGAGCTCCGCCAGGCACTTCGCGATCCGGTCGCGGTCCGCTGGGCTGGGCAGGGAGCCTGTGCTCGTGGTGGTGTTCTCTGGCATTGCGAGGTGGTGGCGTAGATGACGGATAGGGGCATTCACAAGCGGGACGTTAGACCTCGTACCTGGGACGAATATACGATGATAACGAGGTGGAATTCGCATTATTTCATGGTGGGGAGAAAATAGGGGTTGGCCAAGGTCCGGATTAGTTAACAAAGTATGCAAATCATCGACAGGGGACTCAGCCACGCGGCAAAGTCCTCGAACTGTGCCCCCAGAGTCCAGACTTGGCCACCTTGTGGCGGGACAGCGTGTTTGAGACTCGTGTCGTGTGCCAAACCACGTGGAATTAAGCGCAATGGGTCGACTACCCAGTGCTCAATCAATGTAAGCTGGTTGTTGACGAGAAAATGGGGTGATACATGAGAGGGCCTCAAGTTATGGTTCAGGAGCATGTCTGACATTGAAGAGTGGCTGTCAAAAATCGATGAGGTCAGAGAATGCCGTGGAGTCGATGCGCCTTCCAAGGTCTTGATGTCAGACTGCAATAAAGAAACCATCAAGCCCAGACTTAGGTCCCTTGAGAGACCGTTCGAAGGGATTCGATGATGCCAACACTACCATAGTTAGACCATACTGCCCGTCTTGTTGCATACAGTACTCGCACGATTGCCCCGCCTCCCTCTGTTGTTAGTTTGATTCTTCAAGCAGAGATCCCGTCGAAGGTACCGAATCGGGACTTCGACACCAAAAAGCTACTTGAAGGGGAAGGAAAGCGATTGTGTACATTAAGATACCAAAAGAGACATTCCCGTTGGTCTGGTTCTTGCGGGAAGATTTACTGTCCTTCTGTCACGTTGAGTCGGGGAAGGAATCTCTTTGCAACACCGTAGTACCATGCTAACAGCTGATCAGGGGCAGGTGGCTTGCATATAGTAGCCTACGAACGAGTACCTTGCATACCTAATTCGGTAAACCCCCAGACCACATCTCAGCTGATGACCACCTCCATTTCTTGGATGACGAACAACATTTAATTCCTCGACACCCTGTCTTTCCCCCGACTGTAGTCGCTGTATATATTCTTTACGAACACCTCACACTGTACGCACAAAATGTACTTCCTACTCGCCTGACTCTCTGCTCGGCGTTATTTTATGTTCCCTTACCAGGTAAGGGACGGGACGGAGTGTCTGTTTCCTGAGCTCTTTTTTATATCCTCATATTCATCCATCCTGACTAGGAACTTGTGCCGTCGTCAGGGTATAGTCCTGGTCCACTACTCAGGAACAGCGCTCTCACCGGGCCCCACGAGACTCTATCGACGTTGCGCCATGGATAGATGGCCCGCCAGCCTGCGAAACCACTCCTAGGATCACACACTCGTATTCCCTCAAACCATCTATGCGCCCAGCGATTAGCTGGACTCTATGTCACTGTTCACGTCCAACCCCAAGGCCAATGAGCCCTCCACAACACCCGCAGCAGCTCCTCCCCCAGACGTCCCTACCGGCGTCGCAAGGGCTGATAGTCCACTAGACGAAAGGCAGGGGTTGACGGCGGAGCGGGTTCGGGTGCTCGTTCGCCTGATCCAGTGTCCCGTGTGCTCCTTCCCACTTCGGGAGCCTGTGACACTCCCTTGCGGGAGGTCTCTCTGCAAGCCGTGTCTGCCTTCAACACACCTTCGGACGAGAATATCTTACCCTGCGACTGCAGATAGACTGCAAGGCCTCCAATGCCCCTTCCCGGACTGCCGCGCAGAACATGCCCTCGGAGACTGTGGTCTGGATGTCACGCTAAACGACTTGGTATCGGCCGTGAGGGCCGAGTACGAGAAGGGACGGAATGCAGCTCTCGCCAGCAAACTGGTCACTCACGTCTCCACCAAGGATGAATGGGAGATAGCCGGAATACCGTCCCTGAAGGACGCCGACAGCAGGTCGAGGGCCCTGCCGGGGGGTAGGTTGCTGGCAACCTACTTGTTGGCCGACATGGGAGATCTCGACTACAACGCCGAAGTCACCTACGCCACGCCAGATACCGAGGATCACGCGGATCTCGACGCCACCGTCTTGGCGAAAGTCAAGGAGATGACACTGGCAGAGGTGGACTGCCATGTCTGCTACGCCGTCTTCTACGATGCGGTCACGACGCCGTGCGGACACACGTTTTGTCGCGTGTGCCTCCAGCGCGTACTGGACCACTCGAGCTGCTGCCCAGTCTGCCGACGCCGACTCACGATACAGCCCATGAATAACCGGGCCGCCTCTCCCGCCAACGAGCTTCTGAGGAAGATCACGACTGCATTCTGCGCGGATCTGGTGGAACTGCGGGGCCAAGCAATATCCAAAGAGGGCCTCAAAAGCGACAACCACGAGTTCGACCTGGCCATCTTCGTGTGCACCCTCTCCTTTCCGTCCATGCCCACCTTCCTCCACGTCTTTGAGGCGAGATACCGGCTCATGATCCGGCAGGCCCTGGAGGGAGATCGGACCTTTGGCATGGCCATGTACGACGACGACTCGGGCTTCGCCGAGCTCGGCACCGTCCTCCGCATTGTCAACGTCGAGTTCTTCCCCGACGGCCGGAGCCTGCTCGAGACCGTGGGCATCTCGCGCTTTCGCATCATCCGCCACGGGATGCTAGACGGCTACGTCGTGGCTAAAACGGAGAGGATAAATGATATTAGCATCGCGGATGAGGAGCAGCTCGAGGCGCTGGAGGCCAGAGGAGTCGTGTCCGGTTCTGGCCGGGCGGCGTCGCCGGGGGCGGCCAGGTTTCCGACAAGCACACAAGAGGTTGAGGGCCTGCCCACGCAGACTCTGATGGATTTCGCAACCGACTTTGTCCGGCGGATGAGGGGCCAGAGCGTGGCCTGGCTGACGGCCCGTATCCTGGCTATCTACGGGGAGTGTCCGCATGACCCGGCCCTCTTCCCCTGGTGGTTCGCCAACATTCTCCCCGTCCGAGAAACGGAGAAGTACCGGCTTCTGGGGACGACGAGCGTTCGGGAGAGGCTGAAGATGTGCTGTGGGTGGATACTGGAATGGGAATCCAGTCGATGGTGAGTGACGGTTCTTTCCTGTGCTCCTTTTCTTACGTTTGTTCCTCTGCCTCTGCCTCTGTCTCTTGCCCTTCCCTCCTCCCCCTTTTCCCCTTCCACCAGAGGACCCCCGAATCCTCAAGGCGAGGGAGGATACAAGAGGCTGACGATCTCTCGTCGTTAGACTGGTTTTGTTGACGGACGGTCAGGTCGTTCTTGGACTGCATAGTCAGCTAGGTCGCCATCCATGGGCCCCGGCATTGCGGCGTGGGCATTGCGGCGTGGGCATTGGGCTTAAGCGAGTGCTTGACCAGTTTTTAGATTTCTCGGTGGTGAGGGAGCATTGCATGAACCTGAAGCCATGACACCACATATTACGATATACCAATTGCATTTTCAGGCTAGACAGGACGGGAAGGAAGTATACGCATTTTCAGAGCAAACTTGGGTCCCAGTAACCATCAACATCAACCACCTCAAATAATGGCCAATAAGGGGGCATCGGGGTTGCGAAATGTGAAATGCCAAATGCAAATGCAATTTATCCATGCGCATGAAAAGAAGGAAATACACAAGAATCGCAGGTGACACCTTCGGGCTGGTGGCCATAGATATATACCAGGTACGTACTTGGCGCAAGTGAAAATTAAATGCTTGGCTAGAATTAAGGTAGTAGTAACCCAAGGCGAGGTATACCGCAGCTATCAACTTTAGAGCTATTGATAAGTGCCGGGCACTGCCGCTCCTCGGATAAGAACCGTCCAGGATGGACCTCAATACAAGCAATATCTCATCGTACACCACCCCATCGGCCCCTCGCGGTAGAGGACCTGCTCAGTGCCAGGCGCCGGCCTATGTTCCCAAAGAAGACGCAGCTGCAGAACAGCACACTGACCATCCATATCGCCGTCTCGATCGTCTCGTGGCTCGCCAGAGCTCCCAGCGGCGCCGGGGAGTCGGAGTGGCGATGCCGCGTCAGGTTCCGGGAGAGGGCGCCTGGGCCGAGCCCCGTCGGGACCGGCATCATCTCCGGGTTGAGGCCCATGAGGACCGCCGAGCCGGCCAGACCAACGGCCGCCGAGAGCCAGAATCCGGGCTTGGAGCGATCGATTATGTACCAGAGGAAGGGGTTTGCCAGGGCCAAGGTCAAGGACACCTGCATTGTGGATGTCCAGGGGAGTTTGCGCTGGAGAGACACAAAGTTAGTCATCGCAAGCATTTCGGGGTGGCAAGGAAACAATGGGAGGGAACACCCACAATGGCGAACACAATACCAACAAATGCCCCAATGCCGCGCATGACGAGGGCCCAGTCCATCTCCGGACTGGTCTCCTGGCCATCACCGTGACGCCTACCAGCCCCAGCCCCATTCCCAGCCCTAGCACCGTGAGCAGCGCCCTCATGCTTCCCAAAGCTCTCCTCCCACACCCCATCAAACCACGGCAACAGCCCCCCGAGCGCGACGCCGGCCACGCCCCAGAACACCAGGTAGCGCCAGTCGTAGCCCCCCTCGGGCACGAGGCCCTCGACGCCAAACGACGCGGCGAGCCCCAGGTCTCGGTCGCTGTGCAGGCGCGTCACCAGGAGGCCGTAGCCGACGCCCAGCGCGAACAGCAGCGCCGCCCTCGCGGCCAGCGACGACAGGACCGCGGGCCCGGCGGCGTTGGCGTTGGCCGGGTCGCCCGCCGAACCCCTCCTCGTGGCGTGGGCGGCGGCGGCGGGGTCGGGCGACGACACGCCGTAGCGGCTGTAGCTGCCGGACCGGGCCCTCTCCTTCATCACCTGGAAGGTGGCGTCGTCGAGGCTGGGCCGCTGGGTCGGCGTGAGGGAGCCGGCGGTGCCCCACGGCGTGCCGGGCTCGTCGGCGTCGGCGTCGAAGACGCGGCTGCGGCCCCCGCCGGGCGTGCTGGGGGAGTAGATGCCGAAGAGGGTCGAGGCCGTGAGGTTAACGAACGAGGCCGCCCGGCTGATCGAGTCCGCCTCGTGGCGCGGATCCAGGAGGCGCGCTGCGGACCCCGGCCGGGCGCCGTGGCCGTGGTCGCCGGCCCCGTTGAGGGGGGTGCCCGGTGCCGATTCCTCCTCGGGCGGGGTCGGGCTGGCGACGTTCAGGTCGAAGGGCCGACGGGGTATCGGCCGGATGACCTGCGGGCCATCACCTTTACTGTCCATGGTGGGTTGAAGTCTATGTGGGTGTGGGCGTGTGTGCGCGCGTGAGCGTGATGTGTAGTATGTTGTTCCTGGGCCGATATGCCCTCTCGTTCAGCGAGTTACGAGGAGACAACAGATTCAGGACCGAGTGCCTCAGTTCCCTTGTCGTCTCATTTCAGGATAACTCTCTCCTGCTCCTTTTCCTTCTCTTTTCAGAAGCAGCCCAGTATCTTGAACCTAGGCTCCTCTAGAGGTTTTAACCTTCAGTTGCGGACCCAAAACTAGTGTCGTGGGACTGGTTTGCAGCGCCGGATGCGGGTCAAAAACTCTGATCGTGTTAAGGACAGCTGTGGCTTTCCAGGAACAGGGTATATCCAGTGAGCATGCAAAGACTGTGTATTCAAGGGTTTTGTTGAGGAGAAATGGTGGTAAGGTTGAAGGATGGGACACTGGAGCGGCTTAATAAGAGACGGGCTGAACGATGTAGTACCACCACACACAAGCATACGAATACGTATTACGACGTATATCCATTTCTGACTGACATTTGGACCCTGGGCCCGCTCAATGACCAATGACCAGGGATAGGGGGAGTTTTCCGCAATCACATGCTGACGGGTCGCGCAGCCTGCAGGTGTGGCTCATGGGCCATGGGCAAGGGCCATGGCTCATCTCATTCTTGATCGGCGAGACACAAACCATGCATTTTGAATTCTCGGCTGCATATTGACTCTGCGAGTAACTACATTCTCGATTTCTCACAGCATGCATCCTCGGCGATTGGTAGCAAGGTTTGCTATTAGCAGTGCTACCCAGTTGCTGCGTTACCCCACACTTCGGCAACCATGCCTGATACGAATTGTACGAACGGACTCATTGCATTTTCGCATCAAGTGACTGGTGACTGGCTGATCCGCCCCAGTTGCCGCCCTCCATCAGCCGCTTGGCCGCATATGTCTGCACAGAGACATGTCCATCCCTGCCCATGTGACGCTGGCAATTGCTTGTCTCCCTTTCCCAACAAACGCGATAGACACCGAGATCTTCCCGTGGCAACCAAAAGCGGAAGGGAATGTTTCAGGCGCCTGCTAGCCCAAGTCAAGGGACAGTCGCAATACCACACAGCTTCACGGATTACTATGCAAGCAATGGCTCCCTAATTATCCTTGTTCCACTATTGAAGGCTGAAAGAACGGAGGGTCAAGGTACAGTCCGTCTCTCCAAATCACCACCTGACTTTTGGCATGAGCCTTCCCGCCCGCACCCGATCTGATCGAAGGATCTACAGCCCTAAAAAATCGAGGCTACTTAGCTACGGGGACACAATTTACTCGTCCGAGTCGTCCCCTTCGCCATTGTCGTCTCCGGATGACTCGCCCTCCTCCTCCTCGTCCTCGCTATCGTCCACGCCTTCGGGTCGGGGTATCATGATAAAAGCCGCCACACAAGTGATCCTGTTCTGCGTCTCGTACGTGCCCAGCAAGCTGCCCACCTGCCTCCCGGCCTCCTTGTTGTCCGTGGTCTGAAGCTCGCCCGACTCTAGCTTCCACATCCGTAGCCTCCCGTCGCTGCTCCCTGTGATGATGTACCAGACCCTCTTGCCGTCCTCCCCGTCCACCGGCAGGGCTGTAAAATCCTTGATCCGGCCAGACACGCCCGCGTCCTTGCCGCCGAGCTGGGCGACCAGCTTCGCAGTCGGGAGGGCCTGCGTCTGCTTACCGTCCTCGTCCCCGCCCGCCGCCTTGACGAGGTCGTCGGTCCTGGTGGAGAAGAAGAGGATCCTCCCGTCCTCGGTCGACACGGCCAGGAGAGCGTCCTCCCCACCCGCGGCAAGCGTCAGATAGGTGACCGCGTGGACCTTGGTCTTCAGATCGCTCATGACCCTGCACCTCGGGCGGCTGTCCATGCCAAAGACCAGGAGGTCGCGGTCGAAAGCGACGGCGAACTCGTCCCCTTCGTCGGCGTTGCTCCCCCACACCACCCTCCTGCCCTCCCCGGTGCCGTGCTTCCCCTCGCCCACCTGCGCCAACACCTCCCTCCCAAAGTTGAGCACGCCCGCCTTCCGCCCCGTTACCAGGTTCCACAGCCGCATCGCCCTCTCCCCCTTGCTAACGCTGATCATCAGCTTCAGGCTGGGATGCACCGCAAACGCATTGACGCCCCTCGGCGTCGCCCCATGGGCCGCCGTATCCCCGCTGGGCCGCCCCACCGGCTTGGGCACGGGCGCCTTGACGGTGCTGAGCAAGCTCCAGTCGCGCGTGCGCGTGACGGCGACGGTCGAGTCCTCGGCGGCCGAGAGCAGCTTCCCGCGGGTGGGGAACGCCAGCTGGGTGACGGCGGCGGCGTGGTGCAGCAGGGTGCCCAGCTCGCGGTTCCCGCCGCTCTCGACGACCGCGCGCGGCAGCGCCGCCGACGCGAGCTCCCGCGCCGCCGAGCGCGCCCGCGCCGACGGCGGGTGCGCCGACAGGTTGTACAGGTTGATGCGCTCGTCCGTCGACCCCGTCGCCAGGATCACCTTCTGCGCCTGGCCGGGCACCGGCGCGGATGCCGGCGACAGCGCAAGGCACCGGATCGCGGAGCTGTGGGCGTTGAAGAGGAAGGCGTCGGCGAAGCTGACTGTCTCGGGAGCCGGGCCCGTCTTCGCGGCGGCTTTGTTCGAGGAAGTTGATGCTGCTGGTGTTGTTGTTGTTGCTGCTGCTGCTAACGTGGCTGTGATCCCGTGGAGGATCCGGTCGTAGGACCCCGCGATGATCTGGATGGTGGGCAGCTCACTACCGGTTTTTGTCGTAGTAGAGCTGGCGAGCTCCTGTACTTTCTTGGGCTTTTTTGACGCAATCGACGGTGGACCACCGTTGCCAGTAGCGGCGGCTTCTCTCTTTCTTTTTGCCATTGATTGGATAGTGGTGGATTTACTCTTGTCTCTGTCTCTGTCTTGGTACTTGACTTATTGACCGCTGCCTCTCGAAGACTCGACTTGCAGTTCTTTTTTATTCTTGGGAGGGAAAAAAGTCTAGGCTTATCTTATCGCACAGATCCACAATCTCCCTTGCTATAGGTGCTCCTCAGCCACATCCAATCTGGCCCTTCAGCCACGGGATGGGTACAGTACCAACGGACAATACAAAGTAGCACTCACAGTCTAAAGAGATCTTCACGATACGATCTGTATGACCATTGGACATGATGTATTAAGCCCAAGGGCATAGATATTCTACATGAAGGCTCGGAGAGGCAGATACTGCAGGGTTGCTCACGAGCAACACGACTAACCCATTCGCGGGGGAAATATGAGGTAAACGCCATCCCATGCGTGGATACCTGGGTACCTACCTAGGTATTTCACCACCCAACCAGCTCAATGACGCCCCGTGTTGCGAGGGGGTAAAATGATCCCAGAGGAAAACAGCATGCGGTAAACCACCAGTAGAAGCAGGAAGAATAAAGTAATGAGAGCGAGCCACTGCGTCCGCGAGGATTTCCCAAGGTCTTTAAAAACAAAAAACCATACCCGTTTTCATTCCCCGTTCATTTTCCGGGGAACCGGAGTAGCACTTCCACTCGATTGTCTCTGGTGTTGTCCGGCCGCCTGCTGGGCAGCTACTTGAGCTGCCTGCGCCTGTTGTTGGGCTCGAAGGAGCTGGGCATATTGGTGCGGGCTCGTCGTGGCCGTCATGCCGTTGGCAAGCGCCTGCTGGCTCATGGCTCCTGCGGCGGCGCTCATTGCCGACTGTGTGATCTGCTGTTGCCGCTGCACGTACAGGCGGCCAAGATGCTCCGTGGCCTGCTGCCGGATTTGGTCCTGGCTATGGTTCGGGTACTTGGCCCGATAGCTGGTCTCGAGCTCTCGTAGCTGGGCGTTGAGAGCTGACATCTGCGAAGGTGGGATCGTACTTCTAGGCGACCCGGTGGGCACATTATGTATGTTTAGGCCCGCGACAGGCGAAGTGGCCATTCCGCCGCCATTAGCAGCGTTGAAGGACGCCATCATCGCCTGGGCATTAGCCATGAAGGCCTGCTGGTTGATCCCATTCATGTTCCGCAACCCCGGCGGCGATCCCTGAGCACCGTTGTTGGCCTGCTGCATCTGCTGGGCCTGTTGAGCCTGCTGGACCTGCTGTTGGACCTGCTGCTGGACCTGCTGCTGGGCCTGCTGACTTGGCTGCTGGAGTTGCTGAAGTTGCGGCTGTTGGTGCTGAGCCTGTTGTTGATGTTGCTGCTGTTGCTGCTGCTGCTGTTGTTGTTGCTGCTGCTGCTGCATCTGAACAGCCGCCCTCTGCTGGTCCTGGATTCTTCTAGCCTGTAAAACAAGGTTGAGGTCCGGCTGTGCATTGTTCATGGGCATCCTATGCTGAGCCTGCAATGCCTGAAGTTGCGCCTGTGGGATTCCGTTGATGGGAAGCGGGGTCATAAGGCCGCCACCGATCTGTGCTTGGACTGCCGCCATGGCATTCTGCGGCGCCTGCATCGGCATTCGGGCCCTTGGTTGTTGTCCGGGGACGGCGAGCTGACCGGGCACGTTGAGACGGGTCGCGCCGGCAATGGGATTCGCCGTAGCAGGCTGACCTGTAGCTTGAGGAGCAACTTGGGCCGCCGTGCCGTTGGTGGTTGCGAGCTGTCCAGCTTGACTTTGAGACCTGGCCTGCAAAGCCTGAGCCCTGCTGTTAGCATTTCGACGCTCCGAGAGTGCGAAATGAATGTAGACCTACCCTTCTCTGTAACACTTCCTGCTGCCGCTGGGCATACTGTGCCATCTTCTCAGCCAGCTGTTGGTCGCGTTCCCACCGCATCAAACTGTAATCGCGGGGCGTCTTAATAGGGCCCGGCTGTCTCTGCACCTCGTTAGCTTTCCGCATTGCGGCTAGGCTGGCAGCATGCTGAGCCTTCGCCGCCGCCGTTTCCCGTTTCTTGGCGAGCTTCCGCATGGCGTCTATCAAGGCCAAGTGCTTCTGGTTGCGCCGCCGGTCAACGCGCACAGTTGTGGTCGGTCTCCTTCGAGGCACTGGTGCGACGGCTCCATTGGGGCCCATCTGCTGCTGTGCGCTCTCGTTCTGCTGCCTGATCGCCCGCTGTGCTGCCTCGATTCTGTTCTGGTATGTCTTGAAGTACTGTGTCTTCGACATGTCGTTCGGCAGTCCTTCCAAATTGACCCATCTCTCGAAGCACTCCCAAGGGGTCCGTCGTTCGGCTCCGGAGGGGAAGGTAGACCTGGTCGAAATCATGCTCGAGATGAGAGACCAGTTATACGAATACTCGCGCACCAACGCCTTCAGCTCGTCGTCCTCTGCCCAGGTCCACTGTGACGCCGTACGACATTCGTAGAAGCTCTGGAGGGGCATGGGATATTCCGTCGGAGGCCGGAATTGGTGTCCAGCATGGAGACGGTCGCGGATCGGCTTCATCTCGGGGTTGAAAAGAGCAACATCTGCGTTCCCGGGCGACAACATGGCACTCTTGTCAGGCTGGTCGCCGAAGACAACTCGTCCATCATCTTCCTCGGCGTCTTCCTCGCAATTATACCGGGATCGTTTCCTTGGAGGTATCTCCGTTGACAATACCATTTGGCCTTCAACGTACTTGCTCAGGGGTAGGGCCGGACGTTTCCAGGCGGCGTCCGGATCATATTCCGGGCCAGTGAGGTCAAACTTTGGAACCTTCAGCGGCGCCCCGTACAGGGGAAGCTCTTCCAGCAGCTGGTCAGACGTCTGCGACCGCTGAAGGCCAAAGACAACCTCATCATCCTGCAACGCAAAAATTGCCGAGGGCGCCACCGTCTCCATCAGCCGCAGTGCTTCCACAGGTTCCTCAAGGTCATTTCCCATTGGCGAGTCAAAATGGACCAACTCAGGTGTCGCATCCTCCATGTCGCCATCGACATCAGTCATTTCTACCTCGGGGGCTGGGGTTATGGGAGGGATGACGGCGTTCACTTGTAGTGACTTGCGTTCTTCGGGGCTCGAGCTAACCCATTCGGCACAGGCAGAGGCAAGGTTCTTTGCCACAGCGCGCTTCCACTTGCGCTCTTCTCTGAAATCGGTCCTCATCCACTTCATCTCCTGGAGAAGGACATCCTGATGGGATGGCGGCCTCGTGGGCTCGGGACAGCGCATAGGCTGCCGAAGTGACCATTTATCATTTTGCTGAAGATGATAGACCCTGCGGAGGATGCGGCATGCCTGATGGTCTAATATCGACAAGTATTGATCCGAGGTGGAGATGGTCTTGTGGGCCTGGTTTAAGAGTTGCTCGATGGGCTTCATCCATTTGGATTGCCGCGTGAAGCCGTCGATAAAGAGTGGTGTGAAATAGTCGTCAACCGGAAGTTGCCCTGGTTTCTCGCTGTGGGGGACCATGGAAGTGTCCTCGGATTTCCTCGTAGGCTTTGCCTGCTTACCAAAAACGACGGTCGGGACGCTCCTCCTCCGCGCGTCTCTGCCCCTGTTGGCGAGGGATTTAAGTCGTGGAGTAGTCACACTTTGAGACGCCTCGGATTTGTCTCCAGTCGCTGGCTGACCGTCGGGTCCAGCAGATACAGCTCTAGGGGTCTCTCCAAGCAGTTCCGAGACAGACTTCTGTCGTAATGCACCAGATGATATACGAGTAACCGCCCTCTCTGCGACTGGTGGGCTCGTGGCCGAAGTTGGCTGTTCGGGGGGCTGAGTTGGGGACAGACTTTGGACTTGGCGTGAGGGTTCGAGCAGTGGCCCATCATCAGCCTTTTGTACTTCAGCAACAACCACCTGGGAAGGCTGTGGCACAACAGCCTTTTCAAGGGCTATGGAATCCGCCGGTGTGGGTTCGCGACTAGCAGAAACCTGCACTTTATCAGCAGGCGCCTGCTCCTGAGGAACTGCCGAGACTTTAAGTTGCGCTTCATTGGCAATAAGCTCGCTTTCTTTGGGCGTGGTCTGGATCACTGACGACGCAGTTGAAGGACGGCCTTGGGATGCACCGGCGGTCTCCAGCGATTCGGAGCCGTCAGGTTTCTCGTCAGCCTTGGCAAGCCTTGCTGCCGCAGCCGATTCTTGCAGTAGCTGCGCTTCAACCCCGTTCAGCGGCCCTCCAATCACGTCCGAGGTCACATGGTCCTCTTGGATTAAACCATCGCCAGAAACAACTGGAGCTTCCTGTTCCACAACATGACCTACGGCTGGATCCTTCGGCAGTTCCGCCTTCTCGTTCTCGGGCTCCACGTATTGCGACCCTTCGTTCTCCGGGCTCGTATCCGTGGAGGTGTCGTGGATAGCAGGAGTCATCGCCGACTGGGCAGGCGTGGATCCTGGAGATGAGAGTACATCGGGCGCCTTGGCGGAGTCACCGGTGGGCGGTCGGATGGAAACAAGGTTGGCACCCTCTTGCGCACTCGGAACTTGTCCATCGTCAATGTCCATGGGCTCAGGAAGCCCGCCCGCACTGTCTTCTCCAGGCTTGGCACTGGCCTCGGTCGCATCAGGGATAGGTTGCTCTTCGGGAACGGTCGGCACGATGGGCACATGATGGGGTTTTCGAGCCTCGTGAGCTTCCTGGTCAAGGCTTGGGATGCCACTCGCAGAGGTTCGTTCCGCATCTCGCCCTGGCTCGTGTGGGACCGAGAGGTCCTTCGTAGGTTCGTGGGTTTGTCCATCACTCGCTCTCTCCAACACTGGCAATGGTAAGCCAGCTTTCGTCGCGAGTTGTGGACTCGGTTTAGATCGGGAATCGACTGGTTTCGGGGATTTCGGGGTCAACAATGGTGGTGATTGAGTCGCGTTTCCTTCTTTGGGTCTTGACAAGACACCAGGAGATTCCGCAAACTGGGAAGCGGGCGTCGTGGCCGGGATGCCATTCTCCAATCCTGCTTTCAACAAGGCCTGAGGGTGGTTCTCACTCGACGAGGGACTTGCGTTAGCCAAGAAGCGCTGGAGAACATCGTAATTTGGTTTCGGCCGCGCCGGAATGTTTAATTCGTTAAGTTTGCGCCCTCTGCAAACCAAGTTAGCCCTGCAAACGCGACAAAACAATCACAGCAATGGTGGATTAGATGTAGCAGGCGTACTGTAGTATGTCGCAATCGAACAAGAACTGCGCTTCGGTGGGTGTGGCGGGCGGTGCGTCGGGATCGGTAAAGTCATAGTTGGGAATGCTATCGACCTCTGTCGCGATAGCGAACAACTCGCGAAGCTTCCGCTTTCGCGATGTCACAATTGCACTGAAAATTGTCAACACCCATCATTATATATCAAAATGATCGGAAAGATGAGCTCTATCGATCGAGATAATTCTTACCTGCATTCTGCCCGTTTTACTCGCAGCAGATTGGAATGGTCGGTAAACCCGACCTCAGTGGTCGTCATATCGCGGTCGCGACATCCGTTTCAATCAAAAACGGATGGATAAAACCTTAGATGATGGCCCCAGGGTCAAAATGACCTACGATGCGATGGGGCGATGATGTTGATGTTGAGTTTGATTGATTGCAGGATTTTTCATCAATCTGCCTCTATCGGGGGGGAGCAATTGCTCTGGGAGGTGGTCAGTGGAAATTTGGCCAGAATCAGGCCCCTGCGAGTTTAGCTAGGCAAGAAGGAAGGCAAGAGGGCAAAAAGTAAAATTGTTAGTGACAAAGGAGGGGCAATTGACGGGAGAGAGCGCCACCAGAGTTGACTCGCTTCTGGTTAGGCTTCCTTCCAGTGGTGTAGTGGGCATTGCAGTTGGCTCAGGCCTGTTAAGGAACCTGCAGGCAGTTGGTGCAAACGAAAAAAAATCCCATGTCCAATCAGGAATTAGGTACCTAAGTACCCATGTCGTGCCCGGCTTTGATCGGGCTCGGCGCACTTTGTGCCAGGAGAAGCAAGCTGTGCGGGCTGACTTCCAACCTTGTTGCTTCCATCTCCGGGAGGTTATCCTGCAATGTGCTATAGATTTATCTCAAGGCCGGTTTACTTGGCTGGTGAGATTCCCAGGGGGATCACGTTGTAAAGCATCGGTGTATGACCCGGTATGCAGGTATGCAACCTATAAGGTTGTAACGTAGATGCATGCTGTAGATGGTATGCATATACAGAGTGCTTAATGCTTCAATACACGCATGCTCTTGGTCGCCTGCTTTGTTCATGGTTAGCTTCCATAGGCTCAGTTTGTAAGAGACCTACACTGCTTTTGCCGCACTGCATGTGTGATGATGGTCGACATTGGGAGACATACTTCCACCAAAGGGCCACAGTGTCCAGCCCAGCCGTGAAAGTGCTCAAGCCCACCCACCCTCTCCAGAGATAATAAGAGTGAACCCAAGGAGAAGCCTCAAAGTGACATGTCAGAAGAAGAAAGTAGCACTGCTCAGTCCACAGGTAGCACAGGAAGTTACGCCCTCTAGAGAGGTGAGAAAATCCACTGACGGGAGTGTCGGGTTATTCGTGAAAATTGGCAGTTTTAAAGGCTTGTGTCTTTGGATATCAATTCGGAGGGTGAAGTTGAAGGTTGGTTCCAGGTTGATATCAGATCGAAACACCGCCTTCTAGAGGTACCTTCGTACCAGCCAATGATACAAGCCACAATCCATGCAATTGGCAATTTTCAGCCACACTGTCCACCGCATACCTACCTTACAATCAACTTTGGCCCTGGATCCTCAAGTTTTTCAACCCGCCGGCTCGCTGCTTGCCCCCTCGTCACCACACACCTATAATTCCGATACCATCCCTGCCCCCTCTCACCCCCAGAAGCCAAGATGGCAGACAGCGGCGGGGCGCCATCCCGCGTGGCGATCAAGTTCGGCACCCCCAAGGGAAGCGAGAGCAAGAAGCACAGCAGCCGAACGAAGCCCACGTCGCTCGGGAAGCGACACAGGGCACACGCCCTCAACGACGACTCCGAATCGGACGCGGAAGAGGCGCATCCCGCCGTCCGGCACGAGACCATCACAGGCTACGGCCCAGGCGGCGCAAGCCTCGACGATCGCCGCTCCCCTCGCCACCGGCGCCGCCGCTCCGATTCCCCTGATGGCGGGAGGCGCGCGGGGCGAGACTCCAGGTCAGGCAGGAGAGGCTATAGGGACGAGCGCGCGGCAGCGGCGGAACGGAACGGGTCGCTGAAGGAGGTAGACCCCGCAGACAAGGACAAGGCCGTCAAGTGGGGCCTGACCATCAACAGCAAGCCGCGCCAAAGGGATGAGGAGCGCTCCGCTCGTGAGCGGGATGGCGGAGACCAGGTGGCCGGCGACGAGAAAAGGGGGGGCGAGAAGGCGCCCAAGACGGCGGATGAGGAGGCCATGGAGGCGCTGACGATGGATCCCGCCGAGCGGAAGAGGCTGAATTACAAGAACATTTCGTCTGGCGACCTTGATCGGGATCCGCTCCCAGAGGACTACAAGTCGATCCCCGTCGAGGATTTCGGAGCCACGCTTCTCAGGGGGTTCGGCTGGGACGGGAAGATGAGAGGGAAAATCAAGGAGGTCGCCAAGCACGGCAATCTTACGGGACTCGGCGCAAAGAACCTAAGAGAGGCCGAGGATCTGGGTGCTTGGTCTCAGAAGAGCACCAAGGATAGTAACGGCAAGTCGCGGCCAGCGCGGGCCCCACGACTTGACGATTACAGACGGGAAGAGGAAAAGAAACGTCAACGCCGGCAGGACAGGCATGGCGATAGCTACAGGCATGAAAAGGAGCGGGAGAGGGAGCGAGGGGCAGACAGGCGATAGGACTTGTGTGTGAAACAAAATTGTGGTAACTACATCTACTTGACCCATCGAGCCCGGAATCCACCAGGCTAACTAACTTTCACCGTCCCAAGTCCTGTCGAGTTCGGATTGTGCTTGATCCATCCTGAGTTGAGCTCGGATTTCTCGACCCATAAACCCCTGGAACGGTATACTCCTTGCCTTCTACCATTGATAACACCCCGGCCTTGCGTATATTCAACTAACGGGGGAAGCAGAGTTGTTCCCTTTTGCGCCGTGAACACCGCACCAGGGAATCGTATATCTCTCGACTGGTCATGTCCAGCTGCATTCTAGCCAGCGCCAGCCTGAACGTCTTGTCTACTGGTTGGTACTTTCCTGGACCGAGTATACCGAGCTAGGTGTGATTTCTCCAGCCGATGCTGCGAAGGTGTTGGCCACTCGCAACGCCTTCGCAGCCCCAGCAGCAGCGAGACGAGATGCCTCCTTGCTGCTAAACCGCCTTGCTGATACCTTGTTCTGAAAAAGGATGTCGAGTTCACGGGCCGACATGCCACCGGTCTCTGGAAGGCGCCAATACGTGTATATCGCGCCGAGTAGGCAGACACCACCATAGAGGAACCCAGCTCTGGCGCCCCATTTCCAAGCCGTCTCCTCTGTTCCCAGCATCTTCGGTGTCAAGACGTGGTTGGCAACACCGGCAAGGAGGTACAGCCCTCGGGCGATGGCCAGTGTCGTTGTTCGATATCGGATCGATGGGAGCTCTGAGACTACAGAGTAGCACACCGGGCCTATGGTCAGGTCGTAAACAGCAGTGTACACAATCAACACTCCCCCAGCCGCCCATCCGGCACCGACGGGAAGGTAGTGGAAGCCTCCACACGCCGCGAGCAGGACAGCCATCACTACGAGCCCCCAGAAATAGATGGTCCGGCTACCAGCCCGACGCATCAGCCACCACGAGGCAAGTGTGCCGAAAACTCCAGCTCCAGGAAGAGCGATATTGATGGATAAAGCGTCGCTTGTTGGGAGGCCGGCCATCTCGAAGAGTTTTGGTGCCCAGGGGATGAGACTGGACCCGCAAGTCGCCTGAATCAGCCAGGCCACGCTGGAGATTTCAGTTCTCCTTAGGTCTGTTCCCTTGAGGCAGCTCAGTCGGAGATGCCCAAGCCACCTGCGCACCCGCCTTGGCTTTTCCGAGCCGGCCGCTGTGTCCTGGGGATCCTGGCTCGCCTCTTGGCAAATCGTGTGGTGCATCAAGGCGAGCTTCTCGGCGACCCGAACCGGCGAGCCTTTTCTCACAAGTCTCCTTGTTGCCAGTGCCGCCTCCTCAATCCTACCATTTTGTAGGTACCAGAATGGGGATTCCGGGGTAAACGAGATGGAGGCCAGGAGAGCTGCCGAAAAGAGCCATTGAAGGGCGAAGGGGATCCTGTATGACATGTCGCCGGCATAGTTCACGAAGGCCTTCGTTATGCCGGAGGCGATGAGCCGACCAAGGACCCAGCAGAGGTTGTTCCAAGTAGTTAGGATAGGCCTCAGTTGCAGCGACGCCACCTCGGAAGCATACGCCGGGCTTACAACCTGGTACACACCCCATGGGATACCCTGCAGGAAGAATCCGGCCATCATGAACTCGACGGTGCTGGCAAGGAACGGCATGGTGACGAGAGCGGTGGAGGCACCGAGCATGAGGAGCGTGGCATTCTTGCATCCGAAGCGAGCGGCGAGCGGACTTGCCAGTAGGATACCCAACAAGGAGCCTAGCTGGGCCACTAGAGGCAACAATACTCTCCATTTGTATGGGAGCTGCAGCGCGTCAGTCTGTCTTCGTGTCTTCCAGCCAAAATCAGGTGGTCTAGCCCACCTCATAGACACCTGCCACCTCGTCATGCGTGCCAAACCGCTCATTGAACGTCGCAAAACTGAAGAGGTAGGTAATATGGGCCAGCCCATACCCTTCCATGATGATGGTGCCCGAGAAGCCGAGGGAATACAAAATCAGGCGTGAATCAGCACTTATGGACTCTTTGAAGCTCATGTCCCTCTCCCGCTTCTCCACCGCCTCGGCAAGGGCCGAGTCATACAAGGTCGAGGCATGGCTCGCGTTAGATATCGGGACTGGGGATCGATCGCGGTCGTTGCCAGGGGGGGTTAAGTCCGAATACATCCCTCCACCACGATCGATTCGGCGGGTTGATGGGTCTTTCAATGCACGGATATAAGAGGAGATGCTGTCTATCGATGATAGATGGCGGGAAGGGAGAGGGGATTCAACTCTTCAAATGCCATGGGTAGGTACTTAAATTATCATGACCAAACTTGCCTTAGGTAGGTCAGATTGTCCAGGAAATAGGAAGGAACGGGTGAGTAAGTCAACAACCTTTATTGACTACAGACCTTGCATGTCTGTCTTGGGAGTGACTGTAGATATCGGTACTCCTTTAAAGGTAAGGCACCTAGGCTCCTGTTCAAATGGAACTTACCTACGCCGAATGAGTACCATTTACACGACCATCATCGATCCGTCGGGGAGTTACGCCTTAGATGTGGTGCTCATGTGATCGATATGTGCCCCATCGTGATTGCAGCATTCCTAGCTTAGAGGTTATTTCCAGGCCACGAGGAGACGAGACTTCATCTCTGGGCCAGTCTTTTATAGGACCCAGCATTCCCCTCTTGCGACGGGAGTTACGGACGTGGACAAATCCAGCAGCTCCAACCAGCTTATAAATCTAGCATTCTAGACAAGCCTCGTTCTTTCCACTTGGAGGTCGGGCGTGCTTGCCTATGCCCTTATATTAGGTTTCTCATTCACCTCTGCTGTTAACTTTCGAAGAAGTGCACAGGCCATACATGCAGTCCATCCCGGCATGCCCAAAGGTACTCATTGGCAGCAGTTTGGCAGTTTTATCACGACGGCACTCGCCGCAGCTAAAGTCCCATGTTGAAAGGGAAATGCCAAAATTATGTAGCTCTAATGCCATTTTCTCTTCGTACGAGGAAAGCGAAGGAACTAGACTGCACATCGGTGCATACATACCTACGTAACAACCTACGTAAACCTAAAGGAAGGTCCCTTGGTACTTAGTACCCCTGAGGTTCGAGGTTCGTTGAGGTGGGGCCTGGGCCTGAGCAAGGGGAAATGTGTTGTGGAGAATCAGGGCCTGCCAGCATCCTCTGCCGCTGCACAATCACACCGCCGAGCTTCCAATCCCAACCTGCCACAGCTGGCATCCGTCACCTCCACCTTTCCATCTTGACTGAAATCTCTTCCCTTCCAATTCGCCTGCTAAGGCTCTTGCGTAGGAAGACAGCTGGTCAATATGTCTAAACCCCACAGCGTCAATGGGAGCGAGTCCGAGTTCGAGTTCATCGAAACTCCGAAAGCACCCACTCCCACCTTTGAGAAGTTCGAGGAATGTGGTGTCCCTACCACTTCGGTGAGCCTGCCCGAACCTAACAAGTTTCCCTATGCCCTCTTCCCGGCCAAGGACATGCTCCCGTCACCCGGATAGGGCCAATTGATCTCTGCTGACCTCGAAACACAGTATCCGTCCATCAAGAATGCTCCCCTGCCTGCCGATGGCCCTGGCAACGACAGCTTCCCCCTGACCCTCCTCTTCGCCGTCCTAGGCGGTGTCCCGCTATGGCTGTCCTGGAAGATTGGCGGCGGCCTGAAGACCACCATATTCTTCGCCATCTTGGCCTTCGTTCCGTTGCTCTCTAGCTTTTGGCTCGTCGTCTCGGCCATCTCGCCTCGAAGGAATGAGAAGGCCAGGTTCCCTGGCCGCCCCGTCGAGCACTATCTCACCTTCAAGAAGCCCGCAGACAAGGCCAAGTATCAGGGCAGGAACAAGATTCCCATGGAGACGTTCTACGAGATGTATTTCGACGGCGACGTTGAGTTCAATGGCGACTGCTTGGAGGTCATGGAGTACAGACATGAGTGGGCAAGCTTCCGCTTCACCATTGGCCTGATCAAGTACTTCATGCTGGGCATGATCCCCGAGCTGATTATGCATACCCGCTCCCAAGGTACGTGTCTAAGGCCTCTCACCACCGGCTTTGTTGCCTTCTCCCTCACTTTTTCTGACGTGTCGATTTTGCAGACGAGGAGCAAGTCCGCGACCATTATGACCGCGGTGACGATTTCTACGCCTGGTTCCTCGGCCCACGCATGATCTACACTTCGGGCATCATCTCGGATATCAACACCGAGGAGACTCTGGAGCAGCTTCAGGACAATAAGCTCGCCATCGTTTGCGAGAAGATCGGCCTCAAGGCCGGCGAGAAACTGCTTGATATTGGCTGCGGCTGGGGCACGCTGGCAAGGTTTGCCAGCGTCAACTACGGCGCTAAGGCTACTGGCATCACCCTTGGCCGCAACCAGACCGCCTGGGGTAACAGCGCCCTCCGCAAGGCCGGAATCCCAGAGGAGCAGAGCAACATCTTGTGCATGGACTACCGTGACATCCCCGTGCCCGAGGGTGGCTATGACAAGATCACCTGCCTCGAGATGGCCGAGCACGTTGGTGTCCGTCACTTCCATTCCTTCCTTAAGCAGGTGTACGACATGCTGGACGATGATGGAGTCTTCTATCTCCAGATCGCGGGCCTCCGTAAGAGCTGGCAGTACGAGGACCTTATCTGGGGTCTCTTCATGAACAAATACGTCTTCCCCGGTGCCGACGCGTCCTGCCCCCTTGGCTGGTTCGTCGATAAGCTCGAAGGTGCTGGGTTTGAGGTCAAGGGCACCGACACCATCGGTGTCCACTACTCGGCTACCCTCTGGAGATGGTACCGTAACTGGATGGGCAACCGCGAGAAGGTTGAGTCCAAGTATGGATCGAGATGGTTCCGCGTAAGTCATCCTTGTCATTCTCTGTATTGCCTGGTGGCTGCAGTCTTGAGTACTAACGGCAGAATGTGCAGATCTGGGAATTCTTCCTGGCCTACTCAACCATCGCCTCGCGCCAAGGAACCGCTACTTGCTATCAGATTGTCCTGGTTAAGAATATCAACTCGACGCACAGAATCGAGGGGATCCCCACCCAGTTCGATCTCAAGGGAGCGCTCCAGTCGACCAAGGCTGATATCACGGCCTGGGCTAAGCAGAACGCCATTGAGTTCCCGAGCACTGCCGCCCGCTAAGCATGGTCGATGGTCGGATCTTGACAAAAGGGAGCAGTCCCAAAATGGTTTCTATATTGGAGCCTTGTGTCGATTAGGAAGAGAGAGTTTCGTCCGGGAGTTTAGTAAAAAGGTTAACACCGGAGAGTTCAAAATGGGGAATGGAAGCAGCAATCTTGTGGACTGAAGCTAGAAATAATGCTGCTTCACACGGCATGAATCAGCTGGTAGAGTCATCTAGATCCCCCCGGTGGGAGACCATGTCGGTTCAGAGTACGAATAGCTAGTTATTAATGATGTGGCAATTTTGGCACACACTGTGCAACACATATCAATGTCAATGGTTGTTAACTTCGGCCAACTTTGAGATCGCGAGTCAACCTTGTTACTGTAGCAAGTTGGCAATGACAGACCTATGGAGGTGGCCCGGGCGGGATGGACCTGACCTGACCTGAATAGAGGTCGGGCGGGCCGGCTTTACCGTTTTCCCGTCTGCTGCGGATCCATTTCGCTTATTCCTCGGTGATGCACTTCAGCCACCTCTGGCGCAACGAGAGAGCTTCCAGGTTGCCTCCTGTCTTTGGTCACGTTGCTGCAACTCTGGTGAGAGCCTCGCAACCGGCTTCGTCATCAGTCTCTGTGAAGGCTAGATCTGCATCCCGTCGTTTGCAATCAGTAATATTCTTTTTGGTTATCCATTTCTTCGAGCCTCCCTATCTCAGCCATCCGATTTCATTTCCTATCGAGGAGCTCTAACGCTCCACCCCTTTCTATCGACCAATTTGTCGTCTTCCTCGTCTTAATCTCTGCACCATGTTCTCCAACCCGAATTCGTACCTCGGCGGCAATAGCCTGCGTCCAGGACCTCAGCAATATGGGAATTCCTTTGGCACGGGAGCTGGCCAGCAGCCGCCGCAGCAGCAGCAACAGCAACCAAGTCCGTTCGCTCCGCAACCCACTGGCTTCGGCCAACCTCCGCTACAGCAGCAGTATACCGGCTACCCCGGCCTACAAGCTCAGGCTACAGGTATGCCGCAGCAGCAGTACGGGCAGCCTCCACAGCAGCAGCCCTTCCAGACTGGGGCACCTCCGATGCCCTCGATTCCGCAACAATACCAGCAGCAGTTCCAGCAACAGCAGCCGCAGCAGACCCCCTTCGCCTCTGCTCCTCCTCAACCCCAGCCTCCAGCCCAGGCGCCGGCGGCCCCTCCCGCCCCGGTTCAGAAGCCGCAGGCCACGGGCTTCACCGAGATGGCCGCGTCTTTCCACACTGGAGGCATCCCCAAGCCGAAAGGACGGAGGCCCGAGAAACATGCGACCAAGATCCCGAACATTCGATTGGGATTCATAACGGCGCCGGATCAGGCCAAGTTCGAAACCCTGTTCAACTCGGCTGTTGGGGACAGTCAAACGACCATGTCTGGCGAGAAGGCAAGAGATTTGCTGATGCGGTCGAGGCTTGATGGGGACTCGCTCTCCCATATTTGGTATGCGCGCTCTGTCTGCCATAAAATATCCGCCCGATCTGGCTAATAGAGTAATCCTAGGACTCTCGCCGATACCACTCGATCCGGCCAGCTCCACTTCCCCGAGTTTGCCCTTGCGATGTACCTTTGCAATCTGAAGCTCACCGGAAAGACCCTTCCTTCAACGCTCCCACAGAATATCCAGAATGAAGTATCTAGTATGGTCGACATTATCAACTTCAGCGTTGCTGAAGAAGCCGCAGGTGGTAGCTCTGCCCCTGCTACTAGCAACGCGCCGGATTTCAGTGTGCGACAAAACACTGCGACGCCTCCCACGATCCAGCATCCACAGCCCCAGGCATCCAACTCGCAGCTGTTACAGGCTCAGATGACAGGCTTTCCCGGCCAACAGCCGGGATTTCCGGGGCAGAATCAGGGGTTCCAACCACAGCAGACTGGTTTTGCAGGCGTAAGTCTACAACCAACTGGCTACACTGGTCCTCGTCCCCCAATGCCACCGATGCCTACTGGCTTTGGCCCCGGCATGGGTATGGCGGCGCCGCTCAACGCCCAGCCAACTGGACGCCCTGGCCAGTGGGGCCTTGTCAACACCCCATCCACAGGACTCCCGAACATCGATGCTCTGCAAGCTAGGATGATGCCGCAGTCGGGCCGGGAACAGCAAGACTACACAACCGCCGGGCTACAGGGCAACGCTGTGATCCCCTGGGCCATTACGAAGGACGAGAAGACCAGATATGACGCCCTCTTCAAGGCGTGGGATGGTCTAAACAGGGGCCATATCGGGGGTGATCAAGCTATTGAGATCTTTGGTCAAAGCGGCCTCGAGAAGAATGATCTTGAACGCGTCTGGACCCTAGCCGATCACGGTAACAAAGGCCGACTGAATCTCGACGAGTTCGCCGTAGCTATGCACTTGATTTACCGAAAGCTCAATGGTTACCCACTACCAAACCAGCTTCCTGCCGAGCTGGTGCCGCCATCCACCCGAGGCTTCAATAGCTCGATTGGAGCAGTGAAGAGTATGCTCCATCAGGAGTCGGATTTCCGAAAGAACTCTGGCGCCGCCCTGCTCCCCCAGAAAACCGGAGTCAGCTACCTCAAGAGCCACTCCTTCAGGGGCAACGCTGGAGGATCCGGCGGTGGGCGGAAGGATGCAACAGTCTTCAAGAACAACGACGATGAGATTGGTTATCGTTCCAGCGCGCGTCGTCGACTTGGGACCGGTTCTCCCCGCCCGGACTCGCCTTCTTCTGTCACCTCAAGCGATGATTTAACAGTGGACCAACTGAGGAAGAAGATCAAGGAGAAGCAAGTGCTCCTCGATGCGATGGACTTCAAGGACGAGACGCATGCGGAAGAGGACGATATCCTTGATAGAAGGGACCGCCGCGAGGCGGAGGAATTGTACCGGCGTGTCAGGAGAATCCAAGAGGATATCGATAATCATCCTGACGCCCAGTTTGTGGGCGGCGACTCTGAAGCAGAGAGGCGCGCTCTCAAGCGTCAACTGCAGACTCTGACAGACAAGATCCCAGACCTTGCATCCCAGGTCAGGAAGACCGAGAAGGCTATCGCGGATGCTCGGCTAGAACTGTTCCGTCTAAAGGACGCCAAAGCACACCCGGGCAGCGCAGCCGCAATCATAGGAACAGGCCCAGGTGGCGCAATCACCGAGTCTGATAGGCTTAAGGCCAGAGCAAAGGCTATGATGCAGCAGCGAACTGCAGCCCTAACTGGCAAAAAGGTAGATGTCGGGGGCGACGATGCCGGCGCCGCGAAGCGGCTCGAAGAGGAAAGCATCAACGCCAGAAACGAGAAGGAGAATAATGAGCGGATGGTCCGGGACGTTGAGGAGAGCGTTCGTGACTTCGCCCGAGGCATTGAGGACAATCTGAAGGACGGCGGCCAAGACTCGACCTCGGAACACGAGAGGCGTAGATGGGACGACGCCCTTGGCGTCGAGGATGAGGTCAGAGACTTCATCTTCGACCTCCAGCGCTCCAGCCGAGCTGCCCGTGTCCGGGCGCAGGATCGTCAAGGTGGGCGGAAACCCACCCAGGAGTCTGTCAAGGCCGAAGAACCATCTGCGACTCGCTTTGAGAGCCCGGCTTCGGCTTCCCGGACAGCGACGCCTCCTTCTGCTGTTTCTTCCACCGGCGGTGGGTCTTACTCTTCGTACAAGACACCGGAGGAGCGAGCTGCCTTTATCAAACAGCAAGCCGAGCAGCGCATGGCCGAGCGGCTTGCTGCCCTTGGTATCAAGGCTCCCAGCAAGCCCGGAGAGACTGCCGCGCAAAGGATGGAGCGGGAGAGGGCTGAGCGAGCTGCGAAGCTTCGGCAAGCCGAGGAGGAAGACGCACGTCGTGATGCTGAGAGACAGGCTAGGTTGGCCCAAGAGTCCGGGGCGCCGCCCCCACTCCAATCGCCCAAGGCTGAGGGCAAGAAGCCTCCTGCCCCGCCGTCCAGGAAGGGTGCCAGGGCGGATGATAAGAAGGCAGAAGGAGGACGTCTTGAGCGCGAACACGAAGAGCAAGAGCGGGCAACCCGTGAACTAGAGTAAGTAACCTGTTGCTGAATCTTTTGGGTTCTACAAGTCACCTAATACTGACCTGACCTTCTCACAGGCAAAGTGCCAAGGTCCAGGAAGACGAGCTTGCAAGGCAGCGCGAGGAGGCTGATTCTCGGCTCAAGGCATTGGAGGAACAGGTCAGGGCAGGAAAGTTGAAGAAGGGGGAAGAGAAGCGAAAGAAGAAGGCAGCACTTACAGAGGCGAAGGAGAAGGAGGCCAAGTTGGCGGCTCAGCGAGCAGAGATCGAAGCTGCCAAGAAGCGTGAAGAAGAGCTCCGACGGCAGCTTGAGGCCATAGACGACGAGACCTCCTCTGACGACGATGATGGAGAACAAATCACTCCGCAGGCCTCTACGCCTACCCTGGGTGACAGCCAGCTTATGGCTCAGGAACCGGAACCCAAGGTTTCTCCACCAGCAGCTCCTCCGATCCCACAGGTAGTTACTAGCCCGTCTGCCGAGAGGGAGAGCCGCAATCCATACTTCAGGATGATGTCTCAGTCCTCGGAAGCACCGTCAACACCGGGCAGCTCTGCAGCAGCAGCAGCTCCTACTGCCGCTCCTCCCGCGCCGCCAGCACCGGCAGAGTCAACCAACCCTTTCCATCGCATGACGCAAGCCGCTGCGGCCCCCACTGGACCGGTGTCTAGGAAGCGTCCAGACGATGACGACTGGGGCTCCGACAAGGACGACGACGAGTCCGACGATGACGAGGACGACAGGCCTGGTGGGACTAGTGCGGCCCAGCTGGCCTCCATCCTCTTCGGTACCATGGCGCCCCCTCGTCCGCTATCGGCAACGGGTGATAAAGCGGCTTCTCCTCAGAGTGCGAGCTCACCAGTTGTCCCCACACCGGAGACTTTTGGTTCGCCAGTCCCAGCACCGTCAGCTTCAGCCCCTCCTGCGCCGCCGCCTCCTCCCCCTCCGCCCATGCCGACTGAGGCTCCAAGTTCCTCGCCGCCGCCTCCCCCGCCAATGCCAACGAGTGGTGCCCCAGCAGCGCCTCCTCCACCGCCGCCTCCTGTCCCTGGCATGGGGCCTCCACCGCCTCCACCGCCACCGGCTGCAGGCAACGCGCCGCCCCCGCCGCCAGGTGGTCGTCCACAAGGTTTACTGGGCGAGATCCAGGCAGGCCGGGCGCTCAAGAAGACACAGACCAAGGATAAGAGCGGGGCAGCTGTCTCGGGCCGTGTCCTGGGTTAATATACAGGTTCATGCAGTGATCCGGGTCTCTGGGTTGGCTTGTCAGCTCGTGTAATGGTTTCCCTTCGTCAGCAGTTACCAAGCCAAGCATTGTGCAGCAAGGAAGAACGGGACATGCTGAGGGCGGGGAGAGAGAGAGAGAGACGAGCAACCAATGGGTTGAAGGGAGCCAAGATTCAGCCTGTATTCTTGGCCGTCGTTGTATATTCGTGATCCGTACATGGCCTCAGCCTCTACACCCTACACTCTGTTTTGAAGATACTTATCCCCCACAACCAATCTCTCTCTTATATGCGTGCCTGTGTCTTCGTTTACGCCCGTCCACGATTCGCCAGGTCAAAAGCAAAGCTGATGGACCTGCTATAAGGCTATATACTAGGACAAATAAGCAGCCAGAAAGTCTCGGTGGCTGTCGGACAATTTTTTTCTTTTGTTGTACGCCATCGGACGTTGATCTTCGTCTTGCACCACTAATGTTGTACGTCTCTGCACTTGGCTCCTTGCCTTGCCTCGCACTCTATTTGTCCGACAGGCTGGCGAGCGCCGTTTTGTGTACATCTGTAGTAGGCTATAGAACAGGCAGTGAAGGCAATATCTCTTGGTCCATACCATATGCGGCCGTCTATGTATATCCGATGGCAGTACCGAGACGGTTCGCGGCTGCTCTGTGCCTGCGTCTGGCCTGGGTTTGAAACGCTCTTATGCACCTGTCTATTGCAGCTAACTTACTGACTATCGTTATACGAGACGCGGTATCGTCCACGGACGTCAAGGCCAGGGTGGCCAGCCACGGCCTGATATTGGTGAGTGCTTGCATCGTTCGTCCTTCTCTCGCTCGTGGGCAATCTTTTTTCTTCTTGTCTTTTCCAAGATGCCCGTGCGGTTGCAGCCGGCCCCATCTTTTGACAACCCACCCCAGGCCGGGCCCAAGGAAAGTGCTGCATGCACAAGTAAAGGTGCATTTGCACTATCCGTACACTACTGCGTAGCACTCTAACTGATGCTAAGCCCTGCGGCTTCCTCTCACTTCGAGGACGACACTCACGTAAGGGATCAGGTTCGTATGGCAGATCAGATCATCAAGCTGCCGCTCATGGTTTCACATGATCCCCGCGCCTTGACTCTGGGCGGTCCCGGCCAAGGTGCCGGATGGCGCGATGTTTCTGTTAAATCGCCGAGGAGGGGGATCAGACTCTTCTTACTTTTTCTGAGGACCGAGGTTCTACGTCCCAGTACCACCTACTAGTCAAGGAGCTAGGATCTTAATGGGAGCTGGATATGGGGCAGGGATACGCGCTCCACGGAGCAGGGAGTCCCGCTTTTTGCTCGCAGGGCACCCTTCGGTTCCATCTCAGCTCGAACCAGTCTTCACTGGGAAATGGGAATCAGGAAGAGAAAAAAAACTTTGCAAAGGCCCGGTCCCTGTCGGGTGGGGAAGGATGGCTCGAGAATATGACTCAGTGAGAATGGGGAAAGAAGGAACTATTCGCAGAGTCTAAGACAGTCGAACCATCTGATGCCTGAAAAGGACCCTAGATCTTCCCAAGTTCCTTGGGCTATTGCAGTAAGCGAAGGCAAATTGAAGGCAAGAGGGTGAGGGGGAAAAAAAAAATGGAAAGGGCAAAAAAAGCACAAGGCAGATAGATGCGTCGCTGCACTCCACCTGACTTGAAACAGATGGAATATCATGGTGATGCCGGGGTATCTACGGATTAGAGAAGGTAGGTAGTAGTTTCCCTCAAACCTTCTCGATCGTTGTTGGTCTGTAACGATTCATGATGCAATCGCACCAGCTATGGCTAGATCATGATGTCACTTTGATGATCCGGCTAGTCTATTCAGATTTTGATAGGGGCTCCAGACTATCCGATCGAGACACGAAGGCAGCGTTGGACGCAGCGGATCGGCTTTGCCGGCGAGGAATGATAGGATGACTTTGGCATTCCAGTCACCATTTTCCATCCCTTTTCGTCTCAGTCTCAGACTCGTGACAATGCGACGAATGATTGATGAATGTGCTTTGGGCATCTTGCAATCTGGTTGGGTTGGGTTCCCTTACCTATGTAAGTATAGGTAGTGTAGTTAAGGCGGCCGCCAAACGGGACCCTGCGGTTGGAGGCAGGTCGCGTCTTGGGCATTCGATTGGATTACGCGACTCCCAGGCAAAACAAAGAGAAAGCCCGTTTTATTACTATATTCACCCCCCGATAAGAATTCCTTGCCTCCACTCCCAATCGACCTCTACCAGGTCCCACTCCAGCATCATTCCACCCACCCCGAGCCGGGTATGTAACATTACAGTGACGCGAAATTAACGCGCTAAATACGGGACCCTGTTCCCACCAGTAAATCACGAATTCCACGGACCACCACCTCTCATAACCGCCAGTCATTGCCAAACAGTCGGTTGAGCAGTTGCACGGTTGCACTGGCAAGATAGGGGCGAAGGGATGAAGAGAGTGACCCGAGTATGATCTTAACCATCCATCTTTAGCACTTTTCGCTCTCGACACGAGTTTCGAGGTTAATCACGTCGATCTCCAGTGGCACAATTCATCCGTTGTTAGAACTTGGAAGTTGGAAGCTGGGGCCTGGCCGTCTTTCAGAGGGAGAGCCTTCGACCATCCGTCATCCCTGCGTGCAGCCCTTAGGATTGCACTGCCCCTGTGCGGCACTTCCCCACCGTCCCTGCCAATCGGCTGCCTTGGATGCCAGGAAGGGCAGACACTTGACGACGTCCCAGACCCGAGCTTGCCTTCATCCACTTGGGAGTCTTGGTGCAAAGTGAAGTCCTTCGCCCACCCCTGTCAGCCCAACGTCGACGTGTCAGCGCGTATCCAACCGTTCTCCTTCCTCACCCACCCCGTCTCCACCAGACCTACGGCCTTGGAAGACCTAGTGAATTGTCTAGCTGAACCAATCTATGCTCTGCCGTCTCGCCGCCCACTTTCCAACAAGTACCATCCACTCGTCTTCTGCCCTCAATCTAGACTCCCCCTCTCCCTTCATACTCAAACTTCACTCGATCCCGCCATTCTCGCGTCGACACGGACCGACTAACTCTCACAATCACGATACCTACCTTTCGCTCTCCGAACAGACAAGCTCGCCGCACAGAATAGTTCCAAGTACTGCCTGACACGACGATTCGAAGCTCATCATTGTCGTACGCGCTGCTATTCTTACCTCCCTACCCCACAACTTACTTCAACTGCCAACTCAATCGAGGTAAGTTTGCAGCCTTAAGGCTCCATCTCATGCTCCCCGTCATCCACACACATGCACACCCGCGCACCAAGAAGAATCGGATCCCACATGGCCAGCACCTCGGAGCACATGAGCTTTCCAAGCCATTTTATTAACGTGGCCGAATGCACAGGATTATTCTTCATCTCAAACCCCGTGCTTGACGACAGAATACACGGGTGACTTGAGAGTGGCCGTAATGGCCAAACCACCGCGTTTCGGAGCGACCGAACCGCTTCATGTCTTCCAGGACGACTATTTCAACCACCCGAATCTCATGTCTAGTCACGCTCCATTGCCTGCACCAATGAAACCACAACGAAAACCTCTACAGAGCAGGAATGGCAACGTCATACTGAACCCCCCAAGCAGCTCGTCGGTGAACCAGTCGCCATTCAAATCCAACATGCGAACAGCCGGTCCGCCACTCACCCCTCTGAACCCTTCCCAAAGGAACAAGCTCAATATGGTTCCCATGATACCGCCCACGAACCAGCCACACTCGACGGATTCTTTGCAAAAGAAGCAGCCTCTGATGTCGAGATTCAAGACGGTAGCGCAGAAACCCACACCTGAAGGGGGCGTTCCCCCGAAGGTCAGGGAGAAGGTACACCAACCAATATATCCAGCACCTCCAACATTCAACATATCCCTGGAGACATACTGTCCCAAACCCGCAGGGAAACGCATGTTGCTAGACCCTGCGCCTATAAAGGAGCTACGACCGGCAAAGAAGCCACGATTGGACGACTCATTGCTTCCGCCGCACGACTCGTTTCCCCCGATTATCGACGACGGAGTGAAGCCAGGACACAGCTACGCCCAACTTATTGGCATGGCCATCCTCCGATCCCCTCAACGGCGACTTACACTGGCTCAGATTTACAAGTGGATCTCGGACAACTTCTCGTTCTACAGCGCCCAAGATGCCGGCTGGCAGAACAGCATCCGGCACAATCTCAGTCTGAACAAGCACTTCATCAAGCAGGAGAGGCCGAAGGACGATCCAGGGAAAGGGAACTACTGGGCGATCGAACCGGGGATGGAGCACATGTTTATGAAGGAGAAACCTTCGCGGAAGCCGACCACGACAGCTGAGAATCTCCCCGTCATGTCTACTCGTCTTGAGCCATCTCAACCGCCCCTGCCAATTATCCGAGAACCAATCCAGCCGCCCCAAGTCCACCTGTGCCAGACCTCCTTGCCCCCTCTCCCATCGCCATCATTTCAAGTAGCGCCTCAAGCGTTGGCGCCCGAGCTATCGTCTGACGCCACAATACTGGTGTCTGATGCTGCCGGCCCGGATGATGTCGCCGAGAAGACAGTTGAGAGCGACATGAACAATGACGCAGGCTTGTACTCTCCTCTCCCAGCCACCATGCACTCATCCCCTCCTATTCCAAAGCATATCGACATGCACCCCAGCGGCACGCCGCCTCCCATGCGGAGGATTCATGGCTCCTCTGCCACCAAATCTCGTTCTCACAAACGCAAGTTTGCTTCGATGGACGACAGTGGCTACATCTCATCACTGGAATCTTCAGCCATGCGCCCTCAACATCATGCTGGACTTCCGTCCGAGGCTGACCGGCCGCGTATCAAGCGTGGACGAGCGGAGGAGGAAATTGCCCGCCTCCGTGCTTCATCCTACGATAGCCCTACAAAGGGCCGATCGTGGAACGGCTATGCTCCGCCATCCTCATCGCCGCTTCGGCAGCTCTCATCTAATGACTGCGGTCAAATGCTCCCACCATTGACGCCCGCGATGAAGTTGAAGGCACCCCTGAAACCGCCACCGTCGGTCTCCCCCGGCACAAATCTCCGTCTTCATCGGGAGAATGTGCAGTCCATGATTGACTCACCGTACCGGCGTGTGGCCTCCATGCTTCCCAAAGGCGAGACTGTCCTGCAGCTCACGCCTGGCTTCAATATCGACGAAGTATTCTATGGGATTGAGCGCAAGAGCGACGATCTGTCGGCCGAGGGCGGCGACTTTGATATCTTCCAAGACGGCTCATTCGCCCCAATGTTCGCTCTTTCCCCGATGGCCGCCGCCAATGGGTCTCCGACGAAGCGCGCTGTGAAGAGGCAAAGACTCGATCGTTCTCAGTCAACCAGCGCGCTGAACGTAATGCCCCATTCCGCGTCGTACAACTCGCTCAGCTCTTCTTCCTTCTTGAGGGTTCCCGGCCAACAATCGAGCTCGGAGACGCCTAGCAAGGTCTTTGACGGCTTGCCATCTTCTCCGAGCAAGCTATTCTGTCTGCAATCTCCTAGCAAGATGTCCATGCCTGTTGATACTGAGAATATCGCCCCATGGATATCAATGGACGACCTGTGCTCACCAGAGTTCCTCGAGGACAATGACTTCTCTGGAATTGACATGTTGGCCGGGTTTGAGAAGATTGGATCGAACAATCCCCAACCACCGCGGCATCCCAGACACTCGCAGAAGCCAGGCTTTGGGCGAAGCTATACCACCACCTTCTAATGCGGCAAACCCCCTTTTCTTGGGAGCCCGCTTCTCTGGCTTGCACCCATCTTACCCTACAACCCCATCTCCTAAACGACTCATGACTGTTACGAATGATGAATGAGCATAACACCATTCGGCGAAATATTACCCGCCCACTATACCTATTTCTTCCTCTCCATTACTGTCGGTCAGGCTTGGCTCCCGGGCACAATTCGTCCTGAACCCTATTTGGACGGACTGGTACATTTTGACTAGAGTACCTACTCCAAACCCGAGTGCCCCACGGCTTTTGTCTATACCTTGACCGGTCTTTTTCTGTAACGATAAAAATAACGAAGGATGCCGGGGCACATATTGTGAGCAAGCATGTCTATTGCAGAGGTTTCGGCGTTATTTTCCTTGTGCTCGAACGAGTTGGTTTCCTAGCTTGATGGATGGCTCTTGGCGTTTTACAAACTTGAGGCATTGTTCTTTATCCTCGACTGGTCAGGAATCGGGACTGTTAGTCTGGGCTGGCTGTCGCTGGCTATCATGTCACTGCGATGATTGCTCAACGGGAGCATTTTATCCCAATCGGAGTTGCTGCCATTGGCCTCGCGCCTCGGACGAGGCCGAGCCATTTCGCTCCTTTCGGCATCAATAGGGGTAACATGATGACCACTCAAGTCTTATCAATACATGGAACATGGAACATTGAGCATTGAGCCTGTAACAATTTCCAATAGGATATATGGACCGGTTCGCCAACCCAAGTGACTCGTAGCCACGATCAAACGACCTAGTGCCCGTGGCCCTACATAAGAGGGTATCTTCGAATCAAGCCAACAAGGAGAAAGAAAAGCAATCCAAGATGCCTTGCAATAGGTTACGGTAGTCTTCATGGTCCAAAAAAACGAAGCCCTTCGACGCCTCTATACCACACCCACGCCCTACGCCCTTGCGAAACAGAATCAAAGAGATGACGGCCCAGGCAGCCTCAGTAGACACCCATCCTCGTAGCCCAACCGGATTCTTTCTGGTTGATGTTGATTTGGTAGGGAAACGGATTCGACTCGGTCGTCGTAATGGGTGGGATGTGGTCCTTGTGTGTGTTGACGTACGTCACCACCTTCATGACCGTCGCCAACAGCGTCGACTCCATTGCTTTGCGGACCTTTGCTCGCTCTTGAAGAGAAACAGTCAGTCCCCGTCGGCAAACTCGGGCTAGCCAGCAGAACCGCGCAAACTCTCAGGATGACAATGGCTTTGTGGCCCACATCGCACCACTTGGAACGAGCCGGACCCCCCTCGCTGTATCAGTCTAGACTTGTGTTTTGATATAGCCACACACAGGCACACAGACAGACACACACAGAAACACACACACACAATGGACAGCAAACCGAATGACGGAAGCATGCATATAAACGGCACTACCCCCCCCCCCCCCCCCACCCGCCCCAACGAAAGGACTCGTAACTCACCACTCTCGGTCCTCGGCTCCGCGACAGTGACCTTGACCGTCCAGCGCTCCCAGCAGACCTCCTCGTCGCCACGTATGGCGTACCAGGCGGGCTTCCGCCTCCTCCGCTCAAAGAACTGCACGACGACCTGGCCGCGGCCGCTGCCGCCGCTCCCGCCGCCGCCCGGGTGCTGGTGGTGGTGGTGCGGCTGGTTGCGCTCGGCGTCGAGCTGGCGGACGAGGGCGGCGGTGCGCTGGTCGATCAGCGTCTCCAGCTCGGCGTCGGAGACGTGCGGGAGGGTCAGGTCGAGGACCTCGCGGGTCTCGGGGAGGATCGAGGGGAAGAAGCGGTGGAAGAAGATGGTGTGGAGGATCCCTGGTTGGGGCCGAGGGGGCCGGTTGGTTAGCTGGCGGGTGAGGAAGGAGAGGGAGAATGGACGGGGATCGCCTTTCTTTGGGTTCATCCCTTCCCGAGATGGTATCTTCGGGGCTCAGGGTGAGGACTCGAGGACCCGGGGGGGAGAGGGGGAATTGGTAAACCGGACGAACCTTGGACGACGTCACGGACGGAGTCTGGGTCCGCAAAAGCTTCTAATATGAACTCTGGGGTGTTGCGCTGTTCCATGGCTGTAGGTTTTTCATCTGTCTTTCCCTGGTGCAAGGTGTTTACACATCAATAATATAACATAAGCATAACTGAATGGCATCATGCTTCCTGCTATCAGGAATGCAAAGGCGGCGCAGGAGGGGTCATGGAGGGGCAGCCTGGTCAAAGCGCTCTGCGGCATCATATCGCTCAGTTACACGGGCCCCTGAAAGCCCAGCCACATGTGGTTACGCTCTCCCGCCTATGAGATCACCGGTCGCGTACCGAGGCAAAACTGGTAGGTAGCTAGCCGCAGGTGAAGCTCCTCTCACCCACCCCCATCGACACATGAACAAGTCGCACTTCTCGCCCTTCTATTGCCGTTCTGTTCATTCCAATTAGCTATAACAACCTCCGAGGGACGGGTTTGCTTCGCACACATTCAGGGGCGAACCGGGGAAACCGCCCTGCATCAAAAACATGTTCGCCGCAACCAGGCGATGGGTTCGTCGCAACAGAACCCCCCTGGCCATAGGTCTGGGTGTCGTGGGCGCCGGCTACGTGGTCACGCAGTATGTCCTTAGCAAGATCAACGACGCGCGCGAGCGCATGAGCAGCGATCGCATCGCCAAGGAGAAGTATGCGCCACCATCCCATCCCCCTTCGCCTTGAGACCTGCCTACCTAGCTTTCCGCTGACTTCTACTGTCCAATAGCCTGCGACGCCGCTTCGAGCAGAACCAGGAGGACTGCACCTTCACCGTCCTTGCGCTCCTTCCCACCGCGACGACTAACATCCTGGAGGCGATGAATACGGAGAAGATCACGTACGAGATTCAGCAGATGAAGGGTTCCGCCGCCGCAAGGGCCGCCAAGAGCATCGGCTCGATCAGCCCGCCCAGCATATCCGAGGCGAACGCCACCGACGACGATGGCCGGAGCATGGTCAGCCTACAGAGCGAGAGCGGAGTGCATGCGAGCCAGATCGCGGTGCCGTCCCCGGCTACGGCAGCAGCAGCAGCGGACAACGCCGGGGAAGGTGCAGATACGGGGGAGCAGACGGCGCAGAAGCCGCGCAGGACGAAGAGGCAGCTGTGGGATGACTTGACCATAAGTTGTAAGTCGGGTTACTACTGCGAAGAAATTGTCGATATCAGGGTCCACGAGCTAATTAAGCTTCGTGAATGGCAGCAATCACCAGGGCATACACTCTAATCTACACACTCAGCTTATTGACGATGCTCACCCGGATACAGCTGAACCTCCTCGGCCGGCGCAGCTACCTCTCCAGCGTGGTGTCGCTCGCGACCGGTAGCGCCCAAGCGACGATCAGCCTGGAGAACAACGACGATGACAACGCGGAGCAGGCATACGGGAGCGACTTTGAGGTCAACCGCAAATATCTAACATTCAGCTGGTGGCTGCTGAATCGCGGCTGGGTCGACATCATGCAGCGAGTTGAGGCCGCCGTGCGTGAGGTCTTTGGCGACCTGAGCCCGAGGGACACCCTCACGCTCGAGACCTTCTCCGCCCTCACCAACCAGGTGAGGCGGCTGGTCGAGGGCGGGTCACCAGGCGGTGGCCGCGCAGGGACCCAGTGGCTCCCCTTCCTACTCCCTCCGCCCGACATGGAGGAGCTCGTCCTCCGCGAGTCGGGCGTCATGGATGATGACGACGACAACAACAGCGCGTCGCGGCCGCAGCAACAGCAGCAGCAGCAGCAGCCGACACTCGCCGACGGGTTCACGTCGGCGGCCGCGTCGGCGACGTGCGCCGCCTCGCTGCGCCACCTGCTCGACGAGACAGCCGACCTCGCCGAGTCGCCGTCCTTCGCGCACGTGCACGCCCAGCTCCTCGACGCGGCCTTCTCGCTCCTGCTGCGCGGGAAGCTCGCGCAAGGCGCGTTCGAGGCGTCCGTCCCCGTCACCGCCGGAGACCCCTCCTCTCCGGCGCACGCCAGCACGAGCAGCAAGGCCGTGCTCCTGCCAAAGGTCCTCTCCGTGCTGACGAGGCAGGCGCACGCCATCGGCAACGGCATGCCCAACGAGTACCTGCGGGAGATGGAGGCGGTGCGGGACCTCGAGGGCTTCGCGGCCGTCGTCTACTCGAGCAACTGGGAGAGCGAGATCGCGAGGGACGACGACGTTGGAGCCGGCGCCGGCTCGGGCCTGGGCCGGGCAGCGGCGGCGGCGTCTTCGTCATCGGGTGCGGGCGAGGAGAGCCTTGTTGTCGTTGATCCGACTCAGAACTTTGAGAGTGCCTGGGAACGGGCGGCTGGATAGAGAGGGCTGGGCGGCGTCTAGAGGGTTCTGTTGGGTGGTAGGCATAGATCGGGATTGTGAGGGCCTGCATGATCGACGGAGATGTGTCGTGGCTCCAACATATACATATACAGGTGTATCAGCAGCGCTGGGCAGCAATGTATAATATGCGGGTGAGGGGATATGCGCAATGGTGGGCCAGGACTGTGTACGATTATACCACTTCATTCTAATGCTCTATGAAGTACATGGCTTCCCCCTTGTGCGGATATCAGCTGTCATCTCTTGGGTATCTTCCACCTCGATCCTCGAATATGGTTATGGTTGGTAGGGATATATGTGCACAGCTCAGAGCGCCGTCTTTCTGCAACTGCCCCTCCCCTGGCCCCAGTTGGCATAGCAGTGGCTCAGGGCACCGCTTATTGGTGTTAAAGCTCAAGGATCGGGAGGGCGGCAGCCGTTGGTGCCTTGGCTTCCGGTTGGCATCTATCTCATGCTGGGTCCTCGACGGACAACTCCCGAGTACCGTCGTTCCGTCCAAGCCTCGATATGAAGCCGGATAAGTGAAACCCGTCTCCTCCGCGCCTTGTAGATTGGGGCTCCGGGGATACATTGATCTCCATTCCCCTCCCTTCTGGTTCTCACATCAGCCCGCGGATGAATTGGTCCAGGCCCAGCTCGAACAGCTCGTTGTTAGCGCCCTCCCCATCCTTGTGCTCAGCCGGGGACAGGGGGTTCTTGACAACTGTGATGGTAGAAAAGTCAGCTTTCTGTTCTTCGCCCGCCAGGATACCTCAAACCAAACAACCATCTCCATCCTCTCCCACCGCGCACGTACCGTACTCAACCCACAGGTTGATATAGATCTGATGCAGCACGTTCCGCATGCTCATGGTGCCCGTGTCCGTCAGCATGACCAGGCGCAGGCTGCTGGGCGTCTCGTAGTAGTGTAGCTTGTACTGCCCCGTCCGGTAGCTGATGAAGGCGTCGTCATCCCCGCCCAGCTTGCGCACCATGTTCCGCAGCGAGAACACCGTCCCGAAGATCAGCTTCGCGTCGTCCCCGGCCCGGCCCCCGGCGGCCCGCCGCGGGGCCCCGCTGCGTGTCGGTGCTGGTGCCGGTGCCGGTGCTGGTGCCGATGGGGGTGCGCCTGCGGTCGCGGTCGGCGCGGTGGAAGCCCCGGTGGTCGATGTCGCGGAGATGGGCCGGGCTTTACTGCTCGCGATGGCGTCTTGGGGGAGCCATGTCTTGGAGTAGATGCATTCCGCTGACGGGGGGCCAGGTGCGTTAGCAATCACGATGGGGGTTGCGCTGGATTGCCAAGACATTTCCCGGCTCACTCACTATGTCGGTCGAAGATGTAGAAGGAATAGACCACCATGATGCGATTGGGTTCGCTTCGTCGGGGCGGCGCGCTCAATCCTCGCCCAAGAAGTTCTCGGTGCTCTGGTCAAGGTGCAGGACGTGTGAGTGTGTGTTTGCGCAGTCGAGGCTACATGCTAATACTCCTTATCAAAGAGCGGGAGGCCGATTGGATTAAGTTACTGTACAAATGGTTGGTACAGTACCGTTGCTTGGCTTCTAGGTTGGTTCTAAAGCTGATTGGAGTGCTCAAACTCGCAGGGATCAGGCGGCCCTGTCGGGCTCAACCGTCAGCATTAATCAAAGCAACTGGCCAATAGTAAGCGAGAACTCATCGAATGAGGCTCTGATTGCAATGCTAGCGGGGCAGACTGAGGGGTAGTTGTTCCCTCCACCATGTTGGGTTGGCCCTACGGACGCCCCTGCCCCTGCCTGCCCACCACTCCTACCGTCCTGCGCGGCACCTCAGATATTGGGTGTGAGCTCGCTCGTAGCTGAGGCGAATGTATGTGCGGCTGGTTGCAGGGATAAATAAAAGAGGTTGTCTTTTTCGTGTTCCCTCGTCTACCTAGGCCTTGCTTCTGTCCTCCTTGAACATCTTGGAGCTAGGACAGAGCCCTGCCCGATAGCATTTTTGGCCAACAGTACCTTAAACTATACGCATTCGTGCCCGAGAAGCAAATAATGGATCAGGCAGCGAACCCTCAACCGCCTCTCGGCCGCCTTCCGGCCCTCCAGAGCGACGGGACGCTGTCGAACGCTGAAGAGGGCGCCCCGACGAACCTGCCATCCCCTGGTATCAATATCGAGTTCCATAGTGATTCCAAGGAAGACGTCACGCCGGGCTCAGTCGAGCACTTGTAAGTGCGGTTAGTTTTTGAGCCACATGCGCCCTCGTTTATCAACTCTTCCAGTTTGCCTCTGGGCTAACTTGCAAACTTTGCAAGGTCTGCGCCCGCGGCCCAGCAGCAGTACCAGAGCCCGATTAGGCATCACAAGCGGACGCCTTCTGCCCATCGAATGGTCAAGGTGTGCAACTACCTTATCTTGCCCCAAGAGGGAAAGGGGAGAGACGGTTTGAGGGGAGAGGCTGTTGACAACCGACTAATCTCCCTCCCTCGACTGGACTAGGAAACGCTGAATGCGAGATCCGAGTACACCAGCGACGAGCAAGACGGCCGCTCCCAGCACATAATTAACCAATATGTCATCAAGGAGGAGATTGGCCGCGGGTCGTATGGCGCCGTCCATCTTGCCACAGACCAGTTCGGCAACGAATACGTACGTAACACTTTTGGGAGCGTGGAGTGTGGGGTGTGGGTGGGCAAAGTCAATAAGATTCGGGATTCTGACTCGACCGGGAACATAGGCTGTAAAGGAGTTCTCCAAAGCGCGCCTCAGGAAGAGAGCCCAGTCCAATATCCTCCGCCTGGGCCCACGCGGACGGCCCATGCGCGGGCCCGGGTTGGGTCTTCCGGGCCACATGAGGGCCGGGCTGAACGACCACGAGGCCAACGAAGCCAAAGATGCTCTGTTTCTGATACGCGAGGAGACAGCCATCATGAAGAAGCTGAATCATTCAAACCTCGTGCAGCTGATCGAGGTCTTGGACGATCCCGAAGAGGACTCGTTGTACATGGTCCTGGAGATGTGCAAGAAAGGCGTGGTTATGAAGGTCGGCCTAGACGAACCGGCTGAACCCTACCCGGTCGAGAATTGCCGTTGTTGGTTTCGGGATCTAATCCTCGGCATTGAATACTGTAAGTCTGGTCTCCGCACAATTCAGTTGTATCACCCTTCCTTGAGGCTGAACAAATCACCCACCAGTGCATAGCCAGGGTGTCTTGCATCGTGATATCAAGCCAGACAACCTGCTCCTCACCGAAGACAATGTCCTCAAGGTTGTAGACTTCGGCGTCTCCGAGATGTTCGAGAAGCCCGACGTGATGAGAACGGCCAAGTCGGCCGGATCGCCTGCGTTTCTGCCCCCGGAGCTCTGTGTCGCAAAACACGGCGACGTTAACGGGAGGGCTGCCGACATCTGGTCGATGGGTGTCTCGCTGTATTGCCTCCGCTATGGCAGGATCCCCTTCGAGCGGAGCGGCGTCATGGAGATGTACGAAGCCATCAAGACCGAGACGATTAAGATACCCCCGGACGAGGGCGAGGACTTTGTGGATCTGATGGCCAGGCTCCTGGAAAAGGACCCCGAGAAGCGGATAACAATGGGCGAACTCCGCGTAGGTTTCCAACATCACTGACCATTTTCGCCATGCCTAACGTCAGCAGGAACATCCGTGGGTGACAAAAAAGGGGGAAGACTGCCTGCTAAGCGCCGAAGAGAACTGCACAGAACCCGTCGATCGGCCCAATGCCCTCGAAGTGAACCACGCGTTCACGAGGAAGATGAGCCACCTGTTGTGTGTGGTGAGTGGGAACTGCCCTGGCGTTACGTTACCGTGACTTCTGCCCGCTAACCACTGCCAAAGATGAAAGCAATCGCCAAGTTCAAGGGCCTCGTGGCTCAGAAACGAGCCAGGGAGAGGGCAAGTGGAGGTGGAGATACGAGTCAAGCTGCCGAAGAGGACTCGGCGGCAAGCCATGCCGCTCGGATCATAAAGGAGCGTGAGCAGTTTCTCAGTGCCACTCGGGCTCGCGGGGCTTCTGAGGAAGAGGTTCATGGGCAAGAACCGACAAAAGCCAAGACCATATACTTGGGAATCGGGAATGGTGGTCACGACGGCTTCACATCGGCCGAGAACGCACCGGAAGGGGGCGTGTCTGCTTCTCCCACGGCGGTCGACTTCAGTGTCTATGACCGGGCCTTCGAAGCCGAGGTGGACAGGATCAAGCGATCGACGAGCAAACGCGGTACTCGGCGCGGCACGGGGAGTATGTACCTGACTAAACACGTGGACGACAAGCAGAAGTATGAAACGGACGATAATGTCACCTGGGTCGGGGGCTCACTCGACGATACTCCGGGAACTGCTACTCCGCGAGGAGGGTCCAAGTTTGCGGACCTCGTCGCCAGAACGATTGAGTCGAAGAACACGGAAAACCCCAGCAGTGAAACTTGATGTTGCTCTCTCTCGCTTGCTTCGCCGCGCGGTTGGTCATACGCCCCGCGGAGCTTGAGCTGGGGACAAAACGAGATTGTCTCTTGTGCTTGGTGGCTTCAGAAGCCATGAGCGGGTCTGATAGACAAGGGACGGGATTAGGAGCGAGTTGGGTCTATCCGACCCATATCATTATCGATTTGGCGAGTAGGGCTGCTGGGAAAAGTTCCACTTGGTGAGAAGAGTTGAAAGCAGCAGACCCGACTGTTCTATATAAGGCCGAGAAACAGGCAGACACTCGGCTGCCAGCACAGCCACAATCCTCCCCGCCTGAGCTACTTGACCAAACATGTCGACCAGAGATAACTCGGTCTGGATTGGGGCTATGTACATACAGCATTGGGTAGTATGAGCGAGTTGTCAAATAATAAGCATGCTTCTTCTCCTCCGAACAATTGATCGAAGCCGGAAGACGCGACAACCCCGTCCCTCACGAAAAATAGGGGTCAACCCTTAAACCTCGGAAGCTCTCACCAGTTCAGCAACCACACCGCCTGTGCCGACGTCATCGTGTCACCCGAAAGTTAAACAGAAGTCGATCTGTAACTAACGCGAAATGAAACAAAAACGATACGTCGAGCCACGAAGAATTGCCGGCCCGTTCTCCTATGCCCAAAAGGGTTGATGCAACACGAGAACATGAGGTCGAGAGGTTATCTCGATAGCGGTCAAATATGTATATTTGGTTCCGGGATGCAGCGCTTGCCCTCCCTTGATATTACACGTAGATAGATAAATGGGTAAGCTGCAGGTCACAGCCAAGTTGGCCGACATTGATTCAAACCCGGCAGGAAACAGGACCGGGAGCTACACCGGCCTCGAGCTACTAGCCACTCGGCTTTCCATCTCCAGACACGAGGCGCGGGAACCAGGAACCCCTGGAGCTCAAGGGAGCTCAAGGGAGCTTTGGATCAACAAGGCGGGAGCAAGGAATCGCAGGGCCGAATGCAGATATCTCACATCTCATGCACATACTGGCGGCGTGGTCGGCTACTCGAGATAGGCAACTCATGCGAGGCATCTTCGATGCGCCTCGACGTGTCACCGTCGAGGCGGTCTGCCACATCCCGTCTGCCCGGGTGTGGACGCTGTACGCAGTATGTTGTCTGTGTTGTACACTTATGTGCGTCCAAGGGGTGGCCCGCAGGTTTGTACATACATACACACATGTGGGAGCGAACTACATCCGTACTCCCAGAGTATCTACAGTCCCACACCGCTAACCCCCTGGACAACCCTCACCTTGAGCCTCCCGGGATATCACGGTGCCGGACTTGGCCTGAGTCCGGGAAAGGGGGGTAGAGGGTGCGGGGTAGATGTACTCAGCACTGAGTAACCCAATATCGGCAACCCGGTTCGGATTGGCCAAGAGGTTGAGAGTGAGCCCTACCATAAATCATCTTGCCTGCCAAGTCGGCAGGCGTTCGTTAAGCCGGAGTGAAAAGTCTTGGAGCCCGGGTACGGGATGGAAAAGTTGAGAGATGGGAGCTCCCCAATTGGTCGCGGAGAGCTCTGAGCTGTCATCCGGTGGATGTCTGGGTGTGGCCGATTGCCAGGGGGAGCTTTCAAAGCAGATATGCGTACCTAGGTACCAACTTTATTAGTGTGAACGTAGCTGCTATGCAGAGCCAAATCATCCGGTCTCACGAGCATGGAAGCTAGAGCAAACTCCCCTTGATCGGCCCAATAGCCACGAGGCCGAGGCTGTGCGAGCATCCATCGGCAGCGTAGGTGCGGAGACGGAAGCGAGAAAAGCAGTCGCAAACGGTGCTAGAAGGACATGGCGATAGGTGCGGAGACGGGAAACGACAAGAGAACGGCGATTGCTGAAAATGCCTCATACAATGTTTCTGTAACACGTCCATCCAACCAGACTGGTGGGTATGGGTAAGTGCATGGCATGGATGTCGACATCCAGCATCGTTGAATGCACACGCACGTATCTGTCAATTTGTCAATCCTGCCTCAAGCCGGCAACGAGGCAGGCCAAGAAGGGGTGATGGAGCTGGCTGACAACGTAACAAACAGCCAAGACCCGACCTCGAATTCGCCAATCATCGAAAAGCATCTGTGCGACACAAAGATCAGCCATCAAGGGATTGCATGGAGCTAATTTACGTACTGTCAGTAAATTTTTGTCTAATTTTCCCCCAATTTTCACTAATCATGCTTTTTCCCGCCTTTCACCTTCTCCCTTTGAAAGAGCCGTCAGCCGCTCTGACCTACCGACTGCGTAGAGTTGCGACTAAACCGGAAAGGGCTTAGGTAATCGTTGAGGCAGCCAACGGCGAACCGAAGAGGAGGGGCAAACGTGGAATTATCGAAGGAGGGTCACCCACTTGCTGCCCCGAGAAGGTAACTGCGTAGGGAGGTAACGACGCAAACAGTTTTGAGTCAAAGAGACAAGGTGTGAAGACGAGGATTACCAAAGAACCGAAAGTACCTTATCTACCTAACCTACCTACCTAACCTAACCTAGGTAGGTAGTAGAAGCTCCTCGCTGCTGCTCGTATGAATTATTAAGCTTCCCTGCCTGCCCTCTGCCCTCTGCCCTAAACCCTGGCTGGCTGCTCTATCGGTATAGTACGTAGTAGACGCCAACAAGAATCCTTAAATACCCGACGCAAGGGCCAGCGCCATGTTCCTTAGTCCAAACTGGTTCTTTCCTGCCTCGCCCGTTCTACACGGCATTGCATGCAACACGACTCAGTATTCCAGTTGGCCCCTTTCTGTTGGCCTGCCCCAACCTGCCAACCACCAGCAGCCGGTGTTGTCGTCGGGGCTTGGCCTAAGACACTTACACCCAGAGGGCCCAGGCCAAGGCACGCCCAAGGCCCCGAGGTCTTCCCGCTTTCCAATACAGCGACCCAACCGGCGAGAATAGCGCCCCATTACTGCTTTATTTCAGGCTTGTCGCCCCTCTTACAGGCGCCATACTGGGAGGACTTCCAGGACTGGTGGCACTACCGTTGCGGTATTGCGTTCTGCCGGCCAGGCCAAGCTCGTCTCAGACCTTCGCCATCCGTTCCTACAATAGCCGCACCGCCACCCACAGGCCTGAGATCATCCCGACTGGTGCTTCTTCAACAAACAACTGGATCCTCGACCACCAGCTAAGAAACTTGGAAGCAAGCTAGACGAAAATTCACCTTTTCTTACCTAACCCGGCCATTCACCATGACTGCTCTCCACTCATCAGCCGGACAGCTTTCGCTCACCAGGTTTCTCCGCTTATACTACTAGCACCTACTAATAGTAAATCCTCTCTATCCTCTCGCACAAAACCCCCTCCCCACGCATCGATCTCCCCTGCCATTCCTTCCTCCACCCGTATCTGTCCCATCGACCCCCTTAAGGTCCGCCAACTTCCTTTCTGGAACTGCGCTCCTGGCGCAGAGTTGGTGCACCGATATAATCGAGGGTGCATTGCCCCCTCACGTCTCGCTGTTTTGAACGCCCCCACGAATCATCGGGCGCTGCCCTTTCACTGAAGGCGCGCTCCCCGCCACAATACACACCTGCCTGCATAAGCGCTGAATCACCACCCCCAGGCTTCGCTCGCCAGGCCCCCAGGGATAGACAGAAGCACCCAAAATTCCCGCCGTCTCCCTCGTCAAATTCGCAATCATCAACTCCATTTCCCCCGCGTGTCCGGAGTCACCATTTCCTACCATGGCGAGCAGTTCCGACGTCAAGTCGGTCTCGTCGCGGAGCACGTCGCAGCCGTCGTCTATCAGATCGCTTGAGCCACCTACGCCACAAACCAAGCTCGCCGCCGTCCAGGATGGACAACCCGTGCAACCCGCCGAACTTCTGCCGAGACCAGCTGCCGAGCGAGCTTCGGTCAAGGAACGCTTAACTCGCATGTTCAGTACCAAAGACGCGTCCTCACGCACCGCTTCCGAGACAGGTGCCCTTACCTCCCATGTCAAGAAGCCTCTTCCCGACTCTAGGACCGTCACTCCGGTCCAGAGCCAGACTGTCCCGCCGCCCAAGCCCGGCGTCCCTCAGCGCAAAGCCTCCTCCTCCGAAAAGGGCGCAGAGAAACCCCCTTCCGTCGGTGGTAAACCCAAGACCAACGGAAAGGATGTCCTCATGCAGCGCTTCGTGGTCAGCTCTGACATGCAGGGCGGTCACGAGCACCACCTGAAGTCGAGCCATCGCCAGGAGAAGCTGACCGATCTGTTCAAGGCCCTTCTGGGCAAGAAGACGGAACAGGTGGCAGACCATGACCTGTCACTCGTCTCGAGCTGGGTCGACACCCTCAAGCAGGAGAAGGAAGGCCTTGTCACCACGGACAAGAAAAGTGGCGCGAACACATCGGCAACCCTGGTGCAGAAGTATGGTAAATGCCAAGAGATCGTCGGACGGGGTGCCTTCGGAATTGTGAGGATATCTCACAAGAAGATGGAGAATGGCGTGGGCGAGAAACTCTACGCCGTCAAGGAGTTCCGCCGACGACCCGAGGAGACGGAGAAGAAGTACAGCAAGCGCCTGACTGCCGAGTTCTGCATCTCCTCGTCGTTGAGGCACCCAAACGTCATCCATACCCTGGACCTGCTCAAGGACTCGAAGGGCGATTACTGCGAGGTCATGGAGTTTTGCGCTGGCGGCGATCTGTACACCCTCGTCCTCGCCGCTGGAAAGCTGGAAGTCCAGGAGGCGGACTGCCTCTTCAAGCAGATGATGCGCGGCGTCGAGTACATGCACGAGATGGGTGTCGCCCACCGCGACTTGAAGCCTGAGAACCTGCTCCTGACGACTCACGGTGGCCTCAAAATCACCGATTTCGGTAACGGCGAGTGCTTCCGAATGGCGTGGGAGAACGATGCCCACATGGTGTCGGGCCTGTGCGGCTCTGCGCCCTACATTGCTCCTGAGGAGTACGTCGACAAGGAGTTCGATGCCCGTGCCGTCGATGTCTGGGCATGTGGCGTCATATATATGGCCATGAGGACGGGCCGGCACCTCTGGCGCCTAGCCAAGAAAGAAGAGGATGAGTTCTATGCCCGTTACCTGGAGGGGAGACGGGATGAGGAGGGATACGGTCCGATCGAGTCCTTGCACAGGGTAAGTCTTTTTTGAAATGCCTCCCGTTTCTGGTGATCTCGGAGCTGACTGGAGACTCTAGGCTCGATGCAGAAACGTCATCTACTCGATTCTCGACCCGAACCCGTCAAGGCGCATCACTGCCTCACAAGTCCTGAAGTCTGAATGGGGTCGTGAGATAAAACTTTGCAAGGCGGGCGAGGAGGGGCTTTAACCCATGCTCCGCCAGGTGTAATGTGGTGGTCACTCTTCGCACCACCACCATACCTGGCGGAACTTCAGCCGACGGGACTCTTGGCATCTAGTCCACCCCCCCTCCACCCTGCTATCCCTTTCTTGGGTAGCCATGGGATCGCGGGAGAAGCACCTTTCTCCATCTAATCCGCCTCTATTTCGATAAAGCAAAGGCATCTTACGAATAATGTGCCCCATCCTGACCAGCATAGGAGTCCGGAGTTGCATTCCTTTTCATTTTGTTCAAAAATTTCCTTACGTACATAAGCCTCGACCATCGTCTTTCAACCCTTCAACCCGGCTAAAAAGAGTCACGACAACACGTCTTCTATCCGCATTTTCAATGGTGTCAGTCAATCTCGACTCGTCGGGCGGAAGGCGAGGCTTCGGGTGGCCTCTCTGTGAGGGCGATAAACAATGTGGGCATAGGGCTACATGCCTTCAAGGAGAGAGGAGAAAAAAGGAGAAAAAGGCAAAGGAGGCTGGGCAGAAACTTGCCTTCCAGCTGTGGGTCAGTGCTGTTGCCAAGGCCTCCCTTTTGTACATTGTGTCCTGGAGCTGGGAACAAGACTTGGGCAGGGATGGCGAAGATGGATCACCTACGGCAGGTGTCTTTGGGGAGTCTCTCGTTGACCATCGATGCTGGGGTTCCTCACAGAAGCAGGTCGGAGGGGTTATGTCTTAGCTTCGTTTTATATAGCTGTTACCAGTCTGCAATCCACCTGCTTTGCTCTTTAATGGAGTCTAGATATGTCTAAACGTTGAGCTGGTGATCAAACTGGCAGTGCAGGGTTCACAAGGAGTATATGGGGAGGGATTCTAGATACATAAAACACACCAGTCTTCGTCTCCCCCTTTTTTGCTGTTGCTAGTGTCAACAATCAACAGGGGCGAAGACGGGAAGTAATAGTAACAATTAATACAATAATGTAATGATATCAATACATCGACATACAATTACAACCGTTGTACGAGCCAGCGAGGCAGCCAACAGCCATACTATCAAACTACCTATCTACCCACCCAGTAAAGGTGAATCTGTCCGCCATATCCCTCCTCTCCCATGTTTCCCACCTCTCACGGTCTTGTCAGGAGATTTAGAGACGCCAGCAAATTACCCACTTTCATTTTCGTCTAAAAACGACCTTCTCTCTGCTTTCTAATGGGCTATGAAAATTTTCCCTTTTTTGTTTAAAAATAAAAATGGTTTCTTACGTCTTGGTAAGCCGCTCCGGCCTGACCTTGCTTGGCCTGCAGCCAAGGCCTAAGAGAGAGGCAATAGCAACAACCATGCAGATCGCCCAGCCGAGCCGGTGATTCCTCCAGGGGCAAACGCCCTGGTTGGTCTGGACTATTCCCATATTTTCGTTACATGTTTGTTTACTTGCAACGAAATGCCGGCCGTTCCTCCGCTCGTGGGTCTCATCCTGCTGCTAGTGAGATTGTCACACTAGATGTAAACAGAGAAGAAAATAAAGGGGTTAGTTACCCTTACTAGACTTGTGTGTACGAACGTATCTCAAGCTTAGAGAAGGAGAAATCCCAACAGCCGTCATGTAGAAGAGACAATCGCGACAAACGCGTCAGGGGCCAGAGTCAATATGACCATGATAAAGAGTATAATTCCGCTGGTAATGCGACTAATGTTACATTCCAGGTCAACGACAATCGCCTAGTATGCGATCGATACGCAGACTGTCAAGTCCTTTTGCCTCTCGAAACGACCGTTCCGGTCATGACATCACCCGCCCAGGAAAAAAGCCCGACCCACCGATACCACCCCCATCCATGTCATGCCCCAGTCATTCATCTGGTCTACCTTCTTCTCGAGGATGAAGAGTAGATCCCCATCGTGATTTCCAAGACTCAGGTCAAAACCAACCAGTGTTGCTGTGGCTCTAGGATCAAAAAAGCTTGTGTGTGTGTGTGTGTGTGTGTGTGTTTGTGTGTGTGCCTGGGATAACCCTAGCAAACGATAATAACCGAATCGAAAAGGCGAAATGAGATAGAAGTAGGAAAAAAAATATACGGTGAGAGAAGAATGCGGACAAAACCAGTCCTTGAAAGACCCCTAAACACCTGGTCCTTTCAAACCTCCTCTGAAAATGAATCAATATAAGCCAGATATGGCAAACGGCCGCCCTCGAAAGTTACCAAAGACATTATATCCCATCCCCCCCGTTCCGGTCCCTGCCTTTTCCTTCTCGCTGCCTCGGCTTTGGAAAGGCGAAGCGACTCCCAAGGGTGGTTTGCGCCATATAGAGTAGGTGGTTGTGTACATCTCAAGCCAAAATTGGTCATTATGTGACAACAGGGTTGATGTCGCGGCCATGGCAATACATGCGGTCCAATCCAAGTCCCAGTATTCCATGACCGGACCGCCAGGCCCGTCAATTAGCTCCTTCAGGAGTGGAGAAGATCCCATGCCCGCTCGCAGAGCTTGAGGAACTCTTCTCGCTTTGCCCGTTGAGTCTCTGGCAGATCGCTCCCCCCGGTGAATGGCTCTCTCCGTTGAGATGGCCGGCCGTTCCCTAGCGGCGGGCTTCCGCCCTCCTCATAGTCTGCGCGCGTCCTTCGCCTGCTGGTGGTTCGGCTGGCGTCAGCGTGTGGTCTGTGGGCGCCAGGCGCGGGAGACGGCGGAGAGGGGGGCTGAGGTCCTCCGTAGTGTACTAACTTGGGCAGAAGCTCCGGTCGCCCGCCAGCCAATTCCGCCTGGGCTTCCTCGGCGGATTTGTATTCCCTTGGCCTGCTGGGTGTTGGGGCCTGGGGGGGAGGAGGATGGCTTGGAGAGGCGAGGGGTCCTCGACTCTGGCTGGCAAAGATGGCATGGCCACTGGAATCTGGGTGCCCGGAGAGTCCCTGACCGAAAACATCGGCAATAGGAGGTAGGCGGTTGTTGGTCTGGTTAGCAGGGACGTGGTGGATGTGTGAGGTGCTCGACAGATTTGTTGGCTGGTTCGTGATGTGGCGGGTAAGGGGATGTGGGTTGTGTCGTCCCGTGAAGGTCTGGCCCAGGGGCGCTGATTGTATCACTCTCTCGTGGGCAAACTGCTCGTGTGACGGGGCGACAATGCTCAGACCAGGAGGAGCCTTGTTACGGCGAGACATTCCCGGAGTCTTGGCCGAAAACTGCCCTCCGTTGTCTTTGTCCTTGGAACCGTCCATGCCTTCCCCCTTGGCAGATTGCTGCTGTAATCTTGCCTCGATGATTTGTCTCTGGTGTTCGCGAACACTCAAACTGCGCTGGAGTTGTTCTTTCATAACCGGATCCTGGGTGACGAACCCTGGGGACAGACACGCCAGGCCGACCTCTTGAATGCCTAGCCCTTCCCTCGCCGTCAACGGCCGCGCCGTTGCGGGGCTGTTGGAGCTGGTGTTCGTGTTCTTGGAGAGATCCAACCTCCTAGGTCTGTGCCGGGCAGTGGGAGGCTCGGGAGAGCCGGGTTCTTTCTTAACAATGATTCTGGGCGGTCCTCCAGCATTCCGAGAACTGTTGATCAAGAAACGAAGGTTAGTTATCCACGCAAAAATAAGAAGAAAACGCGGATACCAGGGGAGACACAGAGGCATTTTTGGGATTACGGGACAAATGCAAACGGGACGGGATAACTTACGCGCTGGGGGGCGACGATTTTGCTGTCGCATTCGCGGCTCCTTTGGGACTGCCATTGCCAGATGCTGATGCCGATGGCGGCGGCGGGGGCGGCGGGGGCGCAGCTGCTGTCCTCTGTGTTGATGGCGAAGTAACCGATGAGGTCGACGGGGTGGTATTATGGTTTAAATCGGCGCCGTACGAGGGTCGGTCGTGAGGAGCCGGAGAAGGGGCCATGGCAATGGCGGTACTCATGTTTGGTGATCTTTTAGGGTAAGGTTTTGCGACGGCTGTTCTTTTTTTAAAGTTCCCTTCAAATGGGGGAGGCTGGTGCCCCTAGCCCGTTGCCTCTGCACTTGGTTTCCTCCCGCTCTTCCCTTTTTGCGATCAGATTCCCGCTCCGCACCCGGTTTGTCTGGTCTTTGGAAGGGTGCGGTGGCCTGCCTGCCAGGAATCGCCTAGTTTGAATAAACTGCTTGTCGCGGGACTGCGCGATGCCGTTGAAATAGGTGGGGAGCCTGGGCAGGAAGCTGCTACTGCCTGGTCGTGTCTTCCGTGTTAGTGTTGTTAACACAGTCTTGTAGACAATATTGCCACGATCTGGTTTGGTCGGCAATGGTGGATCTGCTCCGGGTCGCAATTCGAGACAAGGACTCTTATTCCTTTTTTTTTTCTGTTGTTTTTCCTTTTTCTGCCAAGTTTCCCCTCAAATGAACCCCGACGACGGGATTCTGATGCTGACTCGGAGGCTCTCTCGAATTCTGGTCCAACGAAACGGCTTGCTTGTGCGAGTTCAAGGAGCTTGGCCAAGGGGTATGAATGGGTTGGTCGGAGGTCGGCTGATGTGATACTCGGTCGCACCAAACACCCGGAGTCTGTGTATAGTCGAATCAGGTCCGCAGAAGCGATGGCTTTGGGCGGCAATGTGGTGAGCAGCAACTGAAGCAGCACCCAGCGAGGAGCAAAGCTGCAGCAGCAAAGGGGGGAGAAGGGGAGGGACTCGAGCAGGCGATGCGCGGGTGAAAGAGAGAAGGGATTGTCGGGTAGAAGAGTAGTTAGGGGTAGGGAGGTACCATGTATGAGGGTGTGAGCAACAGGATGGAGGGGCAGGCGAAGGGGGTAGGATGCCTTTTTGGGGACAGCGCGACGGCGGATCAGAAATGGAAAGACCAAGGCGGCCAGGTTATGAAAGGGGACCAGAAGTGATACAAGTATGTGTGAGAGATGTGTGGGCAAGAGTGGGCAAGTGTGGGCAAGCATGTATCTCCCCTGTCAGGAATCGTGATTCGCAAATCGTGTGGCTGTCAGCATGCTCAGCACGGCTTACAAGGGGTCGTGCCTTACCCTGCCGAGAACTGGGCTGGTCGGTGCAGGCTGGCTAACTCGATCTTGTATCGCCTTGTATCGCCCCTGGGTCGAGTGACCCGCCAAAAGGGCCCGTATCGACGGCACTCCAAGCCTCCAAGGGTCGAAAAAGCTACCTCGCAGCCTCCATTTTCCCACTAGTGGTCAGAAGAGAGGGGGGGCGGCGGGGCCCGCGCTTAAGCTCCGTACATGGAGTGTTTTACATTGATACTAGCCTGGCCAGCCAGCGCTGAAGCCGTGCAGTGGTCCAGTTCCTCTTGTATCCGATTGGCCCTTGTCCCTGCTCGGCGCAGAATGTTTGCAGAGGAGCACCAGCCCTTTGCCCTCGCTGGATGAGACAGGATCAATAGGAGAGCAATATTTCGGGTTCGGAGGCACTCATTCTGGGCTGTATGGGTTTGTATGGGAGAGAGGGTGGTAAAACAAGTCAGTAACGAATGCAATTTGCTCCCGAACGTCAAGTCTGGCTACCTGGCTTCAAAAGCATCTATGCATCTATTCGTGGCGTGCCTGCTCTGGCGGTGTCCTTCTTCGTCCAATGGACCACCCGCCCGCTTAGATTTGCCGGAATACATGATTTGTGTGGGCATGGTTATGTATTTTGGCGGCCCAGCAGATAGATTGGGGAAGTATCAGAACTCCCATTTATATCTCACGGTAGCATCTTGTGACCCTCTAAGATTTTCACCATGCCTGTCACTCCTGTCATGTCGACCCGCCAAAGTTTTAGGGAAAAAAACAAAGGGAAAGCCGGGTTAGTGGCTGGGCTGGCTTGACAAGGTCCCTGACGATCCAAGGATCCCTTTTGACTCAGAAGCTTAAGTTTGAATTACCTACGCAGGTGTCAGAACCTAACATACCTGCTTTATTTTGGGACAGTATCTGGGCTTTGAATATTGTCCATTGAATGGAATCTGGCATCAAACGATTTAGCCTCCTCCCTCTCCCCTCCGCGACTCCGTCTAGTCAAAAGTTGAAGGTCGATGGCGGCGCTTTCTGGCTTCAGCAATCGAATTGGGACGATTAAGGTGCATCAGCACGGACTGGTATGTACTACACTCCTCAGTCTCGGCAGACAGGTAAGGTCCATAGGCACGGTAGTAGGAATAGGTACTAGATAATTAGTGCCGAGACCTCGACGCTGTTTGCCTGTCACCAGGGGCGGCTTCATGGATGGATCTGCGGAACATCAGAACTGGATGAAAGCTCCGTGCCTCTGTGGGATGTTTCTTTTCACCAGTCCTTCCCAATTAAACCTCGCTCGGCGTTGCGGGCAGTATCGCCCACCCACCGCACACCCACCGTTTTTTGCTGCAAGCCATGACACACAACCCTGGTCGTTTTAGGATCTCCCGCCCCCAGCAAATCAGACGACAGCTGGTTTGAAACATGCGAGGCCCAATCACTGACCGCATCCTTGGACAAGATCCGCAGGCTCAGAGTCTCACAGACCCCCTCGACAGGGCAAGAATTTACCACGTCGCCCCAAGTGAGGGATTCGTTTCGTTTGCGCTTTGACGGGATCGTGTGCATTGTCCCAATCCGCACTTCAGATGAATTCGATACGGAGCTGCAGGTACATACACATACCCACAACGTGGAAGTAATGGAAAGGTCCAATGGTATCCACGTAGAGGGATCGGATGATAAACTTGCTTCGTTGGGAGCATCACATCCCTGCCTCCAAAAACGCGTCCTTGCAGACACGAACGCGCCTCGCGGCGTTAATTTCTTGGTACAGTACATACGGGTACCTACTTTGTCGGGAAGCATATTCAAATGTTGGCAGCCTTTTCAATTGCGAGGTGGGGTGATGCCAGGTGAGCCTGGTGAGCCTGGTGAGCCTACAGACACCCAAAGCTATAAGCGAACCAACACTACTGGTCGAAGCTATGCATGCCCCCAAGATTCTGTCTCTTGCAGCTGCACCTTGCCGCGCGCCAGTGCCATCGATTGAACCCCAGGTACATACCATACTTAATGATCGAGAGAAACCCTCTCGATCAGCCAACTCAGACTCTGAATACCCGAGTCCTATAGTTCTCGGCTCCCTACAATTGGGCCAGCAATCCGATCATAATGTGGTGATCGCGCTTCCCAGGCGCCTAAAGCTACACACACATCTTAGCCGCCTTGGAGATATTGTAGGTATCATGGAAGTGAACACGCCTGGAAAGCATGCACATCAAGCATATCGTACGAAACGTCCAAGTCGCCACATGAATGGGGACAGATTACACCCTCCACCAAGTTGAGAGGTGAGGTAACTGCCCGTACACATGGTGTATCTGGTTAGAAGTAAGCTTCGATGGGGTCCCAGAAACCCCCCCCCGCTACATCGAAGGGTCGGTGGGGAAAATTTTTCCTGGCCCTGGTCGGGCCGCCCTACGTCTTGCAGATTTCACAAGGCTACCGACAAAACTGATTGATTGACAGATTTTACTAGGCTGAGAAACTCTCGTCATATACTTTAACGCTGGGACTGGTTTTTGAATATCATTCAAACGCCGGACGACTCAAACCCCAAAATGCCTACAAAATCAAGAAGTGTGGATCCTTCAGTGGATGCGAGCATGGAGGATGCCCCTCCATCTCACCAGCCGGCTGTAGACGAGGCTGAGGAGGCTGAACAGGCCGATGAGGCCGCGGAAGGAGAATATGCAGATGACTATGCAGAGGAGGAGGAGGAGGTCCAGCGGGTCAAACTTGTGAGTCCCCTCGTCCTCTACCGACTGGGGACTCTGGAGACTAAACATGCACCAGCTACCTGGTTCAACCCCGACGGCAGCCTCGTTCGAGTTCCTTGATGAAGGTCACACTTTGGGCAATGCGCTGCGCTATATCATCATGAAAAAGTGAGTTAGCTGTGAGCGGAATGCTTTGGCCATGCTCCGATACTGACAGCTTCATAAAGCCCGGATGTGGAATTCTGTGCCTACGCGATCCCCCATCCCTCAGAGCCAAAGATGAACATTAGGATCCAGACCTACGGTTGGTTGAATCGGCCTCTGAACCTACCCGGAGGTGGCACACTAACAGGCATGTAGAAGGCACAACTGCTATCGAGGCTCTCGAGAAGGGCCTGAAAGATGTGCAGGAGCTATGTGACGTGGTGGCAACGAAGTTCTGGGCAGCGCGAGAAGATTTCACAAATACGATGTCATGATGGCCTCCACGGGCAAAACACAGCATAGAAATGGCGTCTGGCGCGATACAGTAGAATGGCCAAGGGCTTGCATTTGGAGGTTTTGATAGCCTATGTACAATTGTGGCTCAACAGGCCTCGATATCCCCATTTTAGTTGCGACCCTACTATCATCAGAAAACCGAAAATGCGCGTATAATATTGCATTGGGACTCACCTCCAAGAACCCAGTCATGAAGTTGGACGGTAGCCTCTTAGCGCCCCTAAAGGTCTCTTCCTTGAAATACGACATGATATGGTTGGTCTGGCGCCAATAGTTCATCGTTTCCTAGGCGATCTGTTGTCAGCTCATGTGTCGAGACTTGTCCTGCCCCCATGGTCTTTGTCGTCGTTGCCCACAGCGTTTCAGTCGCTCAGGCGTGTTCCTCGGGGAAAATGCTGAGACGAGATTACCTGATAATCGGCGTGGCCCTGGAAAAGGAGAACATCAACAACCGACAGCTTGTTGACGTATCTGTACCTCTCGAATTCTTGTCGTATCCGCGTGCGGATGGCGGAGACGGGGAGGGGAATCGAGTACATCGTCTGCATCTCGGGTGCCTATCTCACGGTATCCGGTCAGCACAATCGTAGTGACCCCTCCGTGGATTCCTGGGCACACAAAAATATGCCTCGCATGATAGCCTGAAGGAGGAAAACAGGTTGGGGCCACGTACGGCTCGGATCCATTCTCGATATGCTGCGAGGACTCTCCTCTGCCCGTCGGCCCAATTGGTCGCTGTAACTAGTTAGACTCTGAGCTACACCAGAGTGGTAGGAGCATACTAACACTGCCGCGTCTTGACCGCAAATTGAGTGGGTGTGATCGCCATTGCGGCCGTATAGCGTTGTGGTTCGTTGCTTCCGTTCAACAGTTGACGTTGTCGAGCATGTCAGAATTACGGCAAGGTCCTGGAGCTCGGCCCCCATTCATAGTGCACCGCCACACCTTTAATTATTAGTTAGTCATCACATCAAGGCAAGGAAAGGTCTTGGATTTCTTCAGCCTTGCCCCTCTGTTCCCCACCTAGAATCTAGATGCCTACTACCATTTAACTGCAGCATTTCCACACCAACATTCATCCCTTTCAACCGGGCTGCAGTCTAGTTCGGGGCTGTGCGAAAGAAGCCTTTATCATGCCTGCGGTACGGCCTGCTTCCAAGCGGAAGGCTCCGCCGGAGGGCTTCAGCGATCTCGAAGAAGACCTCCTCATTTTCAGCAACCAGATGAAGGACGCCCAAAACACTCCCACTGATAACGCTCCCAAGCACCAGGCGCAGTGGCCGGTGTTCCAGATCTCGCATAGGCGCAGTCGGTACATATATGAGCTTTACTATGAGAAGGAGGCTATCAGCAAGCAACTTTACGAGTGGCTCTTGAAGAACGGCTACGCGGACGCCATGTTGATCGCGAAGTGGAAGAAACAGGGTTATGAGAAGGTCAGTAATCCGATATCTGTTCCCCGAAGTTATGGGCCTCTGTGCTGATGTTTTTCTCTAGCTTTGCTGTCTTAGATGTGTCCAGACGAAGGAGACAAACTTCAACTCGACCTGCATCTGTCGGGTTCCCAGAGCGGAGCTCAAGAACGACCAGGACATCCAGTGCGTCAGCTGTGGCTGCAGAGGATGTGCCTCAAGCGATTAAAATGGACTTGGACGAATATATGGAGTTCTTGAGGCAATATCGGACAGTTTGTTCCCCGGATGGCGAGGGGGATGAGGTTGAGACTTGAGACCGGCCTGCATCGGAGTTATGGCGCTCTCGTTTGGGGGCATTTTTGCATGGGACCATGGAGCAAGACTCTCTATCCCCGTGGAAAAAATACCAGCATGTTATTGAGTAGGGTATTTGGGGCCGTCGTCAAACGACAAAATTCTGTATTCATAACCACCGGGTTTCCAGTTCCCCAAATTTTCAAGGCATTTCCCTCATGCTCATCAAGTCATGGTCATCAAAACGCTCCATCCCACGCTACCTTTTCTGGAAGCCAACTTTCCCCCTACCGCGGCCAAATCGGACACTCGTGGGGATGAACTGTAGTGCCGACATTGCTCCTGTCAGGTCGTCCATCTCAACGTCGCGACGGGCCCTTGCGTCGTCTCCCGCCCCCTGAGGCCTGACCGAGGATTCACCATCAGCCGAGGAACTTTCATCCGCCATCTCTGCGCCAATGAGGGACCTTCTGCGCGAGTCCTTCGTCGCGATGCTGGACCTCCGACGCCTGTGGCCACCCTCGAGTAACATTGACCGACGTCCCTCTATCCCATCTCTGGTGACTGCAAAGAAATAATTCTTCGGGTACATGTGCTTATCGATCAGGTGCATCCGTCGCTTCTGTGGCGTTCTGCATTTTCTCTCACAGCCTTCCACGAAGCAGGAGTACTGTTCGACATGTCAGGTCCTTTTTCGTAATCCTATTTCGTATATGTCGATTTTAACTCACCGTGTGCTCACCCTTTTCTCGTCTCACCGCAGAAAAGGCGTCATGACACTCCTCGTGGTGTAGGTCGAGGAGGTATTGTGAAGGGAAACTCTTTTTGCACTCGAGACATCTGTTCGTATGGGAAGTGTTATAATGAGTCTCAAACTCATCGTATGTCCTGAAAACGAGCACCTCCGTATGCGGAGGAAGGGAGCACCTCATCGCGACGCCGGAACGGGAGCTGTTCTCGGCTGGGTCAAGCCCAACGACTTTTGAGGCTGGCTGGCTGCCCTCTCGGCTCGCAGGTCCGAGATCACTAGTGGGAGTGTTTGGCTCTGCTTCTTCCTCGGGCTCGCGTGAGCGCTTCATCTTGATTCGGAAATAAGCTGGGGCAAGTTACTTTTTAAATGGTGGTTGTTTGAGTTCAATGGCTTGGATCTCGGCCGACAAGGTTAGCACTTGGCAGCTGTAACGATCGATGATGTCAGGCGCATGAGATGAGAGAGCCAGGTGTGATGGCGTGGGCTAGTGATTTCCGATTTTTGAGAATCGGGTTATTCAACCACGATCAACCAAGAAGATAGGTAAGTTAGGTAGGTGGGAAGACATTTGATACTCTCGACGAGTTTCAACTGCCTGGCTTGGTGAGGGGGCACAGGGTCCCATCCGCCTATAGTGTAGCCACATGTTGAGCGGTGTAAAGTGTAAGTGGGCATGGTGGGATGTGGGCTGCAGATTGTGCACGAACCATGAATTGTTTGTTTGAACCTAGCATGGCTTTGTCATTGGACGCCTTGCCTCCACACATCTTTTAGCTTTCTGGCATAGAGGGGCTGGACCCATTCTCCATTTAAACTTCACGACCGAAGTTACGAATAGCTTCTCCGGTTATCGCCTTGACACACAATCGCATCTTATTGATGAGAGTTTATGGCCATTGTATTTTTACTTTGTTCGGAAGCTTCCGGATATTCATATTCTTTCCGCAAATGTGTCCTTCACCAGCCGCAACAGCCGCATCCTCGTCCCTCTCGAGAAGCACCCTTCGCGTTGCTCGATCGATAAATAGCCCACCAAGTTATGGAGTCAAGTCGAAACCACAGATCTTCTTCAAATCCGTGTGAGCAAACTTCTTGACAAAGGCCCAGGCCGGAAGTTTCTTTCGCAAAGAACGACAACTTGGGCTCGCGCATACTGATCCTCGAAATCTTCGCATCGCAACGATGGTTGCAACCGCTAGCGAAGCCTGGGCGTACGTATACCTGCCATTTCCCCCTTGCCGATTGATCGCGTCGATTTTATTTTTATTTTCCGTACTCGTCCTGTGAGACCTGCGCCGTCTGGTACAGAGGCGACAACCCGCGTTTCCATCACATCCAAGGCGTGGGTGAAGACATCGCTAATTATCCTCGACAGTATCGCCCAGAGAATGCGCCGCGCAGTGCTCAAGGTCATCGATCAAATTGAGAAGTCAGGTGCCGATGGAAGTGGACTCGATCGCCTCAAGGACGTGGATAACCTGATGGCAAGGTGCGTGCTCAACCGTTGCGCCCAGCATTTCCCCCCTCCCCGTCACCTTCACTTTACTAAGACCCCTCTTAGCTACCGCCTGGCCTGCATCGAGACCCTGTGGTTTGATATTCAGTATGCCGCCGACGAGAAAGTCGAGGTCGCCCTTTGGCAGACCCATATCTTTCTGAACTCGACATATCGGAAGCTGCTGAACAAATTCACTCCGCAGCAGGTCGTGCTCAAGCGCAAGGTCGAGAAGCTCTACCTCGGCTACCTCAAAGTTTCCCAATTCTTCTACAAAGGCTACATGCAGCGCCTGTGCGCCCGCTATATCATGCCGGAGCTTCAGCGCATCGTCCAAGGTGCTGAGCTGGACAGGATGTCGATCCCGGAGGAGGATCGTATCGATCCAGTTGCAGCTGGAATCCGCCATCCTGTCATCTCTTCGTGCCACCTTACCCTCACGTACATGGGGGACCTCTCCAGATATCGGAGTCTCGTCCGACCCCATGGCCGCAACTTTGAGAGCTCCCTCACCTACTATAGCCTTGCTAACGACCTGATGCCGGACTCGGGATATGGCTACCATCAGATGGGCCTGATTTTCCTCGAGCAGAAAAAGCATGTGGAGATTGTCTACCATTTCTACCGCGCTCTGGCCGCTGCGAAACCGCACCCCAATGCCAAGAGTAACCTTGACGTAGAGTTCCGAGACCTTCTCCGTCCGGCCACGCCGAGGGCTCACAGTCCTTTCGATGCTTTCACGGCCTGGTTTGTCCGGCTCCACGCTTACTTCCACCGAGGAGAGGACTTCACCCAACGTGCCGAACTGGAGGAAGAAGTCCTTCACCGCTTTAGAATGGCCTTGAAGGCTGATGATTTCGGCCCAACTCTGCTGAAGATGGTTCTGATCAATATCTGCGCCTATCAAGTCGCCGAGGAGAAGATCAAGGGTAAGATTGCCCCTCGTTTATTTTGGTTGTGCATCCTACTAATCCTTCGCAGCTGAATGGACAGCCACCGGCTCTCGGTCTTGCCAATTTGTCCTTGGCTTCAATGTTCGGACTATTCACGTCATTGCACGAGTCATCAGAGCGGAACTCGTGGATCTCATTAATCGGCAACCAGAGGTCGCAAATGATGAGGACGGAACCAGAGTTGCCGACGGCAGCCGCGACAAGTTCAGCACCGCACTTGGTGCCGGCCTACCACTCCTCCGTGTCTATATGACCTGGTTGTGTGCCTATAGCGCAGACATCGTACAGTTCCAGGCACACCTTGAGCCGCACGTTGGGGACATGTACAAGACTCTCAGCCAAGCCCTATCGGGTCTCTTTGAGCTGCTCGACGACAGTACGAACGTCGGTACGACGGCGCCGTATCTCCTTCCAGAAGACATTCAGACTCTTGGCTTGAAGTGCCTTGACGACCCTGGCCTCCCTGCTGCTTGCCGGCTGTGCATCGACCCCTTCAAGCGCACCCAGAAGCCGCGGGCCGAAGAGTTGGGCAGACTGAACATCAAACCCGATGATGTCTCTTTCACTCGAGCCCTGGACATTGTCGCCTGCGCCATGGCTTTGGCGGAAGACGCTGTGTTCCCCTTCGCCATGTCCCAGGTCAATAAGGGGTCTCGCGAGCTGACGCAGGTCATCTTTCTGGAGGAGGGGAAGACAGGAACAATTGGCGGTGGTCATATGGGAGTTTCCGACCCCGGCGACCCTGAACCAGCCATTGGAGACTTGGCTACTATGCTCAGCAAACTTCAGGCATCGCCCATTACGGCAGGTATGGAATCGGTCCCTCGTGGCACCTCTATCGACGCTGGTGAGGAACGGGCTGTTTCCGGTACACGTTCCAAGACTGCTGCTGCCGTGCATACGGCGCAGCACTTACCTGGTTCTGCCCAGGATGCGGCAAGTTCTCTTCCTCAGATGGCCACGGACACCGAGTACGCCATGGACAGCCAATTGTATGGCATTGTCAATGACTTCCTCGCGCCCCCGGAGTCCCACTCACAGGAAGGCTCTCGTGGAAAAGACGAGACCTCATACGGCATGCATTCTGAAACTGCCAAAGAGGTTTTCGGTTCAATGGCTGCGGCAGTCAGCCCGGGTCCCGGCTCGGGTACGAAGAAGTCGTTCCCCAGTCTTCCCTGGGGTTACTTCTACACGCCCACTCCGCAGAAGTCTGGTCCGCCAGAAGGAGCTTCGCAGCATGCCTGGGATGACGCTCCTCCGCTCCGCCGCGGAAAGTCAACAGCACATGGCGTCACGATTCAAGGATTTGAGGGCCTAGAGGACCCGTTTACTCTGGCCAAGGAACGTTACACATCAATGGCGTCGGCCTCTGGTGAACAACGGGCTGCGCCAGAACAGGCAGCCCATCATGGACTCGGAACACAAGGGCTCATTTTCAAAGATGGATCTCGCCAGAGCCTTGCTGGGGCCGGCTCAAGCAGTGCCTGGAATTCTGGTGCGGGTTGGAACTACCAGGGAACACATATGCCTGGACAGTTCAGCCTTGCAGGCCAGCCTCGACCAGCATCGGTTCAGGCTCTCAGGCACATGCATGATGCCATGGCACCAGTGGGTGCCCCGTTCTCATCTTTGACATTCTCGGCGACCACTTCGAGCTTGCCTCCTGTCAACAGTCCCTGGGGCCTTCCGCAAAATCCTCATGGCAACGCCAACCAGTCTAATGGCTTCGCCGCTTCTGATATGCCACAGTATGGGCCACATGCGGGTCTATATTCTCAATCAAGCAATGCGACCCAATCCTCTGGTTATCCTAACGGCCATGGCTACAATGCCCCAGCGCCGTACGGACATGGTCAGTTCCCAGGCCAGAATGACCCGGACTGCTTGAAGCACTTTGCGAAGGGAGCCGCGCTGGGTGACTCGGTGGCCGAATCTGAAGCTCGCGATTGGCGGACTCTGTATAGTGCTCTTGAGGAGGATTACAACAAGCTCAAGCGCTGAAGCCACTCTTTCTCAGCTGGGTGGGCTCAGACCACCCCAGTGCTCTCTGTTCTGCCAAGGTAATCCTCCCTGCCGGATTAACTGCGAGGAGATTGCGGTGCCAGGAGACGTTGCGAGTTAAGGCACAATGTCACCGGAACCTGTCCGAGTATCACTTCATCATTTGATTTTGTTCTCGTCTTTTTCTTCGCGACAATACGCACAATTACGGAAAACCCGCCAGATTGCTGTGGAGGATTTCAGAACCCATGTGCGGGGCCCTGGGGGAATCATGAAGTTGAATTTCGACTCAATACGAGATCTCCCTCGACCAAATGGACAAAACCTTCCGTTGTTGAAACCTTGCTTTGCATTTCCCCCTATATCCTTAGAACGCCTGACCTGCTGAACAGATGGGATGGACATCGCTTCCGGAAACCTCTAGTTCGAGGTGGGTTGATAGGTCTGCTTGGGGAATGGGTACCTTGTACAACGTCAATATTGGTGTATTCATATGATGAAGCTGAGACAGCTCGTCAAGGGGGATGTGTTGGGGGGCTCGGGGGGGGAAGAAGGATGGCCCCCGTAGCTAGCTAGCTAGGGCTTGGCACAACAAGCCGTAACCCGATTCTTCTTTGAGAAGAAGGAAGAAAATCGAGACAGAGAAACAGTCTTTTGTGACAACCAAACGAAACAAGGAAACATGCGGTGATGATGGGTGGTGAAAAAAAAAAAAAAAAAAAAAAAAAAAAACTTACGAAGGTCCCAACTCCTTGATGCTCAACTTTGCCAGCCACTGGCCCATGTCGACGGCGTCGGCAAGGGACCGGCCCTGGATGATGCCGGCGCAGAAGCCGCCGGCGAAGGCGTCGCCGGCGCCGGTGGTGTCGTTGATCTCCTCCTTGGCGATGGGGTGGACGGCGAACTCGCGGACCCCGTCCTCGCCCTGGACGGCGACGATGGTGGGCTCGGTGCCCTGGGTGATGACGGCGACGCGCTTGCGGGCCGGGTTGGCCTTGGGCAGGTCGGCGAGGGCGCGGGCAATCTGGCGCACGTCGGTGGTGCCCAGGCCGTGCGACTCGGCGTAGGCGGCGGCCTCGGTCTCGTTGCCGATCACGTAGTCCCAGTAGGGGGCGCTCGCGTCGAGGGGCTCCTTGAAGAACTGCGGGATGAAGGGCGCGGATAGGGAGAGGATGAAGGGCTTGTTGCCCGCGGCGGCTTGCTTGCAGAGTTCCATGATGGCGGGCGGGCAGACTGTCGGGGGAAGGGGGTCAAGTTAGTTGTGTTCTTGGTTTCTCAAGGACTGGCATATATATCCTCCTTCCGCGTCCTCACCCTCCCTTCGGCCAATTGGGAGAGGGGGAAGAAGGGGGATAGGGTTGTCTTCTCTTTCCCGTGGCGTTTGTCACTCACCGGTGAAGTGGTAGCCGCCCACATAGTACGCCTCGGCACCCTCGACCAGGGCCCACACCTCGGGCTTCTTCAGGTGTTCGAGGTCGTAGTGGTTGGCGGCGCCGAGCTCGGTGCACATGCTCCGGTTGTGGCCGGTGATGACGACGCCGCAGCGGCCGGTGGGCACGGCGGGGTCGACGCGGTACTCGACGCGCAGGCCGACCTGCTTGACGGCGTCGTGCAGGATGGCGGCGTACTTGTCGTCACCGACGCCGCCGGCGAAGACGACGCTGTTGGGCGGGAGCATGTACTGGGCGCCCCGGGCCGTGTTCTGCGCTGCGCCGCCGGCGATCAGCTTGGCGTCGTAGTTGTTGAGCAGGTCTTCGAAGATGCCCTGGTGTTTGTCCTCGGCGAGGATGGCATCGTTGGCCTTCAGGCCATACTTCTCGAGTAGGGCCTCGTTGCCGAAGGCCTGGATGTCTGGTGGTGAGGGGAGGGCGGTCAGCAAGGGATGGGAGTTTGGGTTGTCATTGTTGGAAGCAGCGGTGAGTCTTACCGAGGAGAGGGTTCTCCAGGCAGAAGAGACGGTACTCCTTAGTGGCAGCCATCTTGCTCAATTGATCTCTTTTGGCAGTTGCTGAGCTTGAATATCTCTGTTGCTGGCGGGGTTTAGATGTGAAAAGTGCCTTGGTGGGGTTGGCCTTGGTCGGGGTGAAGTCGGAGGTGGGGGGTCTGACATGCAGGAATGAGCCACCGAAACTCCGAAGTTGCCCATGTTGTACGAGAGGGCGTGCTAGGCCTCTGCCGATGGTACTAACAAGCACCCCATGGCAGGAGATTGGCTTCAGCATGTTGAGATGCTCGGATAGCTAGGTAAGGTGGCTTACCAGCGTTGATGGAGGTTGTAGCCTGGACTGCGTGGGCGTGCTTTTGGGGTTGCAAACAGGTGATTTCACACAACCGACAGCTGTAAGAGCACCCAACTTAATCGGCAAAGTAGGGGGCCCAAAACTACAATGATTTTGTCTCATATCCGTATTTATTCGTTACATTTACTCCTGTTACTATGGTTTTCCTTCCAACGAGGTTACTTTAATAGATACCTACTTAGATGTGTAGTACGAGTTGTTGACTTCCAACTGTTGGAGCCTTCGAGCAGCGTTTTGCCGACTTCTTTGGCACTGTTACGTAACTCCTTGTATGTTGGACAGCCTTGTTTCTTGTGGAGGGGTTGAGCCTGAACAACGCATGGCAATATCTAGATACCTACCTAGGTACCTTACACTCCGTTTCGTTCTTTCATGTTAGATTTCTGTGGCGGCATCCGCCCTTGAGCTCCGCTATTTGCCGATCTCCCTAGCTACATAACTTGGGGTTTGCATTTTGACACTAGAGTCTCAGCAACTCTTGCCAGTTAAGGACTCTTAGGAGCGGATATCGAGCTGCAGAGGCGTCGCAGTTCCTGGGGACGAGGACCTGGAAGAGAGAGGGAAATAGGTGGCAGGCTCCCATGCAACATGTAAGGGCAGTCTCCAGTGCAGTGTTAATCTAGGTGGTATCGTCCACTGTGGTTTAATAACTAAGTGTTCGTGAGTTGCTCTGTATCGCTTCGCTCCTGACTCTCACTTCTCGGACCGGGCATCATTCTTCCTCTTCTCCTCCCTGTACTCGGCCAGATGCTCCATTTTCCTCTTCGCGAATTCTGCCATGTCGGCACGCAGCTCCTTGTCTAATTCCACCTGGCCAGAAACGTATGGATGCAGTGCCCTATGGTAGATGAAGTCGAGATCCAGGCTATTTCTCGAGGCGTAGTTAAACCAAAAACGCCCCGTAGCCCACGAATCACGCATCTGGGCTGAGAGACGTGGATCATTGGATGATGGCGATCTCTCCTCTGCCCACTCTACTGCCTGAATGAACTGCTCCATCCTAGGCACAAAGAGCTCCATAAACTCGTCCTGTTTGTTGCCCTCAAACCAGTCACTTGATGGTGCCAACAACAGCCACCAGGGCGGATCTTGTGCAAACTGGGCTGGCATTGCGTTTGTGAACTCAAAGTCGATCACAGCAGTAATGCGGAGCGTCTCAGGATCAGCAAGCATGTTGGAGAGCCGCAAATCGTCGCAGAAGAGCATGAATAAGCTGGTATTATCGACACAGTGCTTTGGATTCAGCTTTTTGAAGAAGCAGCGGGCGCTGAACCGCCATTGGGCGTCTGTCTTAGAGGTAGCAACATTTCGATGGGTCTCGAGATGCGTCAAGTGCTCGTTTGCAATTGCCGTAAAAGAGTCGCTTGCGCAGTCAAATGGTGTAGTTGGGAATGCATCAACAGGGTAGCCTGCAACTGTCACCAGCTCGTTCATGTTGTATGTGAGAGGCCTGCCACTAACAGCCCATCCGCCTGACTTAGAGTGCTTAGAGATGGCTCCAATACGAGGGAATGTAAGCTGAGAAAGCTGAAGCATGTAGTCGGCAATTTAGTTATAGACCAATTGGAGCTTTGCTTCGTCGATTTCTGGGTCGAGGATTATATCCTGCTCGTCATTCTCTGTCGGTTGCTTTAGAAGACTAGCCAGACAATCCCCTTCGGCGAAATCCATAATGATGAAAGGCCCGAGTTGCTGTGGGCTCTCTTCAGCAAAACCCCAGGAGAGCACACGAGGGACGGGGATGGTGGTTTGTTCACGAAGATAGTCGATAACCATCGCCTCATTCGCGACCTTTTCAGCCCTCACGGTTCATATATGCGCCCCGGGATAGGGAAGCGAATGAGAGCACGATTTCCGTTGCCGCAATGTTCGATGACGGCACTGAGGTTAAACGATCCCTTCAGCCATTCCTTGTACTTTCCGGCTCCGCCCCAGCCCAGGCGGTGGTCAACAAAGGCCGCGATTTCAGGCTCTGCGCCGAGGAATTTGCTGTAGAATGCATTGCGTTCAGCGTCGTTGGTTGCCACAGCTATGGCATCCCAGGATGTCATATCCACGCCTGAGTTTGGTGAACTGGTAGCCTGGGTATGAATGATGTTGTCTGGAAACAGATGGTGGTGCGAGGACCTTGTGAAGCGGACTGAATATGTACAAGTATCCGTACACATATCGTTTAAGGACGCCTGGGTGGGGTTCTATACACACCTCCAGCGAAACGCACCTGGTCAACAATCCAGGGGTTGCCTGCACCAACCAACTTACCATGACTGGTGGGAAACGCCCATGCACAGCACTGCTGTCCTCCACGGTTGGAAATGAGATCAAAGGGGTTAAGAATAGCCACACCCGCCCACCTTCCCACGTTGATGAGTGAGGCCGTCACGTTTTGGGGATGGGAGACGCCGGGGTCGTCGCGAGGATTGAAATGACGGAGGAGTAACTGAGACGGAGCGCTGGGGCCGCTGTACGAGAAACGGTCGGCACACTTTGGATCAGGAGGGCTTATCACGGCGCCTTGGAAGATTACTCAAGTCAGGTACGTACAACCCATTCGGAACTGCCAGAGGGCCACAATTCGTAGAACCGTAAACGTCGTCGAATTTGGGAATCTTTTTTTGTATTCCTTTGCGGCCAGAGCACTGGCAAGGGAAGCATGCTTTCCTCCTGCCTCCGCAGTACCGTACCTACAAAGCAAAGACCAATGCAATCCGATGAACCCCAGCCCAGCATGTCGAACCTTGAAAGCCTTAATCCTTCGTCTTCTGGGTACCGCGCAACAGACCAGTTCTTCTCGCAGCAATAAGACCCGCCTTCTGACCGGGGACAGCGTACCTCGAAATCGTGGAGGCCTTGCCGATATGTTGATGGTTACCCTGGAGAGCGTTGTCAGATCATGCAAGTCTTTGTCTGTCAAAAGGCCGTTACTTACACCACCGTGAGGATGGTCAACGGGGTTCATAGCAACACCACGAGTCTTGGGCCAGCTGTTGCGCTTGACGGCGAACTTATGCTTCGCACGGGACGCCTCTGTAGTCGCTTGTAAGCCTCACGTCCCGAATTTCCAAATCGGGATCATCAACGTACTGAGGAGGGGCTTGTCTGTCCGGCCACCACCAGCAACAATACCAATCATGCCTCGCGCCTGGTTGCTCACAACCTTCTTCGCGCCAGAGGGCAGCTTGATTCTGGTCTTGCCCTCGTCGGGGTTGTGGCCAATGATGGTCACATAGTTGCCAGAAGTACGGCCGAGAGCGCCTCGGTCACCGGCCTTCTCCTCCACGTTTGTCACAACGGTACCTTCGGGGATGGAAGACAGCGGCAGGATGTTGCCGACGGTCAGGTTTGCCTTCTTTCCGGCGTAGATGAATTGGCCAGTGTACATTCCCTCGTTGGCGATGAAGAACTCGGTGTGCTTCTTGAACCGGTAGGAATCCCGGAACTGGACTCGGGCAAGAGGTGCTCCTCGGCCGGGCTCGTGGAGGATATCCTTCACGACACCTCGGACGTATCCATGTCGCTCTGCGAAATCCAGTGACCGGAACTTGGCGGGAGCGATGCGGAGGCGAGTGTGAGACTTGAAGATGCTGCCAGCACCCTTTCGCTGGTTTCGAATCTACGAGGCGATTGGGGTTAGCTTGAGGTTCGTCACTCTGTGAGCCTCTTCGGATCCTCGCCGACAAGGCGACCTCAGGGCATCGTATAATTCCCAGCTGCAATACTGGAGCAGAACGAGACGGGTAATTACTCACAACGCGACCCATCTTGCCTTCCCCTTGCGAAGTTGGAAGTTACGGATGGGGAGCTGTTCGTTTGGGTGTTGAAGAGGATCGAAAAAGTGACCTTGACGACGATTTTGAAATTTCGGGTCCCGGAAATCCAGGTTGTGGGCACGCACAGCAAGAGCCACAGGGAAGCGACTGCCCTAGCGGGGCTTTCCCCAATCCGGCCTAGTTGTGGCAGAGAAGAAATGGGCCTTTCACGTGATCTGTATCGTACATGACCCACCGTGTCACCTTACTATAGTACATATATACCTGTCAACACGGTCTTTCAATGTCGACATCAGGCTGGTGGACTCCTAATTTCTTGCAACTGATCGATAATTCAGTAGCCGGAGTGGCCTTCAGTGACTAATTTATTTCCCTTTCTACTGTCTAACTTAATTGCTCTGCCTCTCGTCTGGGCGAACGATCCGGGGAATAGACAATTCATAGCAGGCTCCAACACAGTCCAACACGCCTCGAGTATAAACTGACACACTGTGCACGTGCTGGCTTAATTTTCGCCGCACATGCTCCCTCCGCCCAGGCGCCCACCTCAGAGAACAACACATTCGCGTCCAATCCCCCACCTGCCACAATATCATCGCGATCAGTGCCCAAACATCAAGTAGGCAGTATCAACCGGTTCCTTGATCACCCTGGATTACAATAGGTCCTTTAGTTGGCCGCTGTTCACGAGATCAGGGCCTGAACATGGCCCTGTCGCTGTCTGTTGCTCTTGACGGTATTGCGAGACCCAGCAACATATATTTGCCTTGAAACCCGTTCTTGACAGCTCTTAGCTCTTGAGTGCGGGCAAGGTAAGTGGAATCGCATACTTACGGCGGCCCTTTTTGCCGCTATAATGCAAAATTTGATCAAGTGATCAAGACCATCTTTGCGGTGTGAAAGCCGACATTCAGCGTGGAATTGGCGCGATGTAGTCTGTTTTGGTCCCAAAAGTATCCCTGCGGGAGTCTGCGAGCGCAGGCATGCCTTGGGGATGCGCTGGCTGGGTTTGGGTGCGTTTTCGTTGGAGTCCCCCAAGGCGAGGCGGGACCACTCGTCAAACAGATCGAAAGTTGCAACCGTGCTTGCAAAAAGATTTTTGCCCCAAGGACCCGAACCTAGGCCTTCATATTTTCGAAGAATTTGGCCGAGGTTTTTGGTCTCAGCCCCCTTTGAGCTTGACGGACCACGCCTCGATACAAAACCCATTCCCAGCATTGGTCATGTGACTGATGATGTCTGGATCATCATGAAAGGGCGACAGTTCTGGGAGAAAGGTCCATCTGCACCTGCTGGATGCTCTTACACGCATGTTGGTTGTGCTTGGTCATGCCCAATACAAGTGTCAGGTCTTCCAGAGACAGTGGACAAGGGGCCTTTTTTGATGTGTCGCTTTCCGAGATAATATGGCAGTCGGAGTACACCTGCTTTATCGAACTGAATTGCCCACCGAAGCTGATCGCTCCGAACCTGCTACTGCACGAAGAAGGAGTTGAGTTTTTGGAGGAAGCGCGGGGGAGAAAGTGTGGGATATGGATTGGAAAGAGAGGCTCTGTTGGGGAATACCAGCGTAAGAATAGCCGGGTTTTTGGTCGGCATGGCTGCCTTTCGATGAGCCGGGAAGAGACAGACGACATGAATGAAGCCGACCATGGTGACAAACGGGGCCTCTTGTGAATAGGTAGGTAGGGGTTGGGAGCCCGAAGCGGCCAGAGGCTGCGGGAATAGACGGCGAGCCGCCTTGTGAAATATATATCTATTTGGACCTATCACGTTCCCTGCCCCATATTCTCTGAGCTCTGAGTGTCCGGCTCTTGGGTGCCATAGATTTTGGTGCGCGGCCAATTTTTTGCGGGAGTAGATAGCTCACACCCACCTTACCACCTCCCTCAACTTTCATCATTCTTCGCCTCCCACCTTGTCTCTGCAACCAACATCATCGAGCAGACGCAACGCCGTATCAGCCCAACATGGCGGATGATGATTCTTCTGACTTGTCATCTATTTCTTCTCTGTCTGCTCCTCCTTCCAGCGATGAGTCAGATATCCAATTGGAGCGTCGGCACGGTATCCTGAAGTTCTTCCACAAGGTCGACAGGAACCCGGAGCTGGAGCCCAAAGAAGCCACGCCCCCCCGGCCCAAGAGAGAGCCCTCCCCTCCTCACGAATATGTTCTAGCCGATAATCCAGATATCGCCGTACGTGTTTCTGCCTTTCGTCGCGTCTCGGATCGATCGTGGCACGAAAGTTCGCGTTGCAACCCGGACGAACCTGTACTCACTAAAGCCCTACCTAGTTCATCATCATGTTTCGCGCCCGCTTTACCGAAGCCCTACCGAAAAGCCTTGCGAACTTCGGCCCCCAAGAACTTGAACGTGACGTGGTTGAGACTGTCCCTGGGGAACGCGTCGAGCAGTTCTTGTGCGCGTTGTTGGGACTGCTGCTGAACCGGAAGCAAGACGTCAAGTATGCCCTCCATACCCGAACACGCCTTACGAGCAATGGCAATGCTGACGTATCGGAACCAACAGACCCGGACACTATAATCGCGCGCTCGAAGAGGCTATACAGACACACAAGGCTCAATGGGCGAAGAACTGGGAGCACAAGAACCCCCTTGCGGGAGGAGCAACCTTCGGTTCCATGACTCCAGTTCAACGGGTACGGCATCACCATGTTATGCTCCTGTACCCCGACTCTTGTCGCTAATGCTTGGTTATAGTTGACGCTCTTACGGACTCTCGTTCTCTGGACCCTCTCGTCGTCAGACACGGTTAAGGCATACGTGAACCAGCACTACAAGTCGCGGCAAGAAGAAGATCTCAACATCTCAATCTCTGTCCAACCATGGGGATCAGACGGAGACAAGCGAAGATACTACTTAATCGAGGGCAATGACGATACATCCTTTCGGGTATACCGGGAAAGCAACCCTGCTGGGGTGAATAGGACATGGTGGAACGTGGCAGGTACCATCGACGAGCTCAAGACCCTTGCCGAGAAGCTCGAGAGGACCGATGGAGGCCCAAAGGCGAGAGCCCTGGCAAAGAGGATCATCAATAGCATCCCTCGGTTTGAGGCTACGGAAGAGGTATGTCGAGAGGTTTGCCATGAGGAATAAGTCCGTGACGTATCTAACTCGATCGCCAGAAACGACGACGCCGCGAATACCGACAAATGCGGAAGCAGCAATTTAAGCGCCCAGAGCCAGGGTTCTCTCTCTACGAAGGTCGTACGAGGGGTAAGCGGATGAAGTATACCTACTCCGACGACGAGGATGATTTCCTCACCGACTCGACGACGAGACGCTCGACTCGCAATACCAGAAACCACACCCCGGCTGAACCTGCAGGTCCAGTTGTCACGGCAAGTGGACGACAGATCCGGGCACCAACTCGGCTTAATGTCGAGACGGTCAGCAACGGCGCACCGAGTGCTTCTGGAAGCGTCCAAGGAGATGCTCATCTCGAGGATGTCAACATGGATGAAGGGGACTCGGTCGGACCGACCGGGAGACCCCGGCGATCTGCTGCCCTGAAGCATGGCTTGAACGGCTGGCCTTCCAAGAAGAGGAAGAGCGAGGAGTACGAGTCGGACGAGGACGAAGAAGGCAGCGAGCCAGACTTTGGAGATGACGAAGAAGAGGAAGAGCACGTTCCTGACGAGTCTGACGAAGATGAAGAGGAATTTGAGGAGGATGTAGATGTGGACGACGACCTAGACGACGATGCGGCCAAGCCCCAGCTCATCATCAAGCTACCTATCAAGGCTGCGGTTGATACCGACGGCAGAGCAAGGATTGTCCCTGGAACGCCTCTCTCGGCCGAGAGACCCAAGAGTTCTCGACCTGTACACCGGAACGTAATTGTTTCCGACGAGTCGGAGTCAACAGAAGGGCCGGATTCCAAGGCTACGACGGTCAACGAACCCGAGGAGAAGGCGGCCGAGGTCATCTCAGTTGCTGTCAAGGGGACCAAGCATGCGACAGATATGCACGCGACTGATTCTTCCATAACCGCTGCCACCACCCCTCTGACCCCGTCGCGTGGACAACCCACTTCCCTCGCTTTTAGAGAAAGCCCGGAGAAACCACCACCTGTACCACGACCTATCGATGTCGGGGGCGGAGAGTAGGCTACTCGACGCCGTGGCATCACTTCCAGCTGTATGTGGGCAAGTTTAATGCAAAAGGGGTCTTATGGTCGAGAGGGCCTGGCAATCTGATTTAGCGGCTAGTGTGTGCGAGACTTTAGGAGCAGCGGAATGGTTTCGTGTGGCTTCTAGAGCAATGATCTATCATGATCGACCTGTATGAAGGACAATGGGGGTTTAATTCCCACACCGGCTCTAGGTAGCTTTTGATCCCCCATATCACAATTACAATGACAATGACAGTGACGCAAATAATATGCCACGCCTCGCCTTAAATCTGAAAAGGCTAGGTAGGTGTGGTATATCTGCCAGACCCAACGCCTTCGTAGTGTTGGTTGCCAGCTCGACGACCTTGCCATTACCGCCGCACAGCCCTCGATGTCCCAGACGATATCGGCCAGTTGTTGACGCCCCACCACCATCTCCTTACTTTGGCCCCGACGGTGTTGCCGCTCAGGCGGGCATTCCTATTCCAATACTGCCATCCACATATCCCGAGATTGTATATTATGCCTTGAGCAAACGGCATCATAACCTGGATATCGTTAGCGGATTGTGACGACGGGTAGTAGCCTCCGTTTGCCCACCTGGTCCCGCGTTGTGATCCACGCTATCCTCCACCAGCTGCTTGCCTGGGAAATGCTGTGTAGGTAGCTCTGCTCGAAGCGGAGATCTGGTAGAGGGGGCAGATGGGAGGTCCGTCGCTTCGGCCTCACCACGCTATAGGGGATTTCATCCTCGTCCTCATCACCCTCGTCAATCCCCTCGTCGTGAAGGTCGCTGATGGGATGTTCTTCGAGTGTGACAGGCTCTTTCCTCGATGCAGCTGTCGAGGGGTTGATATCGTGCTGGGACGAAGGATCCCGGTTGATGTGTGCGGTCTGGATTGTCTCTGCAATCTGCAGAGGAATGGAAGATGCCATCCTGGCTCTGTTCTGGCTCTGGCTTGCCAAAGGCTCTAAATAAATAAGATCCGTATAGCTCGAGGGATGGCAATGGAGTTGGTTGATGCGGTCAAGTGCTGTTTGCGACAAGGAGCTATCTCGATCGTCATTGGCCGGGCAGCATCGGCCATTCAAACAAGGCCGAACTTCGGGGCTGTGGCTAAGCTTTTTGCCTTCGGGGCAGAATTTCGGCGCCAATGACGGTTCGCCTGTGGATCATTACAAGGAACGAAAAAAGGACTCACCCACCATTATTCAGGTCGGATTCCAGCCCCTCCCTCCCACAACCCCCCCATTCTCCACGAAAAACAATTCCCCCTCCGCCCCCCCTTCCGAAACACAACATCGGTCCTGTGTGAAGGAGGAGCGACAGCAGAGAGAATCCATCCTTACACTCTCCGGTCGCGTCTAGTTCCACCTGCCCAACATGAGTGACGCGCAGGCAAGCGAGGCGGAGAAGAACGTGAGTTTCCCTGTTTCCCGTAGGACAGGCAGCACCAGCAGGCTAACGTGGCAACGCTCGACAGATTGAGATATGGAAGGTGAAGAAGCTGATCAAGCGGCTTGAAGCTGCTCGAGGAAACGGAACCAGCATGATCTCTTTGATTATCCGTATGCGAAGCCCTTTGCCGAGGATCTGCCAGTGGCACAACGCTAACTTTGACCAGCGCCCAAGGATCAAGTCTCTCGAGCTGCGAAGATGTTGGCTGAAGAATACGTGAGTCTGCCTACGAACTCGCCATGAGAAATTCACCGAAGACGGGATCTGACGGTGGTCTGCAGGGTACCGCCTCCAACATCAAGTCGCGTGTCAACCGGCAGTCTGTGCTCTCCGCCATCACGTCCACCCAGCAGAGGCTCAAGCTGTACAACAAGGTCCCGCCCAATGGACTTGTCGTCTACTGTGGCGAAATCTTGACTTCCGAAGGCAAGGAGAGAAAGGTCAACATCGACTTCGAGCCCTTCAAGCCCATCAACACGTCCCTCTACCTCTGCGACAACAAGTTCCACACCGAGGCGCTAGCCGAGCTACTCGAGTCGGACCAGAAGTTCGGGTTCATTATTATGGACGGTAACGGCGCCCTGTTTGGCACCCTGAGCGGCAATACCCGAGACGTCGTCCACAAGTTCTCGGTCGATCTACCCAAGAAGCACGGTCGTGGTGGTCAATCTGCTCTTCGTTTCGCCCGTCTCCGTGAAGAGAAACGGCACAACTACGTCCGCAAGGTTTCTGAGCTTGCGGTCCAGAACTTCATCACCAACGACAAGGTCAACGTTGCGGGCATCATCTTGGCAGGGTCTGCGGATTTCAAGAACGATCTCAACGCGTCCGACATGTTCGACAACCGTCTACAAACCAAGGTCATCAAGGTCGTGGACGTCTCATACGGCGGCGAGAACGGCTTCAACCAGGCCATTGAACTGTCGTCCGAGACTCTGGGCAACGTCAAGTTTATTCAAGAGAAGAAGCTGATTGGCAAGTACTTCGACGAGATCAGCCAGGACACGGGCCGTGTTTGTTACGGTATCGAAGACACTCTCAAGGCACTGGAACTCGGCGCTGTCGAGACCCTCATTGTCTTCGAAAACCTCGAGATTAACCGCTGGGTGCTCAAGGATTCTGCAGGCGCCGAGATTATTCTTCACACCACCAAGCAACAGGAGGCTAGCAACCGAGACAAGTTCATGGACAAAGAAACCGGCCAGGAGATGGAGATTGTCTCTCAGGAGTCCTTCCTAGAATGGATTGCCGAGCACTACAAAGACTTTGGAACAACTCTTGAGTTTGTGTCAGATCGGTCTACCGAGGGCAACCAGTTCGTCAAAGGCTTCGGTGGAATTGGCGGCATCCTTCGGTACAAGGTCAACTTCGAGCAGCTAGCTGACCTGGACGACGATGATGATTACTACGACGGTAAGATAGCCGGGTGGCAACCCTTGGGGGGCCCACAAACGCTAACTTAGCCTGTAGATTGACAGTTTGAATCCCTCGTTGACAACGAGGGACCAAGCGCTCAAGTAACCCCGTCGAAGCGGGCATCTGGTGATGATCCACCGCCACGCCAGCGCAGCTCGCCGAGAACGTCGCTGGCTGAGCGTCGACTGATGAAAGGCTTCGATTCATCTCACTGTCGGCCAAACCACCAGGTGTCCCGCCCCAGCCCGCTTCGCTCTGTGATGATGGCTTAATGACGGCATCTTGGGCTCGGGACAACGGAGTAGAAGGTATGTGCGAACATTGACGGGTTACCCTTCGGTGCGGTTGACTAACGTGATCAGCAGATCCTGTGAGGACGGGACGAGAAGTCGAAAGGCCAACAACCAGTGGTTCCACGCAGGGCGGCTTCATCTACGCATACTGCGGCAAGATGTAGAGCCTGGGGATGATGCAGGTCAAGGACAAGGCACTGCCACCATCGCTCTTGGGGAACTGAGCGCGAGACCAATGAATGATCCATAGTCCATATTATGCATTGGGCACACCTGTTATCATCCTTGAGACGTCTCCCGCTCGTTTAGACTTCAGTTCAATAAATTGCCCCTGAGTGTAGACTAGTATGTTGCTTAGACATCACCACGCTCATTATACAGCCACGATCTTTACTTCTACCTGTATTACTTGCTCCCCTGCTTTCTGGTAGTAGCTGTATGTCACCTCCGGCTGAATCGTCCATATAGACTGTGTGTCGGGGAATAGAGCATTTAGTCGTCAACCTGGGTATAATGTTATGGTATCAAAGACTTTTCATGAATTTCATTTTCCATATCCGAAAATCACTTCCTCTGGTTCGACCAGCTACCCAACCATCTCCAGCTATGTGCCACTTTAGCTACATCTTCCAACGCGCCGTTCACCCTGCCATCCGGGTCTGCCAACTTGCTGCCCTCGAACTCCACAAAGAACAGATATTGGAAGGGCTGTATGAGGCTCGGCAGGCTATTTATGCTGGTCAGGTCAAGTTGGAACCTCCTGAAGCAGTCCAGCACGTCTGCCAACGCGCCAGGGGACCGGGTAGGAACCGTGAACGAGACCAGGGACCTGTATCGCGGCGGCTGCTGGACCTCGGATCCTCCCGCCTCGGGCGCTTCTGGGCCCCTTCCACCGGCGGTCTCGTCGCCGCACGTCAGCTTGTCCGGCAACGACGGCCCCGGCCCCACGCCCCTCTGGACAACGAAGAAGCGCGTGGTGTTGTTCTCGTGGTCCTCGATGCACCTCGCCAGGACGTCCAGGCCGTTGGCCTCGGCGGCGATCTCCCCCGCGATGGCGGCGCTGGCGCCAGACTCGTCCCGCGCGGCCAGCTCGGCGGCCCTGCTGGTGCTGCTCACGTCGACGGCGTCGACCCCGCGCAGGTACGTCGACAGGAACGCGCCCGTCTGCCCGAACGCCTGCGGGTGCGAGTAGACGCGCCGCACGTGCCGCAGGTCGCTCAGCGGCCGGGCTCGCGGCCGCTGAGGGTCAGGCTGCGAGGGCGTCGGCGTCGACGTCCCCGGCGACAGGAGGGCGGGGTCGTCGTCGGCGCCGGCGCCGGCGCCGGCGGGCTGCCCGCGCCGGCCCAGGAGGAAGTGGTGCACGTCCAGGTAAATCTCGCCGCAGACGTGGATGGAGCCGTAGGCGCCGCGCCGGTCCGCGAGGCAGTCGAGCGTGAACATGACGGGCCCGTGGGATGAGTTCTCAAAGGGAGCGACGCCATATGCGACTTCGCCTGACTGGACGACGTCGAAAATCTCTGTTCCGGGGGATTGCAGGAGAGGATCAGTGAGGTCCTCATAGAGACACTTCATGGGACGAACGACGACAATCTGTGAGATTAAAATACTCTTCTGCCCTATCTAACTAACCTTTGATCGTCCCCGTCGGGGTGAGCTCCCAGTCCGTTTCCGGGAAGGTCGCCTTAGTGGCCTATTTGCCCACACACATGGGAGGTCAGAAAGCCCAACTGGAGCCATCACGGGCTGACTTGGCATACCTGATGCGAGTAAGAGGCAACTGGCCCCAGAAAGGCAACTCGCGGCCGCTCGGGCCCTTGCCCAACAGGGGTATCTGAGGCCATCCCGGAATCAAATTTATTCACAAACGGCGCTATTGTCCCCGGTCAAGATATAATTGAAGATACCAGCCCCAAGTCATAGACAGGTTGAGGGAGAATGAAAACCCTCGACAGAGCTCGCTTCGGCACCAGTTATAATTATAATTTATGCCATTCCCAATCATAGTGCGCTGTACACAGGACTTAACCCAGGGGGTTTTCGGGGGTGGGCCGCAGAAGTCCGCTTAAGTAATCATACAGCCACATATACAGTACATCGATCGGATGGCTGTCCCAGATAAGATAAGGACCATAATTTATGAACTCCAGTGAACATAGACAAGTTCATCACTAGAGGGATCGAGAGTAACAGAGCAGTGTCTGTGCTAGACAAGTATCTTGCCATTGCAGCCAGGGCACCAGCTATAGCTGTTAGCCCAGCAGGAGAGCATCGTGTCTCCTCGCTAGATTTCAGGGATATCACAAGAAGGAAACCTCCAACCACCACAAAACAACCGTCTACCAGGGGTTAAGGACTTGGTAACGCGGAAAGGGGCTACCAGTCTACTTCATGACTTGAAAAAAGGCCGTCACGTCCACCAACTTGATTTGCCATCATGAAGTCCACCAACTTCCTGCGCAGCGCCGCTCCCTTCCGGGCGGATAAGTACCTCCAGGAGGCGAAGAAGGCCATCGCCAGCCGGCCGGCCAAGCCCATCTTCGACGTGCTCTCGCCCATGCCCTCGCACCTCCTGAACGTCAGCCTAGCAGAACACCTCCCGCGCCGCTGCCAGCCGGCCCATTTCGCCCGCCGCCTACAGGCCTACAACCACCAGTCCAAGCTCCTCGCCGACGCCGCGCGGGGCGGCGCGTCCCGCGCTCCCGACACAGTCGGCCCGGACCTGCGCTGCCCGCCGCGGTCCATGTCCGTCAAGGACCAGGCAGACAACGCGCTGGCCATGCCGCTGGGCCACCACCTGGTGTACTTCCCGCCGCAGGCGCCCGGCTCCCGCCTGGCCCCCGACGGCGCCGACCGCGACCACTGCCCCGGCGCGCCCTTCGTCCGCCGCCTGTGGGCCGGCGGCTCCGTCACCTTCGCCGACGGCTGGGAGGAGCGCCTGCGCCTGGACGGCCGGCGCGCCGTCTGCGTCGAGTCCGTCGAGCCGCCGCTGCTCCGGGCCGGCGGCGCCCCCGACGCCGACGTCCCGGGCCTGCAGGGCTCCTCCGAAAAGGTCCTCGTCGACGTGGTCAGGCGGTACGGCCCCGTCGAGTACCACGGCGGCGGCAGCAGCGACGGCACGGCGCGCGGCAAGGCCGAGGCGCAGGCGCAAATGCAGGGCGAGGCCGCCGACGAGAGGGCCGTTGCCGTCGTGCGGGCCCGCCCGGACGTCGAGGAGGTGAGAAGGCTGGTGTTCCTGAGGGAGAGCGACGGCGCGCTGGCGGATCGGCCGAGGAAGGTCGTGAGATGTAAGGCCTGGTTTTGCAACTTCCCGATCCCCCTGCTTTTACGTCCCGACGTTTCCAATACGGCAATACCGGAGGCTAACCCCACAATAAAGCACCCTTCAAGGCCGACTCGAGCTTCACCATCACCCCTGACGCGAGGCTCCTCTTCCACTTCAGCGCCCTGACCTTCAACGCCCACGCCATCCACATCGACCCGCTGTACGCGCGCGAACAGGAGGGCCACGCGGGGATCCTGGTGCACGGCCCGCTGACCCTCTCACTCATGCTAGCGCTGGTGCGGTCGCGGCTGGGCGAGGTCGTCGCCGAGGCCGAGGCCGAGGACGGGACAGGGGCAGCGGCTGCAACAGCAGCTGACCAGGGCTGGCACCTGCTCAACCTGGACTACAGGAACGTAGCGCCGCTGTACGCCGGGGAGGCGATGAAGGTGTGCCTGAAGCTGAGCGCCAACGAGAGCGACGCCAGCAAGAAGAAGTGGCACGTCTGGGTCGAGGGCCCCGAGGGCGGCTTGGCCGTCAAGGGGACGGCCATCGCCATGAGGCCTATCTATCGCAAGACGACGCGCAAGTCTTGGGCATGAGGTGCCCAAGTGGGTAATCCGATGGCATTTTATTCCCCCAATGTATGTATGTATTTATAGAGCTTGAGCTTTTGTTGGATGTAAATCATCTCCGTCCCGTGGCAGGTGTGAATGTGCCAGCCCGTCTATGGATGGGTATCACCTATGTTCCAACATCGTGTAGACTTATGTACAACAATATAATACTAAGGCGCGTTTGGAAGACAAACCCGGCTGTTCCTATTTTCCCACTCATCCCCAAGACGGCACTGCGCGCTGCACTTTTCCCCCCTTTTGGCCCCTTTCTAACTTGCATATTCCTGCGCCCAAAACACTTTTACACATCGCCGTACTCATTCTCTTTAAGATTCTGCATCACTCTCTGGAAGATCAGATCCTCAGGCGTGCCCGGGCCCGCCGGCTCGGGAGGCGTCACCGACGCGGAGCCGACCGTATCGGTGGGGCTCTCCATGCCCTCCTCCGGGCGGACGTGGTACGGGGTCGAGTCCGACGTGTTGATCGAGATGGCTGACGAGCGGACCGTTCCCCTACGCCGCGCGGTTCCTGCCGCTGTTTTCTCCTCCGGACGACGACTCGCGTCTTTCCCTGCCGTCGTCGTCGTCGTCGTCGTCGTCGTCTGTAGCTCCATCGGCCAGCGACCTCTGCTCCCTTTGCCTAGAGATGAGGTGCCTGGATTCCATGTCTCGTCACTAGCACCTTGTTCCTGCGCACTCAGGTTACGGTCCAGGTAGCCGTCCAGTTCGGCGAGGTTCTGTTCAAACGCCTTCCTGAGCGCGCTCTCCTGATCACTCGGTCGATTCTTCGCAAGCCTCAACGTCGATTTCTGCTCTGGGTGTTGCTGCCAGCCGACGAGGACTCGCTGCCAGATGCGGTCTCTCTCGCCCGGGGACAGGGGGAACTCGACGATGGAGCAGTTGTCCTTGAGAGCCTGGACCAGGAATTGCAGACTCGTGAGGTTGAAGCCATTACCTTGGCAGTCAAACATCATCAGGGTCCGGTTCTGGCGGAGGACGGTTCCCAGGGTGCCCACGTCTTCGTGGAGGTTCTGGTTGCGGATCCAGAGGTGTGTCAGGGTCTCGTTCCTGGCCAGGCCCTGCAAGGCATGGCCAAACCCCTTCGCGAGCTGGCCTTCGTCAAGCTTCCCGCAATAGCCTGACAGGTCGAGGTAGGAGACGGATTTGTTTCGTGAGAAGAAATCCTCCACTGTTCGCAAGGTCTCTTCGCTGCAAGGTACGTTCGGAGAAGGCGTTGGGGCCGTGCCCACTAGGCTGAGGAGAGAGAGGTGTTCCGTGACGGTGAGGGCATTCATGAGAAGAGCATAGTTCCTCTCGTCCCTGAACTCTATCATGTCCATGTGAAGGCCCGCGGGGCCCCGGCTGTGTTGTATGGCGTGGGCCAGGTAGCCAATGCCGTCCTCCAGTGGGTTCCCGCTCAGGAACATGTGGAGTCCATGGTCCTCTCCAATGGCATTGAACAGTTTGGACGCTTCTTTCCCGGTTATGCCGCAGTTGTTTAGCACTAACCTCCGAAAGTTCGATACCGCCCCCTCGTCGCTTTCAAGTCTCCACGTCCTGTGCAGTAAGTACCTTTCGAGGTCATAAAGAGTAGCCTCGTTGACCTTGTCTGTGTTAGTAAACAATCGTCTAGGAGTTGCCAGGGGGGGTTTTTTTTGGGGGGGGGGATAAAAAAAATACCTTGGAGTGAGAAATATCCAGTTCTTGGAGATGAACCAGATTATCCAGAGCCTCGAATGGAAGCAACGGCCCCTGAACAGCACCCAAGAGAGTCCCGTAGAGATTCAGTTCCCTTAACTCCATGAAAAGGCCGATCGTGTTTGGTAACATCGTTGCAGGGATGCGGCCCAAGTTCCCCGAGATATCCAGCAACTGGACTGGGTGGGCATTGTATCCGATGGCTTCAAATAGGTCCCGGAGGTCCATGTCGGACAGGCCGCACCGAGAAACGTCTAATCCCTGGAGCCGTCCCATCTTCAGGCTATCAACTATAGATGGATGAGCTGAAGTCTCAAGAATCGGGCGAACTGCGCAACTTACCCAAGTGTGTAACATCAGCCCGCCCAAGCGCGTTTCCGCTCAGTATTAGGTTGTTGCATTTGGCCGAGGTCGATTCAAGCAGGTTCAATATCGGGGGAAGGAACTGCACACTGAGAAGCGCGTCGGTAGTGTTCTTCGCTCGTGCTGGGAAGGCCCTGAACGTGTTGCTGAAGTCGATTTGCCGGATTGTTTCGGCACAGAAAGCTAGGGCGTGAAACTCATTTTGAAGGACGGGGCTAAGATGCAGAGCTTCGATCTCGTCGGCTCCAAGGGCAACACCTGAAGGACACGTTAGGTACCCGACCGCGATTATTGGCATTCACCAGTGGCTAAAGCACTTACAGCTCCGACTAAGATAAGCTACGCCGCTTCTCCTGGAATACCGGTCGAAGCAGTTGAACAGGACGGATAGATCGACATCGCGGAAAGACAGAGATCTGAAATAGTCATTATACCTCAGCGCTCTAAGCACCGCCAAGAGCTGCATGTGCGAGTAGCGGGCGCCATCTTTGGAAGGGAGCAGTCGGAATTCAGGAGCGAATTGCGTTCTCCAGTTGACTTCCCAGTCAACGGGCTTGCAGCGATATGCCGCAGTATAGGCATCAAGAGTCCTGTGAACGCTGCCATAGTTCCCACGGGGAACGAGATACTGAGGCTCCTTAAGCTCAGATATGCGGAAGATCTCCAGGTTCTGCCAAGTCTGCGGCCACGCCGGTTTGAGACATCTATCGGCTTTGCCAAAGACGCGGATGATTTGTCGATAATATCGGCTCGCGAGCTCCAGGGTCACAGGGGCTTTGAAGGGGTCCCTATCTTCGTTAGCTGCCAGGCCAAAGACAGGGGAAGCCTGTCTGGCTGGGCCGAAATTCGACTCACCGAAATGTGATGTTGAATTCCTCTTGCTGCGGCGCCCAGTCCCCTTGGAAACGTTCCAAGGTAATGAGGCCAAAGCTGGAATGTTTCATCGAGACTTCTCCCCGCTTATTTGTGCCCTTGCATATCTCAATATAGAAGCAGAGATTAGCTCCAATGGCAAGATAGAATGAATGTCCCTCGAGAGACTTGGGTGATTTATCGTCGCTCTTGGGTAAGCTGTTCTTCCGAGTCGCGCCTCTCGGGACCACGGGGAATATTTCGAGCCTGTGATGTTGATATTTCGGCTCTTCAGCAGCGAATAGTCTCCGGATGGGACCCTCAACCTCCCAGGGGTACCTGGGAAGGTCTTTCGATCCATCGTTGTTTGCCCGAATAGCGTTTGAAATGCGGTCCATCTGCTCCTCTCTCTCCACCAGAAGGGGAAAGAAGAAGCAGGCATGTCGAAACCTCGTCGTATTATGGCTTTGCCACCAGACCTCAAAGCCGAACGGGTATCGAGCACTTTCAGTGGCGAAAACAGAGACGACTGCACCGATGGGTATTACAAGAAGGGGCTCTGGAGCGCTTTCTGGGATGCCCGGAGGTGCCTCTTTTGCCAGCTGTGGGAACAGCACTATGGCGTCAGAGTGCCTCCTCACCTTCACGATGTAACCCGACGTAACGACGATATGAGGCGTCTTGTGTCTCGAGAGATGAGAGTCTGGCTCCAGCTGGGCAAATCCTTCTACTCTCTGGGATCGCCAGTCGACACTCGACACGGAACTCGTGCTAAGGGTCGTGGGTGTCCTGGACACGCTGCTGCGGTCGTCCGAGAACCCCGAGTTTCGCCGACTAAGAAGCTCAAATGCGGCTGACTGGGCCAGGGACTTGGAAGGCCTCCTGCCGTGCTGACCGCCCCCTGGTGGTTCCATTGGGGTCATACTCAGAGGCGGCGAGTCACGACTGAACGGCCTTCTTGCCCTGTCTTTCATGTACCGCAAGAAATCGGCTGTCTTGCTCCCTTCGGAACTTGTTGGCGAGCTCGGAATCGACGTGGCTCGCGTTATGGCGGTATCAGATTCACCAGACTGTTGGGCATGGAACGGCATCGTGTCACCTTGCCTCCTGCGAAGGAGGTCCATGGTTCGCGGCGAGTCTTGCTTCCCTCTCGTCTGCGGGTTCAACATAGATTCAGCACCTGATGGTACCAGCGTACGAGGCACCTGTGGCCAGCAAGACACTTACAGCTTCGTGTCTGGGTACCTGAAGCGACCCTCGTCTTTAAAACGGTGTTGAGTGTAGTTAGTTGGTCCGGACCAAACTGAGAGACACAATGTGTTGAATTCCGTAATTCTAGGAATCTCGAAACCCAATGTCGTGTGTCGGGCACGTTATGGTAGTCCAGACCGCCACGCAGCCAGTCGGCTAGTCTCAGCTGGGTAACACCAGCTGACGATTTCAGCGCAGAGGCTTGCCGAACCGTAAGGTAATTGGTGATCAATGAGTTTCCCGCAGAAGCAAGAAACCCTCGAGCCCGAAAATATGAACAAGAAAAGGAGGAGTGTTTCGGAAAAGTTGTTGTCAAGGAGTTAGGTTTCCAACAGCGACTATGACCAAGACCGGGTGGGCGAGTTATAGCGAGGACCGAGATAATGATTCACTTAAGAGAAAGGAGCATCGGAGGCGATATCCGTTGTCGATGTCGGATCCCGAAGGCCTTGAGAGCCATTGAGTAGGAAAAAGGCTCAAACGAGATCAACGAGCGTGGCGGCAGGGATGCGAGACGGAAACTTCTCAGCCCATTACTCTTGGTTTCCCTGGAAAGAAGGCGGAACGTCGATATCACAGCCTCGAAGGGCCGCCAAGGCCTACTGTGATCAGGCAAGGCACATCCAGCATTCCTCCAAAGACTCCAAACCAGGGTAGAGGTTTTGCAGTATTAAGTTGAATGTGAATGAGGAGAAGCTTAGGGCTCACCAGGAGTGAGGAGGAGATCGAAAGTCAATAAGGTGAGCCAAGGAGCTGAATCCGCCAAGCGGTTGGTTAATTGCCCCTCGAAAAGCAAGTTGCTCGCAGCTCCCCGCAGCTCCTGCCATCTGAGCCGCTTCGACCCAAACTATGATATCATTCTAGTGTAGGTTGAGACAAGGGCATTGTCCAATAGGCTTCGGGTCCAGACCTTCCCCGCTGCTGGGCTGGGGATCTAAGTTTGTGGAGGCCGCTTCAGCTGTCAGACGTGGCTTGACCGACATCAGCAAAATCCGGCAGGATCAGCCAGATCCCATCCAACACGTGTAGTTTCACCGCCAAGAAAACCCTTGAAGTGCGAAAGGAGAAGATGGAATGTCAAATGGATCAAGGTCTCATCCGGAGGCTTTCACTCCCAGCCGTGATACCAAGCTAAGGAGATGCACAAGAAGACATATATGAGTCTGTCTGAACCACTGTGGGGTAAATGTTTGACAGCAGGCATGCGAAAGCCAGTGTGATGAGGAGAATCGGATAGACACCTCAAAGAACTCTAACTCTGGATGCGACGTGCTTTTAATCGGGGCCACCTGGACGGGCATATGGATATTCTTAGGTACATAGGTACGCATTAGTCAGTCGGGTACCACCCGAGATTGCACCAGATCGCCGTCTCCGGCGAGCCCTACCGGAGGTCCGTGCACTTTACCGTACATTACGACCCCTTTGACGAACACGACTACCGTACCGCCCTTGATGACCCGAAACTCACGAAGACGGACCGCCCTAATTACACCCAAATGCTTCCCTGACCGGCTAGGCGGGGGCAAAGTGTCTCGGGGCACGAGACCTAGATTTCTCCAGGATGCAGGGCGATGCGCCAACTGAGCCCAAATGGACATTTGAGTGCCATCCCGCCAGTTCTCTGCTCACGTCTCTGAGAGAGTGGCATTACAAGTTCCTTCCTGCCTTGGGCCCATGGTCGCCGTGGAGCGATAAAGAGCACCCTGGAGCGACCGTGGCCCCCTTTACTCACGCCCTGCAGACAGTAAAACGAAGTCATTAAGCGCAGAGCCCCATCAAGGGTCCGGTTGGGCGTTGTACTCCTCGACAGTCATCCCGAACTGTCGGAGTATCTGCACTTCGTACTCCTTCTAGTCCCTGATCATCTTCTCAATCATCTCCTTCGCATTCGGAGCCCAGTACGGCCAAAACTTGTCAAAACCTGGCATGTTTTCCTTGCCTCGCTCGCCCTCGAAGAGCGGTCGGATGTGCATCTGGAAGATGTTGTACATACCCTTCGGGACAGTAACGGCATGGAAAAACCAATAGCTCCCGCTGTCCCAAGCTCGCCGCATGATGGGGGCCTGGAGGAGAGACCCGTTACGCTTAGTCTCCTTGCCCTCGTATATGTCCACATATTGGTCGATCAAAGACTTCAGCTCGTCCAGCAATTCGGCGACTTGATCATATCAACAGCTCTCGACGACAACCAGTATGGGGGAAGTTGCATCTGGACAAGCTGAGAGCATGCTCATTCTAGGTCGATAATGTCGGTAATGTTTCACTGCTCGTCGGCGAAGATGTTACTCTGGTGCATCTCTGTCAGGGTCATGAAGGAGGGTCCATCGCAGTATTCGTGCTGAAGGAAATGGTGCATGCTAGCACAAAGACCGGTAAGGGCGGCCGCCTGTATCTCTCCATCGGCCTTGTTGTGGATGGCGTTTGGCTGGTGCAGGAGTTTGGAGTCCTGTAATCGAAGGAGATCAAAAATGTACGGCTCAATGGAGCCGTACGTCCTCTCGCGTGGAATACCAGATGGGACGCGTTGCAATACATGTGGAAGTATAGAGTGAGAGGCCGGTTGGCGAGTGATGAGACCTTGAGAGTCAATTGTCGGCGAGCCAATGCGAGAAAGGGCAATGCGTTCATTGACAGCAAAATGCGACAGAGATGCCGGAACGGATTGGCCCTGTACTGGGCGCCGTGCCGGTACTTTTCCCAGGTTACGTGCAATGGCTCCCTTCGACCTTGCTCAAAATTAGATACCCCAACCCGAGCGGCTTGGGATCCTGTCTCTGTATGTAAGGCAGGACAGGGCGAGAGAAAAGGGAGGAGGTATGACGGCGCATTGACCAAAGCAGTCGAGCGAGAAAAGAGCAACAATAGAATCCGCTCGGTCTTGGACAAGCTGCGACGGGTCGGTCTGGATTGGATGCTCAGCATTTCACCCACACATTGGCCGCCAGGAAGCCCAAAGCCCAAAAGTGACGGGATTGGCACATCTGGGCAGTTTTCTTGCAGCCAGATATACGTTGCAGCTTCGGAGCGGACTTTCTCGTCGACATTCCCCGGCTCTTCTTCCTCGCTAATCTTGTAGGGCAGAGAAAAGCGAATGTAAATCATTCCCGGAAGCTCTAGACATCTGCTACCAAGACGATAAAGCAGGGGTAGGGTAGAAAAGGTGCCATCGCGAACCCATGACAATTACCACTTCATCGGGAGGAGAGTTGGGAAATGCCGGGATGACGATGTTAAAGCTCCCCGTCTTCCACATTTCCCTCCTTCCAAGCCTACAGTAGGGAACATCGAGCTGCCGGCAAAGGAGAGCTTCGATGTCCTCCCTGTGGGCTTCGATGAATGAAAGGAATTCCTCCCTCTTGCGAGCGTAAGAGAGATGAGCAAGAACGTATCGTCGCCCTCGAGTGCGTTATTGAGGTTGACGGTGTCTCTAAGCAGAGGTAATACGGGTTGTTTGGATCCTGAATCCATATTTCGTTGCTAGAGACCTATCATTTCTATTTTTAGAACCAATTAATTCAAGATAAAAACACCACTTCAGGTCCCACGAATCCCCCCCCCCCCAACCAAAAAAAAAGGCGGAAAAACAGGAAATAAATCTAATAATAATATGATTGTACCCGTTTTCCCCAGTTCTCTACACTCGTTTAGCCAAGGCTTCGAGTACACACCTGACATGTACTGTACCTCTACATGCGACAGATGAGCAAAATGCATGGCATGCCACGTCACAACCTCCTCACGCTTTGGATGTTCTCTTCCAACTCAGTTGGTTCGTGACCCAGCTCTGAGGGTTTTCTCCTGTGGGGTGCCCTTTAGGCACGAGTAGGGTAGTAGACTCAATTTGGCACGAGTTGAGGGAGAGGAGAGGGTCGATGCCTTGCCAAGAGGTTGTCATGAAACAGCTCTGGGAGATAAACGATATTATCCTCTCTAATCATTATTTAGAGATTTAAAGGTCCAACGGGCGAAATTATTTTCCTTCCGAAGACCAAACATGACGATCTCCCAGCAACTTTCGTCTTCTGATTGGGACATGCCTGTGCCGTGTCTGCGATCTTAGGATCGTTAATCAACGACCTGGGGATGCAGCATTGGAAGAACGCAAACACTTGGAGGACATTGTTTACTCATTAGGAAGATCAGCCCAAGGCGTAAGAGGAGTTGCCTCATCTGGGAATCTCTTATCACAGGACATTGCCAATTCCCCAACCATTGGACTGGTCTCCTCAGGGCAGCGCGCCCAAGAGAACAGGAAGGCAGGGTTCTGGCACCTGTGAGCTCCATCAACCCGAGCATCACGGACCACAATGATGCTGCGTGAAGGGACATTCCGTGCTCCTGATTCAAGAACTCTAACCACAACCATCAACTCCGGATCGGCGGCCGTTGGAGGTCTCATCCGTAATAGAGTAGTACTGTACGTCGTACAGACGTACATCCATGGCATATCCGGTATGGTATCCGAGTGCTGCGTGCTCCGTGCTTCAGCAGTATCATACACCCACGTGACACCCAACAGCCGTACCTTCAAAGATCCTTGGATCTTTTCTCACAAGTTATCAGGGGGTACTTGGCTATGTCCGTAGTTACCGAATATTCTGGGTAGCTCAAATGAATGTGCCGATGACCTGGGTGTGGTAGGAGGGATCTTTCCCCTCGGCATCCCGGGTTTGCACTTCTGGCAAAGTTTGCCCTCCACCACCGCTTGAAGACGTCATTTATGAGATGAAGTGCCCCGCGGCGCGATCGCCCCGACTACTTGGCCCACCATGCTCTCTTGACCGGCCGGCGCAAGTAATCTTGATGTGCTCATTGGTCATCGTCCGCAGAAACGTTGACAGTCAAATGCAGTCAAACGCAGCGAAATGCCGGCCTCCACGATAGTGCTTGGTGTTATGGGGGGATAAACGCTATTATCTTCAAACTGGTCAAGCGAAGGGTGGTCGCTGGTCGGGCGGACCAAGTGCATCATCGCTAGGATCGCTAGGGGCTCAACCTGAAACGGTCCATGTTTCACTGATTTCTTCTCTTCTTCAAGCCTTTTCGTCTTTTCGTCGCCTCCTTCCCACCAATAGGAAATCGGCTGGAGAGACCACTGGCCAATCAACGGCGCTACGAACAGCGTAGTGCACGTTAGCCAGTTAGACTTGGGCTGCCCAGTACTCCCAGTGTTTTGGGTTTGGAGATTGTAGCGCTTTGGGGTGCAGTGTTTAACGCAGTAGCTCCCGGTTTACCGGTTCTCCATGCTGGCGATGAGTCAACGACAAGGAGATCAATGCAAGAGAATTCGGGACTGCCATCGTTACCACATGGAGATGAGATGCGGTACTGGCATGCATCATCGTATTGTCAAGGAAGTGGCGAATACTGTGAAACCCGATCCTCTGCATCTTTTGATTACCATCTCCGTTCTTTCGTCTTTGTTCTTCCGATTTGGTTCGGGTTTCCACTTCCAGTAGAGAGCAAGGGCAGGGTGGAAAAGACCAAGAAGCGACTGACCTCACAAGGTAGTCACGAAATGCAGTGTATTTGTATACTACGCAGTATTTTTGTCGTTCATCACTCTGTTGGCAACTTTCCAGGTTGCGATTATTTGCCAGTTGGTCCCATCTCTCGAGTCTTGTGGTGTTGTGCACGACCCACTTTGGGGATGGAGTGTTTCACGCCAGTTGCCGCCCAGGTAGCGCTCTTTTCGGGGCCTGGCAGGGGGGCACCCCCATTCCCCTGGCGATAGGCGAGACCGGTGGTTCGTTTTGTGGCCCTCGACAGGCCATCCCGCCCAATCGTGGCCACCACCGGGCTCCCACCACTAAACGCCTACTCCCTGCGCTCACATGTGTGAGACTTGAAGAACAAAGAACCTCCACACATCAGCCTGTCCTGCAATCCCAATTCTTCCAAATTGCCCCCATCCAATCCTCCCATACCGACATTTCTTTTTTTGGCTGCTGACCCTTGCACAAGCCGCCTCATCCTCCCCTCTTTGTTTCCTCTTAATTCCTCTGCTAGGCTGCGGCCCAAGAGCTGACAGAGCCTCCGCTGTCCGTTGTTGATCTGCGCCTCCTGTCGCTGCTGCGCTCCCTTCCTCGCTCACCCACCCAAGTGGCTGGCGGGCTGGTGGCCATTGCTGAAGCTGAAGCCGAGAGTACGAAGCCGCGAGTTTCGTCCCTCTGAATAAATACAACTTATCGCCTTTGCCGACTGCGTGGCATTTCTCCCTCCAACACACTGCCTCGCCCCCGCCTCTGGCCACGGCTTCTCCGCTGGCCACAGGGCTCCTCGCACCCGGCCCATCGATATCTCTCCATACGACGGCTTCCGACTCGAGTCGTCATCCGAACATACCCCTTGAACTCTAAAAGCCCATGCCGACCTAACAGGACTCGACAATGGCCATGTTAGCAAAGTCGGCGTTCCCGGCTCCGCTGGGCTCGTCTGGCTCGAATATGGTGGCCAGCGCGCCCCAGACCGCCTATGCCCCCGCGCGGAGACCGCCTGCCGTCGCCATGTCCAACCCGTCTTTTGCTAGTCCGACTGAATCCGAGTTTTCTGAAGGCGACGGCCCCGACTCGGTTAAGAACTGGGACGAGGACCAGGTGTGCGAATATCTTCGAAGCGTGAAATGCGGCGAGTATGAGAAGCTGTTCCGCAAGAACCATATCAATGGCGAGAATCTTCTAGAGATGGACAAGGAAGTCCTCAAAGAGATGGGAATCGACAAGGTTGGAGATCGAGTCCGACTGTTCCTCGGCATTAAGAAGTTGAGGACAAAGGCATATGCCAACCAGAAGAAGAGGAATAGGGTGAGTATCATGGCCCCATTAACCGTCCGAACCGACTGCTAACGCTCCGCTAGGAATCTTTTGGGGGGCTAGATATCCACTATGCGCCATCAGTTGGCTCGCCGCGCCATCCTAATTCCGCCAACAGTCGAGGAATACAGCCGAGCCAGTCGAGCAAGAGATTCTCTCGGCAGTACGATGTCACAATGTCCCTCGACGCAAGCAAAGGTTTGTCGAGGCCCGCCTCCCCGCTACCTAGCGCCGATATGAGGGCAGCCCGGGCGAGGTACGCGCAGCAGGCCCAGGGATACGGTAGCCAGCCCACGCCTTCGTCTGCCTCGAGATTTCCCATGTCCCCGCCTGAATCGCAACCTGGCCGCCTAGTATCGACTCACACCAGAAACAATTCAAGCTTAGATGGCTCGCTCATGGCCGCCCTGCCACAGGGCCAGGCCGTTATTCGCGTCATCTCCACTGGCGGCGTGACTAAGGTTGTCAAAATCGCCGACTGCAAGACGTGCGAGGAGGTTATGCGGGTCACCCTTAGGAAATTTGCCTTGCGCGAGGACCATGAGCGCAACTACTGCTTCTGGGTTCTCGCTGGCGTCGATGCAAGCCCAAACCAATGCCGGCGTCTCGGGGACACGGAGCTGTGGAAGATCATCAAGGATCAAAAACGCCCGGAACGCAACCGCCTGATCCTGAGACGTGTTCCCGCTGGTGAGCCTGGCCAGTCAGAACTTGAGAGAGCCGCCGCCATTGCGATGCAGGAAGCGGCCCAGAACCATAACCGGGCCGTTGAGAACGTCGACAAGCGCAGCCAACTCAAGATCCAGAAGGTCTTGGGCGAGAGCTGGGACACGCTACAACCGCCACTCTCGCCCGTGTCCTACCAGGACCGCGAGCGTAACGTCTACAACACGGCCAGGGACCTTGAGAGGCCCGCTCCGGCCGATACCGCTCGTGCGGTCCCCCGGAGAAAGGGGGTGCTCCGCCAATTCGGGGGGCTCAGACCGCCGAGCGAGTTGATTGCTTCTGATCTGACGAGTTACTTCCCTGATCACTCGAGGGAGGACATTGACCGGACCGCACGGTTATCAATGAGGCGGTCTGCCCGCCTTAGTAAGGTCAACAGCCGCCTCAGCGTTGCAAGTAACCTGAGCTTCGCCTCCAGCATTCAGGACGCCCCTCCCATCCCCACCATCGCCGACAGCTGGTTGACGGCCTCGAATCAGATCGCAAAGGTCCGTTCTCGAGATACTCACGGTCGTGTTCCCCACGGATACCGCGATTCGGTTGCATCTTCGATGCTCGACACCCTCCAAGAGGAAGGGTCTCTGATCGAGCCGGACCGCAAATCGTACGTGTCCTTCGCAGATAGCGGGTCAGACTCTGCTGCGGTCAGCGTGACAGATCCCGAAGGGAACATCACGGGCCATGGCTACTACGACCAGAGCACCCTGGGTTCTTCGGTCAGCTCGGGTCAAAACCTCAGCCAGGCTTTGACCGAGGATGGCGAGGACGCCGACGAAGAGCTCCAGAGCTTCCTGGCGGGCGAATCTTGGGACGACAGTAAGTGGATGAAGGGTGCCCTCATTGGCCAGGGCTCGTTCGGCTCCGTCTATCTAGCCCTCCATGCTGTTACCGGCGAGCTGCTTGCTGTCAAGCAGGTTGAGACACCGTCCCCGGGGGCCAACAGCCAGAGCGCCTCAAGGAAGAAGAGCATGATTGACGCACTTAAGCGCGAGATCAGCCTCCTGCGCGACCTCCGACACCCTAATATCGTGCAGTACCTCGGCTGTGGCTCGTCTGTCGAATATCTCAACATTTTCCTCGAATATGTTCCTGGCGGCTCCGTCCAGACCATGCTCAACTCGTACGGTGCTCTTCCGGAACCGCTGGTTCGCAGCTTCGTGCGCCAGATCCTCAACGGCCTCTCGTACCTCCACAACCGGGACATCATCCACCGGGACATCAAGGGAGCAAACATTCTCGTCGACAACAAGGGCACCATCAAGATTTCCGACTTTGGCATCTCTAAGAAGCTCGAGGCAACCAACATTCTCAACGGCGCCAACAATAACAAGCACAGGCCGTCGCTGCAGGGCTCGGTCTTCTGGATGGCTCCCGAAGTCGTGAAGCAGACTTCGTACACGCGCAAGGCGGACATCTGGTCGCTCGGCTGCCTCGTCGTCGAGATGATGACGGGGACACACCCCTTCCCCGACTGCACCCAGCTCCAGGCCATCTTCAAAATTGGGGGCTCGAAGGCCACACCGACGATCCCCGAGCACGCCAGCACCGAGGCCCAGCAGTTCCTGAGCCAGACTTTTGAGATCGATCACAACAAGCGGCCCAGCGCTGATGATCTGATGCTCAGCCCCTTCTTGACTCCTATTACGTAAATTTTCTTGTCCGACAACTTTTGCGATACACATTCCAGCTCGCGTTTCTTTTCTGCCAGCCTGGCAAGAGCAACGACATACAGCTCATTGGGATTCGAATGAGATAACGATTCGTGGCCGTACTTTTCGACAGACTGGATCAAGTATTACTGCATGGTCTTCATTGCTTCCACCAAAGGGTCACTGGATGGTCCCGACACAGGGGCAGGAAGGACGGGAAGAGAGCATTATACGGAGAGTTGGGGGGATTTTATGGCGAAGGCGAAGGCGAAGGATATGATTGGGAGTTTGATTTTTCCCCCCAGGTTTTCCATGCTTTCTCTCTTCGCTGGCCTGATTTGAAGAAACTGTAATACCACTTTCTCAGTAGAGTGCGTTGCTTGCTCCGTTATACATAGTACATGATATCATGAGTATAGACACGCCCATCCCTCGTCAATTTTGGGGCCCCTTAAGTTCTCTCTAGGTGCTGAAGTATCATCACATGTAACTTTGCTTCCAGTTTCTCTCAAGTTATTACCCCTAGCCGGCTCGGCGTAGGAAAGCGAAGTCGATCCGCCCGACATGCTAAATCAGAATTAGGGCCGCTGGGCCGGCCCGGGTGGGGTCCGAATTTGGTCCCGCATCCGGGCACAGCCGGGCCCCACTCTAGGATACTGTCCGCTTGGCACGTTTTCCGACGATCCCTGCCTTGCGTGCCAGTAATCGGGACACCATCCGGATCTTCTAACGATCAATCCTAGACCATCTTCCGTTATCAATAAGAGAGTTCCGCATGTCTGTCGAGGTCACACCGGAACGGGATGAGAAAGTTGGGATTGAGATCTCACTCCGGTGAACAACAGCAATTGAAAATAAAGGCCCTAGTAGAACGCTGTTGTCGCAGATTTGCGGACACGCCTGTGGTTCTGATACATTCTTTGGGTTTCGCGCCTGAGAGTGGCCCAGCCTCCCAATCCAGGGGTAACAAAGAGCCAAGCATTTTTCAACGCCGGAGAGAAGCTCGGGGTTACTTCAAGATCATGAACCGAGACAAATACATGTACTCTGCTCCAATTACCTACGGCTTAGGGAGAGGGCAAGCGGATCACAAAGTGAGCGACTTCGGCCAGTCATGCAGACAGGCTATCACCGTCGCGCATATCTTCCATGTGTGTGCAATGCAAATCACCCTTCCCTCCGATTCGGGCATTCGCGGGCATGTCTGCTGCCCCTCCGCCGGGCTCTGACCAGCTGCGAAGATATTAGCGTGAGCCTTGACGTCGAATCGGTCGATACGCCGTCGGGTAACGCCTCGGTTGCGTGCGATCATCGCGAACATGTCACATGCATCACCGTGATGCCCTCAGGAAGCGGGAAAGGTTCATTGATCGTGGGCTGTCCACTTGTGTGGGTCATTCTATGTAAGTAGTTTCCCATCCACATCCAGTTCATAACCCAAAAGTATCCACAAGTCTGCCCAAGCATGTCCTCGGTGCAGAGCTGTATCGATGATCAATATTCAAAATAACAAGAGCAACGCCGGGCAAAACCAGAAGCCGGCAGCCCATTCTTTGCCATAGCCTATCACCCGCATATACCGAACTCCCAGGACCTTCTTGATACCAAAATCAGTGAACGCCATCCCCAATGCAATCTGTCCAGTATATGTATGTCTGTCTGTCTATGCCCCCGTTCCAAAAGCCGTCCTCGCTTACGGCCCCGCCGCGTGAGATACCGGGGGAAAAAAAGGGCTTATCGATAAACACGGAAATTTTTACGCAAAGGTGGTGGTGAGTAAGAAGTTGATGGTGAGCGCCATCGCCGCGGCCGAGACAGCACCCATCAGGGGCTTCGCCGGCGCCGCAGCGGCGGAGCTCCTGAGCTTCGCATTTCCGCGCACGATGCCCTGCGTGGCCTTGACGGCCTCGGCGACCGAAGTGGCGTGCGGGACGGCCTTGTTGCCGGTGCCGATCTCGAGGACGGCGCTCGAGGTCGTGTTGAAGCGGGTCTGGGCTAGGGAGATCTCGTTGTTGTCCAGGTCGTAGACGACGTAGGCCGAGCGCAGGAAAGTGTCGCCCAGCACGTTGGTGCCCCGCCCCGCTGGGGCGATGCCGAACAGGCATGCGGGGACCCCGTCCTCGAAGGCCGGTCGCTTGCCGTTGTTGGTGACGAGGTTGAGCACGAGCTCCTTCATCGATACGGCGATTTTCGGAGAGGAGAAGGTGAAGGTGAGGTTTTTGTTTTCGCTGGCGAGGGAGCAGGGTACGTAGGCGACGCCCTCATCAGTATCGTACCGGCCGTCCACGACATTGAATATGTCCTGGACTATCTCGTCCGGAAGATAGGTGAGGGAGGAACCAGAGTCGAGGAGCACAGCCAAAGCGATGTTGCTCGAGATGGACTGGGTGCCCAGCTGGATGTCGGTCAAGGTTATCAGGAACTCGGAAAAGACTCCGGATCCGGACTGGATGGGGAGCGTTTCGAGTGGCCCGGTGTACTTCTCGCTGTCGACACCTCCGAAGAGAATGCTGCCCGTGTTCGAGCCCAGGTCGTTCAGCCAGAGACTGAAAGCCTTAGACTGGATCAGGCCATCCGCAACCATCTGTGACGGGAGATTCTTGTACGGCGACTTCTGAGCCCGGCCAACCTGGACCTCGTTGATCTCGTACCCAATGCCCAAGATGCCCTGCGAAGACGTGCTCGAGTAGCCGATACCGAATTGCAACCGTTTGAGCTTTTGTTGGCCGATCGTGACCGTGTCGGAGACGTAGTCGCCGCTTGCCCCCGAGCCATCCACGTACGAAATGTTAAAATAGCTGCCGACGTACTCGTAGGTCGACGAGGAGTTTGCTGAGTATGCCCCGGCGAACTGGCAGGGCTGGGACTTCACCAGGCACAGCTCAGAGCCCGGCGTGTTGACCCACAAGTCGCTGCTTCCGGTGTCTAGATGCAGTCTTATTGACTGCGGCGGTGTCCCGATAGTAGTGTTGATAAAGTAGAGAGTTTGCTGCGCACATCATTAGGCTCTTGTATTCGGGGGGGCTATGAAAGCCTCGACCAGAACAGTAAGCACTTACCTCGTTGTCGAGACTCGCCTCCACCGCGTCTCTCCTCCGTACTCGATCCCGCTGCACAGGATTTGTGAACGTTTTCCTCTCGATATCCAAACTGACGACCCTTGATGGACCATCTTGTCTCTTCGGAAGGTTCAACCCCTCCGCGGATGACAATATAGAGGCCACCCCGGCCAAGAATATGGTTGCTTTCATCATCGTTCCCCCAAGAGCTACTGCTCTATCCTTTCTCGGCCTCAACTTGGGTCAGGGAAGTGGTCGAAAGCGGACACTCGTCTCGTTAAACCATGAGGAGGCACGAAAGGACTGTTATATCGGGCCAGGGTCAACCTGAGCGCCAGCTTCAAGTCCTTTGTCTGGCAAAGAGTGGCCAGGCAGAGAAGCGCAACGGTGGTTGAATGCTGCTCCACCGATCGAATTTGGAAGATAAAGACGTCGAAGTTCGAGGCTGAGCGAATTCCGGCCAGGCGAATCAGGTTTGGATGGAGAGCTAGGTCGTAACACAACCGATATGATATATGCAAGAAGAAAAAAGGCACCGAAAATTGAAGCAGACACAGCTGGCACAAGATAGGCCCTGAGCTAGAGAGATATTGAAGAAAGGTCCGCCAAGACGAAATAGAGGAGATCGGGAGGGTTGCCAAGACTCTCAAAGTCTCACGGGAGGATGTTGGTAGGGGCCAGAAACAACGACAGCGAGTCCAGGCTGCCCGAGGGGAAGGGGGGATCCTATTGACATCGACGAAGTATCGCTTGGCGCCGATCCCAAGGCGGGCAAAGCAAAGTGTTTTAAGAAACCTGGAAAGACTGGCATACCTTGACGTCGAAAGGTTCGAGACCCCGAAGACGAAACATCCAGTGCGTATGCGTTCGGAGGGGCTGAGTACGTACACGCACACAATGTACACCCTCGGCCAACGCGCACTGCAATGGAACCTCCCGCCTCTTTAGCTGAATGTGAAAGGCTCTCAGGCCTCCCTCCGCGCCTCCGTACTTAGACTCCCAGAGCGGGTTCGCTTGAAAGCGCTCGAGGGCAGTAAGTTGGCAGTAATTGAACAAGCGATTACCGAAGTGTTCACTTCGAGAGCGGAGGCACGAGAGGTGGACCGGCATGTGGACAAGGACGCGCGGCCATTTCGTGACGCTTGCCCGTTTTGGAGGTCCAGACTCTGACATTGGGGAGCAATTGAGCGACAGTAGTTGTACAGTACATACCTAGGTACGCAGACTTACCTACCTGTGGATAGGTAGGTTACTCACCTCGTTCATCGAGAAATCATGGATCGCTGGTACGTAGTACGAAGGTGAGCAAGGTGAAACATCAAAGATAAGAGAAGAGAAGCCCAGAGCATTTCCAGATCTGATACAGGCCGTGAACATCAGACACTCTTGCAACACCATGGCTTGGCAGCGATTATGGTGAGCCCCTATTGGCTGGGCGACCAATGCAGCCCACTCTCTCCCCAGGGTTTCGTGAACCGCCCTGTCGATCCGTATCATGGTATGTACCTATTCTTGGACGATGTGGCGGAGCCAGCTTGCGTTGCTGGACCACGTAACAGCCAAGCCTACCCACTCCGGGCTTTGTGTTGTTCTGGTAGAACCGTCTGATTCCTGCGAGCCTATTCTTGCCCATTCTTGCCTATTATTACTGCACAGTATAGTATGTTTTAGACTAGAAGAGCGTTTCTGAGTAGGTAGCTACATATCTAGGTATGTACACTAGACCCAGGCACGTGCCAGGAGGGATGGATGGCTTGCAACATCGCTCTCATTCGCTCTTCGCAGTAGGTTGACACCAATGAGTCCGACGACGCAAGTGCACACGAACTTCTCTTATATGGAGCCGCACCTACAGAGCCTCATTTCCGGAGACCCTTCTAGTTTGCGTAGACGGACGTAGCAGTAGAAATTGGCTCTTGACCTTCGGGCCTAGAACTTCTCTCTCAGGGGATATATACCGAATAAGCGAGTGAAGGGCGTGACGGGCTGTCCATTCCCCCCAGCCACTAGAAACGCCAAACCCGACACCAGGCCAATCAGCAGTCATGATATGCTTCTGCCTACACTTGACGGCTGAGGCCGCGTGAGTGTGTAGCCAAGCACATTAACATTGGCATTTGTCAATGTGTCAAGGGCGAAACTGAGCGTCCCTCAACTCAGCTTGACTTCATCATCCCGTCCTTTGCACCTCAGATTGGAATCGGACGAGTCCTTCCTGCATCAAGGACACCCATCCCATCTTACGATCTAGGTCCATCCCGTTGGCTTGTCCACCACACCCTCAGGGAAGATGGACGTCATCAACATGGATCGCTGGTAAGCTTTCAACTTTCAGCCTCATTCCCGCCGTCGACACCCCCGACTAACACCGAACCCGTGTCTCCCCATAGCCCCGTCTATGCCGTTGGTCTCTCCCGGCTGCAAAGCAACCCCCCCCCCCAAAAAAAAAACCTCGAATCTCCTAACCTCCCAGATGCCCGCGGGTTAAACAGTCCTTCTTCGGAGCGCTCGGGTGCGCCATCTCCATCATCTTCACCGTCATCGGCGCCTCCTATGGCACGGCCAAGTCCAGTGGCGCTATCTTCTCCTCGGGCATCATCCGGCCCGATAGGCTGATGCAGAACACGTGCGTAGAGTCCCACCCTCCCGGCCCCGACCCCGTTTCCGGCCCCCGGCCCCCCGCCCCGGCGTCCCCTCCCCTTCCTCTCCCCTCGGACCCAAGCTCCTTTCCGCCCACCCAGCTAACACGAACCCCGCCGGCGGGTTGTTAACTCCAGCCTCTGCGCCATCATGGCCCAAATCCTCTCCATCTACGGCCTCGTCGTCAGCGTCATCATCTCGGGCAGCCTCGTCGAGCGGATGGCCCTGCACACGGGCTTCCTGCAGCTCGGCGCGGGGCTGAGCGTCGGGCTCTGCGGCCTCGCGGCTGGGTTCGCCATTGGCATTGTCGGCGATGCCGGAGGTGCGTGGGGGGGGGGGGGGGGGGGGGGGGGGGGGGGGGGGGGGGGGGGGGGGGGGGGGGGGGGGGGGGGGGGGGGGGGGGGGGGGGGGGGGGGGGGGG